TAACTTGGGGGCCAGTATAGATTGGCTAGAGTGGAAGCCAGCAATAGATGTGGGACCGGCGGGGCGCGCTTATGAACGAGCCAATGGCGGTATGCATGCCTGCTACCAAAAAGGGTTTGGTCTAGGCTGTTGAGGGTCTGGCGCTAGGGTGATCTCCTCGACCAGTCGAGGTACTAGCTAAAGTGCGTTTCGTGCGTAATGGTACCGTATCAAGCTTCTTCGTTCTGCTTCTGGAAAGTCGCGAAACAAGCGACTGCGGTATGACCAGAATTTGGGTCAAGCACTACATCTCCGAGTAAAGCAATCTAGACATAATCAGTTAGCAATCTCGCCCTTCCGACTACAACCTTTGGAAATATACGAAAAACTGTGGCCGTGCAAATCGCTCGCTGTAAAGGGTACCTCCAGGGTATGGTGTGGAACTGCGCGACTGCTTTGCTCAATGATTGGTGGCTGAGCTCAACGGCTGGGATGCCACAGCAGGATCGACGCGGCACTTACCTTGGAGGGCCTTTATTTTTGGCTCCCTTTGTCAGCTATTCTTGAGGGCGATGCAGGGTGGGCGATCGTTGCGTTGGTGCTGGCACTAGGTAAAGTGCTAATCGCTGCGGAAGCCCCGTGGCGCTGGACCGCTGGTTGACCGCTGGCTAACCTGTCACGCCCCAGACGCTTGAGGCGAAGTTAGTCTCGCCCCCGAATACCACAAAGGGATTGGTGTCAAGATAGGGAGGGGCTCCAACGGTAATGATCCTTCAAGCTGTTTTCGGTACTGGGTCACCCCTTAAGGCTGACGGAATAATCGTCTGTTCATTGGCGGAAAGAGGGATATCAGTGAAGGGGTCTCGTTGCTCAATCAGGAAGTCGGGATGGGGGTGTGGGTTCCATGCCATGTTCCTGCTTAATTAATTATGCGTTTCCCCTTGCCAATGGCTATTTGTCTCTGGAACATTGGTCTGACGCCGTTTCTCTTACCTCGTGAGGCTTTTCGCTTGGCCAACCACTCTGCTCCTTCGATGGAAACACCGTCAGGCAACGTTCAAGCACCCTTATTAATATCGTGCATGAACGGTCGACGGAAACAAGCGCAGCGCACCATTTGTAATTCCGCAGTGTCGTTTCAAGATAGATGACCGAACATCTCGTTCATGTCGGCGCCGCCCTTGGACTGGTTGGTTGGACATTGCTGCTTTGTACCGAAGCGTGACGATCTGAAATCGCAAAGTCGTGTCCAAGTCGTTGCCCACCTTGCCCGTGGCTTCTCGTACAGAGGATGACACAGCACCTTTTCGAGGCCCCACATCTCTGACCACCTCATTCTGAAGATTGAGGGCTCCGTTTTTTTACCTTATTCCAGCCGCACAGCCATGTAACGTTGAGGAATCTGGAGAATGTCCTTTTGATAAGGCCATACAACCTTGTCCCCACATCTGAGCAGCTACAGAACGGTCCCGGTACCACGTCCCTGGAAACCAATGACAGTGCCGCTAGAGCAGAGAGTGACTTCTGTATAAGGCAGGTCGATATTTTAGGGCTGAGATGGATTCGTTCACCTATCTCATGGGTACCCATCACAGTCATCCAAGTGTCGACATGGCCCAATCGAGCAAGAACGCATGGTCATGAAGCTGCGGTTCCGACTGAGAAGCTCGGTATTCGGTACCCTGGACCGTGGCTTATTGAGGATACCCAGTGTACCTCACTCTGGTCAAGTCTCGCCCATCTCGGTACAGTGAATGACCAGAAGGCCGCCGGCGACCTAATTCAAAGCTGGCGTATCTCGTGCCCGGGTGAACATGATCCAGCATACCGAGTGCTCAAGTTGAGTAGTCCCAGCTGGAAACTCTCAAGGTGAACATGGAATATTTGAAATAACCGCCTTTAGTAGCGGGGGCGGAGTACCCGCAGCCACGCTCTAAATGGCAACACGGCCACAGGTTGAATGCCGGGGAATATAAAATTCAAAAGGATGAAACTGTGGTGGCTGGAAAATGGCGACCGGCGGTCCAGAACTAGTCGGCTCCTCTCGACATGGCTGGGTCCCGCGGGAAATTAGGACGCCAACTTACCTAATGATGCATGGGTCTTCGTTCTCTGATATCAAACTTTCTGTGAGGTCATGCCACAGACAAACGAGGTGACTCTCAGGTAGCCTGAAAATAAAGCTTCCGAATCAAAGAGGAAGCTGGTGCTCATAGAGACAGAGGTAGTGGCGAGCAGGCCCCGCCAGCCAATTGATGGAGGATCCCAAGTCAATACCCTCTCAACTTGAGGAGGTAGGACGCCCGAGTTTGTCTTCAAGCAAGATACCCGTTCTGTATGCGTCTAGCTGACATAGGTGGCCGTTCTGGTGGCGATCATTACTGAAAGATCAAAGGCCGGGCAGAAACAAGCACCAGGCAGTGACACGACGCTCTCGGAACTTCGCCATCACCATTAATCATCAGGCCAGGCAACCCTGGGGAAAGCCTATTTGCAAATATGTCTCGTCGACTGAGGCAATTATGTCATTGCCGACGCTTCTACTCGTAGTTACTGTACGGAAAGATTGTTGCCTCCGTAACTGCGTGCACAAGAGCTGGTCTGGGATGCCTGCTGTTACAAGTTGAGAATTGTGCACTGGAGATCCGGATCGTCCTCGGGGTCGGTTTGGGCCATCAATTTCGAATCCGATACCCCAATAGTAATCGGCACCCCGTCATTCAAGGGTGCGCCCGGGATTGCGGCTTTTGCCGGCAATTGTTGGCCACCGCGCACATCTGCGTTGCGGATTTCGAAGTGGTTGCTGGAAGCAGTAGACGCGCTAGAAAGAGACTGCTGTAACCAGTATATCCGCAGATCAAGTAAGAGTAGATGCTAATCGGGTATTGTCCATTACAGTAGCAGAGTCCTCGTACCTGATAGGGATGGTTGCCGCGGCTATAAGGATGATTGAGTCAGCAAGCAATGTAGGTTGTGGAAAGCTTTGAGGTATCCTTCGCGTACCCTCGGGGTTTGGTTTCGTATTTCGTTCATTGGGAGGAAATAATGTGTCGTGGGGGCCATAGGGCCGGGCACATGTACGAGGTACAGCACAGAAAAAGGTAGGAGGTGTCCAACTAGAGGGTGATTTCTGGAAAAGACATGGGTATGGACCATGAGCCAGGGGCCCTATTTCCCCTACTAGTTGTAGTTGTGAAATCGAAGGGGCCAGCGAGATTGGCAAGGCGGTTACGCACCCCCAGTACGTATCAAGAGGGATATTGCTCAATTCGTCAAGAATGGACAAGAATGCGGCCGCCAAGCTCGTTCTTTAGTATGTTCAGTGGGGCCCTCGTGGGCGTAGGCGAATGGAGGAGCAACCAAACAGGTAAGGGCCGTAAGGACTTGGATTCGCTTTTCATAGGATACGTACGGTAGGGTAGGGAGGACAGGATGTTTTGGTAGCCGACCGCGACACCCCCAGATGGCAGGGCCAGGCAGGGCAGGATGAAACGAGAAGGGGGAACGAGAGGCGACCGAAATCACAGGGCGGAATATGAGCGGGAGGATTAGGGGAGGTATATCGAGAGTATCAGTCTGTGTTGGTGTGGTGGAGGGGTTGGTGAGAGGTGAGAGGTGAGAGGTAAGAGGGGGTGGGAGACGTGTGGACGAGTGTTGGTGAAGGAGAGGGCAGTCGCTCGTTGGTCACAGACTCAAAAGAGCTCCATGCGTCGAGGGAATGACCATGAAGAGCAGGTCACGTAGGGCAGGCACGCAGTACGGTAGAGAGGTACGGGAGTTGGAGCCACTAGAGAGGGCATGAGCTCGTACGCTCGTAAAATTGTGAGCTGGAGAGCTCTCGTGGGCTTGGGTTCCCTCAGAGCTCCGCGCTTCCGCAGCCCGCAGCAATCCAGCACAGGGCCCTTTGGGTAATTACCTATTATTCTCTATGAGTTGTCCTCGCTCGGGGGGCCCTTGGGCCCTGGTGCCTTTGGGGGTGGGAGGGGAGAGAAGGGGGCCCAGCTAAAGTGCCCAGTAAACTCAATGCCCAGTGCCCAGTGCCCAACACCCAGCACCCAGTGTCCACTAGGTACCGCCCACCGATCACTGATCACCCAAACAAGAGGCGGGCGGACAGTGTCGGGAGTCACGAAGTGGCCGCTCGCTGCCTCAGCGCAGACCGACTTTCGCTATTCAGAGCAGCAAGGGCCTAACCCTGTAGTGGTTAGGCCTGTGGCAGGGGCGCAGCAGCTACGACGTTGCACTTCTGCTGTCTCTTCCCAAAATTCATCCTTCCATCACTATTTCCGTCTCCTCCCGCCTCCTCGTTCGTCCGCAGCCCTGTCCACCGCGTCCACTTCTCGCTCTTCGTCTCCTCTTCCACCATCGTGGGCCGCGCTATCCATACCCTGGTCAGGACCGCCGCAGCACCCCTGCCACTTCCCGGGGCGGTCAAACATCCCTGGCTTTCTTCTCGCAACTCCATCTCCTCCTAAGCACCCCCCTCCCTCCCTTGTCGTCCCGCCTCGCCGCCTCGCAGGGCCAGGGCTTGGTGGGCTGGTCTGGAATTGTCATGGGTTCGACCACCACCAGGTAGGCTCCAAAGAGAGCACCTACGGTAACTTGGACAAGCAGCAGCACAGCAACATGTGGCTCCAACGCCTGCGAGGGTGGAGTTTAGACGCACGCACCCCCGGTTGAACTTTTGCGTCTTTGAGCGTCCTTGTGCCTCCGATCCCCTGCTGCCACCCACTATGCTCCATTGAGGCATAGCGGTAATTTATGTTATATATCAAGGGACCTGGTATTGGGGCGTCCCATGCACTCGTCGTGCTGGCCATACGGAGTACATATGATTGACTCGTTTCCCTGATCACATCCAAACTATTAAGACCGTGAACACACCCTCACCCTACATCTTCGATCTTCCTTCTTCTTATCCAATATCAATCCCAAAGAGTCCTGTTCCATCACTTTGCTTCACCACAGGCTTCATCGCTGTCCTTCCTCCTTGCCCATACCCAACATCACCATCACCCACAATGCATCGGAGTCAAAGCTACTCCTACCCGCAAGCCACCATGGCCGGCCATTCCAGATATGCCTCCACCCATGCCAGCAGCTCTGCCTTCAGCGCATCTGCAAACCCGAATGAGGACTGGACCAAGATCTCAGACCTGGCTGAGAGACGACGCATCCAAAACCGGATTGCTCAGGTAAATAAAATTCTCCGTTAGCGGTAGTCAATTGTTCAATATCCTGACCCACGGAAACAGCGAAACTATCGTAAGAAGCTCAAGAGAAGACTCGAGGACTTGGAGCGCCGCGCCGGGTCGTCGTCTGCCTCGCCGGAACAACAGCACTCGGAACTGGCTACCACTCCGGCCAAAGAGACTTCCCAGAAACAAACTCAATCCATGGCCCGCCAGCCATCGAGATCAAGTGTATCACACGAGATCCCGAGAGCCTCGCCAGAGATTTTACCTTTGGACGACCACTCGTCACTCTTTGACACTCCGGCTGGCCGCCATCTTTCGATTCATTCGCAACCGGCATTTACCTTCTCGTCATACCCTCCGACCACAGCATATCTTCACTATGAGCACCAACAACACCCCACGTATGACAACAACACGGGCTATTACTCGAGTTACCAATACCCAGTAGACGTGTCCTCGTCGAGTCTGCCACCGACGTTACCCGCCATGCTGCCCTCGGCGTACGGGAAGCAGGACCATCTGTTCGGAGATGACGACATGTTAAGTCCATTCAGCATGAACTATGCCTCGCTTGCCGGTCTGGAAATGCCCTCAAATCAAGCCTACTCAGGGGCCAATTCACATGTAAATCCCACCACTTTCTTCTCCCGTTCATATTCCAGCCCACACATCTGAGCAGCACCAAAAGAAAATCCTCTGTGGCGGCTCAGTCCCAAAAATCACCGGCTTTCAAGTTACCAATTGCCCAGCTCAAATGCTGACTTCCTCTGGCTAGACACCACCTCTGACTGATCCATACTCGATGGATTCCGCCCACAACTCGCCCAACTACTTTGATGTCCCGCTCACGCCCGTGTCAAGGACGGCGAGCCCCAACATTCACTTGTTCGACATCAGCTGCAATTGAGGGCCACATCCTTAATGTTTTGCGATTGGCAAGCCACTCCCACTCATTGCCGTCATTGCGGGCGCCATTTACGGGCGCCAACTAATTGGCACGACGGCTTCTACGACCAGCGGCTCATTTGCTCTTTGAACGGCGTCCGATCATAGGTGGAGAGCGATCATTTGCATTTTGCTACGGATTGTTTGTTATGATTCACCTGGCTCAACGCCCAATTTACCGAAAAAAGGATTTTAGACTTGTACGGACGCCCTTCGATGGGCAGGAAAGGGGGTGGTGGACGGGGAGGGAAAGGAGGTTTGTGACCATGGAAGCTGCCAAAAAGCCAGCTTCCTATCAAGCGAGGGGGTGTTCTGGATACCACATGTAGCCATACCAGCCTGAGGTACAAGGGCGGATGGTGGAGGACTGGTGTGTCGACGAGTATCAGTCCCCGATCCCGACAGGGGCTCAGCAGCCCGACCCGGGATTCACAGTTTTTAGTTTATGAAATTTATTGGTGACCACCAACCAACACATCGGGCTTTGATTTATTGTGCTCTCGTAAATGTGAATGTGAATGTGACTCTGGAGTGTGCCGTGGGATCGAGCCCCCGAAGGAAGACGCCGAGAGACCAGAGAGCAGAGACGCTGAGATGCCACGCGGGAAGAGGATTCAGATAACGGGGCCTTGCATTCAGCCCTGCCAGCTGAATATGGGCTGGTGGATAGGGCAACCTGTCAGGTTACAGAAGTAAAGACCGAAAGCGAGGAGCAAGCCAGCAGGAAGCAGCAGGAACGGCGACCAGCTGCTGCTGCGACTCTGCGAGCCTGCGACAAGGAACAACAAAGACCGAAACTACCAGCCGCAGTGCCGCACAATGTGTGCGCCATTTCTGGATGTGGTTTAGTCACTTCCGCCTGGACCTTGGGCCCTCGGGCTGCGGGCTGCGGGCTGCGGGCATGAGCAAGAAAGGAACCGTCCACAGCACCACAGCACCACAGCACCACCGCACCACCATCAGTCGCCGACCCATGGCTGCACAACCGCCTTCCTGACCTGGGTTCATATCCCCTAGCTGTGGTGTAATGAGGTGTACGAGATATCTTTCGTCTCGCCAACAGGGACTTTGATTGCCATGCCATCCATTGACGAATCCTCCTCCCCCGTGGCAAGCAGCATCCTCCTAGAACGACCGCCGACGCCCCTGAAAATAACCAAGACCACGCGCGCCGTTGAGAAAAGTCTAGAATTGAGATTGTGACCAGGGGATCAAGGACCCTTCGAATCCTTCACATCCGTGTGTCGGATTGCACGTTGAGAGTTCACAGCAAATCGCCCTCATGGAACCGCTAAGCCTGCGTCGCGAGCTTTTTGGATGGAATATGTAAGCAGTGGTTATTTTCGACCACGCGCGCGCAGTGCCACTTTTCCCCCTTTGTAATATCATTCTGCCCTGTGGCGTGGCGCCATCTCTTGCACCAATTAGGAAACGGCGAAGTGCTAATTGATTGATTCCCCTGGCCGTTGGGGCCTGGGGCTTTAGGGGCTGGCATCTCAGTCAATGGACCTCCAGCGACGATAGAGTTCGCGGCGGCAAGTCACAGGTATGTACGAAGACTGCCATTGTTGCCTTGTTCATCCCGAGGGTGGTGAAAGATTGCCTCTACTCTTTCGCTCGGTGCCGTTCATCTCTACGAGGACCGTCTGAAGCGGCCGAAGAGGCGTGTCGGGAATATGTCCGCAAGCTCATATGGGTAATGCCTTGAACAGTCCTACCTGGAAAGCCGTGGCACGGCCGCCTGCTTTCGTGGAACTCTCGACTTCGCTGCTCTGGGCGGGGCTGGCTTTGCCTCTCAGCGAACTGTTGGCGACGATCAACGCTGGGAACTGAGTTCCTTTGCAGGCCTTGAGGTCTCGATCGATCCCTTGCAGTCCGACGACAAGGTCTACACGCTGATCCTCAAGGACGAGATACTTCCTCCCAAGACAGCCAACCGCCGTGAACAGGCGACGATATCCTGGGAGTATGATTTCTCAACATCCAAGGGCCGCCCCAGGATCGACAGCCCTACCACCTCGTCTTGCCAGTCCATCTTCATCCCATGGGACCACTTTAAACCCACATACCGTGGCAAACGGGCCAGCACACCCAACGGTCTGGACTTGAGCAACATCAAGAGGGTCAGCATCATGATCAGGAGGTTTGATGGTTGGTCCGCTTGAATAATTCGTAAGAGCTGACAGATTCCCAAGCTTCTTTGGAACTCAGAACGGGCATTTCCACTTGCACGTTCTTTCCATCGTCGCGGCCTCGACCGCCAAACCCGCAGATACGCCGGCAAATGTGGCGGGCCACGGCCAACAAGAACCCCCAATTGCCACCGTTGTTGCTGCATCTGGAAATGGGACAAGAGATAGACACTAATGTCCCTGTGGAGGCCACTCTGGGGGGCAAAACGAGATGGAGAGGCAGCGAGCAATTCATTCTCGTGTCGCCCCAAGGTTCGTGGATCGTTGGGTCCAAGGGGAAATCACTGTTGGCAATCGGTCGATTTCCCCCGGAGCAAGCACACACACACACACACACAAAACTAGTCAGCGGCGGTCACAACAGCATCGCCATGATCGCCCCCCACCTGGTGACCACCATTGTCCACCTCTTGCGACCCTTGCAGCAACTGCGGAACTGTCATTTGGTCTCGTCACGGGCAAAGCAGCATGGTCGGCTCCCAGCAGCGAATGAAGCACAGCTGAAGCTGTCTGTCCCCCCGCCGTCGTCAAGTGCGGCTCCTTGGCTGAGTAAGGTCATCATCTCCACTGCGAGCAAGCTACAGAGCAGAGCAAAAGGACATATCCGCATTCAGAGTATCAGGAATACCGGTAAAAGCCTCGTGTATACTGGTACCAGTTCAGCAACTCAAAGTGGCTTTGGAATCGAGCCAAAGGGTACTATCCGACTTGACGTTACATGCGCCCTTCAGGTTTTGGACCATAGCCACGAACGGCTCGCTGTTCGTTGCCGAGAAGGGTAATTCTTACTTGAAGCCCACAGGCTGACATAGCCCGCTTGGCGCAGCCCTACCGTATACGCGGTATATGCGCACGATTGGATCTCGGTGGACTTGTGCGAGAGGGCACTTTGCAGAGTGGCCGCGTAACGTTTGGTACCGCTGGACATGACGCATGAGAAGGCTACAAGATGCAGTGTCGCGACGCCTTCAAGGGGTAGCCTATTCGTGACGCGGGCTTGAGTTCTCTGTAGGCATGGTTGTTTCCCTAACTCCGCCAGGTGGCCGTGGAGAAGGAGATTAACTGGTCCGGATCTGCAGAGCGAGAAATATGCATCTACGCATGTAAATGCCTCATAAGGCTCTCGGATTTTGCGTCTCAGGGGTCGGAAAAGGATCGATACGGTGTGTTCAACTAGCCATGGCATGCGCGAGGCTTCGCCCTCGACCAGTGGCCGCTGGAGAAGACGTGGAATCCACTCGAGAGAGCCGGTGAAGCCAACTGACCGAGACCACACGTTCAAATCCCGCCCTGACTAAACCTGTGCAGCAAGCATATCACGGGGCTCTAGGACTTAGGCATTGAGACAAATCAAGCCGTTGTTGGATAGACCTCTACGCGGTAGACATCGGGGGCTTGCAGAGTGAGCAAGGCTAGGCTATACTCCGGGGAGCGTCTAGCCTTTAGACGACAACAGCACCAGAAATACTCTCGACATTGGCATTACCAGACGATACCATACGACTCTGACAGGGGTTCGGGCCACACGAAAGGTCGGCTTTACCGTAATGGTTGTTTTTGCGATCTTTGGGGGCCGTTTCTGCGTGACCGAGACCAGATGCCTCGGCACCCGCTGCTGCTCATGTGCCAGGCTACCAACCCACGGACAGATGAGGTCCCTTCGGAGACTTCAGTAAATCTGCCAGACGGACACGGTGCATTTGATGCTGCCGAAATCCTGCCCCCAGACCTGCTTCGGCCGATTGTTCTCTACGGAGGCGGATCGACCCTCGAGCCTCGCAGGCTCCAACGAATACTGGGAAGCCGAACACACCGAAAGGGATGGTCCAACTCGTACGGTCCCTTTGCGAGAGCATAACTCGGGTTGCATAATCCGATTGCTAATTGCGCCGAGCCTGGATGATGCGTTGCGCACATTTCCAAGACCCCAAGACCACCATATGCAGGGCCTGATCATTCATCAAGAAAAGAAGAAACACGCACATACACACGCAACGCGCCCTTTACGCCGCCTCTCGTGTTGGACTTTGGAAACGAACGTGGCTGTTTGTGGAGATGGGACAACGTCATTGAAACGGGAGGCCGCATACCTACCCTTCGTACCACGCAGCGAACTGACTCGACTCCGCCGCCACGCAGCCAACTCGCTAGACTCTCCATGGCAACTATTGCTAGCTTTGGGTGCTTGGAAGAAAGAATCAATACGGGGGCCTAGAATGCCTATGTTGCCCACAGTGCCACGCACAAAGAAGACGAAGGCTTGGACAGGGTGACCTAGGTTGCATTCTCGCTCAAGCAGCATTTGTCACCTAGCGTCAAGGCTACTTTAGTCCAGGAGCCACCTGATCCTTACCTGTCACGCCCCGGGCGAGACGGCGCCAGCGAGAAGCCCTAGGGGAGGCCCAAGAGACCCATCATTCACCTTCCCCTTTCGAGCAGTATCGGGAAAGTCACGTGCAAGGCACAGGGTTCCTGGGCGGCGCTGTGCTTCGTGCGAGCGAGCGAGGTACCAGGTAGTGGAGCGGTAATCAAAAGCCCAAAGGACACCCAGTTGAATCTCGGAGAGGCGCCTGAGGAATTCCCCATCCACTGACACCTGCTCTGCCTACTTCCCTTTTGGAACCAAGTCCTTGCGGGTTTCTCAAGGAGCCCCACGCATGATCAGTGTCCTTTGGGATTCCCTTCACCCACTGCAAATCTCCCCTTTCGGTAGGGAACAGAGAAATCGTCACCGTGGGATTCCCTAGAGGCCAACATTTAGGCACAACTCGAAAACTAAGTCCCCTCTTCCTCTGGAGCTAGAGCGAAATATGTGCAACACCAGCCAAACCGACAACACGTCCTAACGAATGCTCCTCCCAAGCCTGTGGAACCACCCTCCCCCAAGCCACCAGAAAGAGAGTGACCACGGGCGTTTAATGGCGTATGCACTGGTGTCGCAATCAACCTCCCCCAGGCGAAACTCTCCAGCGCCCAGGGGAGCCCATCTTCCTAGTACGAGGTGCAGCAACCGCCAATGAGTGACTGACTTGACCGCAGATACTGCTGGCATCCCAACCAGCTTGGCGGGTTGTTCAAGCGTCTGACGTGTGCACTGTGAATGGACGTCTGCTGCCACAAATGCCGGCCAAACATATAGGCAAAGTCTCCCCAAAAGGTACCAGTTACGTTTGAGTCAGCGGAAATTTTGAGGTTACTTTGCCCTTTTTATTCGAAGCATTTGGCCAAATTCTACAATGCCCTTTTCTCTACAAAATTGCACGCAACACAAAAATTGCCTCGAAAGGAATTTGCCCTATTTTTTTGGTAAGTGCCGAACCTGGAAACGAGGGAACCCACCCCCCTCCCTTACCCACGGACGCCGCTCCTACCGGAAACCACGGATTTACTCGGTGCTGGGCACGCAGAGCAAATAAACCGCATAGCAATCCCCGAGAAGGGGAATTGGCTGAGGCGTGCCGCCTGATCCCTAGGCCATCCAATCAGTGGCAGCCGACCAAGACCTTGGTCCAGGTGAAGTACTGCGAGACCACGTCATGGCAAAGGAAGACAGGCAAGCCTGGTGGGAATGTTGGCACTTCGTCGTAAGTCGATCGTATTGTGCACAAAGCATCCCAGAGTTCGCAGCTCGCGCCTTGATCGGGTACGAAATGTCACGACTCACAAGAAGCAATTCCGAACCCCGAGACCGAAGGGACCGACGAGACCCATTGGGGACCCCCGTTCCGTACGATCCTTGCTGTTCTATCGGCGTAAAGCAGCAATGGCCCACGAGGAAAAGAGGTCAAGTTGGTATGCATTCCCCGGGATGCCCCGGCTCTCAAGTTTAGGGGAACCCGGAGCCTATGAGTAGGGCTTCGGCCCCTTCGCTGCTCCCTTGCACCACCGCCATTTCATTGTGCGTATTCGACTGCTCCCGCTGGTCTGCAATGGTCAGTCCAACTCGTCCTGCATAAATGGCGCGTCGAGACGTGCACCGGTGGCTTCGGCTCGAGCATCGTCCATCAATCCCGAATCACACAGCGCACAAGGGGAATGCTTGGAAATGCTGGCCGGAAAAGAGAAGAGTCACTCGCACCGCAGAACCTGAGGTCATTGGCTCTTGCAGCTTTCGACGCCCTATTTCAACTCGTACCGAAGCCTTGGTGTGCGCCTTAGCCTCTGCCATTTGCGGCTGTCAATGGGCGGCCGAGGCCAACCTTTGACATTTTTTCTCTTTCTTTCTAGCACCCGACGCCCTTGGCCGTCGCAGTTTCCTACGGCAGGCCAACCAGATCGCTGTGCGGTCGTCGTGCAGATCCCTTCGTTTGCTTTTCGTTGTCTGCTCTCGGTAGCAGCTGAAAACGTTAACTTCGTTTATGCACAAGCTCTGGACATAGTCCGAAGTCTATGCCCAAACCAGCAAGTTCAAGCCTTGGAAAATGCCACGGCATCGCCTGATCCGACATGGATTCCCCCGCCAATGCCTTTCAGCTACTCGGTCTGCGGTGACGTCGCCAACGAGGTGGTAACTTTAGCTGTAATGCCGAACTACTGCTTGAACTATTACATGGCAAGTCCTGTGTAGCTGGATAGACTCCGGGACGACCGCCCCCGCCTCCAGCACCATTTACCACAACTGGTATTAACACCACACTACTAGTACACCGGCGACTCTGCGATCGCCAAATGCACCTAACAGTTTAGAGGTTTTGTCAAAGGTCTGTGGGTTCCAAATAAAGGCTGACGGAATATCCCAAAGGGTAGTGCGGGTAGGAACCAAAGAGCAAAAGGGGCATGTGGTAACAAGCGTCTCGATCGCATCGTCATCAAAGGACAGCTATTGCTCACCAGCACCTCCGGATGATCTGCTTGGTATTTCCGACGTTTACTGATCCTTCCGCTTGCCGGGTACGCGAGCCTTGCTTCTCTCTCCTGAGGCCACCGTAGAGCGCGGCGGCATCGAACCATGAACTGCGGTGGTATTGGCGCTGAACAACCACTTGCCCAATTTGCCCAGCGGTTCCGAGATCGAATCCCAAAGCAGCATTTCGGACCATGGCCCGAAATCTATCTCTTGCACCCCGGCAAGTGCGCCGCCCTGCGTTACATCACGGAATTGATCAGTCACTTGCTTTGCATGACTGCTAGACGTCTTGCTTTGCCTGTCAAAGGATGATGCAGGGATTTTGTTTCGTTATGCTTTCAAAACCGAAGTTGTCTGAGGCAGAGCGTATCAATCAGGCCAAGGAAGGTATGTTGCAGCCTGGAAGGTCAATCATTGCCTCTGCTTTCCCAGCCGGTGTCCCAACCAGGCAGGAACTCTGTTTCCTGCGCGGGCTGATGTTGCATCCTATGCCCTCTAGAAACCGAGCAGATTTGCCGGTCCTCTCGTCCAGTCAAAGCACCGCCGGGTTTGTGCTTACTCTGCGAGAATACGCTTTGGATACGCCATGACTCGTCAACTCTGCAGTGGTCGTTGTTCTCGTCAGAATAGTCGTTTTGGGAAGGTGGACAATCAATCTCTGCACAGGGCCAAGACGGCGCTGACGGGCCTGAATAAGGGCAACTCGTCGGAAAATTCAAAGAGAGATCGGGAAATGCATGCGGCTCCAAGACTGGGTCACGAGCAGTCTCACAGACATCTCCTATGATTATGAGGTCCCTGAGCTTGGCCCAAGGGAGGAAGTGAGACCAGGGCGATAGACTCAAGGCCTAAGGCTCAAGACCCAAGGCTCAAGACCCAAGGCCCAATGCTGACCGCGAGATAGGGGACAGAATCAAGAGCGCACGCTTTTCTTCTGGACATGATCGACAGAGGCGCAGTCCTTCCTCTGTCGCGAAATACGCTGTGCTTCTCATGGAGAGACCGCTTCGCCCAAAGGCCAAGGAAAAGATGACTAGGTGAGTGAGCCACTGAGTGAGTCTCTGAAGGTGCCCCGCTGGGTCAAGACAATCGACTGAACTGGGTACTTGGGAATATTTCGGTCACGGAGCCCACGGACCATGCATGAGAACCCGTGTTGCGTTGTGCTGGCTCGCCCTCATTTCCTATCCCCTTCGCTCCATGTTGCTGTCTGTTTATTTACTGTCCTCCTTTGTCTAGTCTACTTCTGCTGCCTGTAATCGACCTCGACCACAACTCCGCAACAGCCTGAGATTGCACAAATTTCTTCAAGCTGCGCGCTCCCCCATCTTTCTTGAACCCCTACCAATCCTGCGAGTCCTGTTTTCTGTCCCCGTTCTCATCACCCATGGTCAAGCAATGAACAGGGGAAGCCAGTCTTCTGTGCACAGAACTGAGACTGTTGTTGTTCTCCCCCGTGACAGACACATGGTTTTCTTGTCCTTTGCCTGCCTTGCGGACTGGGAGAGAAGTCCTCCGTCTTAAAAAGCGGAGGAGGGAAGTCGACGTGACCGCCCCCTAGCCCATTCCGGCCCACGTCACAGCACTTCGAGGAGGAAATCGTGCAGGCATACAGAGCGAGAGAGAGAGAGCGGGCAAGATAGAGCAATAGAGAATCCCGGAATCAAATCGCTAATGCCCTCACTCCTCACGCATGCAAGGCGTGTGGTCATAAGCACCTACCTCACCGTGCAAAGAAGGTGGAGATCCATCTACAGACCATATACAGATCTGATCATGCACATACATCCGCTAGGCAGGTCTGTATATATGTGATATCTGTAGTGTATGGAACGAGGAGGGAATGCATAGTATGACAACTCCCCTTGGCGCTCTCTTTCTCTTAGGGTCATCAGTGTCTTCAAACAATCAATCCTGTAGCTTGAGAAATTTGGCTTTTTATACATGGTTTCCACGAGACTGGAGCGGGTGTGTATATATAGTTATACAAAGAAGATATCAAGTCCATCTTCACCGGGTGCCACGGACCGATTTCCTCCTCATTCATTCGGGTCAAATGCCCTACGGCGCTCGATATCACCTGAGTTCCCAGCTCATTCCTAGTTGATACAGTACACTCAAGCCCAACCCCCTTCTCCATTCCTCTTTCCCTCACGCAACGGGCGACCTCCCATCCTCTATTCCACAGCCCATCAATCCCGTTTTTCCATACCATACCCTACTCATCCCCCCAACAAGCGCCCTCATGCACGACCCTGTGCGCCGGCAGGGGCGATCCCGCCGCGCCGCGTCTGAACGGAATCTGCAGCGCCACGGTCTCGCCGTCGCCCGGGTAGAAGGTCAAATGGCCCCGGGCGCGCGGGTCCGTGTCGGCGGCGATCAGGATCTGGTGCGGCGAGCCGGGTGTGATGGTGATGGTGTCCCATTTCGCATCTGGGTGTAGGTGCTGTTCGTACAGCTGTTGTCGGTCATGGCTCTGTTGTGGTAGTGGTAGTGGTAGAGGTGATGATGATGATGATGATGATGATGATGGGGGAACTAGATGGCTTTGTTGATGCTGGTGTTGATCTTGACGAGGGTAGGAGGAGGAGGAGGAGGAGGAGGAGGAGTCTGAGCGTGGCGACTCTAGCGTTAGATCCACGCCATGGTTGTCGTCGACGTGAAACCCAGAATCTAAACCCCTGTCCAGCTTCGACTTGGGACTCTCGACGTGCCGCCGGCATCCTGCCCGGTAATCATCACCACCACGACCACGGCCAAAGCCATAATCACACCCACCAACCCCGTCCTCCGACCTCGACTCCCCTGAATGGGGAACATAAACCCTCGCGACCCCACTCAACAGCACAAAGAACATATTGTGCGGCGGCCTGTGCCATCCCTCGGCGCTGCGGGGAGGCAGCACCACGTACGTGGCGTTGTCGACGTCCCCCAAGGCCAGCGCGCGGCCGACGGTCGGGTATACCGTGAAAGGGGTCGCGAGGGCCCAGCATTGCAGGCGGGCTAGGTACGGTGGGTGCGGGTGGTTCGTGAGCGCGGTGATGTAGAAGACGGTTTGGTTTGATGAAGTTGGACTTTTTGGAGGGATTGGGGACGAGGGAGAGGCGGAGGCAGAGATGGGGAGGGAATCCACGGAGGAGAGGACGGAGAGGGTCGAGAGAACCTGCAAGGAGACGACGAGCGCGGATGAAAGGGACTTCATACCTTCACGAGGCTGAGATATCTAGGGGTTCTTTCTTGACGACTTTGTCGGGGCTCAACGGGTGTATATATATATATATCTAGGTATATAAGAACAGGGTTAGAAAGACGGTGAAGCACGGATTGAGTTTGACAATGAAATGTCTGCGTCACAAGTCGACGGCTTCTTAATCAACGCCACATGATTACAGACTGTCATACATTCAAAGAACCGACATCATCAAGACCGAAATCTGGATTGACTCCTGGTGCTCTATCACTCAAATCCCTTCTATCTTCGTAGGCGTTGCCTGCCTTATCTACAACACAGAATATCTTCCTCCCGTCCTCTCGGCAGCATCAGCCGCGCTCATTGTGCCCTCCTTCAACAACCGCATCAACTCTCTCATGGCGTCGTGCACCACCACCTCGGTATCACCCTCCACAAGAATGTACAACTTGGGATTCTCACCCGGCCCAGGATCTTTGCCCGTGGGATAAAAGGACCCTTTGGTGGTAATAGACGTGCCCGTCGCCTCGAGGATCTTGGCCACATTCGTCCGATTCGTGACAGCCCACCGTGCTTTTTCTGTAGAATGACGGTTAGCACAATCTGCTCAGAAGTCATGAGTGGATGGGAACACTTACGAGGAAAGTCATTGATCTCCAGCGTTGCGTGGAATGCACCAGCATCGGGTCCTTTGTTGTCAATAGGCACACCGGACCGCATGACGCCTGCTTTTGAGAGTTTCTGATTGATGGCGCCCACCGCTGCCGCGACCTTGTCCATTTGGTTCTGCTGGCCAGCGCCAGATTTGGAGCCTGCAGGTTCACGCTCGGTCTTGTGGACGGTGATTTTACCATCCAGGTCAATACCCTTGGGCACACCGGCAAGACTCGCTCCCCCTTCGAATGCCTTGACACTCGAGGCCGCTTTAGCAAACAGATCATCACCAACTTTGACGTCCTTGCCATCTTCTTTCTCCTCCTGCTCCTCGCCTTCGTCACCAGTCTTGAATGTCTTGCGTTCTCGAGCTTTGGCGGCATCACGCTCTTGATCGAGCCGCTCAAGACCTTTGCCACCAAATCCAGAAGCACCAGCTTTCTCTTTGCCGGCTTTGACCTTCTCCATAAAGGAGTCGACCAACTTTTGGACAGGCTCTGGTACCGCTTGCCCACTCTGCTTCAAGGCTTTGGCAATATCAACAGCATATCTGTCTTGCTCTTCGGTAATAAAGGTCACGGCAGTCCCTGTGTTGCCGGCTCTTCCCGTACGTCCAGCACGATGTACGTAGTCTTCCAGATGATTAGGTGCATCGTAGTTAACCACCAGTTTCAGCTGTTTCACGTCAAGACCACGGGCAGCAACAGAGGTCGCAATGAGAATGGGCACCACCCCCGCCTTGAAATCGTCGATTGTCGAATCACGATCGATTTGATCTTTCCCGCCATGTATCGACATGCAGGGATAACCCTTCTTCATCAAATCGCGGAGAAGACCATCAGCTGCCTCTTGTCGATCAACAAAAATGAGGACGCGATCGTCCTCATTCTTCTCGTCCTCGTACAGCTTGCCCAGGAGTTCAAGCAGCCGAATAAACTTGGTGCTCTCTTCGCGAACTTCGACGATTTGAGTGATCTCCGGTGCAACAACGCTGCGGCCGCCGACAACAATCTCGACAGGCTTATTCAGGGTTTTCCTTGCCAGCGCTTCCATCTGGCGGGGGAAGGTCGCGGAGAAGAGGACGGTTTGGCGGTCTGGTCGGATGTTGGAGAGAATCTTCATAACTTGAGGCTCGAATCCCATGTCAAACATCCGATCGGCTTCATCGAGCACCACATACGTGACACGCTTCAAATTCGTCACTCGCCCACTGTTCGCTGCAAGCAGATCAATCATTCTGCCAGGAGTGCAGACCACAATTTCCGCCCCACGCTTCAAGTCGGCGATTTGGTCTTTGATGGGGGCACCTCCGTAGGCGCAGACTGCTCTCAGGCCCAGAGCCTTGAGGAAAGGCTTGCACTCTTTGTGTATCTGTGTAGCAAGCTCTCTGGTGGGGCTTAGGATGAGGCCGATGGGTCCGTCCATGGGCTCTAAAGGAGGCTGATCCTTGATATGCCGGAACATGGGGAGAAGAAAAGCAATGGTCTTTCCTGATCCTGTTTTCGCCACACCGATAACGTCCCGACCGGACATGATAGCTGGAATGGCTTGAGCTTGAATGCTGGTCGGTGCTTCGTAGCCCAGTTTTTGAATGACCTCCAGAACCTGGACGCCCAGCCCACATTGCGCCCATTTCTGGACCGGCTTCGGAACGTCGAACCCTCGGACTTTGATATTGTCCAGTTCCAGTCGTAAGGTTGCTACATCTTCTTCTGTCCAGTCAGCCATCTCCACAGGCTCGGAGTAGAAGTTGCGTCTAAATGGCTGATACTGTATTTTGGCGTGGTTGACTGTCGGGATGTCCTTCTTCTTCTTTTTCGCAGTGGCACTGGCCAGTGACAGGATATTGTCGGGATTTTCATCATCGACCGCTGTCATGTCAACTTCGTCATCGCCAAAAAGTGCCTCAGGTTCTTGTTGGCGTGACCTAGAATTCGTCTTCTGAGCGAAGGACTTCGCCGTTGGAACAGGCTGCAAATCTTGCATGAATGCATCCAATGGATCAACTTCTTCCTCTTCCTCGTTTGTGGTCGTGGTGGGTAGAGGAGCAGAAATGTCGGCCATGGCTGTGTCCTCGCCTCGCTCTGCTTGACTCCGCTGCTCTGCTGCTGCTCGTGCGGCGGCCATGGCGTGGGCTTCTTCCTCTCCATCTTCTTCCTGCATATCGACATCATTGTCACCGTCGTCGGCCCCATCCGGCTGAGCGTCATCAACACTCGTGTCTTGTTCCAAGGCTATGTTAGGAAGCTTCTCTAGTTTCTTCTTGGTGTCCTCATCGTCTGCAAAATCCAGTCCTTTCTTAGCCACTTCGTTGTCCCCAGTCATTCTGCTACCCAGTCCGAATTTTCCCACTGCGCCTGTCGCTTTTAGTGCTTTTGAGGAAGAAAACCCATTTGTAGCAAGCTTCGGAGAAGGTTGCGAGGCCTTGGAATGACCATTGGTCAGGGCTGGCGGAGCGACGTCGGCCCCAAGGACCTTGGTAGCGGCCGAGGCATGTTGTGCCTTCTTCGCGATGGCCTTTGGGTCGAATTTGCCACCGTATGGCGTTGAGACTGGTGATGGAGAGCCGGGGGCTGCAGGAGACTGCGGAGAACTCACTGCGGGCAAGATGCCAGCTTTCCTGTCAATCTCCTGCAGTATACTCCTTGCTCCACCTGCGGCCTCAAGCTCCCTTTGCTTCCTGGCCTGTTCTTCGGCTTGTTTCTTCTTCCATTGTTCTAATTTTGCGAGACGTGCCGCCTTCTGTTCTTCAGCTGTCTGTGGAGTGGGAGTGGAAGGTTTTGACGCCTGCTGAATGTCGATAAGTTCTACAAGATCTTTAAGCCTCGGCGTAGCACGTACCTCCTTTGAAACGTTACCCGACTCTCGCTTCGAACCGCGATCCCAGCTTTCATCGCGCTTCCGTTTCCTGGATTCAGTAGACTCCTCTCTCATACGGCGATCCTTGTCGCGGGAATCGTCGCGCCTCGAGCGACCATCTCGGTCTCGGCTCCGTCGACGGTCGTCCCGATCTCGTGAACGTCGTCGATCCCGGTCTCGCGATCTGTCCCTGTCTCTGTCCCTTTTAGAATAGTAGTGGTCGTCATCTTTTCGGCCGTCATAGCGTCGGTCTAAGGAACGGTCTCGGCGACGGTAGGCATCGCGATCTCGGTCACGATCTCTGTCTCTGTCTCTGTCGCGGTCACGGTGGCGTCGCTGTTTCAAGGAATGGTAAGATTGAGCTGTCAGGTAACGGAATGAAGGGTGGTGACATACATCAGGACTCCGAGATCTGGAGTGCCTCCTCCGATGACTGCGATCACGGTCACGGTCATCGTCTCTTCGACTTCTCTCGTAGCGATCCTCATCTCTTCGGCTGCGTTTTGACGAGGAATAAGAACTGCCTGCAGGTGATGGTGAGCGAGTGTCCCCGTGCCTAGCCATCCTGTGGCTGCAGATAAGTGAGCTTTACTGCTTGAACTGCAAATCAGGAACCAGGCTCGGGATGGAAAGTCGGAGAGTGGCGAAAGAATGAAGTTCGGATTCGCGAGAGTATGGGGGTTGATGACACCAGTGTTCTATATTGTGCCGTTTCTCATTGCAATATGTTGACGAGAAATTCGTTGCCTCAAGGCTGCTGTGGTCAAAACTCGAACCTCCCGCAGCGCAGGCAAGAGTTGTCCCGCATTTTCTTGGTACCGCTCTTACATAAGCACGTCTCGCCCACGTGATCAGATGCTCTAGCCACAAGCTCGGCTTGCATTGGCGCAGGCACGCGTGGATCAATCGATGGCAGCCTCTCCCCAGCCACCGAATACAAGGAAGTCAATCCCAGAAATCATATTACCGAGTACTCCCATACATTTTTGGATGGTCGCCTCCTTGCATTGAATAGTTTGTCATTCTCCCAAGGGCGGCCATGACGGTCGCACTCCCTTTCTCCCGGCCAATGGCCAAGCAGCTGCTGGCCAGGTCTGCTCGATCCCTCACGCGACCCGTATCGGCCAACCCTCTTCTACGCTTAACCTGCAATTGCAATTCAAACGACGACCACTCGAGCTCTCAGATCCGGGCCAGGAGGTTCGCATCACTCTTCCAGCAAGCTAGAACATACGCCACAGCGTCTGCAAAGCCTGCAAGCCGCCCAAAACAACACACAGGTCGCACTCCCACGAAACGCAATACATCAACCACCAAAAAGGCCGCTCCAGCAAAGAAGCGGCCTGCTAGGAAAGCCAAAAAGACAGCAGCAACCAAGGCAAAACCAAAGGGGAGAAAGCCTCTTAGCAAAAGCGCCCTTGTGCAGAAAGCACGTAAAGCGCAAGCGGATCTCAAAACTGCGGCTCTGTTGCAAGAGCCTAAAAAACTTCCAGCGACGCCCTGGCTCCTCGTGCTTGCAGAAGAGGCCAAAAAAGGGGGAAGACCAGCCACTGCTGTGTCTCCAGCGGCAGCTGAGAAGCTCAGGAACCTTACATTAGAAGAGCGTGAGGTAGGAAACCCTTCCGCATGGCTCCCGCATACTCTGTTGACGATTAACACTTCTCCTGTAGCAATACAACCACGAAGCCAACGAGAACAAAGCCGAAAATGAGCGGGCTTACAAAAAATGGGTCCAGAGTCATTCACCACTGGAGATCAGATTGGCAAACAATGCTCGACGTCAATTGACCAAAAAGGCAAAAGCAGCTGGAAAGAAGAAACATTACAGGCCTATACAAGATGACCGCAGCGTCCGTCGCCCTGGGACCGCCTACCTGTTTTTCCTCAAAGCGAGGAATGATTCAGGCGACCTTCGGGGCATGACTGTGAGTGAGCGCGGCAAATTGGTAGGACAAGAGTGGAAGAATCTATCTTCATCAGAAAAGAAGGTATGTCCATGCCCTGTTATCCACTGAGGACACAGAACGTGCTGACTGATCCTGTTCGAATAGACTTACGAAGATCAAGCTCAAGCCGACAAGAATCGATATCTGGAGGAATATAAAACTGTTTATGGCGAGGATGCTCCCTTGACCAAGAAGAAGAAGAGTGGTTAAGATAAGGCTTTCATCATTCACGAGAACCAGCTCTGGTGATATCATTTCTCAAAAGGTGAATCGCCGGCACAAACCGCATCATATTCATTCTGCCTCGCTTCGGTACGAACGGATTCACGATTACACTGTACAGTATGGACCCTCGGCAACCTAGTTTGTTCTTGCACTCTTGTCTGCAGCTTTATGTGAATGGGAATTGGTCTCGGTCAGGTCATGTCTGGCCGCACACGAATCTCCACTTCCCAGTTGTTTTGGGCACTTGTCGTTTCTACGCATTGTGAATAGGCAGGGCAAGGAGGCTGGGCGGTCTGGCGGTCTGGGCATTCGAGGGACCTGGCAAGGTCGCTCGTGTGGATGGTTGGTCACTGTGGTTTCGTGGATGTGTCTGAGGTGGAGGAAAACTGGAACATACTGTACTGTCAAAACGTGATGAGGGCGCACAAGATACCCCCGAATACTTTGCAAGGCAGGAGTAGTCTGAATGGATTTCCCGCGCGTAAAGGAAAGCAAATCAAGAGCTAAGCATTTCCCTGTTCGCTTGATCTCTCAGCTGTACAACATGATTGCCCTGTCGAAAATCTGTTGTTACATATCCGATCACCTTTTTTGCCGCCAGCAAGATGTATATACTCGTCGGCCTGCCATGGCTAACTTAACGCGCCACAAAATGGCCATTCTATTCCTTCTTCTCTTCGTCCTTTGGCTTCTCCTCCCCTTCCTCCAACATCCTCCTCCTCCCCTCCATGGTGAACCAGAGACTTCTCGAACCACTCTCCAAAGTCTGCACCATGGCGGCCCCGAACCCTTGCAGCATGGCCACCAGCTGTGCGCGCAGGCCGTCAATGCCACCTTCGATGCTGCCCACCCATCTCGCGCCGTCCATGTCGAAGAGCTGTCCGTCGACCCTAGCTCCGAGCAGCATGAGCTTCTTCAGCCCGTCCTGCACGGACTGCTCGTAGTACTGGGGCACTGCCCTTCTTGTCGGGGCCGGGAAGAGGGGCGCCTGCGGGGACAAGATCGAGAAGGCGGTCTTTAGATAGAGAGGGGAGACGGTGGGGAAGGTCAAGATGGCCACGGACCCGGCCAGGACGGGCGTTAGAGGGTGCTCGTGCTTGTGCTGCTGCGCGGCCTCGTACGCTGCCACGGACAGCACGTGCGTGAGCGAGGGATCATCCCTCTCTGAGGGAATTCCCGCCAATCCCCCAATCGGTTCCGGCGGCTGTGGTGAGGGTTTGAAGAACTCGACGATCCGCAGTGCGGGCTCGAACATGTTGGTCTTGATGACCTGCAACTTGACGTATTCCCCAATTAACTCTTCCGTCGGCTTTCCCTGTGCCGCGAGCTGCGCGTCGACTTTTCGCAGCGCCGACGCCAGCTCGCGCCGTATGCTCACCCACTCGGTGGCCTTGAGGTTGTTGTGCTGGAAGAAAATGATCAGGGGTGTCGTTTGGAGCAGCGACACGTAGGACCGCAGTAGTTGGGACTTCCGGTATGCCGGGTTGCGGTGCGACGGTGGTTGGACCGGTGGGTAGCGCGAGAGGGTTGGTATCGATGCCCGCATTTGTGCATCTGAAGGGGCCGGTGTCGTCGCTAACGATGCCGCTGCTGCTGATGTCGTCGTGTATAGTCGTTGCGAGCAACGGCCGCATGTGTATCTGTAAGCAGGTGGTTCGAGTTGAAGCTCCGCGAGCTGTGCGAGGGTGCGCAGGCGGACTCTGGGAGGCATTTTGTCGGGACAAGCAGTGTACACCAGGTGAATACGAACTCCTTGAGGCCTCGTTCTAAGATTTTGATGGGAGTTAGTGGTGGACTGCGTGAATCTCAGTTCTGAGCCGAGCCGCATGCTTCAGTTTAAAACAATTCAATGCCTCGAAATGCGCGATGCCCGATACAGTTAGACCATCCATCCTACAGCCTTACTCCGTCTCGCAGCCTCGAGTTGGAAATCATCCTCTTCTTGTACAAGGCACTTCTCACTGACCACAAGAATGCGTCTTATAAACGAAAATATTCGAATTCTACGCTCCTGTGCATCCTCGCACAGATGCTCGGAGCGAAGGCTGCGCAACTTTTACGTCAGTCGTTAAACCGCTAGTCAAGGATGACTGGTTGCTTTCCAATGCAACGCTCTTGACGGACTCGTGGTAGACTCAGCATTTCCAGTAATGCTTTCAAGCTATACGATGTCTATGTCAACCCCAAGTAGTCTCTATATCTATAATCTATGGAGGAATCTCCGGTGACAGTGGTCTGCTCAACATCATACATTTGATCGTGAGAACCTTGGGCGGACACCATATCATCTTCCCCGTTATGCAGACCTCTTTCCTCGCCTCATATCCCCAATGACCTCCGTGAACAACATGACAAAGAACTTCCTCGTCTCCCAAATGGGCAAGACGACGCTGATGAAGGCGGAGCTGAAGACCCAGATGAAGCTGATGACGACCCAGGCAGTGAAAAACCCGACCGAGAAGACGTAGTGGCTCAGGAACATGGGGATGGGGATCAAGAAGTCCATGATGAAGGGCAAGACGAACGAAGCGATGCAGGCGAGTTTGAAAGCCGAGCGTAGCCGCGAAGGGTGTTCTTCGATGGCCGCGTCCAGGGACATCTGGCGCTCTTCATCGGCGCGGATTGGGTCTGCTTCGCGTTCCGCGATGTGTTTTTCGTCGGCTGCTGCCAATGTGGGTGCGAGAGTGGGCGAGATCGGTGCTGGGGACGGCGATTCGCTGACGGACTTGATGTCCTTTGTCTTTGCGCCGCTGCTATGCTGTGTGGTGCTTGACCGGGAAGAATCCGCTGCTGGAGGAGTGGTTCCTTCCAGAGCAGCATGGATGCTCGCTGCGTTTATGGCCCGCGTCGTGCTCCAGTCATAGTCGTCAGGCTTGAGCAAAGAGACCACAACCGAGACGATGAGACCGGTCATGATGGCGGCCAGATTGCCAGCCAGGGTAGCATAGTTTGATCCCGTAGTTGTCAGGGTAAGCTCCCCGTAGTAGACCTTTGCCTCAACGAGCCAGGCGGTGAGGCCAGCGACAAGACCGCTCAAAGCCCCAGCTATGGCACCGGCTCTACTCTGCCCTTTCCACGTGATGGCGAACGCGACGGGGAATACGGCGCCGCCGATCAGGAGACCCATAACCAGGAACAGCCAGCCCAGATCGATACCGATGACGTTCCAGATGATGGCGAAGATGGCCATGGTCAAGCCGAACACGGCGACGTTAACGTGTGCCATGAAGATCAAATTGCTGGGCGTGGCATTGGGCTTGATGTACGTCTTGTAGATGTCGAAGGTAAGGATTGAGGAGACGGCGATCAATTCCGCAGATGCGCAGGATGTCACCGCCATGAAGAGCGTGATCAGCAAGGCTACGGCACCGCCTTTGCCCAGCAGGGTGCTCGCTGCAAATGCGGATGCGAGGCCCGCGGAGATCTGACTCGACGAAGGCGCGTGTGGGTATGTCGGGTAGGCAGGGTTGTCTGTCAGTGCGACTGAGGCCAATCCCAGTGTCGTGGCGAAGCCGAAGGGAATAGCGAACCATGCCAGGCCCCCCAAGATGTATGCCCGGACCGCGGTGGTAGGACGAGACGCAATGGCTCTCTGCCAATATGCCTGGTCCAAGAATACGGTGCCGCTCCCGGAACAGAGCTGAATGACACCGAAGATCAAGGCGTTGTTGGACTTCAAAGTCAGGTAGCTGCCGTCCTGGTTGCCAGCCACAGGTCGTAGATTAGCCGCTTTCTTCAGCAGCTCAAACATGCGTGATGGAGAGCCGATGAGGTCGTCCGTGCAATAGACCTGGAACATGAAGTAGAGAATGATTACCATGAGGATAAGCGTATGCGAGTAGTCGCAGAGGAATGTGGCTCGTAGGCCGCCTGTGAGAACGTATGCAACCACGCTCAGAGGAATCAAGAAGATGGCCGCGTAGACATTCATGCCAGTAAGGCTGGTAACAACGGCTGAGCCGCCCAACAGGAGCTGAGACCCGACCAGGATGTTTGTGACGAGAGCGAAGAAGATGAATACAAGGTGCGCCACGGTGCCATAGCGGACTTGGATGATTTCCAAGTATGTGTGGCATCGAGGAGCGTTCATCTTGGTCTTGCAGGCTAGGATGGAAAACATCAGGATCTGAACGGTGGCTCCAGCAGCATACTTTGCGATTGTTAGCATATACGTCGCCGTGATAGGAACGCAATTGAGTGCTTTACCCAGAATGGTCCCGCAACACCATAAGTATAAGCGACCGTGCTGCTCTGAAGAAGGGTCGCAGCCCAGGTCCATGCTGAGACTATACCAGCAGCAATGAGACCAGGTTTCACATTTCTGCTCGCAGTATTGAACTCTTCACTCGTTCTCGTGGAGAAGTTTGTGTATCGGTTCTGTATCAAGCATTAGCACTGGAGATATCATTTGGGTAGAGGCAATGGGTACCTGAAGCATAGATATGCCAGCCATGACAGCTGTGAAGAAGAATCCGATGCCCACGACAACCCCATATCCCACCCCTTGAGATAGCACTGCTGATTCAGACCCCGACATGATAGGATGATTATTTCAGGACTCAAAGACGAGGATTGCAAGATCAACAGTTGAGAAAAGCGGCTGGGCAATGTCTGATACGGGCAGAGGCAACATTCATATACTCTCCTCCTTATATGAGTCTTCGGCCATAAGCCCGACGCCCGGTGTTGCAGGCCTCTGCCATGTGCCATGAAGGTATATTCTGCATCCCGACTGCGATGCCGGTCATGCTCCTGCGAGGAGAAATGATCCTGAAGCAAATACCGACTCCGATAACACGTCTGATGACATCGGATACTTTAGGCCCCTGTCCAGGATGCGATAAATCATGTACCTTATCTCATTCGAGGAACGCTTTCACGGCAGTGCTGATCAGCCGCTCCATAGGTCGATGACACCATTTGATTGATGCTGTCAGATAAACCCAGACCCCTGCCCAGACGTGGAAATCCGATGGCAACATGCATCATGAAACGATGATCCTTTGGAACTCAGAAATTGTTGGCTGTGGTGGAGAAGGAGTTGACGAAAGGTGTCTTTCGCGGTGATCTGCGAGGCTGTGATCAGTTATCAGACGTCGATAGACAATGCATCAGGCTAGGCCAAACGAGGAAGCTGCCAGGGGGCCATTTCACGTGCCTGGGACATGGATATGGGTGAAAGATTTTCCAGTGACTGATATGGTCACAAATAGTATGTAAACATGGTTAGCTAGTCGGGCCCGAAGCATGGCCGTAAGACAGACGCTGCGAACCTGTCTCCAGTTTCCTCTTCAAGATACTTTGGTGTATGAGCCGACGCCCGCTGATTCGAGCAAACCAGGTCCCAGAATAGTATCAGATCCCCCAAGACAATCGCGAGGAATGTGCCTCATTCCCTCTCACTTTCACCGTCTTCGAGAGAACCTGAACCAGATACAGGGGTTTTTATTCATCGTAGCGTACTTGGACCCGGGGCGTTGCGTGAAGGAGATCGTTGTTGCCAGCTTTTGGGACTTCACCAACCGTCAACCTTTCGTGCTCGGAGCCATAGCCCACCCTCTGGCTTGGAGACGATACCGAAATTCACCTTCAAGTCTTCACCCATCTTCTTGTCTGGATTGACGAGGGACCACTCAAATCGGCCAACCAGGCCAGCCAGCAGTGTCGCAAACTCTCCTCGTGCGTATCTCTCGCCTATGCAACTTCGAGGCCCAGCACCAAAAGGTAAATAACAGTAGGTTGCATCTTCGCCTTGGAAGCCGGCATGAGGATCAAAATGCATTTTGCCGTCTTCGCCGTATTGCAGAAAGCGCTCGGGCTTGAATTCTTTCGCGTCGGGGCCCCAGATGCTCTTCGTACGGTGTGTGCCCCAGATCGAGGTCATGACTACCGTCCCTATCGGCAGCTGCTGGTCAAGTACGACTGTTCCAGGCTTGACGACATGTCTGCGTAAGATAGGAGCAGGGGGGAACAGTCTTAAGGTTTCGTTACAGACCGCAGCCAAATACGGTAGAGACTCAATGAGTGGTGCATCGACAGTCTCATCAGTCGAGCTCGGTGAGGGTAACCGGGTCTGAACTTCGACCCGTAAAGTAGATTGAACTTGTGGGTTGTGCGCAAGGAGATATAGTGCCCAGGTAGTGGCAACAGATGTCGTATCTTGTCCAGCCGCCAGTATCGTTGCAGACTGAGCCATCAATTCCTTGTCGGTGAAAGGCTCCTTGAATTGCAAAAGATTCGAAATGATATCCGTGTCAGCAAACTCTTGCGGATCAGAGCCGGACTTCTCCTCTTGCGCGTCAGGGTCCACACTCTTTTGACCGACAAGGGCTTTCCTCCTTGATTGGATCATTGGCAGGGTGGCATCATCCAAAGCTTTAACGATCTGGTCAATTTCGCAACGTCTCGCCATTGGCAAGCGAACATAAAGCCAGTAGGGTAGCAGAAATGCCAGCAGTCTGTAAAACGTCGCTTCTCGGCTCGTCGAGTTCGACAGAGGCAGAAGCCTTGCGAGGTCACTTTCTGGGTTCTGGATTGCGTTTATCTCAACTCCGAAGCCTGTCGCCGCAATGATGTCGAGGGTGGCACGCATCATCCAGCTTTCGACATTCACAACCGCAGCTGAATCCTGGCCAGCCTGATCTATCTCCTTCTCAAGCGAGGCAACCAGCTGCCTGGTGTGCATCCAGAATCGAGGGAATAGGTTTTTGATGTATTTGTACTTGAACGCAGGTAGTAGAGATTTCCGCTGACGCTGTAGAGCGTCCGTGAGTAAGACAAGCACGACAAAGGAGGTAAAGCTTTGACATACCTTGTGTTCATCCTGAGCAGCAACCAGCAAGCCTAGACCCGTAAGTTGACCGATGAGCTTTGTCACAATGGGGATCTTGTCGTAGTTGTAAGCCTGAAGAAGCATCATCTGCTTGGTGCCTTGAGATTTGGTGATTAAGAGTCTTTCGCCGTGGAATACACCAAAATATCGGATGAGACCATCATTTCTAGTCTCGTTCATGAAACGCTCGAGATCTTCAGGTCCGGGCTCGATAAGGAACGTTTTCCACCACGGTCCTTGGGATGCTAGGGGTAATCTCCGAAGGGGACTGAGTCGCGGTGCCACATACACTACCCAAAGAAGTAGGAAAACCGGCTGTAACAGAACTGTGAGCCACAAGAAAACGAAAGGCTTCCGTCCGAAGGAGATGCCAAAAACGAATCTCACAAAAGACGCTCCTCCTAAGAGCGTGGGTAGGAGAGGAGACATCATGTTGAAACGTCAAAGACCAGGGGCAGAGATTCCGCAACAACAGACAGCCTGGCCTTGATTTCGAGGTGCAGTATATATAGCGGATCGAGCTGCAATATGTACATATCCGTGCGGCCGCATTATCCGAGATGGGTACCGGATTGACTCCCCTACCATTGTACATATGCAACATTTCGATTCAAGGGGCGAGATATTCCCATGGCCGGAGCTGAGTCAGCTGACAGTGGAAGACGGCGAAATTACTCCCAACTCAAACGAAGGAGCATGTACTTTCCATATTCATAAGTCGGCAAAGAGCCTCTTAATCTCTTCAATCGCTCGTGGCGAAGAAAATCAACACAAGCTGTTTGACATTCCTCTCGAACGGCAAAAAGGCGGCGACGACTCAAGAGGTGAATGAGGTCTCGAGATCGAGCTGAGTGTGGAGATCAAGGAGGGCTATCGACATCAGTAGTAAGCAGGTCAAGAGAAATCGCTCAGGAAACCACGACATAATCGATAAATGTACACCCCGTGTTTCGTCGCCGCGGTCGGCACAATTGCAGCACGGTTGGGCAACTGACACTCACACCTGTGGCCCCAAGCTATCTGCTGGGAACGAGGCGTCCGAGTCAAGTTGCGCAAAGTGGATGACAACAAATAATTAATATTGATGCAAAAGGCCAAAGTGGGAGTTGGGGGCCGAAAGCCTTGCAGAAATTTGGCGCTTTCCATGTCGCCCCTCAAGGCTATGGTCGATTTAATAATCGTCTTTTTCACGCACGTAATCACTAGCGGGTAACGTGGAAATACTGCTGGTTCCCAGATTTCAAACGTATACTCCCCTTTGGACACAAGTAGTAATTTTGAGATAACACGAGGACGGACGGCCCTCAGTTGTAAGACTGGGCAAACCCACTACCGAGAGATGATGGCACGTTCCATGATTGTTGGTGTGGAAATTCCCCAAATGGCCGAAAGGCTGGCCATTGAAAGTCTCAGTGGCATAGTTTCAATTGAACCAGGATTAGAAGTGAGAGGATAGTCCCGAAGCTGAACAACACCCGTGACCGTAGTCCTAACAATGCATTTTGCCCGGGTAATCTGAAGCGGAGCAGAAGAGTCAACTCTTCTTCGCCAGAACCCACAGAAAGGGGACCTGTCTGCCATCCTCGTCGTCATGTAGCACTTCGCTTTGGGTGATAGTGAAGCCGGTGTCTTTCAGCATCTTAATGCTAGTCTCGACATCGAAGCTGCTCCAATACATCCGCGATCCTAACCAATCTGCCGTTGACCCAGGATTGTCTGCAACTCCCAAGTTGCACAGCAGATAGCCTGCAGGGGATAGCCACTCCCAGATTTGTTGGATGAGTCTGCGCTGATCGTCTCGCGGGAGGTGGATGATGGAATAGAAGGCCACTACAGCCTGTAGCGCTGAAGGATCAAACTTGAGGCTCGTCATGTCTCCTTGGATAAAAAGCACATTCTCTTCTGGTACATTCGCCTTGGCGAGGTCAATTTGGGCTTGAGAAATGTCGTTGGCAAAGACTTGACCGCATCGCTGTGCTAAAAATCGCGTACCGGGGACTCCTGCACCGCAGCCGAGCTCAAGGACATTCGCTTCTGAGGGGCTCTGTAGTTCGGAGAGCAACTTCTCCACGTATTTGAGACGGGCTGTTGGTTTCCCATGGATCCAGTCGAGGTAAGTCTGTGCGATCTTGTTATAACCATTCTGGACGAGCAGCTTGTGATCTTCCATGTTTGATGTTTCCTGTGAGGGAGAAGTTATTCCTCTGAGAGTGGAAGTTTCTCAAAGAAAGAGTTGTTGGCCGAGGCCACTTTTGAAGACTTGGGTGAGTCACACTTCGCATGCTGCTGGTTATGATCAAGCCAAGTCCTGACGGTGCTTGAAAGCAAGCTGCTGATGGAGGATGGTCCACAACTTCTTCAATTGAGTCATGCTGGTGCAAGAACGACGTGCATCACGTGGTAGTCACGTGGTGGTCACGTGGCAATCCCCAAGTCCCACGTCATGTCGACAGTCGGACTCTGTCACATCTCCCCCTTTCTCTACCCATGCACCAACCTGCTGCACCTTCTCCTCCCATCAGGAAGCTCTAACATCCTCAGCATTTTTTGAACAGTCTTCATATTCCTTTTTTGAAGGAGAGAATATGCGGTCAGCGATCCTGCTTCGGCCAAGTGACCCGCCGCGGGTTGCGGATCTCCCATATTATTATCTCCAGCCCGTTATCGGCAAACACGGCATGCCGCCCGCAGTTCAACTCTCTCGCACTGTGGGACCGTCCCCTCGAACCCGTCGGAAGCTCCAATAACAAGGAAAACGTGCACTGGTGCGCCCAACAAACAATGCGCACGATGTATGGCTGGCAGTAGGGGGGAAAGCAAAGGATATGTTACCCTCACATGCGCTCTGAGTTGTCCCACATCGATCAAGTTCTGTTTTGGGGCTCGGTGAATTCTTGTCTGGAGTTTATCAAATTGAACCGATCATCTCCGAAACCTAGCGAGCGAACGCACTTCGTTTTCCGTGTCCCAGGCGAAACTCCGGGAACAGGGCCTCACGGTTCACCGTATTATTATATTTTTATCAAGCCTCGGGCTTGCATTTTCCCTTGTTCCTTCTCCAAATTTGGTGGGAAACTGACTATTCTCTGGGCATGGTGGAAAGAAACACACTCGACGGACAACAGGCATGGCCGAACGCTCCTGGCGAGAAGGGCATCGAGACCGTCGAGGCTGCGTATGACGACCACAAATCCGAGGCCGCGAGACCAAAATCAAAATGGCAGAGATTAATCGACGTTCTAACATGGACGCCGCCATGGTGTCGATGGGATCCAGAAAAGCCACCCAAATTCTCAGTTTGGCATAATGTTCTGTTCGCCTTTGCAGGTGCCTTTACTGTGGGTAACCTGTACTACAACCATCCAATCTTGAACATTCTGGCTCGAGACTTCAACGTGCGCTATGTGACGGTGTCGCGGATCCCGACACTGATGCAAGCTGGCTATGCCACTGGCTTGTTGTTCGTATGTCCATTAGGCGACTTGCTAAAGAGGAGACCCTTGACATTGGTACTTATTGCATTCACAGCCACCATGTGGTAAGTCACGCCTAGTTCAGGCACCGAGGCCTGTGCGACCAGGTAGAAGAGCTCTATGGTACTAACCTACCACAATTAGGATCGGACTGTGCGTGACCCCTTCATTCACAGCTTTCTGTGCAATCTCCTACATCTGTGCCGTTACGACGGTCATTCCTCAAGTGATGCTGCCGTTGGTGTCGGAATTGGCACCTCCTAATCGACGTGCTTTGGCCTTGAGCATCACTACCTCTGGTAATCTCCTTGGCATCGTGATTGCCCGCATTCTCTCTGGCGTGGTCACACAATTCACATCGTGGCGAAACGTCTACTGGATCGCCCTCGCATTGCAATACCTCATCTTTGTTGCACTCTGGCTTTTTATGCCCGACTATCCCTCTTCGAACCCCCAGGGCTTGAACTATTTCAAAATGATCGGCGGAATCATCTTCTTATACAAAAAGCACGCTGTCCTCGTTCAAGCCGGATTGATCAGCTTCTGCATCTCGGCCGCATTCACAAATTACTGGACTACCCTCACCTTCCTCCTGGCCGATCCACCGTATAACTACTCGCCAGTTGTCATTGGATTGTTCGCACTGATTGGGATTGCTGGTATCGTGATGGGCCCACTCTATGCGAAATACATCATTCAACCCTTCGCACCCATGTTTTCTTGCTTAATAGGCTGTGCAGCCAATCTGATTGGGGTTGTTCTCGGCACTTATACGGGGAGGACTACGGTGGCAGGGCCCATAATCCAGGCTTTTACGCTAGACATGGGTCTCCAAATCACTCAGGTGGCAAATCGCGCTGCTATCCACGCGATTGAGCCAAATGGGAGGAATCGGGTGAACACCGCCTTCATGTTGTGTACGTTCACGGGTCAATTGACAGGCACGTCGGCGGGCGCAAAATTGTACGAGCGTGGTGGATGGATTGCGAGTGGAAGTCTCAGCGTGGGTCTGGTGGGATTGACATTTGTGTTCTGTGCTCTGAGGGGACCGTACGAGGAAGGTTGGATAGGCTGGCATGGAGGCTGGGATATGAGGAAGAAGAACTTGGCCGAGGCGACGAGCGAACCTGTGCCGATTGCGATGGAAGTGTCGAACACGGCTGATGAAGAGAAGGGACGACGGTCATGATATATCCTCATATCTCCAGTGTCTATCACCCCACAAAACTACGAGCCTGCGACTCTCGCCGTCTATTTCAAGCTCCCGATTACCGTATTCCAATCATATCACCATCACCAAAGCCTGCAGGGGGCCCGTTTCAGCTCTTCGCTCCTGGACCAATGAGGATTGCATCTGCCAGTTGCATGCATGCTCTGCCTGGTGCTGCGTTCTGGCATTCCTGACCCTTAGTCCGGTACAAACCACTGTCTAGTGGTTCCTCCGAGGTGTGTGCAGCCCAAGTATCACATTATCTGCTGTGCAAACCCACTGAGGCTCATCCTTGAGGATAAATGGGGGCTCGAAACTCCATCGAAAAACCCTCTCCCACGAAGCAACACCTACACATTTCCACACCCAATACGGCGGCTCATGCAGCAGCGGCGACCAAGAACTCTGAAGTGCCTTCTCTGGCGAAGCAGGTTGAACAAAAAGTCTTCGAAGTGTTGGCCAAGCATGTCCAGAAAGAGGCCAAGCAATCGGTCTTCGCGGTTGGGGGTCCAATCCCACCTACCTCACTCGATGACCACTTAATCTGCGAGTCAGACGATGCCGGCCCGGGTGGTGGCCATGAGACTAGCAGGGGAGCTTCAGAGGAGCCCATCACAGACCAAGAAGTCATTGTTACCGACGCCAATGACAATGAGGAGGATCAACCACAAGCGCCATCTCCAGTAAATGGACCTGGATTTTGGAGGTGCTGCAGCCCACAGAATGCGCTGTGACCGATCACGATCAGATGGGGCTCAACCGCCACCTTCGGATCTTCCCACAAAGTTACGTTGCCATGTACTGGTAGCCAGGGGGCCTCCATCGAGCAATTGCCCAAGGACTGCCAGCCAGGGAGCTTTGGGTGCGCCGGAAAGGACGTCATGGACGAGTCATATCGCAAGGCTGGGAAGTTGGACGAGACTGGCTTTTGCACGAATCTCAATCCTTTTGCCTTGGGAATTCTTGACGCTGCCGCAGAAGTCCTTGCTCCAAACAACTGCAGACGAAGAAGAGGATACATGCTACTCGGACATCTCCAATAGATGGACCGACGACTTTAGCATCAAGCAGGTCAAGTGGCTCAACAAGCCGAGCCATGATGAAATGGCTTTGGTGCATGGTACGGTAAGTCTGCCTTGTTCCCTCCTTGCTCTTTGCTCCCTGATCAGCCTCTCCATCCCACTCGTGGAATCTTGTGCTGTTCTTCTCTGACCCCTCATTCCAATTCAGTACGGCAACGAGGCCGGCCTTGGTTACAAGCACGCCAGTTCGGTCATCACTATGGACATTCGCCGTCTCAAGATCGTTAGATTGCCGCTGGTGGCGGTGCGTGAGAAAGATGGTGTCACTGTGTCACAAACACGCTGATAGCGAGAGGTTATCTAGCTCACAGCCAGGCAAGGCACGGCAAGGCAAGCAGACAATGATTGTTAAGATATTTTCTGTCGACGAGAATCTTTCCCCTTCGCTCAACTGAGACTTTCTTTCTTTCTTTTCTACTCACCCCTTATTTTGACCAGTTCAAGATCGCTCAATCGGTTCATTCAGCATAGTATGCAATATTCACAGTTCAGTCTGCTTATAGTCGGAGCAGAGCACAAGGAGGCGATTGAGAGAGTATTTGCTTCTGTGCGGCATCATTGTCCCTCTCTCCCGCCCCAGTCTCGCATGACCTACAGTACGCGTACAACGTGTCTTCTACGTCGCTCCAAAGTGCCCAGTTCGATCCCCGAAGACAGAGGGGGAGTCTCAAGTTGAAGTGCCGTTCGTGCCCTCGTGGATCTTCGGACTGTTATGTCCCCAGTCCATGCCCTGCAGATCAAAGAGTCGATGTCAGCCCCTCTTGTTCCTGTGATAGCACTAGGCAACCCCGAAATTCGTGGCCGGGAAAGCGCGCACAAACACATGGCACACCGCCCAAAAAAGGGGCGTAGAACGAAGGAGAGGTGTGAAACGTACCAACCCCAGAATAACCTGGCCCCGATTCAAATCCTTCGAGTTCTTCTCGCCCAACCACACGGTCTCGGTCTTTTTCATTCCTTCCTCAATGTCGACGGCTTTGCCGCCGGTCACGAAGAGGGCTTTACCGTGCGTGGAGGGCTCGGCGCTGACCTGGATGATGTACTTGGCCACGTCGAGGGGCTGGTTCATGGGCATCGAATGCTTGACCCACTCGGCGCGCACGCCGGCGAGGAGTTGTGTGTCGGTTGCCCATGGACCTGTGATTGGTAAGAGACAGAAGGAGGGAGGGAGGGAGGGAGGGAGAAGTCCTTGGTATGGAGGGAGGGCTGAGATGATAATCTCGAGTGATATTGGGGAAATTGAGGAAAGGGAAGGGGAAAGAAAGGAGAGACGCGGGAGTAATGGCGTCTCTTTCTGCAGGTGCAACTTACAAATGGCGTTTATCCTCAACCCGTACAACGGCGCCGTGAACGGGCGAAGGGCCCTCATCAAACCCAGAACGCCATGTTTTGCCGCCGAGTACGCGAATAAGCCCGGCGACTCTTTGAACCCGGCCACCGACGAAACGAGCGTGATGCATTTGGACGAGGTGATGGACTTGGCCGTCGTCGATTCCTTGTCGAACGTGTGCTTCTCCTTGAGATACGCCACGGCGATCCGGGCAAAGTATAACGTGCCGTTGAGGTTGATGTCGACGACCTCGGCGATGCCGGTGGGTGTCTGTATAAAATCTCATGGTGAGTGCGACTGTGTCAGAGAACCTCAATGGACATAACCTGCGAAGCTGGCCCGTCCAATGACTAACATGTGACCTACCTCTCTCACGCTTTCAAGGTTCAACTTTTCCGGCTCCCAGTATCCCGGCCTCTCCGTAACCGCGGCGCAACAAATGGCGTTATCGATCTGGCCGTGCTTGTTGTAGGCGGCATCGAACAACGAGAGGATAGACTGATAATCCCGGACGTTGACCTTGAGATATGTCACACTCCCTGCTGAAGATGAAGGCGAAGATCGGAGTTCATCTGCCAATCTCGAACCCTTGGTGTCGTCCCAGTCGCCGAAGAAGACGTGAGCGCCTGATTGATATAGTTGTGTCACTGTTGCCGCACCGATGCCCTGAGCGCCGCCTGCAGGATGAAGGACATGATAGTGAGTTATAGGAGCCAACAGCAGTGACAACAACGGTGGTGTTCACCAACCTGCAAGAACCACCACTTTGCCCTTCACCGAGTCCAGGGTGGATTGCTCGATATTCACTTCTGCCATAGTGGATCGTTAGAAGAGATCTTTTCAGTGGTTTTCTTGTGCCCAGTGAAGAGGTCGATGAGTTGTTTGCTTCCAATCAACGACAAGGCCAAGGGTTGAAAGCGAAGATCAAACTATTTCCACATGAGAGGAGGCTACCTGGTAAGCTTGAACACAACATAAGTCCAAGCCTTTACCCACGTCGACGGGCCTCACATACTCGGATTCCAGAAGCGAATGGGTCCATATCCGATGAGGGGATTTCTCAGTTGGACTCATCCAATTCTCGGCAATTGAGTCGACTTTGGTGATTGGGAGAAAGTCAGCGAGAATCGGGGAAAGGGGCTTCAAGGCTGCGGTGCCCCACATGGAGAAGTCTCATGTATTTCGTGGGGCAATTCCGTCGAAGAACGAGCATTTGCCTGTCACAAAGAAGAATTGGCTGAGTTGTTTAGAGATAGTGATCCTGTAGTGATTGTTGATCTGTCGAGTGGACTGCAAGTGCGTTTCGAATATCGACAGAGTCCATTAAGAGATATTATAGTGACACCAATCCGAGATCGCATTCTGTCTGTAAGAATCGCTCGGCTGTGTTCCAACACACATAATGGCTGCGAAGAAGAGCGTCGTGGTAACGGGTTAGTACTTTTGCAACTAAACATCCCGATCCTTCTTAGCAGACTTCTCTAACGTCGATCATCTTCATGCAGGAGGTGCCTCTGGAATAGGGTTGGGAATCACCCGTTCGTTTGCAGAACATGGTGCACATATTTCCGTTCTTGATGTGAACCCAGAGGGCGCCCAGATTGTCAAAGGGCTGTCGTCAGAGTATCCCAATGCTACTTTCTCGTTCATGAAAGCCGACATCTCCCAGTGGGATGAGCTGGCAGCAGTGTTTGAGCAGATCTATCGAGAACAAGGCCGGATCGACGTGGTGATGGCCAATGCTGGGATATCCAAAGAACCGAAATTGATCGTGGACGAGGATACGCCTTCAAGACCACCGTTGCATACCTTGGACGTCAATTTGGTTGGGACAATATACAGTGAGTTCGAAATTGTTCCCCCTAGCGATGGATCGGTCAGTGACCCTCGCACAGCCGTCAAGCTGGCTATTCACTACATCAGGAAGAATGCTGTCGTGAACGGGGCCACAGTTCCTTCCAAAGGCTCCATCATCTGCACAGCATCGAACGCCGGGTTATATCCGTTCGCAGTTGCACCAATTTATGCCGCGTCCAAGTTCGGAGTCGTCGGTTTGGTGAGGTCTCTCGCACGTCAACTCGAGAGGCAGGCGATCCAGATCAACGCTTTGGCCCCAGCTGTTCTTGGTAGGTTGCCTGGCGGTAATTACATTGTGAGGCTCGAAACTGACCAGCATATACAGAAACAAACATTGCTCCCGACAAAGCGTTATTCAAGACCATGATCCTCACACCCATGTCCACACTGACACGAGGAGTCCAACAGCTTGTCTCGAATCCATCCTTGACAGGACAGATTGCTGAGATTCATGGGGAAAATGTGTCCCTGAGAGAGCCGACCCCATACGTCGATGAGGATACCGGCACGAACATTGAGACGTTCTGGTCCTTGGGATATGCCTGAGGCGAAGAGGGAGCTTCTGCTCATCTGATGATTCGGAGTTACACTTTGCCAGACGTCTTCAAGCAGATGATAGTGTGATCCACCTGCTGATAGGAGACAGCAGCACAAACGAATAGTTTCCATTTCTTCCTATCAAAACAGGCTCAACAGTGACTGAGCTGCTTGGCAGATAGAGTGGACCAGATATCTTCCCTCGCTGTAGTGTTCGAGGCTCCCACGGCGCGGGTTTTTTTCGGAATCAAAACGACTATCATGCCAAACAGTTGATGTGTTTTGCTGCCAGCCGTCATTTTCCGAGAGTCGACCGAGAAGCTCGAAGTTCGGGTTCGGAAAAGTTTCCATGGCCCTGGGCCTTGGAGAAACCAACCTGAGACGAAGCAACCTCGTGGTTCCGCGTGCCCGCAAATCAAGGGCTCCAGGCACCCGCTTCGGGGTTCACAAGGCCTAGCGACTTCGACTCGCGACTCGCGAGCCTGTGAGATGCCCCCCCAGCTGGAGACTTGGGGGCTTCTTGCGGCCTTCCGGGGTTCCACACCCCTTACCCCGGACTTGGTAGAACTCTGCTCCTCCAATGCCTCGGACCTTTGCAACACCCTGCCTCTGGTGGGCAATGCGTGGGTGGCATGAGCTTCGGATCCGAGAAGCCCAACACAAGGGACGACCTTTAGACCAACCCTTCTTCCCATCTTGATTTCAGCGATTCTGCAGCAAGCATCCTGTACCGTCGCTCATCGTCACAATGTCGTAGCTGTTTGCTGTGCAACAACTAAGGACCAAGCCAGCCCCCCCAGAGTGCTGAGTGCCCACCATGTCCTCCGCCAAATCGCGTCTGTCCAGTTTGGCAGCGCAAATCTTCCCTGCCAACTCTCAGCTGTCGACCAACAAGTCAATCGACAATCTCAGCATCGACAACCACACTGTGGGCACTCTGTCATGGTACAATGTCCATACCCTTTCCCCGGCCTTCTTTCTGCCCCGCGCAGCATCCATCGAGCCTGATGCCCCAGCCATCTATCATCGAACGGCCAACAACAAGATCCTGAGAAGGTCGTATATCGAGTTCGCCGACAGAGCTCGCGGATTCGCATACTACATCAAGAAGAAAGGATACAAGAGAATCGGGATCCTGTCCACGAATACCCCGGCTTTCCTCGAGGCCATCTTTGGCATTGGCGCCGCAGGAGCAATCAACATTGCCATTAATTATCGATTGAAAAAGGACGACATCGCCTATATCTTCGACCACGCCGATGCCGATGCCATTGTGGTCGACGCCGAGTTCCTGAACTTGCTCGATGATTACAGGCAGACCCATCCCGACGTACCCATCATCATCGACACAGACACCGATGCTGTTGAGGGCCAGCTATGTGGACCTTTTGATGAAGCCGTGCTTGAGGGTCTCCGACACGATACCTCACTGGGGTCTCGCGGCTGGGAGGGTCTCGAGGCCCAAGCCCCCGACGAACTTGCCGTCAATGCCTTGGCATACACCAGTGGTACAACCGCTCGACCCAAAGGCGTCGAGTACACCCATCGAGGTTGCTATTTGGGAGCCCTGGGCAATATCATTGAATCTGGTCTTGCATATCATGATGGTGAGCGGTGCAAGTATCTCTGGACCCTGCCGATGTTTCACGCCATGGGCTGGACTTTCCCCTGGGCGGTGACCGCCGCGCGAGGAACACATTACTGTCTCCGCAAAATCGACTATCCAGAGATCTGGCGGCTGCTCAAGGACGAAGGAATCACCCATTACTGCGCAGCCCCGACCGTCAACACTCTTCTGTGCGCGGATTCCAATGCCCAAAAGCTGCCCAACCCGGTGCGAGTCACGGTGGCGGCCAGTCCGCCCACCGCACATCTATTCGAGCAAATGACAAATCTGAATTTGCATCCGGTACATGTTTATGGACTAACCGAAACATATGGTCCAATCACAAAAGGATACATCCTGCCGGAATGGCACAAGTTCCCAAATGTCAAGGACAAATATGCCAAGATGGCTCGTCAAGGTCATGGCTTTATCACATCCTTACCCGTCAGGGTGATCAAGACCGATGTGCCCGAGGGCACGATCATTGATGTCGAAAGGAATGGTAAAGAGATAGGAGAGATCGTGTTCAATGGGAACATTTGCGCCCGAGGGTACTACAAGGACGAAGCCGCGACAAGAAAGCTCTTCCTTGGTGGGGTGTTGCACTCTGGAGATTTGGCAGTATGGCATGAAGATGGAGCCGTCCAGATTTTGGACCGGGCAAAGGACATCATCATTTCCGGTAAGCTTCTGACTGCAAAGATGAGACGGTGCACAAATCGCTGAACATTCTGATCAGGTGGTGAGAACATATCTTCTGTCGCTTTGGAATCGATGCTTGTCACGCATCCCGATATCCTTGAATGCGGCGTGGCTGCCGTCAGCGACAGTCACTGGGGCGAACGGCCTAAGGCATTCATAACCGTCAAACCGAATGTCAAGGTGACGGGCGAAGGCGTGATCAAATGGGCGCGTGAACATCCAGGCATCAGCCGTTTCATGGTGCCTAGAGAGGTCGAAATTGTCCCCGAGTTGCCTAAGACCAGCACAGGCAAGATCAGGAAAAATGTTCTCCGAGAATGGGCTAAAGGCGCAAAGAGAGAAAATGAGTAAGGGCGTTCCTCAATGTGATCTGCGAGGCTGACGCCCGAGGATGCATGAGATCATCCCAACGTTGGGTTTGCGGGCTATGGTGTCCATACTGTCTTACCAACGCTGTACCTTATTTTTGAGCGTCTTGGCTGACATACGATGTTGATTTAATTCCAAGTGGCCTTTCCCTGGGGGGGAGGTGAGGTAGGGAGGGACCTTCGTAGACGGAAGGTCTGTTGGGGTTTATCTTGCCCGCACATGGTCCATGACTGTCCTCAATCGCCAAAGTTCCGGTTTTCATTGCTCGCACAGGTGACGGCGTCGTCGATCAACATGAGAACTCGCTTTTTGTCTTTCTGCAGGACGGATTCGGCTCAAGCCGGACCATCGGGATCGGCAAGATTCATTGCATACGGCACTTGGACTCGTATCCTTCAAGCGATATGTGGATTGTGGACTGCCCTGCACAGTGTGGAGCCTGCTAGAAGTAATAGTTGGCAGCGTTCCAGTCTTTTGGAGGGGCAGCACAGCCGACCCTCTAGAAAACAATCCAACCCACGGATGTAATACTCGTCGAGCTCACTCTTCCTCTGCCCGAACAACCAGTTTGATATGCAATCGACGCCGCCATCCTTTTCCTGCTAGAGGTTTCTTTACTAGAGGTTTCTTTACGGAGTATAAAGTGTGCACCCTCTTGGGACACGGAATTAGCCTCTGCCTTGAAGGATTGGGGGGAGTTGGCCGGTTTGGTAGTAGACAATAGCTGCAGCCGGCAGCTCTAGGCATGCATGTTCGTCGGTGTCACGGAGCTTCGAGTCGCCGCCCCCATGCTCGTAGCTTGTCCATCGTATGCAGAACACGTCATGCGAGAGAGCAGTGGGAGCAGGGTGGATGCAGTTTGATGTGAATAATGGTCTAGACTGGTGTTTGCTAAGTTGGAGGACGGAATGATCGGTTTGCACAAAATGTGTCTGTACGGCGAGGAAGCCTTAGCAATTTGAAGCCGATCACGAGTCCTGAGAGAAGACTGTAAGATGATCAGGGGGCGCAAACTGGTCACAGTGTGCAGGTGGCATACAGCGTCCTCATACTGCCAATCATGCTGTTTTCGAGAGTAAGGATCCGTCGAGTCTCTCCAGCTGGGTTTGTGAAGTCCGAGAGTTGAACTGGGTCTCCTTCAGGCGTTGTTAGTTCGAGTATTAAGATCTGCTGCGCCCGCTCATGGTCAGTCATTGCAGCAATAGTCTACAGCATATTGATACCTATCGGGTACAAGTATGATGTAAAAAGCTTTGTGAGCTGCAGCAAAGGAAGTAGCCATGTGGAACTCGGGCAATGTATTTGACGGCAAGTGGCTAAGGAGTCTGCCAGTAGCAATGTGATGCTTTACGCTTCGGAGGCATGAAGTTGTGGTTGGACCTGGTACCTAGGTACTAGGTATCTTAGTAATAGTCAAATACCAGTGGCCAGCTAGCCTTCCCTTTGCTGGTTGAGCCTCCTTAGCCACAACTCTTGACGCAACTGGAGGTCTGGGTGGGTGGAAGTCACAGGTCCTACCAAGTCAACATCAACCACTGGTATGCGGGAAGGGTTCTACCCTGGCAGAAGGAAGCAGCGAGCCAGCATCATCAGCCAACCTTGGCAGCTGAGCCTTACTACCTAGTATTATCACGCAGTACTCCGTACACAACCCACAGACTGCAGGTAGGAACCGGGTACAGAATAATAGTAGACAGCGGTTGAAAGGCAGGAGTGAGTCTGGTATGGAGTACCAGGTACTTACATACAGGTACCTAGGAATTCAGGAGCTAAATAATAGGTGTCTCTTCGGGTACTTCTTGGGAATCAAGTTGATTTGTCAGTGGCCCGGGTGACGTTACGAGGGGGCGAAGAGCGAGGTGCCCCCGGGCGCGTGAACTGTAGCCGGACTCGTTAGGGGTCGAGGGGTGTCGGCCACTATCCAACCCTTCACTCTGGGTACCCGGCGGCACTAGCCACTCTCTGCCACCGTGACCGCCGAACGCCTCCTTTCTCTCAACTCCCTGACTCCATCGCTCATCCGGCCCTGCACTCTTCGACTACCGTTCTTCAACAACTCTCTGCGCCCAACACAGGCCCATTCCCGAACCACCTCCTTCACCCTGCCATACCTCTTCATCCCTTTACAACGCTCGGCGAACACTGCATATTATTTTGTTACGTTTTGCTCGAGGTGTAATGTATATGCCTACTCTGTTTACATCGTGACCTTTCACCGCCGCAACCGGATGCGCCGAACCCGCCTCCCCCTCGAAAACAACAAAGCCCACGGCGTCACCACCGAGCGATGACTCTTGCCGTACGAAGTCACCTCTGAAGGCTCTTTTGAGGAGCCGGTCTATGCTGTTACCGACGCACAGATCCGTTGGACCTTGATATACTCCGTACACTCTGCTACCAACACGGCTCCCTCTCATCTCAACTCCCGCAGCCTGATCTCGCAAACATGGCGGACGAACCGCGATCTCGCCTTGCTCCCATTCATACACGAAATCTGAGTACTGTCACCGTTGAATCCGACAGCTCAGATAGTTCTCCCTGTCCAGGCGATGATGAAGACACCGATTACTTTATGGCACATGCCAACGATTCACAGTCCTCTATCGGCGCCATCACGGCGATTCGTGACTGCGACAACGATGTCGACATTGAACAAGTCCATCGCCTCTCCCCCATATCCAAATTGCCTCCCGAAATTCTGATTGCCATCTTGGCCAAATTGACCACAACATCTGACCTACGAAACTGTATGTTGGTGTCTTATCACTGGGCTCTGTACACTGCGGGCATTCTGTGGCATCGCCCCTTGTGCAACAAGTGGTCAAACCTGCTGAACGTCGTGGAAGCTTTGGAGAAGGGCAACAAGAGCTATTTTCCATATCATGAGATGATCAAGAGACTGAACCTATCGGCACTTGCAGATAAGATCAGCGACGGCACAGTCCAGCTATTCACGAACTGCAAGGGTGTCGAGCGCCTGACGCTGACCAACTGCGTGAAACTGACCGATTTTGGTGTTGCAGCCCTGGTGGATGGCTGCAGGAAGCTCCAAGCGCTCGATGTTACGGATTTGGTATCCTTGACAGACCACACCCTACACGTTGTGGCCAAGAACTGCGCAAAATTGCAGGGCCTCAACATCACCAACTGCTCCAACATCACCGACGAGTCTTTGGTGGAGATCGCTGAGAATTGCAGGCAACTCAAAAGACTAAAACTCAATGGCGTGGTGCGAGCAACAGATCTGTCTATCACGGCAGTTGCGAGAAATTGCCGATCAATCCTAGAAATTGACCTTGCTGGCTGCCACTCCATCACCTCAGAATCTGTCACTGCACTACTCTCCAATCTGTCGAATCTCAGAGAGCTGCGCTTGGCTCATTGCATCGACATCAATGACTCGGCCTTCACGAATCTCCCTCCCAGGCTCTCTTTTGACGCCCTGCGGATTTTGGATCTAACAGCTTGTGAACAAGTCCGTGACGATGCCATTGCGAGGATCATTCCGGCCGCGCCCCGTCTGAGGAATTTGGTCTTGGCCAAGTGCAGACACATTACAGATCGCGCAGTTGCCTCCATTTGCAAACTGACCAAAAATCTCCACTACATCCATCTCGGGCACTGCATCAACCTGACGGACAATGCCGTCATCCAGCTGGTGAAGGCTTGCAATCGCATCCGATATATTGACCTGGCATGTTGCTCCCGGTTGACGGATGCTAGCGTCCGCCATTTGGCACAACTCCCGAAGCTTCGCAGAATTGGTCTGGTCAAATGTCAGAACCTAACGGATCAAAGTATTATCGCGCTGGCTAGAGGACCACTCATGTTCGGTGCAGGGGGGAAGATCGGGGTGCCTTCACAGCTCGTATCGCTTGAAAGAGTACATCTCAGCTACTGCGTGAATTTGACGCTCAAGGTACGGAAAACCCAGCCAGACTGTGACTTTGTTTAACCAATGACTAGGGAATCACGGCACTTCTTCACCATTGCCCTCGGCTGACCCATCTATCATTGACCGGCGTGCAAGCGTTTCTCCGCGACGATTTGACCTGCTTCTGCCGCGATGCTCCCGCCGAATTTACGCATCCCCAACGAGATGTTTTTTGCGTCTTTTCAGGAGATGGCGTTCAGCGGCTTCGTGACCACCTCCTCCGTCTTGCTATGGATGAGGCGCAGCGAGAAGGTCGTGATGCGATTGATGAGAGTCTGCTTGACGAAGCGGACAGCCCAGGCGCCGACACCATGTCTGATGATGGCACAATTGACGGGAACGAGCACTTGATGGATCATACCTTGCTGAACTCGCACCATCACTTGTCCTTGGTCAATACACATCAATCACGACCCAGAACTCGAAGTTTACATGACTATTCCAGCTTTCATGTTGAGATGCCACTACTGCCATTCGATCAGGTGCAACATATGGGTCCGTGGACCCCCGGTGCACGCCTTCCACCTGAGTCCCGCACATCCCAGGCTTCGCCACACCTAAATGTCATGAACCCTAATAACCTCTACCAGCCGGAGCCATTTGAGCGCCGGTCGCGGAGCCCTGGCTATCCAAACGCATTTGATGTAGCTGCGGAATATGGTGAGCGTGCAAGGAGCACATCTCGCACACCATCACGGAGACATACGTTGGAGTCGACTTCGGGTCTCTACGCCCCTCCTCCTGCTCCTGCTGCAGTCCACGGTGTTGGAGAAGGTGGATCTCGGCCTCTCGAACTGGGTCACTATGCACAGGACCCTAGAGCTGGATACTTTGGGCTGGACGATCCCAGGAGATTTCCCGGCTGGTCGAACCAACATTTGTTCGCATCAGAACCCCTTCGAAGGCACATTCCAGGAGCATCATTCAGAAACCCTGCCGATGTGCGGCAGTCTTTTTTGCGACCTGAGCCCGATTTCAGCGCCTTTGATGCGAACCACGAAGCAATCATGTCCACCATTCCAGGTAGTCGGCCTGGTAGTCGACATCCATCACGATCTAATAGCCCTCACATATCGAGGGTGAACAGTCGGTCGAGACTGAGTAATCTTCTGGCGCCTCCACAGAGCTACTCGTCAACCCCACCTGATCAAGGAGAAGGCTCCAGGCGCACCAGTCGGGAGCGGCGAAGCCGAGAAAGATCGCTTATGCGGGAAGAGGCCCAACGGGAAGCATTGCTGCGGGCACTTGCAGAAGCTGACTCTGCCGATCAACTGAGACCAGATCTGCCTCGAATTGACTCCGATCGGCAAATCGAACTACCGTTGTTACCACCCGATTTGATAGAACGTGTCACTAGGACGCCTCTCACACGTACAGAACCAACACCAGACATTCGTTTTGAAGTGGAGGACACCGAACCTAATGTTGATCCAGACCAAGATGTTACGATGACACAATAAGGACAGAATACATTTTCGGAAACATGTGGAGCACACGTTTATTGAGTACATGCGGAACGCATCGAAATGACGCCTCAATGAAGATGAGTTTTGAACAGAGGGCGGCTGGTCGGGCATCATGCTTTGATGCCCATGGCACCCTATTCTAGACTTTTACGATACAACATCACGCCTTGATCTGGCGATGGAGAAAATTTGTTTCAAGCGAGCAAGCAGGGTGTTCCGGCTTCAGAAGTACATGTTTTTCTTAGCAAGTCAAGACAGCTGAGGCATCCTAGGGTTTTTTTGACCCGAGCCGGTTTTCAGACATACACAAGAAGGCATTGCATGATTACCTCGAGTGTGAGCGCGGAATTGTTATATGGGGCTGCGAAAGCGCGAAGCTGTGACAACATATCATCTGTCTACTTTTAGCATAGCATTGTAACTCTGTTCAATTCATGCATGCAGCGCACTGCCGAGTCAAATTGATTCTTCCACGAGAGACAAGAGATGTTGCATTATGCTATTTGCATCATCGCAGATTAGCCATCTAAATGTCTAGGCTTTGGGAGATTCTGTCTCTCCTTGGATTGTCTTCTGAGCGCCTGAATCTAGCACGACGATGCCGTCAACCACTGCGTCAACATACCTAGGTACGCACCTAGTGGCGAACACACTGGATCCAATCGCCAACAACGTGAGCGCTCGATACTTAACGGATTTGCATCTAAAGATCAGACTTCGCTTTCAGGGATATTCAGCCTTGCTCGAGAACGACGCACAGGATTATGTCAGCACGGCCCTTCTTGTGCGCCTCATTGTTTCCCCAACGAATGTTCCTGGGCCATAGACGACGACGTTCTTCCTTCGCTGAGCGTTGCAGGGACTGCAATATAAGAAGAGCGGCAAACAAGAGTACGTGATCAATTTTGCGGCCAGCCACCTCTGGCTAGGCGCTTTCGTGAATAAAGCTGTACTTTTAGGATGGCGAACTCAATCGAAGAAGGCAAAAATTGCTGGAAGCAGTACAGTATTTCCCATTGGCATCTCGCTCCCACCCACAACGCTCTAGAAGACGGGCTAATCCTCGAGGCCAGGCCCGTGTGGAAGAGCCCCAAAGGGACAAGCCTTGTGGAGCAAAAGCTCGAGCGTCCAGTCACGACCGAGATCGACGAATATAGCAACGTTAAGCGCTCAGGGTATGCTGGTCGGCCTATCAGGTTGAGCGGCTAGAGATCCACTGGATAATATTGTCCACCAATTAGATACCGCTATCTTCGAGTGTCATAAAATAACTGACAAAAGGCAAGCGCTGACCCGGCCCACAGAACAATCTGCATTGCTAAATATGGATTTTCTTCGGGACTGCTGGCGTCTAGATTCTGTATGATTGCCGAACCGCTCGCATGAGGGGGTGTTTCATGTTGGCGGCGTGCATATGACATGCATACAAGTGGAAACTCATTGTAAAGGTAAGTTTGCGCTGGGGGAAAATAAGGCCCAAAGTACGAGGGTTCATAATATGCGGTCGAACCGCTCTCTTGCTTGACTGCTGTTTTGTATGAGGTTATGGCCTTCTGTTCGACCTCATCTCTTTCCTTGGTTCGCTGTCGTTGCTCGTGAAAGATGTCCTCTATCCATGGCCGAAACGGACCTGTGGCCCACTACTGCAATATATGGGCCCTTGCGATGTGTTTGTCGTCGCTCCTCATTCAGCAAACCTACTCCCAGCAGCTGGTTGGCTGCGACGTCCTCGACTGCGATGGCGGGGCCAACAATGAATGTACGCTCGGCAACACGACAAGTTCATTCATCGGCACCGCCTCTTTCAACACCAGTCTGTCACCGAACAATGCCCCGCTCACCTGGACAGTCGGGGCCTCGTCGTCGACCTCGGGCGATGTCACATTCACGAAGCGCTTCTACCTTGGCTCTCCTCCGTCGATGAACCTCGCAAACCCGACCGGATTTGCAGGCTGTGCATTGTTCTTCGAAGGGATCGCAAGGAGTCTGCCACTCAATGGTGTCACGGAATATGGACCGGTCACATGCGGCCAGACACTGCAGGATGCTTGTGTCAATGATCTTCTGTCTCAAGCCCAGAAGCAGGTGCAGACACTTGGGTCGACAAACAATCTCGACAATAGCGCTGTATGCACTGCTTTACAGACCACCATGGAGGCCAACCCTCCGCAATCGTGTCAAACAATAGCGACAGTCACATGGGGAACTATCGTCCCCAAAGGTAAGCTATTCAAACATTGTGAAAAGATCTAGAACCCAAAATGGACATGCCCTGCTGACACCCGACCGTCTCCAGAAATCACCGGTCCTCAATCCCCGGTTGACGCTCCAATCGCCCAAACAACCTGCCACCCATCGTCCAACGTTTCGAGTGGCACAAAGTACAATATCGCCCTCATCGAGACCCAGACCGTCACTTCGGAAGATGTCTCAAGTGATCTCGCGCCATTCTTCTACAGCATAACGCCAGTGCTGACCGTCTTCTACAGCCCGGCGGCTGCTTCTTCAAACGCTCAGGATAAGACCTTGCCTGAAGCTCATCTGACGTGCGTGAAGGTGGTCCAGGACTCGAATTTGACGCAGCAGGTGGGCACCAACGGGGCAGGGATGGTGGGCTTACCAAGGTCTATGATGGCATTGGCCTTAGCCCTGAGCATCCTCGCATTGGTCTAAAGTCTCATCGTCTAAGAGGAAGGAGGGAAGACTATACACAGTTTCACCCTCCTGTCTTCGAGCTCCAAAGACGGACGAAACCATGGTCTGCAAAGTTTCAAACGTCCTTGAAACGTCGATTCCATTGCTCATCAAATCATTGAAGCCTTGATGCTGAGCACAAAAACACCAGCGCCGCCTCCTCTGGGCATTGGCGAGACGCCCACACGACATCCTGCTCGCGCTGGTGGCCAGGGGAGGGTGCTCGGTAAATTTCAGAGAGGCTCGCCCCCGCGAGGAGGAGCCGACAGGATGATGGTCACTCGCTAAAACTTCTCTACTTCGGGTTGTTGAAGAGACTTAACACACTTAGGATGGTCAGAACCCTTGGGCGTAATGAGATTCTGCGGAGGAGGGGCTGTCGTGTATTTACGAGGAGGAATTCCTTGGTACAATCTGCATCGGTTCAGGAGGCGGGCCTGACTTAGCTTTGGACGCTTCACGCACCAAAACATCCCACACACAGAGAACAAATCATAGTGTCTATAGACCTTACTGCTCCCTGAGCAGAAAACAAATCCAGAAATTTACATTGGATTTCTGTGCCAGAACCATGCAAACCCTGTGGTTTGCTTTGACTCTGCAGAAAGGCCAAAAATTCAGAGCAAAGACTTTCTCCTGCATTCGTAGTCATGTTCTGGGGTGAGATCCGAATATGGAGGTTGGTAAGAAAGTGGTCAAACCAGTTCAAGCAGGCATCGCTAGTGCTGACGATTCGGAATCTTTGATAGCGTACAGATAAGCCTGCCCACTGCCCAGGCATAGCAATCGAAGCCCAGGATTATTACGTCCCGCGCGTGAACTGCTCGCAGCTCGGCGCCCAAGGAGAGCGGTGGGCCTGGATCTGGGAGTGCCGGTGGAGAACCTGTCGCCGTTTCGTCTCTGGTGTAAACTTCTCTCACGCACCATGCAATAATGCACATGGCATCAATCCTGGATGGTTTGAGGGTGAATATAGACCGAGATTTATGGCAGAAGGGCCATTCCTTGATGATATAGCAGACTGGGCATGACAATCCGAGAGACGTTTCTGACGAGCTTGGAGCGAGCAGGCTTGGTCGATGGGAGCAGCCAGTATCGGTTGCGAAAGCTCGAAAGCTCCTGCAGCAGGTCGTGGACTGCTCATTTCACTGTGGAGCGGCCTTCAAGCCGTGTCAGGGTCTCTATTGCGAATTGCGTCTAATAAGTGCTTCACAGATCAGGGTGAGCAGAAAGACCTACCGGCAAGATGGGTTCAACGGCGAGGACGGATAGGGGCAGCCTTGGGCATCGCGGTGACTCTGGACCGCCGTATAATCTGCGCTTAAAGGCTAATGGTCCGCCAAAATCGACAACTCCCCAGTTCATGCGGAGAGGGGACGAAGATCACCCTCGCAGCTTGCGTCGACAATACAATCGTCTTAATAGAGGCATTGCTCATTTCGCTCTCGACGGGCCTGGCGCCGATTAAGCACCACCGGCCACTATGGCCTTCTCGAAGCTTGCCGCGCCATCTCCCGGCCGGAGCTTGAGAAACTGTCGACATAGCATTCGAACCACCCACGATTTCTTCTCCTCCAGACCTCCGCGGCCGAGGTTTTTTACACACAAACCCTCGTTGCTAGTGGTGGCCCGACCGATTCTACGCCCACAGCTGCCCTTCTTGTATCCCTTCTCCCGTGGCAACACGCTCCAAACACACGTCGGACGGTTCATCTCGACCGAACGCAAACAACGCTGGAAGGAACAGTTCTGGCGCTACGTCCGGATTAATGCCTACCTTTGGCCCGCGGCTCTCCTACTCACCATCCTTTCGATGGGCATGATTCACACCAAGCTGGAACGAGATTATCCCACACCCGGGGATTGGTCATTCTGGAGTCGGTGGTGGATGCGCGAAGCAAAATTTACGGAGCTTGACGACGGCGCCAAGGTGAATCAGATTCTGACGGATTGGGCAAAAGCTGGTCGATTATACCTGAGCGTTCTCGAAAGGCTGGAGAGCGAAAAGGTGGATGGCCAGTTTCTCATCAAGCAGCACGCGGAGAAGGAGGAGGCGTCACCTGCGGATAATACGACTGAAGTTTTCGACGTGAATGCGAAGAGTGAGCAATGGCGTCGAGGGTATCATGAAGCTCTCATGGGTGCGGCTCGTGTGGCTGAGCATCTGGAGGGTATGTGCAAGCTGAAAGGAGACACCGGAGGAGGCCGCGTGTATCCCTGGGAGAGTATCCCTTCACCACAAAACCCACGACCGAAACCACTGCCCTACGATAGAAAATACGGTCATATCAGTCCACCCACTCTGGAGGAAGTCGAAGACGCTTTTCCGCCTCCGGCTTTTTTTTACGACAAGATATTGGGCACTGTTGGCTTTGACACGCGGCAACGACTCGACGCAGCTCTCGCCTATGCCGATTGGTGTGATTTCAAGGGAAACAATAGTGCAGCTGTGGGGCTGTACGTCAAAGCCGCAGAGATTGCTCAATCCGGTCTGCCGGCGGGGAGCGCAGATGTGATTGACGTGCAGTCTGGTGTCATCCTCAAAGGGCGAGAAGACGCCGTAAGCGACAACATCCTGCGAGTCTGCACTGCCTTTGGAGTTCACCATGTCAGAGACGGCAACGTCAGGAAAGCCCTCCCAGTGTTTCTAAGCGTTCTGCGAGCCAGGAAGACTCTGCCTGCGTCTCCCCTTGGCCCGGCCATTGGACCATCAAAAGTCAAAGTGGAAAAGGATGACAGCTGGCTGTCTTATGTATATGCTTTACAAGACCTGTTGGTCGAGCGGCCGTATCCTCCACCTCCGCCTACCGGCAACGAAAGACCATATCACACATTGAAAGAGGCTTGCGAAGAAGTAGGACTCATGACATACATTGGCGAGATCCTTTTCGCCACAAGTGATAGCGAACGGGCAAAAGGCCTCAGCTGGACCAGAGACAGCGTTGAAGCTGCCGAAGCTATTATGTGGGTAATGGACGAACAAAAGGAGCAAGATGGAAGGGATCGATGCCGCGAATGTCTGGAAACCGGTCTTCAAAACTGGAAAGCTATGTCTCAGCAGATGGCGCGACTTGCGGCGAAAAGGGAGCAAGAGACCGAGAATAGCAAGGGGCTTTTCGGGCTCGGTTTGGGCAGAACACAACAGATTGAAAAGGCTCGAACTGAGAGAAGGAGATGGGATGAAGAAAATATTCAAGTTGAACTGCGGAGGCAGAAGACTCTCCCACTCCTGCAAGAGCCACTGCAGCCTCTTTCTGGGAGCTGGTTGTCAACTCGCGTGTGAGCGAGCTTGTTGAGTGGTGACAATGAATGAATGAAGCGTTTTGTGCACAAAGAGACCTCATCCCTTCCGTTGACGACCAGGGGCATTCCAAACGCATAGGTATATCCCACTAGCAGTTGTTGAACATGCGCATCTAAGAGTTGGTGTGATATTCATACTGTGTTAGGCTAGGGCGGCAAACTGTGTGAAGAGTCGCCGAAAAGTGAGTGCGAAGTGAGAGGGTGGTACCATGAGGATTGGCTTGGACTGATGGTGGATTTGTGACTGGGCAGGCTGCCTTGTCCAAAGCCGACATTGAATGAGACGTCCGTTGTGGCCGCGCTCTGGCAACAACAGTGAAGATCATGGCAGGACACAGCGTCTGCCTCACCTCAAGTCGACAGTCCGAAAGCATTTATACCAAATGTGTCCGGCATTTTAATTTTCCGATCCGAACCACCGTCACAACAAGATGAGGTGAGCGAATCCAAACCAAGTTGATCTGTCGTTGTCGACCGCCTGGCACAGCCTGATACTGATCGGCGCATAGTTCTTCCGCCACAACAGCCTTGCGGCGTCGTTGCCGCCCTGACTCCATCACCGGCACCTCTCCTCCGCCTTCTCCCAACGTCGAAGACCTCGAAGCCGGCGAGGTCAGGATGGAGTTTCGTCCGGTCCCTCTGCGCGTGATGCTCAAACGCCGCTTTGTCCAGCTGCTGTTGCTCCTTTTCGTGCTGTGGTTCTTCATGTGCAAATTGACTCACTACGGTGTGTTGGTACGTCCATCTGCTCGGTATTCAGGCTTCAGGGGGCTGGATTGGTGGCATCAACTGACGCTGGTCCTGCAGTCCGGCCGCTACCTTGGTCTCTCGGCCTGCGCCAACGTCGAATTTGGCTACAATCCATCCACTGCGTCCATTCCAGCTTTTGAACCGCCAGAAAACTCAACCTATCGAGCACCAGACACTATCGATACCTTTCAAAACTACGCCTGGCGAAACCACAGTGAATGCCAAATTTCCTCCCTGGACTTACACTCTGCCTTTTCCCCCTTGTGTGTTTCGCGAGGGGACTTCCTCCGAGCCTTCTCTGGAGGCGGACGGATTGGGTTTGATCGCCCTTTCATTCCGCTCGGGTGCGACATGCGCTGGTTCACGACAGAAGAGATCTGCGAGATTTTCTCACGGTTCGAAAAAGTCATCGTCGTGGGGGATAGTATGATGAGACATGTTGTGGGTGCGTTGAATGTGCTTCTACGCAAAGATCTCGGATACGGAGCGGTGACGAACTGGAATTTTGATGATCAAGAACTGTATGTCCAGGTTTCCTATACCTCACTTTGCAGTTAAGCGATGAAAGAAACCTAATCTTCGAAACAGGCGCGACTGCTTCTGCAACCATCAGATGGACGTCAAATCCTGCTCGGTTCAAGGCATCTTCTCGACCTCGTCAGTCCTGGAACACGACCCGACAAGCCTGGCCTGTCCGAGCGAAAACCCCATCGACCTCGTCATAGAGATGATGCTCCGCTTCCCGCTCGACAACGAGGAAGTCAATCGCTACAAGGACCTACTCTCCCCGACCAAACCCGCCAAACCCTACGCCTTCATCTTCGGCCACGGCCTGTGGAATGACCTCGATCTCCGCGCCACCTTAAACTGGCTAGACGGCATCCTGGAACACACGCTCTCGCAAGCCCCTTACCTAGCCGCAGTAAACAAGAGACACGCTCACTCCATCTGGCCGCGACTGTTCATCACGCCCAACGCCGCAGGCGTCCGGAAACCCGACGAGTGGCTCGTCAGCCAGGGCGACAAGGCGCTCATGATCTTTGAGGAGAGCGTACGCGTCGAAGCATCCAAAAGAGGCGTGGAGAGTATGGGCACCTGGAACATGAGCGTGCAGGCATCCAAATATGACGGCGTCCATCTGGACCTAAAGGGCAATCTGGTCAAGGCTATGGGGGTCGTCAATTGGTTGAATCTGGTGGATGTGGACGCGTGGTGAATTGGAAGTGAAATGAAACCAGAGAGGTATACTTGCGTAAATGTTACTAGATGTGAAAAGGAAATGGAAGGATGGATGAGCTTTAGCAATGTCCAAATAAATGGTCACAAAAGACGTTTCGTTCGGTTGGTGGACAGAGAGACGACCTGTGGCCATCTTTTTCATATTCATCTTCTCTCCCCCTATATACCCTCGTATTTATTTCAATTCATCCACATCTCTTGCCCTTTTCTGCCGATATACATATACATATGTGCCGATTCAAGACCTTGCACGGACCGAATTGAACAGAGCTGTATATATGTCTTGATTTCCAGTCTTTGCGTTCGCGCGCGTCATCCCACGTTATATACCCCAAACTCACCACAGCCTGCTCTCCTCCCGCTTGGTTACCCTTCCTTTCAGTTCCGTGTCATCGTCGTCGAGTCGTACATGGGATGGCATCCCCTGTGGCAGGGATATGAGATCCCCCCATGCTCCACCACCGTTCTTATGTCGTGGGTGTGTCCGGTCCGCTCGTTGGCGAATGCAAATGCAATGCAGCGTCGGATGTGGGTTGTAAGTATGTAAGTAAGTAAGTGTGTAATTCGGAAGACGGAGGAGACACTCAAAGCGGTGATTCACTCCGGGTGGAGCATCGGATATCGGATGTGTGTGCCTCGAGCAGTACGAGTGCGATGCCGTGCGACAGCGCCGTGTGACAGATAGTGTGTCGGATCTAACGCAGTGACTTCTCACGGCACGAGATTGACACCAAAGTGGTGACTGGGCGGGTGTGTGTCTTCCTGGCTGGCTAGATAACATGCTAGCTGGTTGTAAATGAGATGCTTTGTCCTCGCAGCCAATAAGGTGCTGGTATCGTTCTTCAGTGGTTGACTCTGAGTACGGGAGTGTGTGTGTAGGTGAGAGAGAGAGAGCGCATATTCATGCACGTCTCATAGGGCGCCAGCCGGCAACGACCACGCGAGCCCAGAGCAGCAGGGAGCCAGTAACAAGAATGGCGGCGCCGCTCCAGAGCTGCACGCCCCACCACTGGCCTGTGCTCTTGAGGATCGCGCCGGAGACCGGGGTGCCAACCAATAAACCAAAGGCGGAGATGAAGAAGCATTGGCCCATACGGGTGCCGATCTTGGACATGTCGCGGGTTAAGGTGACGATAGCGACCGGGGGCAGCGAGACGAAGCCACCACTGAAGAAACCATACACCAACGCGAAAGCCAGCAAACCGCCAAGGGACTTGATGCCGATCCACACGAGGGCCAGCACGGCGGCGATGGTGGCGCAGGGGACCAGCACGTTCAAGGGCCCGATGCGGTCGGCGAGGGTGTTGGGGATGATCCGCCCGGGAATGCTGGCCGCGTTGATGATGGGCAGCAGGTAAAAGGCCAGGTTCTCGCCCGTGATGTTCTTCGAGATGGCGTACGGGCCGATGTAGTACAAGGGCCCGTACAATCCGACAAAGCCGAAGAACATGGCGACGCAGAAGAGGGTGTAGGGCAGCTCCTTGAACGCGGCCAGGTCCGTGAGCGGTCGTCGCGCCTTGGGCAGCACGCGCGGCTTCATCACCAGCACCGAGAACCACACCGTCACCAACGAGATGAAGCCCATGGTGCGCGTCGCCCACCCGAACCCCACCTGCTGCTGCAGCTGCCGGAACACGATCGGGTAGATCAGACCGCCCAGGCTCGAGCCGGACGCGGCCAGTCCGTTGGCCAGGGCCTTGCGCGTGGAGAAGTACTGCGGGAGGATGGCGACCGAGGGCACAAAGACGCACCCGTTGCCGACCCCGATGCAGAAGGCCTGCGCAAGCATCGTCTGCCAATACTCCTTGGCCAGCGAGGTCATCATGAACCCCAGCGGGACCAGGACCGCCCCGATCATGATCAGCTCTCGAAAGTACCCGGAATCATACAGGGGGCCCGAGACAAGCCCGACGAGCAGCAGCAGGAAGGCTTGGATGGACCCGATCCACGAGATGTCGCTTGGTGATGCGTGCCAGAGCGGGTTGGTCTCGTAGTATGTTTGGAAGACGCCAAAGGCATTGACAGTTCCCCTAGAACTTTGTCAGTTGAAGAGTAGACCACATATGGATTGGGATCTAAGGAGATCAAAGCGCCTACCAGGAATTGAAGAAGAGGAAGAAGGAACCGACAACTTGCATCCATGCAGCCAAGCCGCCATTTGGAGGAGGGCCCGGGTCGTCACGGCCTTGCTCTCGAGGACCTCCATTATCTGAGGCGGGCGTGATGTTGATGTTTGCCTCTGCGTCAATGGCCTTGTCCAGGTTGGACTCGACCCGGATCATCTCTGGCCTCGAGGCCGACAGATTTTTCTCGTCGAGTTCATCTTCGAGGACGGTGGAGGAGCTCATGATTGGAGGAGGCGAAAGCCCAGGAGGAAGAGAGCTTGCAAGCGGTGGAAAAATGGGCCATGTAACGGGCAAGCTGTTCGAGAGGAATGTTTTTGAGATCTCTCACGGATCGAGCCGCACAACGGGTTCTTGACGAGACTTACGAGGCATGGCAGAACTTCCCAATGCAGGAAAAAGAGCAGGGCAGTCAAAGAATTTCAAAGCAGACGATTAGTTTTTGCAATGGCAGGGCGTCATGAACAGGAAAAAGTGGAACAAGGGCATGGGCCTTTGTCCCACTGCCACCATTCCATAGGGATCGAGGCAAGCGATATCATGGGAAAGGGCGGGGAGATGGGATGGGTGCAGTCTGCGGTATGTCCATTGCACCGAGGCCCCTCTGCAGACGGCAAAGATGGGTTGTTTGCAACTGGCCCAGGAGTTGGCCTCGTGAGTAATGGGACGAGGAGTCATAGGTAAACACCCACTGGGCAAGGCACTGAGTCGTGCCTGGAAATGGGGCAAGTTGACTCCATGAAGACGACAAAATGGGTGCCGAACATCCGTGGGCCGGCCGGAGATAGAGTGCCTCTCTCGTCATGATTGTGTGCGGTCCGCTACTGTGCGCGTATGTGCCGGCTATTTGGACCATGGCCGGAGGAGAAGAACCAAATAATGGGACCCGAGGGACCGCCAAAGACCCTGCAGACTGTACACCGTAGAGGCGTATTGCGTACAAGCGGTGGGCATCTCCAAGCATTTGCCGGGTTCTGTGCCGACACGTTGCACCGGTGACCGGACAACGAGGGCAATGTGTCGGTGAAGCTGTTTGAGGAGATGAAGATCTGGTCCATCAGACACATGTTTATATATTATATATATATATCAGACAAGTGAGATGTGGTTGATTGGGAGATTTTGATTCGCCGCAGAGGTAAGATGAAGAAGGGGTGGGCCTGAAGATGACATGCCTCGACGGTACCTTTATACGGAGCAGGGAGGAAATGTATTGCTCTGTATCTGGATCGTTGTATAGGGAAGAGAGCTGACTGGGTTGGCGTCAAGACCATCTCGTATGCACATAGGTACCTGATGTCATGGAATTGCTTCACATGTCCCTTGCACTTCCACATGCAAATATCCTGATACTCGATAACTTCTATGCGGGCATCTGAAACGCCATCAATGGGGCCGGGGAGCGAGGGCGGCAATTGACTGCGACTCTCGACCCTCGATCCTGAAACGTCCCTCATCTCCTTGTTTTTCTGTCCTTGTCGCCAACATGAAACAGCCCTTCATCTCTGCCACAATTAGACGCCATGCGCCCATCCAGAGGTCTATGACGCTATCCACGTCGAGCCTTCGACGACTGCTTTCAGATCCATTGGCTGTCATGGCTCCTCGCAGGCTGAGGCTCTGTTACCCGCGTGGGATAAGAATAGTTCGCCCGCGAACCTCGAACCGACCTCATGGACGGCCCTCAACTTGAGTATTGCCATGCCCATGCACTGGTCGAGATTGTACCCTGCGCCTCCCAAGGCAACCTGTATTCTGTGCAATCAGCGAGGCCACAGTCCTTTGCTCAGCCCATGATGTCTGTGGCATCTACCGCTGACCTCAGTGGAGGACAGGTGCAAGAGAATCAACAAGCGATCCAGGTAGGCGAGCCTGAGGGACATAGATATGCCTCTTGCCTCGTGTTCGTCTGCATCGTTTCCTTTGACACTGCATCTCTTTGATCCCCCTCCTTTTAATACTGTCCTCCTCAGCGGTGCTGGATAATAGCACAACTGTCTTACTACATACAACACTTTCGTCATTGCGCTGGACGCTGGAAACTCCCCCTACAAAAGACACCCATAATCTCTAATCACCAACGCAATCACCACTCATCATGAGAACAGATCCTCGCCGGAAGAGCACAGGCAACGGAGCCTTCCTGATCTCTAGTAGTCGGTCTCAGTCGACAGCAAAGATGGACCGGGTACTTCCTCCACGACCTCGCAACCCAGCCTTGTACCGACTATACAAGTTTCGGACCATCCTGCTGCCGATTCTTCTTGCCTTGGATTTCAGCACATTGATCCTGGCTGCCATTTACGCCTATTGTGTAGCGAAGCCCTACACGAACGTCGTGGCCGGAGCCAACTCTTCCATCTTTGGCAAACGAGAGACAGCACCCTACGCCTCGAGCACCGCGCCCTCAACGGGCAACACTTCAATCTATGCAGCGGAAACACAACCCGAAACCGCGCTTTTGTTCTATGCTCTTACCGCCGGAGGTCTTTCTCTGACCCACCTCGTTCTGGAGCTCACCATGCACCACAACACCCCTAGGTTACTCTCCCTTCGCAAGGCCTACATCATCTTGCTTGCCACTTCCTCCCTTCTCATCTGTGGCTGGATCACATCCCTCTCCTTCTGGATGCACTGCGAACTACCTATCTTCAACCAAAATATATCCGGCCAGGCCGTGTGTCCCGTGCAAGTCCGGGGCCATTTTATGTATGGCATTCACGAAGTGAGCATTGCAAGAATCGTGGTGGGTTGGGTTGTCGTCATGATGTACGTGGCCCATGTGGTATTGATGGTGATGGGTTGGCGGGCGCAGAGGAGAATTTGGAGGATCATTGGTCCTCAAAAGGGTGACGGTGATGTCGAAATGACACATGGGGAGGCAAGGGTTGTTGTGGTCAGATTCGGCGAGGATGTGAAAGAGGCCGATGAAGGGTCGGGGAAAGAGACGACAGTGGTATAACATCCCCAGTCATGGATCATGATATTACGAAACTTGTATTTCATGGCGCGATGTAAAAATAACGGGCTGCTGGGATTGCCCTTCCAAGAAAGGATGAGATATACTGGGATGTTACCTTGATGACTATATATCGAAGATCCAGTATTGTAAGCGACGCGCACACAAAAATAGAGACTGAAGATACACAATGTCCCAGACTGACTGTAATCCAGAACGAGAGATGAACAGTTGCATGATTGAAATTAGGTGCTGTTTCAGCGGCATCGCGTTGGCTTGCAAATTTCCCACCATCCAAGGACGTCGCGGCTGAGCCCTTTTCCTTTCATCTCCTCAGGACGTTTTCCTGTGTGGGTTGTCAATGAATCGGAGATGAAATTGAAGGAGTAGGTCTCGCTTTTGAGTCGCGTCCCGGAGCGGGGAAGTGCATTTTAGAGGTGTGGCTACTGCAACATGCAGTGGCTGCTTCGGAGCAGGGGAAGAAAGGATAATAATAATTGTAAAGGGACGAAGCAACGGGTGGATGACAATGTCCGCGCTGAGTTGCATAATTGGTGGCAGGGTTTGCATTGTTGATGACGAGGACGAAAATAAGGGGCGAGCACAGGATAATTAGTGGGAGCTTGGCACGCCGATCGCAGCCTCGACCGAAGTATATATCCAGCCTTGCCCCGGGTCAACCACAGTCTTCACCCTCAGTTCCAGAGTTTCTCTTTTTTCTGCCAAACCTTCACCCACCTTTTTGGTCGTCACCTGATGAGGCCCGTTTTTATGGGTTTATTAATCATAAACACGAAATATTCCTCAACAATTGTCGGATCTGGCACTCATCAATCTGCAAAAATCCAAAACATGGGGTTCAAAGAACCACCTTGGTGAGCAGAGTTCCATTGATGGTGATGCGTAACCACTACGGAGGCCGCTCCCAGGGAACACTGATGTCTACCAACCGCGTTGTTACCAACAAAAAAGGCTCAGAAGCGAGAGGCGGGGGAGGGTGATAGGGGTTGAGCGCTCAGGAGGAAGAAAGAGAAGGAGGACGAGCAGGTGGGATTCGACACACAACAACAACAACACAACAAAACAAAAAAAAAAAACCAACCCGCAAGGGTGAGTTTCTCCAAAGTTGAGTTTTTGCCTTTTTGTGCGATGCCCAGGGGATCTTTTTTTTTTGTGTGTGTGGCTGCCCCCTTCACTTATCAGGGCATCTATCACCCCAACGATCACCTTGGCGTGATTGTCTACCAAACCTGCCAAATTAACCAAACGCAGCTCATTTTGCCTGCCGTTGGCAGCAGCCCAAGCCGAATTTTAGGCGATTCTTGGTTCGCAGGGTCAGGCCTTGATTTGTGACTGCCTGAACTTACTCCTTTCTGGTACGCAGCTCAGAAGAAGTTCGCTTTCCCGACCCTCTCAAGGGCGCTGCTTCAATCCCAAACCTGCAGGATGTATATCTGCCCCAACATATGCTTCCTTTCCAGCTTTTGAAACTTCATGGAATCGACCATGTAGGCACATCACGGTAGTGTGTTCCTGATGGTGTGCCGCAGCTTTTAAGTTGCCATTTCCTCCTCGGCCCTTGACCCAGATCTATTCTGAGATACCAGCTGCATGAGGACTTGTTGGGCTTGACTTCTCAAATAAATGGAAACGTGGAGAAGATCTTTACTCTGTACCAGATCTGCCCCCAGCTCCTCGACCCATGTCAGCGCGACCGAGCTTCTGCAGGCGTCGAGCTGCAACTATCCAATGATTTGATGTCAATCAGAACGGCAAGTCCTTTGACTCTTTCCAGCTTCAACTAAGTCTGCAAGAGAAGCGAAGAGCCGGGGGAAACATGCCTGGGATGGTGCTCTTTCCTGAATTCTAAGCTATAAAGGTGGTAGATAATAGACTGGGCCCGATGTTTGTTGGCAGCCTCTGATCAGGAGAACTCCTACTACTCCGGAAATCGTAATATATATTTGTTCCTAAGCAGCTCCGTACAATTGTCTGGTATGCAGTTCAAGGCGTCCAATCACCATTTGAAGTAACCGATGACGAGGCTGCGGGAGACGGGCTCTCCACTTTACCCGAGAGCTTTCCCGCGCCCGCGAATTTCAATGCGAGGGCCACACAACTCTTCCACTCAGCAGAACAAGTCCAACTGATTGGGAATCATGGCGACTATATTCCCGCGTCGAGCCAGCTTCGTCTGTCGCTCATGCCAGAAGCTCTCTGCAGTGAAATCCAACCGGCGACAATTCATCTCGCAAGTCGCGAGCCCCACGAAGCAGGAACCCATCGTCCTTCCCAAGCCGCGCAGACGCATATCAGTGCCATTAGCAAGAAGAGCTGCCCCCGTGGCAGCAGCAGCAGAGTCGCCTGCAGATGGCAATAGCTCCGTGTCAAAGCGAACTTCATCTTCTGCAGAGATCAACAGGACTTCAGCGGAAGTTTCTTCAACAACCAGCCTCGACCCTCCCCGCAGACTCAATGAGTTCCGCAAATTTGTCGCACAGATACAGTCGAGCAATGCTGCAGCTGACAAGGACGATGTGCTCGAGGCACTGATGGATATGTACGAGTTTGCGGGTGTGCTGGTGCATGGTGGGACGGGCAAGATGGTGCCCGAAGAGACTGCAGCAAGGACAACAACCACACAAGGCAAGGAGATGGGAGACGCATTACTTCAAGATCTGGCCGAGGACAATAAGTCGTCGCCAAGACTGCAGAGTGTCGGTGTAGCCACCATCGACTCGATATCTGTCCCTGGCACAGGGACACAAACGATGTCCCTCTCCTTCCGCGAAGATGCGGCAAAGCGTGTCTCCCAGCTCGCCTACGACCTCCTGCGCGACCCCAAAGTCTACATCACCGAAGACATGCTGCAGATGTACGTGCGCATTCTGTGTCTACTGGGTCGACCAGAATACCTGCCCGAGATCTTCCACCTCTACGCGACGAAGAAAATCCCCGCCGCGGACAGCAGCAACCCCGTGAAATACTCGAATCCGTGGCCGAGACTGCCCAAATACGCCGTCCCGCTCGACCTCGCAGAAGCGGCCCTCGAATCGGCCATCCTCAAGAAGAACCTGCCGCTGGCACTGGCCATAATCGACACGACGGTGGGTGCGCCGGCGTTTCGCACAAACAAGGCCCTCCGCCAGGGCAGTGTGCCGGGGCTCATCGTCGGCGCGACGCCCCTCATAGCCTACGCGGGCGCGGACTGGGTCTCGCACTGGCAAAACACGATGGACGTCGAGATGGCCAAGTACACGGCCATCGCCGGCGCGGTGGCGTACATCGGCACGCTCACGACCATCGGATTCGTCGCCGTCACCACCTACAACGATCAAATGCAGCGGGTGGTATGGCGGCCGGGGACGCACCTGAGCAGCCGGTGGCTGAGGGAGGACGAGAGACGGTTCTTCGACCGCTTGGCCCTCGCCTGGGGATTTCAGGACAAGAGCCGGTGGGGCGAGGAGCACGGCGCCGAGTGGCAGAGGTTGAGGGACGAGTGTGGCCTCAGGGATATGATTCTGGACAAGACGGATTTGATGGAGGGCATGAAGTGAGTGGTATCTCTAGATACCTACCTAGCAGGTAGTTCTGTTTCTGCAAAACAGGAACAACGCTACAATCTCAGTGTCCTTGTGGATCATTGATTATTTCTCACCATCCGGATGTGGCTTGCTACTTTGTTCAGCGTGAAATTTGTCTTTTTGGATTTGTTCTACCCTTGATCTTCTCATTGGCTATCTTCGTTGGCATGCATGTAAAGTCGTACGAAAATGACCGCAGGCTTTGAGCAGGTTTGCTCTTCCCTTTTCTCGATTATCTATCTGAGGGCGGTGTGCAGCAATTGCTCGACTGACTGACTATTGGCACCCGCACCTCATGCGGTCAAATCCGTACCGGAACTAAGGACTTCAACCAGAACCCAGAAGCAGACGAGGGGGTTGTCTAGTAGAGTCTCTTGGGCGGGCTCATGCTAGCCTTGATGGTCAAGCTGCCGACGTTCTGCCACCCTTTCTTCAACAAGCTGACCAGGTAGTTGATGGCCAGCATGATGTTGCTGATGAGTTCGTCCTCGGTCATGCCCACGTTCCCCACGGCGACACCCATGCACAGCACCTTCTTGAGCTGGAACTTGATGGTCGATTTCACCTCGACGATCTTGGCCGAGAGGTCCTCGGCGTGCGAGATGGGCGTGGGGAACTTGCCGGCCTTGGACAGACCGGGGCCCAAAAGACGGGGGATCTGCTTGATCAAGGAGTCCGAGGAGAGGAAGGCGTCGTACTTGCGCGCCAGCTTCTTGATCAGCTTCTTGTTCTTGTTCAGCTTCTTCAGGTCGTCCGACGACATGGCGTCGACGCCCAAGTGCTTGGCTCGATCGATGTCGTGTTGGTCACCCAGGACGCTGTACTCCTCGTCAGCATCAAAGTCCTTTTTTTCTTTCCCTTCTTCTTCTTCTTTCCAGTCCACTCTATCTTTTGATTTTTTTTCTCCCGTGCTCTCGCAGTGAAAAGTCTCAGACATACCAGATTGTCATGTTCGGTCTGGGAACGGTGGGCAGCTTGATGGTCCCCGAGAAACGCTTGTCACGCTGGGGATCATAGTTCTTGAGGCCGATCTGGAGTTCGACGGTCTCGAGGAAGTTCCGCTTCTTCTCATTGAGAGAGTAGTCGAGAAGTTGTTGGACGTTCACGCGCACTCCGGCTGTAGAGGGGCAAATATTCCGTCAGCGAAAAAGTTCAAGATTGGTGGCGTGTTTTCAGCCCGGTGGTTTGCTGGAGAAAGGGCTGTCGACTTACCGACTGTAATTTTCGACATGATGAGGACAGTCTTCCAGAAGAATTGATCAAATTCTTTTGGTGAGGCACTGCGCAAGAAACGGGTTGGAGGAATCAGAGAAAGTAATTCGGAGAATGGCGAGTTCAAGGGTCGAAAATCGATTGTGAGCGATGCCAAGACTTACCAAGCTTATCCCTTTTAGGGAGTAGTCTATTTTTTCCTCAAAGGATACTATCAGCTGATTGGCTCTGGTCTGAATGTGCCTTGCTTCCATCTTCTCGTTTACTGCGATACCCGGCAATAACCAGCTGTATTGCTATCGTGCTACGGCATCTGTCGAGCTGATGGCCGGCGCGTTGTTTGCCGCTGGACCTTAGCCCAGATTTTGCAATGGTGTCTTAGTCGCTTTTGCTAGAGTGCAAATGAGTCCGTTGCAGTGAGTCACTACAGCATCAGTTGAGACACCAGGGGCTTTCTCAGATCTATACCCCAGAACGGCCCTTTTTGCAATCGGATTCAGATTTTGGTCTCATCCCGCATTGTACAGGCTTTGACAGCATCTCTCCCCTTCTGCCCATGGCTTCCTTCTCTGTCCAGGCTCTACCCAATCCGGCCCCGGACCATGACACGTTTCTTGAATATTCATCGCGACTCAAGACCCTCAGGCTTAGAAGTCTGAAAGAGCATGCGAAGAGCTTCATATCCAGATATGAGAGTGAAGTCAGCCAGCCAGAAGAGTTCTGGCTGAACAGACTTCGAGACAATCGAGCCACCCACCTTATCTTGCTTCGCCATAACGCGCTGACTCACGAATCGACCCTGTTGCAGAATCAATGGGTCGGATTTGTGGTCATCACCGCACCCACCCGCAAGGAAGTCGACGATGTAGGTCGGTCATCATCCGCCGAGTGGTACATGGCGGCACTCTATGTCGAGCCTGAGGTGCGTGGGCAAGGGTTGGGAAAGCGCCTTGTTCAGGCGACCATCGACCATGTCAGGGATAATTCGTCAAGGGAACATGACGAGTCCCCATGCTGCCTCACAAGCGTGGTACATGGCAATGAAAATGCCCTGGAACTGTATCAAAAACTTGGATTTCGGATCATCAATCCAAAGGAAGAGGTGGAGAACGAAGGAAGGAAGTATCTTTCAACGAAAATGAGGATTGAGGTGTACTAGAAAGACTAGCACTGTGGTTTTCCATGGGGGAAACATGGGAAGTCGATCAGTTAGTTGCCCATGTGCTGAGGTGCAGTATGGTGTGATGATAAAAACCCGAGCCCGTTTCCTGTTGAAACGGGCAGGACGGCGACGTCTGTCAACGGTCAACCTTGGTCGCAGGCCAAAGAAACAAATATTAGTCGTCTTCTCGCCTCATTGAACCCAGGCTTGCTGCTATCTTATGAAGTGTATAATCATCTCAAAAGTGATCCAAATCAAGACGCCTGATATCCCAGCCTCGAGTTTACAGCCTGCGCCGCGGCTCGCACCAACATTTTTCATCTGCAGGAGGGCTTGGCGACCATCGGCTACGAGTCCAACTTCGCCAGGCCAACTATCCACCGGGCGTCCTGAGAACTTGTCCACTTTCAGACTTGCTTCGCCCATTGTCCATCTTTAATCCTGACAATCACGTCCACCTAGCATCTTGACGCTCTTTTGCCTGCCTCTACGCCAGGAATAGAGTTACTTGGCCCTTCTGGTAAGCCAAAGAATTCCAGCTGCCTGCCCCCAAAATCCATCACCGGCTCCAGGTCCTCAAGGACAAAGTGGCCACACATGTGCCCTTGGGTCGCGCGACGGCGAAGGGACGGTCCTGCGATTTCCTTTATATCTCAGGCTTTCTTTGACCTTCAGACCCCGTTCTCTACTCTGTTATAACACATTATCTTGCACACGGCTGCGCGTCTCCGGATTGTCCCTAGCTGACCCTATTTGCCAGACCGCCTTACCCACAATCTCCCTCGTCACGACCTCCTCAGCTGAATCGCAACCATGGGTCTCGCATTCTCAAAACTGTTTGACAGACTATGGGGAAAGAAAGAGATGAGAATTTTGATGGTTGGTCTTGACGCTGCCGGAAAGACAACCATTCTGTACAAGCTCAAGCTTGGTGAAATTGTGTATGTGATATCAGCTGCAGCTTGCAGAGTCCGTTGAAACCCCTAGAAACCCGCACTAACGTTGTACAGCACTACAATTCCCACTATCGGTATGATGAGAGATCAAATCCCCCTAGATTGGCTTTAGATTAACCTGCGCGGCCAGGATTCAACGTCGAAACCGTCGAATACAAGAACATCCAATTCACAGTTTGGGATGTTGGTGGGCAAGACAAGATTCGGCCTCTGTGGAGGCATTACTTCCAAAACACCCAGGGCATCATTTTCGTGGTCGACTCCAACGATCGGGATCGTATCGTTGAGGCACGTGAGGAACTTCAACGTATGCTCAACGAGGATGAGCTGCGTGATGCTTTGCTCTTGGTCTTCGCCAACAAACAGGATCTACCAGTGAGTGCAAGAGCACATGATTTTCCCTATTGCTGGCTCTGACTCTGCTCCAGAACGCCATGAACGCTGCCGAAATCACCGATAAGCTTGGTCTGCACAGTCTCCGACAACGCGCCTGGGTAAGAAGAAACGACGTTGTTATTTCAGTGAGCGATCCACTAATACGTGATACAGTATATCCAATCCACCTGCGCAACCTCCGGTGATGGTCTCTACGAAGGTCTCGAATGGTTGAGCAACTCGCTGCGCAAAGCCGGTCACTCCTGAACGACTTCCCCTCGGACAAGTGCGTATACTTGTCTCAAAAATGGACCAGTCGTCTCGAACGCGAGGTTGCTACCAAACAATTTACTGTCAAGATGGTCTTTGCAAGACCTGCAGTCATTCATAGTGCCCTCCACAATTCAAAATTTCGGTGACTGCAGCCAGCTTGTCATGGTGATAGGACGAACAAGGTGAAAGTGAAAGGCTCCCATCCACCCGCATATTCATGATCTGCTTGTTTCTGGTCTGTCACGATCTTCATATGGTTTCCGGGGAGTTGAGTCTCAGGTAGTTCCGAGTTTTTTGTGCGAATTGCTGGCATACCTTGGCTTCGGGCGGCAGGATCCGGTACCTGTAACTTGAACTCTGCAGAAAAACGAAGGCAAGGTTGTAAGCAATGAATAGATTTGGTTCTGAGAAAACAGCCTTGAAGGGTGAAATAATTGTGTTGCCTGCGACTAAAGCTGTAGGCATATCGGTCGTGATGTGCCATGCACTGCGGAGTAGTGCCGTGAGGACGCCCAAAGTTGCCTCTTGCTCACGAGCGTAAAGTGACTTAAGTCGACTCCGCCGCGGTCGTATGACGAGTTAGCAATTGCCAACCACCAACCACCAACCACGTCTGCGAAAGTAACTTCATAAACGCCCCCAGGCAGCTGGCTATTATCGGTATATGTGCATTCACAGAGACATGACTTGAATCTAGTCCAGGAGTTTCTCCTTGTCACCCACACAAAACTCAAGCATCTTAAAGGGCACACGAGCCTCACCATCCTCGACCTGTCGCTGCCCAACCTCCCCTCTTCAACGACCTACAACATTGCATTGAGGAAAGAGTGACGAGAAGAACAAAACACCAACCTTCAAGAGCCTGGCAGCAAGATGCCTGCTCCTCCACCACCTCCGCCGCCACCTCCACCTCCTCCAAGCATGGGAGGACCTCCACCTCCGCCGCCTCTTCCTGGAGGCTCACTGCCTTCAGGGCCGCCCAAGGCAGTTGCAAAAGGACGGGTATGTTATACAATCTCTTGTGTATTTGGTGGTGTGGGGAGAGACGGTGGCCAGGATGAGAGAGCGCAAATAACATACTGTACAGTTGCTGACTTGCTGGGCAGGACGCGTTGTTATCAGACATCACCAAAGGCACAAGGTTGAAGAAGGCTGTCACGAATGACCGTTCGGCGCCTCAAGTCGGGAAGGTTTCTGGAAGCGGAGGAGGCCCTATAGCAGGAGCACCGCCGGTCCCTGGAGGAATGAAAGCACCCAGCGCACCCAGCGGCCTCGCCCCCCCAGTCCCCAGTGGTGGGAATCGAGCCCGAAGTCACAGTGATGCGGGCGGCGAGACCAGCCTCGATGGACCACCGCAGTTGGCGGGATTGTTCGCTGGAGGAATGCCAAAATTGAGGAAGACGCGAGGAGGAATCGACACTGGAGCCGGTTTGGACGGTGCTCATTCAGACTCGGAAGCATCAACACCAGCCATTCCTCGACCTGCATTATCAACGGCGCCACGTCCGCCGTCAATGCCTGCTCCTCCTGTTCCAGGCTTCAGACCTCCTCTACCACAGTCAACGGACTCTGCTCCGGCAGTTCCGAGTCCCTTGGCCAATCTCAAGAAGCCTCCTCCAAAACCATTGTCCAAGCCTTCGTCCGTGGCCAATCTAGTAGCTGGAAAGCCACCTCCTCCCCCGCCGGCTGCGCGAAAAATCAGCGTTGCTGCTCCCCCTCCTCCGGCTCCTCCACCACCTCCGCCTTCGTCCTCGAGTTCTATACCTCTTGCACCACCTCCTCCGCCGCCCTCAATAAGCTCAGCCCCTCCAGCGCCTCCTCCACCGCCGCCGCCTCCAGCAGCAAGCCCTGCGCCGCCAGCACCCCCTCCTCCACCACCGCCATCAGCAAGCCCAGCTCCTCCGGCTCCTCCGCCACCACCTCCAAGCTCGGCACCTTCATTCGCACCACCACCTCCAAGCTCGGCGCCATCGTTAGCACCACCTCCTCCGCCTTTACCGCCTTCCACCTCTCCAGGACCATCATCTAGGTTAACACCTCCTCCCCCGCCAGGCCCACCTCCACCACCTGCTCAGCCACCGACAACAAATGGCGCAGGTTCGTCTCTGGCGCAGAGGGCAGCAGCAGCAGCATTTGGGAGACAACCATCTTACTCGATGCCCGAAGCTCCCCCCTCACCGTCATCCCCTGTTTCGCCACCTGCTTCGCGACGAGTATCACAAATGCCATCTCGCTCAACGCTAGATGCGAGTTCATACACTCTGACCAATGGGAGCTTGTTTGGCGCCTCAAGCGGATCGGGTCCGACCAGAGTTGATGATAACCGATGGAAGTTCCAGGACGAAAGCCAGTTACCTCCACCACGCCCATTTACGGGCGTGCCGAAAAGATATCGTGCAGGGAGGGGGAGTAGTGTTCCGCTCGATCTTGCGAGTTTAGAATGATATTGTCGGACTTCTAGGGGCAATCCGAGCTTCTTTACAAAGGATAACAGGAGTGTCGAGCCCTCCGCAAAACCCTCGGTGTTTCAATGTCTCGCACAGCAATAACCAGCCAGACTAGAGACCCGGCAAGACACGAATGAATCATCCCCTGTCGAGTCTTCCATCTCGATCACGACTACTCCTGTAAAGCCCGTTCCAACATAGTGGAGCACAAGTGGGTCGGTGGAAATGGTATCCGAACGTCATAGCATGGAAGTCTTCTGGAAACAGTAGGGTTACAAGGTTATCTTGGGTACAAAAGGTGGGACGGTGAGTATACAGGTTGAGAGACGAAAGGTGCCCAAGTATTGGCGAACTAGGTGATATGGGTTTAGGATCAGCAAGCGTCAATTGACAGAGACGTCTAGGTAAGGCGTGTCAAGGCGTCGTCGTCCTCGGCTTCAAAATGAAGAATGAAAAGCTTGAAAGCGTCAATGGGAATGGCAAAAGTGTGGTTGAAGTTATTGGTGGACAATTCATTGCCTGGGCTGCTCTATATCAGTGTACAGCCTTACTTTCTGCTTCCCTATCCGCTCACTTTGCCCTCTCGACCGGACTTCAATTGGTACGTCCAGCAATTCAGAATTTTCTCACTTTCCCTTCTCTCTTTCCTTGAAGGGTACCTAGGTAGGTTCCCAGCTGAAATTCACTTCCCAGACCGACAGATTTTTCGTCGTTCCCGATCCCACCCCGTCTATAAATATCTGCCTCACCTCCCTCTCTCTCCCAGTCTTCTTTTCCCTTTCCACAACATCACCTCAACCGTCTATCTCAAGCTTTTCTTCTGCGTCCATCTATTCGACCATCCTCAAGATCCTCAGCATCCTGTCTTGTAAGTCCACTTACCCCCGCCCGCTCTCATACAACTCGAAAGTCTACGACATTAGCTAACCGATCCAAGTAGACAATTTCACTGCGGACACAGTCTCCCTCACAAAAATCAACCTTACGCGCAAAGAAAAACCACCTCTACTACCATCAACATGCCGATGACTTGGGATGCCGATGCGGACGCCCGGGTATGTATATATCCCACGGATCTCCTCGTGAATCTTCGACAGCTACATCAGTTCACTGCTCTTGAGTCGAAAGCATGACTGACTTTGCTCTCTGCCGCAGCTCTTTGCCGCGGTTCTCGCCACATCTGAGATCAAGATCGACTATCCCGCTGTTGCGGCGAGAATGGGAAATGGTAAGTCTCGATTATGGCTGTGCCATGTTTGATGTTGCCTTTTTACCCTCCACCACAGTCAATACCGAAGCCACACACATTGTGCTCTCTCTCTCTCTCTCTCGCCTCGGCGTGCGGTGTTGTCCCTTTCACCTCTCCATCAAAAGTTGACTTAAGATGTCCACTCCCGGCTAACCCATATCCGCATTGTACACAATTCAGGATGCAGCGCAAAAGCAGTGACCCACCGCATCACGAACATCAAAAATAAAGCCAAATCCCTTGAGGATGGCGACGCTCCACTCCCGACGCCGGCCGCCTCCAATGGAGCAGCTGGAGGTCGCAAACGCGGGCCCAACAAGGCGAAAAGCACAAAGGCCAACGACTCGGAAGATGCCGACGGCGCGGCGGCGAAACCAGCGGCCAAGAAACGCAAGACCACGGCAAACGGAGCGAAGAGTGCTGGGACTAAGAAAGCTACTGCGCCGGAAGCCGCTGAGCCAGTGAAGAAGGACGAAGAAGAAGATGAGAATGATGAGGCGGTGGGCAGCGACGAGGAGGCGAAGGATGAAGAGTCGGCTTGAAGTCGCTCCTAGCCCTTTCTTTTTCACCCATCGCACAAACTGCTGAATCACGACGAGAGCTCGAAAAGAAGAAGAAAAATTCATTATCGCGACGTGTGGAGGAAACCAAGAAAACATCCGTCGTTCAACATTTCAATCGAATCCCCCCCAAAAACAGAGCTGAAGAACAAAACACCGGGAGTCGTGAATCGTGAATCAAACCCATACCACCTTACACCCCACCCCTATTAGGACTCACTAGGCTTTTAAGGCCGGGGCACCGACAAATCCAGGCCGGGAAACACGGGCAGCGGACAAGAACATACTTGACAATTCCGGACGACGACGAACGGGGGGGTGTGGGAGAATATCTTAGGGACTTCGGAAGTTGGGGGGCTGGCTAGCTAGCTAGGAACTCTCGGGAAGGAGGGGAGATAGACTACGCTGTGCTTGTTGCTGGTGGGCTGTTCCTTTACTTTACTTTACTTGTGCTTGGGGGGTTTTGCAGCTGGGAGTGATGATTGTGAGCTCGCAAAAGGCCCCTTTCAGGATACCGATTTCGATATCGATATCGATATCGAAGGGGGGGCTACTAGACAGAGCAAAAAGGGAAGAGAAGAGTCGTCAGACTCAGCAAAGAGACCAGTTCCAAGCAAAAAGAGAGAGAGCACACGAAAAACCAATTTCGATTCCATTCGATCTAAATAGCTGATTTGCTCCCGCTTTTATCGCCGTGTTCCATTATGATGCGTACGTAGCGTGCTGCAAAGGATAATAGTCGTCGGCCTCCTGTAAAGGACAGTAACCGCCCACCAGGATGCGAGCAGCCTCCTAGTCTTGTACAGGCCAGTCTATATAGCAGAACGTGCGAGAGAATAGGCCAACCCCAGAAGAAGACATGCAGAAAAGTCATACTGTACATGCCAGCCCCGATAGAGTAGAAGAAAGACACTGTCCACATCCACAGGTTTTCAAAAGTAGACCTCCCTGAGGAGCTTCGTGTGTGGTTAAGGGCGTCAGTTGTTGGAGGTCTCCCATGCTCTCAAACGCGTGTCACTGACTCTGGCCATAGAAGGCAAGGGGCTCTCCATCAACCGATGCGGAAAGAAACCCCTGGGCTGTACGAACCAGAACGCTTCGGAATGCGTCACCACATGAAGATACCTTCGTCCTCGACGTCGGCGCTATGTTCTTCAGCAGTCAGGGTCGAGGTTTCCTCTGTCAACGCTTTCATAGGATGAGGAACGTAGAGCCCATCCTGTTGTCGATCAACCCCTTGATGGCTGAAGAGGCTCAACCAGAAACGCTCCATATAGTGGCCTTCCTCAGGGTTGACGTCTGCCAGAGAGTGAAAGAAGCTGTATGCGCGTTCATAGACCGCCCTGGGAAGTCGTTGGATCGTCTGTCTGGTGACTGCGAACAAGGCTCCCTGCGTCCATCTGATCTCGGCCGGCGGGTCGACCCAACGGGGATCCTCCTTGTCCGTGGTACCGTTAAAGATGTAGTTCCAAAATTGTTCCGGCGAGTATTGGCTGCGTCGAAGTCCCTTGCCGCGTCTCTCGATCCAGCCTGGCAGGTATCTGACACCGTCCCAGTCAACGAAGGAGTGTATTTTGCCCAGCGGTAACACACCACCTTGAGGTTGGTTTTGAGCGAGACCACTTTCGCTGAGGATGTCAGGCAAATCCGTCAACCGTTTGGCCATGCCGACAATCTCGTCCAGAGTGAGGTCTGTGTGCGCCGGTGTGCCATCATTCGTGTCGTGGATGTTGCCTTGCAGAAACAGCGTCACATCCGCAAGGTTGTCGTAGTTGTGGACGATGTGGTGGAGATAGGTATGGGACTCTCGACCCCAGTTGGGCAGCACCTTGACTTCGTGGAAGATTGACAAGTCCGGGGGGAGTTTGCCCTTGCTGTAGACTGTTGCGAGGCTGGAATAGCTTGAGAGCCACGTCAAGCACTCATTGTAGTTGGCTATGACAAGATCCAGCGGACGAGGATCTGGCGTTGGCGGCAGAGACGGAGACGAGGCAACAGACTGACAAGGCGTAAGCTCTGGTGTGAGCATGGCGGGCGAAGATGAGGCCATCGGTCGTTCGAAGGGGTGGCGAGGAGTGAAGTAGAGAGATCCTTCGCTGGTAATGTGGACTATTTGGAGGAGGGTATAGAAGCCCTGGAGGGTTGTCCAGGAAGTTGGCTTCCACTGGAAGGAGCGATTAATGTTATCCCAGTACACAATGATGAGGTGCCGGGAGGCGCCGTGGCGCAGAGCAAGAGTGACTTCCTGGTGTCAGTCCAGGAGTACGTGGTGGAGATGCTGACCACTATACAAGGATACGCACGATGTACTCGGTACTTTGATGGAGCATTGGGGAGCCATATAAGATGACGTAGGAGTAAGGCCTCACTCAGGAGGCCAGGGACATGAAAGCTAGAATTGCAGCAATATCAACCCCTCTCAGGGCTAGAGGGCCCATGGTCCTGCTGAAGGCCACATGCCAACCGTTGGAGGCAAGGAGATGTCTGGGGTTTGACTAGACTGTCGAGTTAGCCACTCTCCCCGCTGTCACTAATGAGGAGAATTAGAGATAGGCTGATATTCTTCCGAGGGACATGTCGCTTATGCCTCCAGTTCTGGTGTGGCGCCCACCGATGCGGACAGCCACCGGGCACGCCATCATCCACGAGTGTTGAGATACTCGTGCTCAGGCCTCAACGTACCCACCGGGATATCTGAGCATCGAGAAACTCGGCGAGGATCAGAGAGCAATATCGCTCGGCCCAAATAGGGCCTACGATTGGCTTTTGGCCCCAGATCGCCGTCCACCAACGTGGACAATTCCAAAGCTGAAGCTTGTTTTAGACGACGAGAAGGTTGGGACAGCGCGGGAGACAGGGTGTTGGATACGCAGCGGCGCAGGAAGAAGAAGGCGCCATAAATACGGACCCAGTAAGTCAGGCAGCAGTACAGAGGAAGTTGGTTGGGAGTGATGCTTAAGGTTTGGCATGTGGCGTTGGACATGTTGACTGAATCGGGACCTTGGACGCCTGAGGATGACCATGTTGAGGGGACCTTTTTTTGTTTCGGTCTGAGGTGATCCGGGGTCGGCCAACTTGTGTCAAATGATGCTGGTCTGGGCCCATTCAAACACCTGCTTGTAAGCCGCCTTGCGAGTTTGTGCAACCATGTTGTATGCAGGTGTGTGCTGCTTGGAGCGATGAATAACCAACCGTGGCATTCTGGGCAGAAACAACTTGTTTTTCAGCTCCTGTCGCGCTAATCACCATTCTTTGGAATTCTGGCCCTTGGCAGCTGACGAGGAAACAAGCCACATAGCCGGAGCCGAGCCTCAACACAAACGCTTCAATGCTCAGACCCTTCCGCCAGAGAGATGTAAAGAAGTTGGAGCCGTGGTGAGAGCAACGTTTGTGACGTGACGCAAGATAATACTTTCCAGGTTTCCAGGTTGTGTCACACCGATGGAAAAGACGAGGCTGAATGAAAGAACTCGCCTTGGGTGTCCCTCGTGCCCCAAGCCGCTTAAAGCAGCCAGACACTGCAACTTGCCAGTGAATCGAAACATACATGCCAAGCTCTGATTGACCCACCTCGTTCTTCTTTTCCATACAAAATTTCCTCGCACTCAATCCTCGATTCCTCTTCCTTTTCCTTTTCCTTTCCTCATCATCAGTAGAGGTGTTAACATTACCTTAACACCACCGGAGCTCCACCATCGTGTGGCTTGCTGAGGGTTATTCTTGTTTTCGACCATGGATCTCCTTCCGTTCCCGGCTTCGCAGAGGAATTGCACCGTCCTTTTTCCCTTCCACACTATGGTTACGCCGCTTATTTCGATGGCGCGCAGCTGTGGAGGAGATGCTACAAAGCTTTTTTTCATATGTATCAAGAGATGGACAATATAGTGTCTTTGATCTCGGTACTTCCATTCGATCAGAGATCGGAGGCGCACGTTCTTTGATTTCGAACCAGGTAGTTGAGGAAAATGTCAAGAGAAGGGCCGTTGCACATTTGCACTCGGGGTATACGTGCTCTTGCACACGGAGGCGTAAATATTGCTGGACAATGGTTTTCCCTTACACTAGAGAGCTGAAGTTTCTCGGCTTGAGATTGATCTCCAACGTATCAAGAGCCAAACAAGTTTTGTTTCAAGGGCTGAATACTCGGTACATCTGTGCAAATTTGACATGGCGCCTCGCTATGCCCGTTGATTGTCCTTTTCCCTGTTCCACCCAAGTTCGGCCGTTTATATAGAACTAGTAGTCGTGGATATTGTGATTGGAATCGTTTTCGCGTCGTGCACGTTTCAAAGTATCGTTTCATCCAGGTTCCCGTCCTTCTTCAACCGCGCTCCAATCTGCCAGCCCTTCCCAGTTGAATCCGTTCTCCAGTTCCTCTCTCATCACTCCTCAATGTCGCCCAACTAATAGACCCGTCCTTTTTCACCAGATTCAGTTCCAGCTTCGTGCCCATGATCTTGAACTGGCTCTTCGCCGGATCAATCGGGGCAAAAAGCGGTATATTCCTCGCGAATCTCTTCCCGTCCTGTGTAGGCAGATCCAAATCCACCGACAACCCGTCGTCCTTGAACTCGACTTTGGCCCTGTCCTTGTCGATTTTCTTGAGGTAGAAACTGACAATGACGCTGTTGGGTGTCTGGTAGAAATCATTGCGGACGTTCTCCACGAGTTCCTCTCCGGTGTCCGCCGACGTGTCTCCGTCAACTGCGGTGCCTTCTTTCTTCTTCGGCTTCCCTACATAGCAGTGCCGCTTTTTGGTTTTACAGCCCTCGATCTTCATGAACTCGTCAAACTCCAAGACCCGTCTCTTGCAGCATGTCCAACCTTTGCTCCCTTCGTGGAAAAGAGGCATGCCCGGGTGGTAGACACACTCCTCTTCATCTCGAGGGACACTCTCGTCTCTTGACTTGCCACAACCTCGTCTTTTGCACGTCGCGTTGGTGGGGATCTCAGCACCTGGGTCGTCAGATTCGTCTTCAGGCGGTTCCGGTTTCGGTGTCGCCGAGGGTGTGGGCTGTTGTGCCGCTGCAAGACTAGATACCAAGGGCCGAGTAATGGGCACGGGAGCAGGTAGGGGAGCGGCGGCGACAATGTTTGACGCCTTTAAAGCTTCGGCTTTCGGGGCGGGCGCGGGGGTGTCATCTACAGCTGAGTGCTTGCCCTTGGTGCAGGGTGGAATGGAGAGGAATTCGTCGAAGGTGAGAACGCGGGGTTTGCAGCACATCCAGCCTGTTCTCCCAGACTCAGTGTTAGTGTCACTCCATCAAGTCATCAGGTAGATCGCATAGATAGTTACTACACTAGCATGTGAAGAAAGAGGTGTTTACAACGATCAGAGGCAAACACGAACCTTTCTGTCCTTCATGGAACTCTGGAGGGCCAGGATGATATACACATTCCTCGTCTGGGTCCGTGAACACCTTCCCGCATCCCTTGTGGACGCACTTTTGCGCTTCTGCCATCCTCACAGAGGGGTGCGGTTTGATGGGCGGGTGCTGTAGACAGTTGTAGCAGCAAGAGACTCGGAGGAGAAAGACCACACTGGGAGAATTGAGATACAGTCTAAGTGATTGCGATCGCCATCGTAATCCAGCAAGGATCCATCTTGACTGCTGAGCTCGTGAGGAAAGTCAGTCGGATCTGGGCTTGGCACTTTCCAGAAGCATCTGACGCAACCGGTGGATTATGATAGAGCCTGGTAGGCCTAAAGGCTCAGCCTTGTTGACAAAGCTTAGGTCTGTAAGGTAATTCACCTTGATCATAGTTTGATCTACGCAATCTCGCGACTAGAGTGACCAAATAACAGAGATGAGTCTTTAGAATTGAGTCGCAAACTTGGAGTTTGCTCAACGAGTGGCTGACACCGTACAGACACCTCGAAAGTATGTACACTGATAGAATCCGTAGAAGCGTGCCTCTCCCTCTGCCCAGCACGCATTCCGTCTATCCAAGCCCCCTCGCTGATGCACACACAACGCTTTCCACCCGTGAGAAACAGCTACCCGTCACCTTAAACTCCACAAATGCTGGTCGAACATGATCTTGCGAAGAGCAAAACCTAGCGGATCAGGACATCGTTGCCGATTTCTAAGCCTTCCTCCTCTTTCGATCTCCACCCAGGCGGGTACTCGGCATTTCGCGCGCTGGACTGGGGCTCACGAAACTGACGTGTTTCTCCTCTCTCTCTTCTCCATGCCGACGAATTGCCGAAGCTCGCCGAGTATGCGTCGGGGGTCTGACTGCTTGAGCGCAGCTTGGCTGGAAGTCTGGCCCACGCAGAACGCTTCGAGCATCATCATCGTCACCTTGGACTTCAAACTCAACTTCGCCATCATCGTGCTCATCGGACGCGGAGCTGCTGCTTGGTGAGTGTGGCCCAAATTCGTCATCATCGACCAGACTCGGGGCTTGATTCGATTCACTGGTTGGAGATGGGTCCGAGGGATGAAGATCAGACGGAGTGGCGCTATTCATGGGAAGAGTCATTCCATGCGGCCGGTGCTGGGTTGACTTGTCGTTGGCACCGTCAAACTGCGGCATCCCTCCTCCTCGCAGAGTAGGAGTGGACCTCAGCATACTGGAATTGAGCAATGGGGATGACATTGGAGACTTCGTAGGTTTTGGTGGTTGTTTCGTGCCCGCAACTTGTGGGTGCCGGCCCTGAGCTGTGTGCTGCATGGGAATATCAACATCCATTTCGTCATCTTCCGAATCAGATTCTGGCAGTTCAACTTTCGTTTTTGCATCTGAGACCAGTTCTTGCAAATCAAGTCCAAGCCCTCTAGCCTTAACAAGCTCGGAAAGATTGGGGATCAAGGCAGATCCCCTGAAATCAGGCGACACCTGTGTGGACTTGGCGCTTCCCGTCGCAGGCGTTGTGACAGAAGATGTTTGAGATGTAATTCGAGGTGGCATGGGTTGCAGAAGTTTGGCTGAGCGGATTAGAGGATGGACATTGCCGGCAGCGGGTGTCACAACAGGCTCAACTCCAATCATGGCGCCGGTTTCGTCGACCTCAACCGCTTCTCCGCAGGCATCAGCCGCAGCATCATGACTCGCGAAGCTCCGGCCGTGGCCGATCCGGCAATGATTGATGAAACCTTGGGCACTCCCAAAATCAAACCGACCACAGTCTGGACAAACCAGCTTCACGGTCGCCCCGTCGGATTTCCTCTTGATGATCATGGGACCTGTTGCCTTCTCCTTCGGCTGACTGTATCCGGCAGGCAAAGATTTCAATTTACCACTCCGTTGCGCACGAGCCTGGCTTGATGTTGAAGGGCCTTCTGCGAATAGTCCTCTCGTTTGAGATCTGAATTTCATGGGAGACTTGCCGACAGGAGTGATAGCCAAAGGCTCTGGCTCCCCACCGTCAAAGCGAGGGTCGGGCAGTAACCATTTCACATAATGCCGCGCGTAGGGGCCTTCTTGGACACCCCAAGGCGCGGGCGATTGAGGCAGTGGAGAGGGGAATGAGCTGCGTAGAGCTGGACCAGTGCCATTGCTGACACCCATAGAAAGTTGTTGTGTACCTGGAAAAGGAATCTCCTTGCATCGACGGAGCTGCTCCAACGAAGCCTGGGATTTGGCTATCTCTTGGTCAATGAGTCGGAGTTCCTTGTGCTTTAGCAGAATTTCCAGACTGATCTGTGTCTGAATGACGTTGCGGATAGACTGTAACCGCGCTGCGTCTGCGTCTCGCACCGGAGATTCCACACGTCTCATTTCTGAGTCTTCCATTTTCAGCTCCGGTGGCGTTGGAAGGAAAGATGGGGTTTCGTTTGCGGTTGAGGCAGCCGTCTTGGGCGGGTCAGGAGACAGCGTGAGGGTGGGATTGGAAAGCACACTGGCAGAGTGTTGCTTATCAACAATCTTGGCCCGTTTCCTCTCTGGCTGGGTCTGTGTGTCTGTTGATTGCTTTCGTTTGTGCGTCGCCGCCATGGCAGACACAGCAAGAGGGCCAGATCCAGGAGAGTCTTGCTTTGAGACAAAGGATCTCATCTCCGGAGAATGGACCTTATCACAGCCTGTCCAGGAGAGCAGGCGCAACATATTGGGTCGCTCTGCAGAGCGATGCGATGCGACCTTGGCGTCACCCCAGTGCTCATCTGGACCATTTAGTCACCGAATATCAGAGACTTCGCCACCAGCCATCGGTTTCTATAAGTCAACCCTGCGGAACCAGAGAATGCGTGACAGTCTTTCGACCACGAAATTGAACACAAGGTACCTTCCCTGTGCGCAAAATAACCCCAAATGTCTGAATAATATTTCCCTTGCGTTGATTCCGACGGGTGTATACGTAGGACAGGCGAGTCCAAACCAGCGTTGTTTGTCAGTCGTTAAGGTACAAAGGTTTGTCGTGAATTACAATGCCTAATAAGTGGTACAAAGCGTGCGCACAGCGCCGGTTGATCAGAAGGAGCGAAAACTAGGGCGACGATGACACCAAGAGGAAGTCAGTGTGTCTGGTGGTGAGTATATTTATCGGATGGTGCAGAGGACAGACTGGCCGCTGGTTCGAGTATAGCCGTGGAATGAATGACGCAGAAGACGGGAAGCCCAGCGAGACGCAAGACGGCCGAAGATCGGAGGAATGGTGATTTTCAAGTCGAGCAGAAATACAGGGTTCGAAGAGAGAAGTAATTAAGATCAAAAGGCAGGAAGACACAGCTAGAGAAGAGTGATTCAAGAAGTGAGGCAAGGAGAAGTGGTACGAGTCCAAGGTGTAAGAGTTGAAAAGACGCAGGCAAAGCGCAGGATCGCAGCTTCGCAAAGGGGAAAGAGGCGATAAAGGTGGAAGGCAGGAGCAAACAAGGGAAGGAGGGAAGGAAGGGGGGAGGGCGAGGGAAGGGAAAGAGCGAGAGGAGCAGGAAGGAGGGAGATCGCGGGCACGGGCTCGGGTCCCTCAGGCAAGGCAACGGCAGGGAAGGGTGGACTCAGTGGAGGCACCTGGGAGGCACCAGCGAAGGGGGGAAGCTGATGTACTCAACCGAAGTGGTAGGTACGAGTTGAGTTGACAGCGACCCACCCACTTCACACTCTATTTTTTACCAACATCGAAATCCCGCCAATGAGGTTGTGGATCAGGCTCCCCAAGACCGAGCTAGCACTGCCGCTAACCTGCTTTGGTGCAATAGAGCATGCAAGAGAGCCACAGTAGGCATCCAACGGAACGCCATGCCGGACATCCTTAAAAGCCACTAGCGACTGCGGTCACCTGACATCACTCGTGATAAGTTATCGTCACTGATAACAGTCACGTGCTAGTATATATTGTTTCTCCTCACAATGTTCACTTGACTTCCTTTTTTATTCAACCCTGCAGTCCTTTCTTTGCGTACCAGGTACATGCCACACTTGCCACTTCACAACTCGACACAAAGTACCAGGTATGCTTGTGCTGCACACCCTTGTTTGGTGGTGCGATCTCTGTTCATACCCGTTTCATCCTTGATATATCTTGTAACCTATCAGTATCGGTGCGGAATCATCCGGCAATATAGACTTTACTGAGAAATGATTGACCCTGTAACCATCTCCTCAAAACTCCGCGCCCTCAGTGTGCGTGACGTTTCTAATGATTCCTGCATACTTCCACTTCCGAGATGACATGACCAGTCCACTGAAACCTCTCTCTCACCTCTGCCAGCGAGATATGCGAGACAGCCGGATCTTGGTTCCGTCCCATTAGACTTGTCGTTGAGATTCTAACATGATCACGTCAGGTCAAGTTCAGTCTCAACGGTACGGTCACGATTCTTGAGGATTGAATGTTCCATGCCCGTCACATGATACCGCCATGCGCATTCACTCAACCAGGGTCTGACCCCTGAAAGATGCCAACATCTCGTCGGTGGCTCGACTTCGGCTTCGTGGAGGGGATGGAAGCTAGTTGGCACGCAGAATGAAGAAGCTAACGTTGACATGAATCCTTCCCCCGAGCACTGAGGCTTATATCCCGGTCACCTTGGCATTCGACTGATCTTGCTCTGTGATCGACTAGGCAGATAGCAAGTGGGATAATGTCTATATATGATATGGGTTGCTTGTCTGGGCTGATGATTGGTGCATGCAGCTATCTCTAAAAATATCTGCACGTTGCTCCCAGGTAAGTGATCGTCCTGAGTTGCAACGATCTTTGCCACGCGCGCCTCTGGCCTGCGGAAGTTGCTCGCTTCTTGCCAATGCTCGACGTCCACTGGCTGGGCGACAAATCCTTCTCAAGTCGTGGTTGGGCACAAAAGCCCTTGGAACGTTATGTTTCAGCACGAAGAGCGTTGTTCCCCCCACAGTCAATTCTCCGGCAAAGCATCGAAGGGACGGCAACTAGGTACTGGAGGGCTGTCTTGTTTTGCCACTAGCGGCTCTTCGGTTAATATAGCACAGCCACGCAGCCACATGTTCCAACCAGTCATACAAGAGCCCTTGAACACCACGAACGTCCCTGCATCAGATCTTCCTGTCTATCCCCATCTAGACCTTCAGCATGCCACCACTCGCACACCGGAAAATCTTCCATAGCTTGGACTAGTCAGGGTGCTATCCAAGAGTCCCCTGGGCATATCTGCAGTTGCCAACCAGCCAAGTCCGAGGATCTGGATCCAGAACATAAAAGAATGCACTTGAGTGGCCTGCCTTGGTTTGGTCCCTGTCGAAATGCCTTTAGTTGAGCACAACGTCCTCATCAGCCGCCCAGGCCACGCAGACCCTAACGAGGACGAGTCTCAAGCGATGACCATCCGAGGCGAACGAGCTGTAGCGATCGTCGGATATGTATGGTAACCGAGTGCGCTTTGCAGGTGATCTCTTTCTTCTCTTTTCGTGGAGGCGGGAGTCGATTTCTCTTGCTTTCTTGTGCATATGCTCTCTTTCCTTTGCAAAAGCCTGTCTTGATGTTTTCCGTGTTGCATGCATGAATTTGATCGAATCAGCTTCCGAGCATCATCAACCTGCAATGAATACACAGATGTCTCAGTAACATCCGCACAGAACTCCCGGCGATTAATGTGGGCAATATGAAGGTCTTTCCGGTTTCGCTGCTTGCAGCAGCCCTCTTCACTCTCACAGCAGCCCAAGACCCTTTGAGCGTCATCGTTTCCGAGGCGTTTTCTGTCTATACAGAAGTCAATTCGCTGCTATCTTCCGCTGCTTCAGCGGTTTCAGCAGCAGCCGGGTCCGCAACCTCTGCAACGGCGAATTCCTCTCCGGATGGGACCTCGTCGACCGCCGATGCACAAAATACTGCAACATCAATTGACTCGACGTCGAGCGGAGATTCAAGTTTTTCGAATACGCTGTCAACCTCATCCGCACCAGTCACCTCGACTCTAATTTCTTCTACCTCATCACCCTCTTTGGCTTTAACAAGCACATCATCTGCTGTCTTTGGACTCCTGCCTTCGAGCACGCCAAACACCAAACCCTTGACTTCTTCAAAAGGTTCATCTTCCGCCACGTCTTCTCTGACGATGTCATCCCCAGTCATAGGAACATCGTCGCTAGTCGGAGCAGCTGCTGGTAGTGGAACAAGCACGCCCTCTTTTACAAAGTCCAAACATGACTCAGATCTTCCTATCATCCTTGGCTGTGTCCTCGGAGCTCTTGCACTCGGCTTCTTCATCCTGGCCTTGGTCCTCTGCTTCAAACGACGACGCCTCAGTTCTTCACCTCGCCATTCCGCCCTCTCCCCTGGCGACGATGAAGTTGATAGCTGGAGGATAAACCAACAATCAGGTATAGCTGCAAGTCAAGGCTCGCTGGTTCGTGACGCAGGCGTTGCCGGAGCTGCACCCCTCATGTCCGAACACCCGGCTTTTCGCAATTCTCATCGCAGTTCTCAAGGATACGAGAATCCCTTTGTCCCAGTGCCCCCGCCACCGAGACGTACAGCCCCCAATTCTCGACCTGGCTTGACTGACGGCACGGTCCCGGGCGATGAGCCTTTTGTGAAAGAGGTCGGCAGACCATCGAGACCTGACAGTGCTTCGTCTGGCTATAGCAACCATCATATGGGAGGAATTGCTGCAGGGATCGCCGCGGCAGCGGCTGGCACTGATCTCGTGCATCATTATAAGGAACACCAAGATGAGAAGGCCCCAGAAGTGCACGCTCTGCCGGCAAACGATCCACCTGTTCCAGCGCGAATTAACCGGAAACCCGTCCCCGTTGACTACGTGAACAACAGTGAACCCTGGCCTTACTCTCCCGTGTCTCCGATCGATCCTGCCGCCGAAACCGCTGGGCTGACAGCATTACCGACGAGAAGCAGCGGCGAGAGGGGTCGAAGCTCGAGCCGTGACGCCGCGAGAGCCAACGCAGTGTTCGATCAAGAGTATGCTCCTTACGGCGGGGCTCTCGGGCGTGATGAACAACACGGGCTTGGAGCTGCAGCAGCAGGACTTGATGCAGGACTTATTGGCGGTGCTGCAGCTCTGGGCTATCGCGATAACCACGACGGCCACCATCGATCACGAAGCCGGAGCAGCAGTAGCAAGCGACGCAGTCGACCGCAAATGGCCATGTCCAGTGAAGGGTTCGATACGAGCCGGAGGACGTCCAGGGACTATAGAAACAGCCAAGCCTACAGAGATATTGTCCCCCAGGACCCGTACGACGCCAGCCTCCCGGGAGAACAAGACCTGTACGGAGTTTCTGCAACCACGCCACCTCCTCGCTCTCGGCGCAACAGTGCTCTCGGGTCGTCTGCTCTGCCCGGTGCGGCGGCTTTCAACCATGCCAACCGCCCTACCGTCCCGTCTCCTCTGTCCAGCGAAGTCCGGCGCGACCCAAGCCACTCGCCTCCGCGAAGCCGGTCTCGGTCTCGAAGTCTGAGCGGGGGCGCCGCGCGATTCTCGTTCTCCTATGATCCTGTATCCGACGACTACGGCGCCTACCCGCCGTTCCCTATCACGTCCAGCACAGTCAGCCATGGCGCGGCAGGACGAGATGAGGCCATCAACCCCACGCTTCCCGACAAGCCGATCGTGGATGACAAGGGCTATCCTCAGCTCAGCATCCCACACGGCCAAAGCACCAACACCAACGAGTACGACCTTGCCGCCACATCTGGTCCACTGGGACCCCAGCCGCAGATCTCCGGTTCTGGAGACGTTTCTGTCCCTATGGAAAGCGACGACGCCCCGACATGGCGGATGAGCCATGGCATGCCGGCCGGCTGGCAGCGCGCCGGCACAGATTACAGCCCCCGCAACAGTAGGGAGGACCAGTACATGCGCAACAACCGCGACTCGGGCGTGGGCATGGGCACCGGCACTGGACAGCCTGCAGGCAGGAGAGGCCGGAGATTGCGGGCAAGTGACTTCGCGGGCTCATCGACCGCAAGGTCAAGGCCGAATGACGACGACCTGTACGGCTACGGGTACGGACAGGCTCTGTGAGAAAGGACCGCCGCGGCCCTGCTTCTGATTCCGAGGCCGGAAATCCTAAGGAGCGACGAATGAATGATACCCTCTGACGATGATGAACGCACCCTGTTGTCTTGTTTCGTTCATAGCCACTGCATTTTTGCGACGGCGGGTTTTGGTCGGCGCCGGACTGTATGGCGTTACGTACCTAGGTAGATGCTACACCTTTTGTTATCATACCCCCAATCATCTTGCATATACTGTACATAGGCAGACAGCGAGCATGCTTTGCGCAATGGGATACCCCCCGTTTTCAACCTACTTGGTTGGTGTTTCCGCACTAAATAACCATAGTGTCGAAAAAATCCACATCGATTGTGCCCCGTCCAGAACAACTCGGATACACTAAAAATGCAGTGCGAGGACACTGCACCGATCCAGATGTCGAAGAGTCCACTTCGATTGGTGGCTGTCAGAAGACAGCTCGGAGACACTAAAAGTGCAGTGCAAACACCCCTGATCCTAGGTAACTACCCGATTAAGGAACCAGTCACTGGAGGCAGACTGCAGTGGCAGGGGGAGAGGATTGACCCTGCGTCTAATACCAAGTATATATATAATGCTACGCGCATAACCACTTTTATCTGTGCAGAGAGTCACCCCTAGACAACCTACCCATCTAGGCTGGTTATATATATCATGGATCCACGTGGATCTCTGATTCAAAAGGATGAGAATCCTTTCCAACGGCATCGATTAACTGTCCTCGGCATGACAATTCTGGCCATCACGCGCAACAAACAGTTCATCTCTTGCCATTGTCGGAAACATGTGGAACCTCTGGCGTAAAAGAACTCAAAGCCAAACGAGGTTCGTGTAAGTGATGATGAGACTTGCACCAGCAAGAGACGGGAATATGCCCTTTTCTTTGCATACTCCCCAAGAGAACATGGAAAATTGTCCTAGAAACAGAAACAAAACATAGGTGAACGTGCTCAAACACTTGATATTGTGAAGTGCAGCACACTGGGCACCTCGAAGCCGCTTCTCCGAGAATCTCACCGAGAATGCTGCTCTGTACATAATACCTTCTTTCTGCTCCTCTCGCGATGCTATGTATTCCCTCAGGTAAAACCGTACTAGGGCAATGCCGAATCAAGCAGCCATCCCTCTTCGCAGTTGATCTGCTGGATATAAGGTGCCGATGTAAATGCAAATCGAAATGTACCCTGTATCCCAATGTGAGGGCGCCTGATGCCCTTCATGTCCAGTTGTTTGTTCCCGTCAAAAGCCAGCTTGTCGAACGTTTCCCTGCGCCAGGCGCAATGGTATCATTCCTGACAGAGAAAGTTGTATTCCGAGTTCCATTTTCCTTTGATGAACTTCGTAATAGACGATACCCGTACATCTTCTCGCCCTGTAACTCATGCTGTCCATGGTCTTTGAATGTGTCATGCAAACCAAAGCGCCACAAGTGAGCCCTGAAGCCATTGAAATGCACGCGCGGTATGTCGAAATCTTGATATACTCAATATTGCAGATAATCTAGTTCAATAACTTGATCATATCCGATGGTATCCGGCCAGTAGGAGATACCGTTTCCACGTTTCGCCACTCTTCCCGCGTCGAAGTCGAGGGAGGCGTCTCTGGCGCCGGACTGACCTCTACGCTGGAGTATTCCGATTTGTGCGGTGGAATGAATGTGTCGTTGGCGTCGCGACGAGGCGACAACGGCTCGGGCAGAGACTTCTTGTACGCCGCGTTGTTGATTGCAACGACCGGTTTGGTGACCTTTCCAGATAAGACTCCTTGGTTTCGAGGATTCGTAGATGCCCTGACCTTTGTCACTCTGGGCTTCTTGTTCAAAGAAGTCTTGGACTTTGCAGGCTTGTCTTTGTTCTCCTTTCCGCCGAGAAGTTCAGCAATGGTCTTGCCAGAACTGGCTGCATTTTTGACCGCGACCTGTTTGCTTCGCTCGGTGACGTGAAGTTTGATTCGGATCGGCGAAGGCGTTGTAGATGTGACCTCGTTTTCTGCTTTTGTTCGTGAAGGCACATCCCCGTTCTGACTTCGTGGAGGAGTCATCGCATGGAAATCCGCTGACGGCAGCAAACGTTGGACCGCGCACTCATTCTTTTTGGGACTTGGAGGTATGACCACCTCAATTTCGCCCTGGCTAGACTTGATCCTGTCGAGATCGGCCTCTGTATAATTCTCGGCCACATCCTGGCTGGGGTCGTCCCATTCTTTCAAGCGTGCCAATCGCGCCACTTCGTCGCTGTCGCCTTTGACAACAAGATCCCAACAGTTTTCGAGATCTTTCCCGGGGGGTACGGGATCTCGATTGATCCATACCGTAGTACCTTCCCGCCTGTCTCTGACAATCTGGCACATCTCATGAACAATGCGTCGCACAGCCGGGATTTTCATGCTAGTGCCGACAACAATGACAGCATCTGGTCTCGTTCGAAAATCTGCCGTCGTCACCGCGCCAATCGCCTCATCATCAGGGTTATGCTCATTATAGAGGACAATTCTAGGTCGCAATCTGCCAACACCGTGGCTTCGCTTTCCAGCATGAGCCGTTCTCAAGGCGTCTGCCGCGACGCACTGAGGGCAAAGAGGAGGAGCGGCGCCGTCAAACAGGTTCGGTTGAAAATCGGAAATGTGTCTGCATTTCTGACACATCATTTTCTCAAGGCCCCCATGTAGCTGGACCGTCTTTGGCCAGGGCGCTTTGTGGTTGAGAGGCACTTGAGTGGCCAGTGGTGGGAGCGAGGTCTCTAGACAGTCGACATTCTGCGTATACAATCGCAATAATCGTCCCTCAACGGCGAGCCGAGCGAGGAAACGGTGGAAGAGGGTGGGCTTGGCGTTCGCAGACATCTTGGAGAGCTTGCGGACCATGTCATGAAAACTCGAGGTCGAATGGTCATCCTTGTAGACAGAAGCATCAAAGAGCATCTTGCCAGAGCTTTTCAATCTGTGTTCCCCTCTCAAGCTCTTGAAAAGCCCATGAGAAGATCTGAAATCGGGGATGCCAGCCGAGACAGATATACCCGCGCCAGCAATCACCACGATCTTTCTCCTATTTCGCAAGGCCTTGAGAAGGGTATCTAGAGCTTCTGAGCGATCATACTCGGACTGCGCGGTGTCTGAAGTGAGATCCAAGTACTGAGTAGTGCGGATCTTTGGCTCGATCTTCCGGCGCTTTCGTGGACGGGGCATTTCGTCGCCCGCATGTTGTGAGGGAGGAGGGGTGAGAACCTGAAAGCCAGGAGGTAGTTTTGGCGAATCTGGAGGGGAACTGAGAGGAGAACTAGGAGGCGAACTCAAGGGGGACGAGAGATCTGAAATGTCCTCAGCGTCCATAGCGGCGTAAAGGTGCGTTGTTGGTAGGGGTAAACGAGCGATTTTATCGCATGACTTCGGGAAGGAGCGACTCTTCAGGATGAGCTGACCCTTCGCTAAGTTATTCCCTTTGTATGGGAGACAATGCAATCGGGGTGCTGGAGTCTGGAAAGAGTGAAGACTCGAAAGGATGTCTCGTGGGCGGTAGAGGAGTGACGATGAGCTGAGAAGTCGATAGGAAGGGTGCGGTCTGGGAGTTTGGACAGTGAGGCTAGCTGGGGGGTTGCAGTTGAGACGAAACTGAACCGGGGAATGGACAGCGAACAAGCGGGAGAAACGGGCGGAGAGACGAGTAGACGACAAGCCAGCGTCAGCGGCTCGTGGCTGTTTGCAGCTGGACTGGCGCTGGACCTGGCAGATGCCCGACGCCCGACGCTCGGGATGTGGCCCAGGGCCCCAAACTCAGTTTGACTTGAATTGCTTGCAGCTGCACAACAACAAACAGGGCAAGGGGGGTGAAGGGCCTTGGCCCTTGGGCCTGCTGGGTGGCTGCGCAGGCCCCCAGCGATTGGCCGGCGGCTTGTTCTTGGGGGGCCGATCAGTGCCTGACAGATTTGTGGTGGGTGCCAGGGTCACCCACAGGGTGCTACGGGTGCTTGCATGCTCGATTGCCCAGAAGACCGCATTTTCACTACCTCATTGTACAGCTCCCCAAGTCTCAGACCCGGTCGGATGCTGCCTAGACAACAATGATCAGAATGCATTGCACTATTTGACTGGTGCCTATCTGTATTCTCTATTCGTTTCACTATTCGCTTTCGATAGGTATGCATATGCTGTGCTATCAGACTGAAAAAAAGCCATCAGTAACACTGCCACCGTTTGGAAATGTCCAACGGTCCCTGTTGTTGCCGCGGCTACCGCCTACGAGTTAGAGCGGACACCCCCAGAAAGCCCCCTGTGGCTTGTGGCTGGTGGGCTCCTGCGGCTTCGCTTGCCCCAATAATAATCTTGATGCCCACCGCCTGATGCCGCCCACTTTCCCTTCCTCTCCATTGCTGCTTTTGCAGCCTCCGAGAGACCCTGTTTCAGCCTTTCGCGTGGAAAATGACCCTCGCGTTGAATCCACGTTGATCGCTTTTTTCCTCGAATCCTACGCAAAGAACCTCCCTCTTCAATTCAGCTCTTCACCTCCTACTTTGTACTTGTGTGATTCATGTCTAATCAGTATTACCATTGGAAGACCATGATCTGACGCTCTGAGCCGGGTGTGCTTCACTTCATCCTCCGATCTACAGCCCGCCAAACGGACGGTCTCGGGGACAAACCAGTAATTGTCGACGAGGGACCGATGAAATGAATATGCGCAACTATATACCAATACCACAAAGCTATTGGCCACAAAAATGGAGCAAGATCACACAGACGACTTTGCTTCTGAATCTTTCTTTGACCAAAATTCGCTCCAGCAACAAATTCAACACCTCGATGGGACCGCCGATCTCAACGCTGTCTCAAATGTTGCCCTCCCTCCAAATCCAGCTGTTATCGACAAGCTCTCCCGCCGATGGTATTGTGGCTGCTTAGAGCGCATCGCATGGTCGAGACATGGCCATCTTGCCAGCATCTCTGATGATGCATCCACAGTGTATCTGGAATGCATTCGTTACGACTACGAATCCAAATCCTGGGGCCTCCACGAAAGCCACTCGTTAACTACCCTATTCGAAGACGCCACCAGCCTGGCTTGGAGCCCAAATGGAGGCGAACTTGCAGTGGTCGATGTCAAGGGACGGATATGGATTTATCACAACTCTCTTCTCGCCATCAACCGCTTGATACTTGCTCGTCAAGGGGCTCTGGATGAGGGCGACGAGTATTCCCAGCCGGTTGGCATGACATGGCTGAATCAGGATCGACAAGAAAGACCAAGAAATGTCGTTACTCATGCATTCAAGGGTGACGCACGGTGGCAGCATGCCAATGCAAGAGCCAAACCGCTTGGCCCCTATTGGCATCGTGCTGTTGCAATCGTTCACCGCAATGGCCTCTTCACCCTTTGCTTCCAAAGAGGTGATGGCCAGTATTCCAAGGTAACTAAGCAGTTGTCTCCGCCAGACGATATGCTTTACAGTCACGCCAGCTTCGCGCCCACTGTCGAAGGAAAGATGCTGATCACTCTGCACTCGTTCAAGAAAGTTATCTCAGTGTACTTCCTCTCAATAGACTGGAATGAAGTCAGGGCGACCATTGAGGGCTTGCCTGTTTTGACTCTGGAATCGATTTCAAGCAACGTGTCCTCGCAGCCGTCTGGGTCTCCTACTCTTCCTGACACATACGACCCGGATTCGTGGTTACTTAGCCACCTAGAAGTCGTGCGCACTTCGGATGTCGAGAAAGCAGTGCAGATTCCCCCCACCATTCTTGCGATCTCTTCTGGCGTCAATAGAACTGTCAACATACCAGACTCGGGCTTTTTAGTATCGAGCATGATCAAGAGGTGGTTGGTAACTCCTGTTGAACAGAAACTGCACCCACTTTTTGACGCACTGCCGTCTACAGGTCCTGGGGCGACAGCACCAAAGCCTACCTACACCCTTCAGAGGCAACCAGATAAAGAAGAACAGGCCATCACAACGATCCACCATGTGGATGGTGTCCAAGCGCTTGCGGTCACAACGCAGGAAAACCGCATTGATTTCTTAAGTTCAGACGACTTATCGCCTATGTCATATTCGGCGTCGGTACAGGAAACCACATCCATGTCTCAATCTGGCTTTGCATTTCCTTATGCACAGGTTCTTCTCACACCGGCTTTTTCCCCCAATGCATGCGTGAGGGCGGATCTGACTCCGGATGGGAAAACGCAACTTGTTGCCATGGAATACCAATTAGGACAGCCTCAATCGCTGCAGCCCCTAGACCCAAATGTCGACGTGGCTCTTGCGTCCCTGAATCTCACCTTCGCACGAGCATGCTGGTCCAATGCTACCATCGACGACATCCTGATGTGTGTCTCACAGTCCATTCCGACCGAACTCTACCCTATAGTGATTTCGACCATCTATCGTACCCTCTTTCGCGACAATGACTTTGTAAACGAAAGGACCGAGGGCTCAGAACTTGAAAAATTCATCCACAAGACAGTGGTAGGGAGAGTCCTGTCTTACCATGCAAGTCTCGCGTCGAACTGTCCTCAACTCCTCTCCATCGCCTCCACCGATCGGAGACATGGCTGTTGGTCACTCAGCGCACAATGGGCTTGGTTGGTGAACAACATCCGACAGACAGCAACTCTACTTTTCATGGCCATGAGGGACGTGCAGAATATTCAACTCGTCATGAGCCAAGACTTGACGGACCTGCTCTGCTCGAATCTCCGGTGGGGTTTGTCGCTTATGAGATTTATCATTAGCACTATTTTGGAGGTAGGCGATCGGGAGACGAATCCAGAGATGTTTGACGAGAAAGATCCCGGCAGAGCGGGCGATTCTCTGGGCGACGGCAGTCAGGGTCTCGTCGCCTTGCTTTTGAATTGTCATCCATCGCGCATCTTTCTGATCGCGTTCGTCAGAGCCGTTAGGGCGTACGCGAAGAATACAGAACCAAAATCTAATCACCACTTGCAGGTCCTACAATGTATTCAACAGCAAACAACGGGGAAAGGTCTGTCATTCCAAGCCATGGAGGCACTGCTTGAATACAGATGGTCTGCGGTCGGTGACGTGGACAGGGACATTGCGGCCACAGCTGCACGCCAGGTAGAGATGATGACTACGGGGGTTGTGCATGAATCCTACCAAGGAACGATCAAGGTGCTGCTCAACACGCTATTCAACAGCGCCCAGGGACTTCGGGCCAAGATGCTGATCGATCGAGTCAAGCTGTTCATCGACCAAGTCGATCTCGAATACATCTTCTTGAATCACGACATCTTGGGCCGACGAAGTAGTGATGAAGACCCGGACAAGAAAGAGGTCATCTATGATGTGCATCGAAAGAGACCAATCCTCAAGGGGGTAGCAGAGCCCAACGGCTCGGGACAACTGATGATCAGGAAATGCTTGAGATGTGGGAGTTATAGCGAGGACGTCAACGTGCCGCCTAAGGAGTGGCCTCGGCAGGTTGCTATGCTACTCATGAGATGTGTTTGCGATGGAGGTTGGGTGCTGAAGCCCTGGGATACGGTTCACAAATAAAGCGCAAAAATTTGCAGGGCAGTTTCCGAAGAGTTGCACCCACCCAAACGTGCTCAGCCGGACCACCAATGACGCCGTATCGAAGTGTTTTAGTAACCGTCTTCAATGAATCTTGGGTTCGTGTTTTCTCATTGTCCTCGCGGCGCCACATGAACACCAAGTCCATGTCTGCCTTTTCGTTGTGGCTTACATCCCATGGGCTGCAGAAGATCAAGCTCATAACCTGGAGCTGGGAAATCTTTCCTCCCCCCCTCGCAAAATCTTCAAACCACAACCACCCACGCACCATCACTTTTTTCCCCAAAGCGATTCACCTCCCCCGGTGGTTTCATTTTCGACCCGGCCTTTTGGGACACACTCACTCGTCTCTTGCTGAAACTGCCAACAACCTTACTCCGCCTTGACAGCATACTTCCTTAGGGGGAAGTGCGTCTGTCTCTTCTTCTGCTTCTCCGTGACCCTGCTGGCATCCTTTTTCGACAGCCGACGACGAATTGCGCGGGTCAACTTTGGTCGCAGATCGAGGGGCAGGTACTTCTTCTTTGCGTAGAACAGACGGAGTTGGTGGCGTTGGTTCGCGTTGATGACGGTCAAGACGCGCGCGATGGATTTGCGAAGGTCATGTCTGTATGTAGCCCATATGAATCAGTATTCAATGTCACACACTCCCCAATTGCATTTGGTGACCTTTCCGAGGTCGAGATCGAAGATGGTTGGAGGCATACATTCTTGTCAATTTCGATGAGGCACCGCCAGCAATCTTCTGCACGCGCAATTGCCCCAGCTCGGTCTTGAGCTCGTCGAGTTGTTTCTTCAGGTCGTCCTTGGACTTGCCCCAGAGCTGGCCCGGTTTGACTTTGGCGTTGGTCGACTGTGTCATTCATAATCTTGTCAGCATATGTGTGCTATAAGACAGACCCAGGGGGGAGGTAGTGCGCACCATCTTGGCTGGTAAGTGGACTTGTCGATGTCGGTGTTCGTGAGGGAGGCGTTTGTAGATTTGATGTCGTTGTCGGTTCGCAGACTGCGGGAAAATTGTTGTGTGCAAGCCCCGATTTCTGCCAAGATTTATTGATCACGTGATGGGCGCCGCGGCAAGTTCCGCCCACGCCTGATGGCTTCCGCTGGTGCTGGCGTGGCACCGTGGTAAGGGACAAGGTGGGAACTTCGAACGCCGCGAACTACGAGACCAACTCACAATTTCCGTCGAAACTCGCCCTTCATGAGCAACGGGGGAACCACAAGTCTAGTGATGTCTCCGTTATAGTCGACAGCAAACTCAACGTTGTTCCGCATCCCTTCCGTGACCGACAACTGCCATGGCAACCACTACGGGATGGGCGCAACTTCGTCAACAGATCAGGACGCTGGAAAGCCAGGTACGTCGGCTGTATCACTCAAAAGAGATTTGACATATGGCTGAATGGATTTGGTAGACTGAAGCTCTTTTTCATACCTACTCGCAATATGCGTCCACCTCCAATCTTCCCCCCAAACCGTCAGATGATGAACAAAGGAACGAAGCCGAGATACAGGAGCTGTTGGAAAAGGTGGGAAGCCAGTAATCGGCCATTGCGGATGCAAAGTATTCGTTCTAATAAGTCTGGCACATATAGCGTGAAGGACTGGTCTCGCAACTCGCGCGTCTACTCGACTCCGAAAGTGCCCTGAGCACATCCAGCTTGAAACAGAACAATCTATCGCGGCACCGCGAAGTCCTGAGCGAACACCGCCAGGAACTCCGTCGTCTTAAAAGCTCCATTTCGGAAGCTCGTGATCGGCAACATCTCCTCGCCAATGTACGCTCCGACATTGACGCATTCCGATCGTCCAACCCAGCCGAGGCCGAAGCCGAGTACATGCTCCAAGAACGGACTCGACTGGACCAGAGCCATAATGTCATTGACGGCGTGCTGTCCCAGGCATATGCAATCAATGAGAATTTTGGCATTCAAAGAGAGACCCTGGCGAGCATCAATCGACGCATTACCAGTGCCGCAGCCCAAATCCCTGGCGTGAACGGGCTGATTCAGAGGATTGGGTCAAAACGGCGAAGAGATGGTATCATTCTGGGGAGTTTCATCGCCTTTTGCGTCCTGATGCTTCTCTATTTCAGCTAGTAGCACACAATGGAAACAGCACCACTGCGAGGAGGGCATATGAGGTGAAGCGTTCGGTGGTAGCAACCACATTCGGATCCCAAGGGTTCCATCACAAATGCTCACGATTCACGCCTCTGCTTCTGTTTCGGCTTCTCTAAATGTCCTGCTCAGCGATATTTCCTGCAGACGACGTCGACGCCGGAGTTTCAGTGGGGCCTCCAATCCCGAGAATTGCTCGATCTTCAGAGCATCCTTGAAGAAGATCCATCAATCGGTGGGTGGTATTCATGGTGTACCGAACGGAAGCTGCAGTCAGTCGAGCGTCGAGCGGGGAAAGCAGCTGAGAAACCGTTCCCGCACAGACCAATTCAACCTCAACCATCCTCCAGGATGGGAGAAATTGCACGGATGGAATCAGATATGAGAAGAATCCATCAAAACGGTTCTACACTTCCCAGAAACGGCTCCAACCCGCAGCAGAAGCAGGATTTCATGAGACTGACATCTGAGCTGACCTCAGAAAGCTGCATCTGCTTTGATCCTTCTATCCAATCTGACAGGGCTTCCGGGGGGTGGTCGGTCTTATCGTGTGCTTGTAACAGTATTGTCATGAAGCTCCTCAGTGAGCAAAGCCAGCAACAAGATTTGCAAAGGTCTATCAGGTCAGCAGGCGCCATGGAGATGAGCTGGGGATTCTGGGTTAGACGCACGGCGCATACGGCTATTCAGTGCAAGTCAAATGTTGTACGTCTACTGCCCAAGGCTCTTGGGATTGCAACGTGTAGTTGCCCGGTATCAGACTGCGGGCGTACCTGGGTATAATTAAAGCTTTTGAATGACACTCTTTCTGAGACAGTCGCTGTTAGGCCACGAGACCTGCGACCCACCACAGCCTATATCTATCACAGTCTACCTCGTACTAGTAACACCATTACCTACCTAGGTACCTAGGTAACTTTACCATCACCATACCGCCAATATACCACACAACATATTACGCCTATAATCTCAGGCTGTCTACAGTGCGAGCAGAAGGCCACATGTCAGAGCGTCTTGCTAGATGCAGGGTCCAAGAGTGAATGAAGGCTAGTCGGCCAGTCCCTCCTCGGAATCATGCTGGCCCCTCGGGTCCGAATTGGGGCGCCCTTCTCACCCTGACATTCTCAGCCTTGGCCTTTATGGAGCCTTGCCAACACGAACAAACGCAGACTTGTTCGGATAGCACGGCGCCCGTTCGCCCAGCTGTCGTATTCTCTCTGGTAGCACCAGAATCGGCCACTCACAAATTTTGAGGCTTTCCCTTTTGCCCCCAATCTCGAGCTCCCTTCCGACTTTGATCGTCCTGATGCGACCTTGGAAGTTTGGTAGTCGGGGGAAGGGACGAGGGGAAACGAACCCTTTGAACAGCATCCTCCCTTGGCCTTCTTGTCTTGTTTTTGCCTCTGCGGAAGATTGCAGCTCGAAGCCCAATTCCAAGCCTTGGGCTTCTCTTGACTTGCCCTTTTCGCCCGCCCGTTTTCCTTCCGAAAGGCATCCCCCGATCATAATGACGAGAGGGTCTCCACTTCTCGATGTCGGTGGTGTTGTCGTACAGGAAGGTTTGGAATGCCTCTCGGCTCACAAGTGAGGTCACTCTCAGCAAGACGCAATCCAGATACAGCATTGGGTGTATCGTGGGAAGTTGGAAAGGGAGTCGACGCGCGTCGTGCATCACCACACCGCTGGCTTTCTGTTGCCCATGTTGGGCCGTCAACAAGCGTTGTTTGGTAATAGGACGGTCCCAGAATAACCCCAATTCTTCATCTGGGCACTATTATTCATGACGTTCCCACCCTGCGCAGACATTGTGATTTACTTTGGACGGCATGTCGGCTCGCCAGTCCTGCGCTCCTGTCCTCGCTTGTCCCCGGCCACTTGCCGCACGAATGAGAACAACAACTACTGCACACTTTATACGGGGGCCGCATGGATGCTAGATCGAGCACCGTGCCCTCTCTTCCCGCACTGTGAGCGTCCTGGACAGGTACGACTTACGATGGCGCCATGGAGGCGGCCGTTTCCCATGCCTGATCAACGTCCCCCATTCAACGAGCACGTGCGGATTTACATACTTCCCGCCGCGGCGCATACTTTGGCTGCTCACTCTGTTCCCACATGGGATTGACCCTTCCGCATGCCCCTCTGGGATAAGGTTCAGCATCGCTTGTGAAAAAGAGCCGTCGGGAAAGGAAAAGAGCAGAAAAAAGGACAGCTTTTCGTGGGGATTATGCCTACGAGTACATTGGTGGGCTCCAGAAGGGGACATATTAGACAGAGTGTCAGGCAGGTCTCGGTGAAGGTTGCTCTCGTAGAATAATAATGGAGAATGGAGGAGGTTAAACATTCCGGCTGAACTGGTACCCTATATAGAGAGAGAGAAGGAGAAAGCAGAGTCTCGGAAGAAGCGACAAAGAGTGACAAGACATGAATCAAAGAATAGTTCCCATCAAGCTTTCTCGTGGGATCATGTACTGTAGGTTGGTAGTAATACAACCCGCGCCTTGCTCTTCCCTTGTCCTCCCCTCTAAAAGACAGACTCAGAGGGAGAGAAGGAAGACTATTTGCACCGAGAAAGAAATCCCGCTCTCCCGCTCTCCCGCCTTTGCCTTGCCATCAGTCTCTGCATTGCGCCTTGGTCCTCCTCGAGTAGGAGTAAGAAGAAGAAGGGGAACAATGTAAGTCCATAGTTAACACGAGCCGTCCGAACAGGACCTACCAGCCATTACTCGTACATGGTTGCTGGAGATCAGGCACTAGGTAGGTATTGTCGGTCGGTGCGGGTATTGTTGCGGCCCGCTCGTCACTCTGGGTTTCTCTACCTACCTAACCTACCTATTGTATCTACGTATGTGTATATGTTTGGGAGACATGGAACCCATGATATTATATTCCCGCGCAAACACTGAGGGTCAGAAAGAGCCGGGGGTGGTCAAGGGTAAAATGAGTTAGACAGACTTAATCCTAGTGTAATATGTATAGCGCATCCACGCATACTAATACCACTGGAACAAGCAGAATAAAAACAAGGCGAGGAGGCGAATCGTGGATGGATGGATGGAATGATTACATCCAGCGACGCTCTCTCTCAAGGATCTTCCATCCATCTCTCCATCTACTCTTCTCTCGGCGCGCGCGCTTTAAGATCAGTGCTCGTTCCCTCCTCTCTCTGTTTTTCCTTTCCGTTCAAACCTCGTCAATGACCCTCATTCTTATAGTGTAGCAGAGTGGAGTACGGTACTACCAGGTGTATATCTGGCGATTGGGCCTCTAAGGAAAGACGAGAAACTCAATTCGACCTTTTCCGAGTGGACCGTCACCCGGGGGGGTTCTCTTTTTTCTAAACCCATCTTTTCTGGGTCAATATCCCATTCGGCCCTTACCAAGCTATTTCATAATACACCTGGGCACCTTGTTTTTTTTCAATTCGTTTCGCCCCCCCATTCCGTTCCATCCATCTTGGCTCTGGGAACAAAGCCGAGTTAATCCTGCAAATACTAAGACCTCTCCTTATTTGCCTTGCTGGCGCAAATCAATACATTCCCCGCCGCATGTTTGCTTTTTTTCTTTTTCTCTTTTGCTCCACTTGGCGACACGACACTGTTGACATCACGGGCATATTGAGTCCTCTTTCTGTCCGCGCATTTGCTAGAATATTCCGTGCGGAATCGCAGAAGCGTTCTCCCATTGTGTGGTCTGGGCTTGGTCCATCGTCAACGTCATAACAAAGGCAACAGGGAAAAAAGAGGACAAGAGACAACGAAGCCACTGTCTTCGTGGCTGCAAACGTCCTGGTCCGAAACCCACCGCGAAAATTCTGTATTTGAACTTGTGGGCTGTCTCTGGAGAACAATGGGAATGGACATGTGCCGAGATCTGTGAAACAAAGTCGACGCGAAAGGGCACCCGAGCGGCGAAAGCAAACTATCGCCTTCAAGGATATGGAATATCAATTCCTTCAGTCCTTCTCAGCCGAAGAGTCAGTTCCAAAGTCGACATCAGACTGGAAGTCGCCTTTCCAGACCCCAAACGACAACAACGAAGCCAAAGCATCTTTTCCACCCAGATTCCAAAGGCACAGGGCCATAGTTGCCCCGGCCATTGTTGGTGCTCGGAATCTTGCTTGACTACCTCATCCTGGGAGTCGCCCTTTCGCCAGTCTTCCCAACGTTTCCAACCCTGTAACCTCACAATATCTTTAGCCATCTCCCGCATCCCTCCTCCCAATTTCCATCATCAGACGGGTTCTCGAGCGACATGTGCATATACTACACCTACCACTTTAGCTGCTGTCCCGGCACAGCCAGGCCGGCACCGTACTATGTTCACTCCATGTGCGACAAAGCATTAAGCCCCAAGAAAGTCCCTCTAGGAAGTGCCGGCATGAAAGTAATGGAGCTGAAGAAATGTAAAGTTCAGCATGAGATTCTTGACGGCGCCGAGGCGGATCAGCCGTGTCCGAAGTGTGGGTAAGTCTCGGTCCTGTGAGCCTCCGTAAGGGAGTTACGGAAAATATGTGCATCCCCATGAAACGAGGCAGTCGCTGATTCTCTCGCATGCGATTTAGGATGAAACCGGAGAATTGTGAGCAATAGAGCAGTGGCTGTATGAATGCTATGAAGCAACAGCGAGCTTTTCTTTTGTCGATCTCCTTTGATGGTGGAATCAGGCTGTGATGGCTGTGGGTATCGCATTGCGCTTGTTCGGAGTAGCTCTCGACTTGTCCATCTCGGGTGTTGGGACTCTTGATTTCGGAGTAACGGACTTGGAGCGATGCGATATGGGTTGGGAGGATGTCTGTCCCAGATTTTCTTCTTCTTGAAGCAGTCTTTGAACTGCTGCATTCAGACCTTGCACCTCACCTTCCCATGCGTGACCACTCCCTGCCCATCGGATCTTGCAGCTCGAGTCCACCAGATACACATATCCGACCTGCGAGTTGAGTAGACCGATCGCATCGCGCGTTTCATCATTGAGTCCGCGACGAATATCGCGAGGCAATTTGATCATAAAGTACTTGCCCCAACGTTCTTCTGGTATGGTCTTCCTCAAACGTCCGCTAAACATCTTGACGAGCAGAGCACGGATCCAGTCACCTTGAAGATTGATATCCACTCGTTGCAGATGGCCGTTGCTTTCTTCAATCATTTTGTTCAGTTCTGGATTACTTTTGACACTGACGAAAGTGTCAACCTGTTCTTCCGCCCAATGGCCCGACTGCATCGCTATGACGGAGACTTTGCCCATAAGCACGGGAGTGGTGTCTCGTCCGCCTTGAGGCCCATCACCTTCGGCGGCTAGTGTTTGGCCCCAAATATTGGGGAAATAAAGTGCCTTTTCACGTTTGAACAACCGAGGATTTGAGACAAAACTCTTTCCCTTGAAATGATCAACTCGTCGCCATTCTTGAAAATAGGGACGGAAGAACGTCCGCAGGTAGATCCGCCGTCGCTCGAGGGCCTTCTCGTAGCTTGTGAATTCTTCGTGCCTTTCGCGGAGAGTGCGATTGTCAATGGGACTGTTTTCACCGGGCCGTGGGGGATGTTCGAGGCCGAGCGGGCGGGCTAGTACCGAGGGTGTGAATTTCTCACCCGTCACTCCTCGTGGGATTGGAATCCTCGAGATAGCAGAGAGATTTTCAGGATTTCGGTCCAGGCCGACGTGGAGGGGGATTGTGGGTTTCTTGATATCGACTCGGACTTTCTCCGTCGCAGGGGAATTCGAGGTTGAGGCTCTGCGAGACACAGCTTGAAGTCGGAAAGGGCAACGACTATGACGGCGCAGTGTCAGGGAGACGAAAAGACTAAGGACATCTTTGCGACTCATTCTGCGAATCACTGGTATCCAGCTCTGACCTCCTCGCTGGTCACTCGGGTTGTTATTAGGGTATTCGAGAATGGGTCTGGACTTGTAGGTCAGCATTGAACTTGGATGCAATTGCAGCGCTCTACAAAAATATGGCTTGGCATCATGTGACAGCGCGTCGGTATCGTGTCCAGCCGTGAATGGGTCGAATGGGTACAGGAACAAAGGGAAAACGGCTCGTCCCACTTCACCCCGCCTTTATTCACCAGTGTGTTCGCTGTCGCACCCTCAATTGTGAAATGATGTTCTTGTCACTTTCGGCGCCGGTGCCGCATGCGGTCATGTATATAAATATATCCTACGTCCACGAAAGACCAATATATGCCACCGTCAACATATTCCAAAGATGTTGTCCTCGGAGGAGAAGAAAGAAAAGGATCGATTCTTCAAAGACTTGTATCGTCTCGACAGTCTTGACGATGGAGAAAGCAAAACAGGACCGAACTTGCCAGAGCGAAACCCCCAGCGATCTTTCTCCATGCGCAGTCTCAAATTACACCAGACCGATCCAACCCCGAAGATGATTGACTCGGACAGACACCGACGGAAGAGGAAGTTATCTCAAACCATTCCTGGGCTGGAGCAAAATTCAAGACTGCAATCTCTTCCTCCTGGGGCATCCTCCCCTGCACCGAACCCCTCGAAGAAGAAGAAACCTTCCCAGGTAAAAAGAAACGTGACAGACCTTTCAAACGTAGCGGCACGAATGAATGGATCAGGCTTCCCCAGATTGAAACCCCTGCCGAAGCGGGTCAAGATGAAGAGCATCCCAGGTGATGAACAGATCTTCAAAGGTCTTGTTTTCTGTATGTTCAAGCGTCAATGGGCACCCTTCAACTGGCTGATATATCATACAGTTTTCGTCCCCAACAATGACGATGACTCTGGAACTCGCATTCGCATCCACCAAGCTATCCAATATGGCGCTCAGTGGGCACACGAGTTCTGGGAAGGGGTCACGCATATCATCGTCACTCAAGACGACCTCGATATGATCAGTGTAGCCAAATCGTTGCCTTCCAGGCAGATACCGGTTTGTGACCCCCTCATTTCGAGGTTACAATGCTGACAATATCCTTAGAAGGGTCCGGTTCTTCTACGCCAGAAGTGGCTTTTCGAATCCTGGAGATCTGGGTTTCTTCTCGAGACGCATTGGAATCGCTTCCAGGTAGCAGGCCCAGACAACGTGACGGAGACAAGCCGCAGTAGCACTCTACCTACCATGAACAATGGAGCGACCACTCACGTCTCAAATGTGGATAGATCGTTCCCAATTGCCAATATAATGGAGAGCACCATCCAACCTCAGGGGGAGCCTAGGTCCAAGACCAAAGACCTGCAGCCGAAAGCTGCAGAGAAAATTGAGGAGGACGCACTTGATAGTGCCATAAAGGATGTTCAAAATGGCGCCGGCCCGCAGTTGCACCTTGCCTCCGATGAGGACTCCGGGGATGATGATAAGCCTGAGTCTCGATCCATGCTGGACCAAGCTCGCAACAACGGAAAGCCCCCAGGGAAGACCGCCGGTTTTCTGTGTATGGAAAGGCATGACGGGAGAACCCACAACGAGAATCTGAATGCTGAAACCATGGAGAAGCTCCAAGAAATGGCAACATCCTATGACCAAACAGGGGATCAATGGCGAACCAAGGCTTTTCGGCAAGCCATAGGAAAACTTCGAAAGCAATCTCAGATGATTCGAACAAGTCATCAAGCTCGTGCGGTCGGTATCGGCGAGAGCATTGGGGCGCAGATCGAAGAGATCGTCTCTACCGGAAAATACAGACGGCTGGAGTATGCTCAGAATGACCCACGAAATCAGATTATCAAGCTCTTCATGGGAGTGTACGGGGCTGGCGAGACAACCGCGAAGATGTGGATTGCAAAGGGTTACCGATCCCTAGAAGATGTCTATCAGAAAGCTGAGTTGACTGTGAGTCAGCGAGTGGGCATCGAGCACTATGAGGATTTCCAGCAGAGGATCCCTCGTACCGAGGTCGAGCAGCACGCCGCCGTCGTGGAGAAAGCACTCAAAGCTGCAGATCCCAATTTTCAGTTGATCATCGGAGGGTCATACAGACGAGGCAGCAAAGATTCAGGGGACATTGACTGCATCATTTTCGTAAGGTTCCTTTTTCCACAGGATTTTGTGCTTCGGGAGAGGACGTCGTAAACACAGGTGAGGCTAACAGATACTACAGATGCCCGAGGCTGGTATTAGCCACATCCGCACCCTGATGCTGGATACAGTTATTCCTAAGTTGATGGCCCAAGGGTTCTTGAAAGTGGCACTTGCTGCGGGCCACCATTCGAGCGATGATTCGTCGAAGTGGCATGGAGCATCCGCCTTGCCGGGCAGCAATGTCTGGCGCCGGATCGACTTCCTCTTCGTGCCCTGGACGGAGCTTGGAGCGGCATTAATCTACTTCACGGGGAACGACCTGTTCAATCGGAGCATCAGATATCTGGCAGGCCAAAAGCAGATGAGATTGAATCAGCGTGGATTGTTCAAAGATGTCATGAGGGGACATGGGCGGAGACGAATCAATGATGGGACGTTGCTCGAGGGACATGATGAAAGGCGGATTTTTGAGATTCTCGGTGTCCCGTACCGGCCACCTGAGGAACGGAACGTGTGAAAGGTACCTAGGTACAACGTCAGAGAGCAAGTAATCATGGCACTTTCGTGTCCCATCATAGATGCGTCTCCGCATACTGTCCTCGGTGTGTAAAGTTCTGTTGTCATGAATGGAGAGAAACAAGGAGGAGACATTTTTGACTCGTCACCGACTCACCATCGTGATCAACTTTGAAAGTCCGTGGCTTCGGAAATCGGAAGATGCACAAGCTTTGAGCTTGGCGCGGGAGTAGCCGACAGCCAATAGACGTCGGGACTCAATGCCCACTATGCCTCACCGCCCTAGTTTTTGCAACACCGCCTTAAGGGTCGCAAAATTCTGCCAACACTTTTGGCCCTTCTTTCATAGCCTTGTAAACATGGCGAGACACTGAACAGCTTCATCGCGGCGTCGATAATCGTCGTATCCCAAATTCTTAACGAGTCCCAGTTCACGCCCTCAAGGAGGCCGTGGGCTGGGTCTGAAATCGTCAGATACCGCTTTTGTCTCCCTAACTTCTGCGCGACATCAGTGTCAACTGTTCGTCCAACCCCGTCGCCCGCTTTCTGCCCGCCGGCGGAGACACTCATCCATCGACCAATCTCGTAAGTCGATCTTCAAGTTGATGCCCCGCGACATGATACAAGCGGAGACGTGCTGACCTGTTCTCAGCCAAGGATCGGCAGAATCGCTAATCATGGGACGGCGTCCTAACCCGCTGATGGCGGAGTTCTTTGTACGCGGTGCCAAGATCGGTGATTCCTCAAACCGTTATGAACAGAACTGCCGACGATGTGGAGAGCACTTTGCTCGAGGCCGCAGCGAGGCTATGGTCACTCATTTGACCAAAAAGTGTCCAGCTCTATCTCACGCGGAGCGTACCAAGATCATCTTGCGTCTTCACGATATCTCCGTCCCAGATGTCCACCCTTACATCGACCCGACCTTTGACCCTAAGGCGACAGAGAACAACGAAAGAGCAGCGGAACAAGACAAGAACGATAACAATGTCACGTTGCCCTTTGGTCAGAACAGACAGAATTTTGACGGCTTGAATGTTCTTGCTGAGGCTTCTCGTCGCGTCGATAGTAACGCACGAGGTAACATCGGTACCGCCTCTCAAGATCCGAATGGACTCCGCAACCGAATTTCTCGGCAACAGGAGGACGCAGCACTTGATCCTCAGCTTCAGGCAGGCGCCTTTACTCACCCTCTCTTGCATGATGATGGTACGGAAGTTCAAGGCAACGGTTTGTCTACCTTCGTTCCGCTCCGTTGATCTTCTAGTAAGGCGGACACTAATCTACTCCCCTTAGCCTTCCACACCAGTACGCCCGAAAGCCTTCCGTCACTCTACCAATACGTAGGTAGTCTACCTCCAGCTCCCCAAGGTGGTCTGGTTGGGCTACCACTTGTCAGCACCCATCCGCAGGATCTCTCAACAATTGCGGCTACCGCCAATGCGACAATCGCCAATGGCTCTATTATGGACACCGATATGGATATGTCAGATGATGTCTCTTCCGCCCTTCTTGGGGACCTTCATGATCACGGGTTTCCTTCCCAGGGTCGACAGTCATATCCCTGGCCAGCAATGCTTGGAACGCAGCCAATGGAGCCACTGACCATGTCCACTCCGGCGCAGCCTATGCATGCACCAGATCTGGCGTCTATTTCTTCAAGGGCAATAGACGGTTTACCCTCACAGAATGTGGAGTCTATGGGCCGACATCTCAGACCGATTGCAATGAATCCGAATAGCCAACCAGCTCAGCTCTCTGACCATGCAGGTGCGCACTCACAAGCGCCGAAGCCTAAGGTCCGTGGCAGGTTTGCTCCCGACCGCCGCAAGGAAGTGCGCGAGCTTCGAAAGGTCGGCGCGTGTATGCGATGCCGCATGCTTAAGAAGACATGCTCTCAGGAGACACCGTGCCAGACCTGTGCTGCTGTTGAAAGTCCTCGCCTATGGAAAAATTCGTGTGTACGTACCAAACTTAGCGAAGCCTTTCCACTCTACTTTCTTGGGCTACATTGGGTCATTGCCTATCACGAAGTCAACACGTTGAAGACTCAAGTCTCTTTTACGCCTTTTTCGGGGAGGATCGACTGTGCCCACTTCATGGATCAGAAGCTCGTACTAAAGGGTCTTCAACAAAAGAACACAAAGCGGGCTCCCGTCAGCGATGGTAATCAACAACCCTCAGGCAATGAAGTTATTGTCGTTGCGGATCTTGAAGCGGACAATCTACTACCGAAGGTCGAACGATATCTTCAGGCAACCTGTCAAAAATTCGTGGATCAAGAATCATCTCCTGTCATGCGAGCAAGTCTCCAGATTGCCCAAGCCATCAAGCAACAGCAACAAGGCAGCGGGGCTATTAACAAGCATGATAATCTTGTCTCAGATGTCATCGAATTATGGACGGCAACGTCAATTCTCATCGATGATAAAATGGAGGCTCACTTCGCGACAGACACCGGGTTTGACGATGGACGAGCTTTGATCAATGAGACGACGATGCCCATCTCTTATCGCGTGTTGAGTCTACAGTTTCGAGCGGCGATCGAGAGGCGTGCCATCACCGTGTGCAAAAGTGTCATGAACCACTTCGAACAGCGAGTCTTGTCTCGCCTCAAGAGCAACAGTTTCGAAACATTCTTGATTGCATTCATCTTGCTCAACTCTGTGGAGCGCGTGTGCTGGTTGTTCCGACGTTGGGATTCCCGCAGTCAGGAGGTGAAGTGGCCCCTGGACCAAAAACCAGCATACTATGCAAAAATGGGCGAGGGGTTTGCGCAGACAATCCAAATGCTGCTAAACATGCGACAATTAGAGCCCAAAATCATGGTCGACCCTCATTCAGACTCAATTGTTGCTTGCAACACTGAAGACACTGCTCTTGTTGAATGGATTTCAGCCGTGGGATTCACGGCGGACCTCGCAGCGCACTTTGGACTTGCCATGTTCGACCCAGAAGACAACAGATCCATGGATGGAGTTTTGTCCGCGCGATTGCTCCAGCCCCAAGGTCATGCGGATTGACCGTTTTCGAAGGCCTACTTGTACCAATCGAGGTACTGAGTTTCATGAACGGCGTTGGGAGGGTGATTGGACGAATTGTATCAACACAAGAGCAATTGGCGGTGTGAATTGGCATTGATGAAACATGAGACTATGTGACTTTGTCATACACGAGAGCAAGATGACACGAGTCTCAACCGAGGTGAACCCAGCCACAGATGGAATTTGTCATTGAGCTGCGAAGAAGAGCTGAGATACCCACGTGTGCACACTTGAACAGAAAACCCCTTTGAAAACCCAAAAATATGTACAGAGTCCGATGGAAAGGCAATCATTCGGGTGGTCGAAACCCAGCAGCTAGTCCTTGTCAAGAATGAATAGCTGCAGAAGGTGACAAGACCAATTCGAAGTGAAATTGGAAACTTCGGAGATTGATAATCACCAAGGGCTGAAGAAGGCAGGCTACGCTTTCCCTGGCATGACTTGTTCCTCTGTCCTCATAACATAGAGTTTTCCTGTTAAGCTGCCTATGTCAATTTCTCGGTGACCAGAAAGTGCCAATCACTGAAACAATATTCAATAACAAGAGTTTGATTGAACACATGAAACAGACCGCAAGAGCCAGGGTCACAGACTCGTGTACTGTGGATGACCACTGCCCCCTTGTTCTCTCACATCTTCGTCCTCCTTGACCTGCGACGAGCGAGTGATCCTTGTTTACCCTCGGTGCCACGAACCTCAAAGCTGGGATCGGCCAGCGCTTGAGCCAATCGGCGTCAAGACAGAAATATTGCACATTGTCTATGAACATTGGATCAGACCCAGGGTGTGAAGCACAGGGACAAGAGGCGAGGTTGGCAAGTGATACAGAGGCAGATATTCAGGGCGTGGGCAACAGGATGGATGAGGTTGACAGAGAAATCTGCTCGCCAGCAACACGTTGGACAGCACACGGGCACACAGCGTTATGAGGGACCGATCTTGCATGGACCAAAATGCACGTCAATCAAAAGGACTAGCAGCAAGGTGGCCGCTGCAAGTGCGGCTCGCATCGTCTCTTCCGCGGCGTCACTCACACCGATGAGGCCCATTCCTCCCACCCTTGATGGGGAGGGTGTCGAAAAGGTCACACCAAAGATCCAGCATGGCGCAGTCTAGCTCCTGGGGCCTCGGCGAACCCCGTCCTGACGTTCAATCTCAACATCAGGTCCAGGTGTCATGGTTGTGATGAGCCTGGTCTCAGACTACGACGAGAAGACACCCCAGCTCGACTGTGCGACTGTGCAGGCGTCACGGTATGGATGCCTCAGAAATAGTGGGAGTGCAGCTAAAAACAAGAATTGGAACCGGTCTAAGCCATTCACATGGCTGGATGGTGTTTTTGCCAGTTGCGTTACTCCAGGCTCCGGGTCATGCAAACCAGGGTCAGGCATTATGGTAAAGACACACGGACAGCGCCGATCGGACTCGCTTGTTGTACGAGTAGCTGCTGAAGACACCACCACGATCAACACCACACGCATGTGCAAGCCTGGGGCGGGCCGAAGAGCGTCCCCCAGACACCGTTGATCTTGGGCGATTCCGAGGCCACTAAGCTTGCCAGATCAGCGACTGCAGGTGGCGCGGCCAGATCCAGTTGCCCATCTGGACACCAATCGCTAAAGGGAGCATCACAGACCTACGAGGTACTGATGCTAGGTATGAGCCACAACCACCCCGTTGTGGTGTTTCTGAGGTCAAACCAGAGTACCCAAACCCAATCGACGACAGTCAGAAGACTCTCTGCCAGGGGCTGGGCTTGAGAACCCTTGGCCATCCATAGTATCCGTTTCCATTACCGCAAGAACTCATTCAGCTATGAGGCTTGTCCGAAAGTCCTCTGAGATACTCGAGGGGCCTCCGGAGACTGTACTCATTCAGTCCAGCCGTGGAGCTCATGTTTTCTATACCGCACTCGAAGGGGAGCAATGCTCCCTACTCACAAAAACAGAGTATCCGAAGCACCCCAGGGCGGGCAAGTGGTGAGCTTCCTCCTCATCTCATCCTGATGCTCACACCGCCCTTCCAGAAAGTTTTGGCTATAACGACCGCTACTGTCGCAAGGACCACGAAAAGGTCTCCAAGATTATCTCAGAGATGCGCAAAAAAGGCTTTGCCTGGCTATTCCTGTTAAACTCTAATTTTCGATTACATACAAGCACTAGCATTGAGGTAAGAGAATCAAGTAAGAAGTTCGACTTGCGATGGAAAGCCCGGCCGTGTCATGTCAAGAATCTCAGCCGTCTCCGCTAGGTATACTCCTGCTATCAGTTCATTTTGCCACCAACAAAGGTCAAAGTTGGGAAGTTTGCATGCTCCAGACTTATGTCGAGATTTGCAGAATGAGGTCGGTAACTTTCCTTGCATGACCTCCTTGTTAGCCTCATTTGGAAAGCGATACTTCTACAATCGAGTCACATTTACGGATGGCCCCAGGTGCGCCCTTGTCAGATGTATGTAAGGCCAAGTTCGAAAGGCCCAATGGCTAGACAGAGCTGGAGTCCGGTCGAGTTCGAGGAGAACGTCACGACGCTCGGGCCACTAGGCGCTTTGAGGATCCTGTCAGAGTCCAGCTGAGCTTCGAGGCACCATGGCAGTCGCCTTAGAAGTGAGCCATGACAAATTTCACGGTTGTCTCGGTGAAGGCAGCCTCGGAGCGCATGATTCGCCAGGAAGAGGCAACAGAGTAGGTCATTTAATCATCTACGAGAAGATCATTGTCTGCGAAAACGACGGTAATGACAAGTTGAATCGGAGAGACTCCACGGCTGAAGTCAACTTCGCGCTCGGAGTCTTGAGAACGCGTGATGAAAAAAAGGCCCGAGTAAGCACAAGTACGGCGGAGATGCCTCTCTTCTCGGAGCGCCGGTGTTTCTCGGGTCAACAGTAATATGAGTATACTCTTAACTGTCCAAAAGGAAGAGTTAAAGCATCAGACCTTGAGCAAAGTATCCTGGGCCGAGGGGTATTGACCAGTCAAGATGGCAGCAGGACGAGTTCCTGAATGAGAACTGCTTCCGTGGACCATCCGCTTGTGGGCTTACTCGTACCGAATACACAGTACCTGGTACGCCAGAGTCCCTCAAGGACGTTTGTTGCGTTCAGTGGCTTGGATGAGAAGCCGGCCTGGCCAGGAAGTTCGCGTGGAGGCGTTGCACAAAGAGGAGGGGCGTGTGGAGTTGCAGACAGGGGAGTGGATGCGAAGTCGATGAGCTGAGTGGTTCGAGGATGGTCATGGGAATCTTGGGGTGATTGGCCAATGGTATCAGCTGACAGATGGTTTGAAGGTCACTCGCCGACTGGATTGTCGCCAGAAATCAAGAAATCTCGAGTGAGAGTGCTGAAGCTTTGAGCGCTTTGGGAATCGAGGCTACCCAGAGGGAAGGGATAGCCTAGCAATGGCTCAGAGCTTCGCAAGCTTTGCCCGGGGCCGTATCATGAGTGGACGGCAGCCATGGAGGCTAGTTGGTCGCCGTGACCGAAGGAAAAGGGAGCCATGGATAGACATTTCCGCCACGAGACAGGGGTGTGAAGGTGGTTTTGGGAGGGGCAGATGACCTGAGATGCCGCAAAGAGAACAGGCCGTCTCAAGCTGAATGGCGGGATGCTACGGCAGGCTATGATGCGATGAGAGCATGAGCGGGAAAAAAAAGACTGGATCTAGCTCGGGTTATGCTGCCAGTTGGCTCGTTCGGGCGACAAGCCTGGGTGGATTGAATGGCGATTAAGTTTTGAGGAGCATCAAAGAGATGATGAAAGACACCCAATAATGGGAGCCTAGAAGAGTCAAGAGAGTCATTAAAGTCATGCCCTCTGGTGCCTCTCCAAGCCCAAGACCTCGCAAGAGCCCGTCAGACTCCAGAGGTCATAGCGCCCCATGGCGGCCGCAGCGCCCACAGCGCCCACAGCGCCCACAGCGCCCACAGCGCCCACCTGACTGCCTAAATCGGTGGACCCCGGGTCCTCGCCGGATGCTTTCGTACCGGTGCTGTGGCTGCTGGCTGCTGCAGCACCCGAGTCAGTTGCGGTGCCCACAAGCACACCAGTTCTGGGAACCAGCACGGCGTGCCTCTTTATCCCCTTCAAGTATACTGGTGCTGAGGTACCTACACCTTAGGTGGGTAAAAGGAAATGCCCGAGTATTGTCCCATCCTCAGCCATCAAAGTACGGTAGCGACAGCTGCATGGAAGGTTTATCTTCGTTGCCCAGCACGAAGGGAAAGCGACTACCAAGTCTGCAGAAGTTGACGTCGTATATCAACGCAACGGAAGAACCCCTGTTCCCTGCTTCCATCATATCCACTGGCCGGCATCTTTCTCCCTTGGACTACTATTCTAAACTCCCTCCCCCTCCCAAAGTTCTAGTTTAGTTAAAGCAACCCTGGTCGCATGTGCCGTCTAAACCGTATCTCGCTCTGTTGCTGCATCAATCGCATGCTGCCGTCGGCGCTGCTGCATGAAAGCATCTGGTGCATATGCCACCCGCGCGCACGCGCACCCATGCACGCCCACGCCCGCACTTTGGGTAGCCCAAGAAACCAGAGGTAGAACCAGAAAGTATCAAGCATCCGGTGCATTGTTACGAGGATACGCGGTACATTTGATTGATACAAAGGAGACCATCATCTTGTGCCTCTGACGCCTTCGTGACAGACTCTAATCCCCACCAGTTCCCCGTCTACTCGACCACCGATCCAGACCTCGTGTTCTCTCTTGTCCCTCACTGGCGCCGCTGTAGTATTGGCTTACTTGCTTCCCACTCACACACACACCCTCGCTCACCCCCGCCGCCCTCCCTCGTTGCGTTTGCTTCGTCCTTCCCACCTCTTTCGCCCTCTGGCGCGTTGTCTGGCCGCACATCTCCCGCACCTCTTTGCTGCGAGGCTCTACGCCTGCCTATCCAATCTTGTCCAGTGCATTTCAGCCCACTTGCCATCGAAAACAATACTCAAATCATCCAGAGACGGTCCGCCTCATCCTCTCCAGTTACTCCTGCTCGCTTCTGCTCTTCGGCTCACAGCCTAATCGCCGAGCGCCTAGCTGCCCGGCAGTTCTGCGGAAATACCTCAAAAACACCAACCCCCAAAAAGTGTATCGAGTTGGTTCAGTTGCGAGATCCACTTGGCCTGCCAATGAGTCAAGGATACCGAGATACCCTAAACCTCTTTGCCTGGGACGCCCGCCTTAAGCTTAAGACACTCTTTGCACCAATTCCTGCCTGGCTCAAGCTGGTGAGGCCCTGGCGTTCGCTTTCGCCGCCGCGAGTAAACGTCTAATCGGTCATCCCCCAAAGTGCCCGTTCCTACATACAGGCAAGACTCAATCAATCAGTGATCCGGCTTCCCTTTTCCAAACCCGCATCGTCCCAGAGGTTAGAACCACAACTTAATTACCATCAGCAATCATCAAATCAAGCCGTCATCTCGCAATCCGCCTTCTCGTCCATTTCCATTTTTATCCTCCATCATCATCCATTTCTCAGTCTGATCGCACATTCCCCAGATTTCATCTCCATCCAACCGTCATCAGCCTTCCCTTCCAATCGCTCCGCAGGGGGCTCGGTTCACCCAACCTGACTCTACCGTGTCATCACTGGGTTTATCGCCACCACTAAATAATTGGACTGCGCGTCCCCTAAGCCGCCAAACTCGAATCTCCTCGGCAAAAAGTTCGTCATTTGACAGACACACTGACCATTTTGGGCGGGGGCACCACCAAATCTTGACTGACTGGCCTTGCCTAGACACAAGAGGGAACCGAAGAACCAGTCAGCGAGAGGTCGGTGCTAGGAGGCGACAGGAAAGAAAAAAGAGGGAACAAGCCATTTCTTGACCTTGCATCTGCAGGCTCCGAGCGCCATCTCCCGTTCTTCTCTTGTACTTCCGCACCTTACGACACGCCGCTACGCAGCTCACAGATCAAAAAAAACTCACCACTGGCCGACCGACTGGCGTAACCCGCCGACCAGCAGCGCCTCTTTTTTGGCACAGAGAGCCACTACTGCCAGACTAAAGACTCCCCCCAGTTCGAGCTGCATCCTTTGCCGTCCACCTCCACCAATCTACCTCCCGCCGCAGCCTCTGGTTCCAGCATAACCCTCGTCATCCTCGCTAACTTTACTTTTGCTGCACGCCTGCAACCGTGCTCTGCACCTGTGCACGCCTTGCTTCCCGCGCCTGTCTCCTCTGTCCGTCGCCGTCGCCATCCTCGTTGCACTTCAATATTCCTGTTGTCGCACATTGTTGAAGAGGCAAGGAGCGGAGGCACTGATCAGACGCAGGCACCCTCCCTAACCCTTGAAAGTCTGGGTCACCCAGCTCTGTGCTGCCTGGCAGCTCCTGGCGTGCTGATGCGGGTGCAGAGCCTGCGCATCATCACCACCACCATCTCCTCCACCACCACCACCATTTCATCGCCGCGGCGCTGAAATGTCCATTTATCCACCTACTCGTCAGCCTATACATGCTCTGAATGGTATCGGCGACATGAGCGATGGTGCAGGAACCATCGATCCTGCAGCTTTGAACGCTAGTGGTATGCCTTTTTCGATTGGTTTTCCCAACCTGACCACTGGGAACAACACCAGACATGCGTCGCTCAGGGGCGTGACCCATGAATGCATGCGGCGCATCGCAGACCCAATTCAATTCCTCTCCCATCTAAATTCTCTGTCGCGTGTCCTCGCTAACCGCCTATTTGTAAACAGGTGGATTGATACCGTCATCAGCTGAATCAGGCCCGCGCGGCATCAAACGAAGCAGATCTCCCGAACAATATGGCGAATATCATCCAGGCGACGACGATGGTAAGTCAAGGTGCAGCTTCCCGACGCGTTGGGATGTTCTGACAACCCAACCACCAGGCCCGCGCAAACGTGGTCGACCATCGAAAACACCCCGAACGTCTGCAGACTTTACTGCCAACCTCGACGCTCTCCCAACACCCTCCAGCCAAACCTCACCAGAGCTGAACCAAACGCCCAGAAATCAAGGAGGCCCACAGCTACCAGTCTCCACGCCGGTGCAAGCATCACCGCCACGGACCCTTCCTAAATCGACCATAAAGGCGCTGCCGACGGTGAGGGACCATACGAGCGATGTGCTGCAACCCGAAGGAGATGAATACATGCCGCGGGAGTACGACGAGGCGGGCGAGAAAAAGGTAGACCAACTGGGCTACCTCCAAGGTGGACGGGAATACAAGATCAGGACATTTACCCTTCCTGGGAGAGGGCAAAAGCTGTTTATGTTGGCAACCGAATGCGCGCGCCAACTTCAATACCGGGATTCCTATCTTCTCTTCAACAAGAACCGGTCTCTCTTCAAGATCATTGCCAGCGTCAAGGAGAAGGAAGAACTTGTTAACCGCGAGATCCTACCTTATTCCTACCGGTCGCGCCAGATTGCTGTGGTAACGGCGCGCTCGATGTTTCGTCAATTCGGCAGTCGTGTCATTAAAGACGGTCGAAGAGTTCGAGACGATTACTGGGAAGCCAAAGCTATCAAGCAAGGATTCACCGAACAGGATGCTGCCGGCGAGAAGCGGCCTGGAGCCGCAAGAGCCAGAGAAGCGGCAGCCCAGGACCAGTTGAACGCTCGCGCTAACGTCGCGGCGGCCTACGGCGACATCGTCTACAGCAATGGCCCAGGCTACGGAGCTGTGCAGCCGCCAGCTCTTCATTCCGGGATTGCATCAACCATGGCGCAACTGGCTTCCTTCGATCCTGCTTACGAGTCGAGGTACAAAGATATTGTGCGACCAAGGCACGACATAACAGGCCCCCCATATCAAGACCTCACTAGATCAAGTTCTGACGTGGAATTGGCCAGCCAAGCCAGTCATGCCGCTGAATACAGCAAGACCATCAATCAACAAAATCGATACAGGCGTGGGCTTGTCGAAGACTACTGGCGTCGACCACATGAGCCGCCTGTGTCAACACCCCCTCCTGCAGAAGCTGAAGTTGCAACGACGACTCATCCGTTCTCGTCTCCCCGATTCAACACGAGCGACGTCCCATCTACTCAGCCCAATTCAATGTCGCATCCTTCTCAATCTTTACCCCCGTCGATGAATCCTCCCTCTTTTCCACACCAGCAGCCTCCTATTCAGTCACCCGTCCGCCAACCAAATCTACAGCAGCCTTTTTCGCGCGAATCATCTCAGTACACCCCTCAACACCCAGGTTATCAAAGATCGTCTTCGAGTCTCTCCATCTCGCAACCCGGCTCTCAACAACAACCATTGCCTTTTGGGGGCGCCGGATTTCCTCATGCTCTCAGCGCACAACAGCAGCAGCCGCAGCAGCCGCAGCCGCAGTCGCAGCAACAGCAACAGCAACAGCAACAAAGCTGGGGAGCTCCTCCACCGCAGCCTCACCAGTCGCCAGCTGTTCATCGCATGACTACGCCTCAGTTCTCGCCTAGCTTAGCACAGGGGCAAATTCCTTCGCCTTTACCCGGCGGCGCACATGCTAGTCCGTCTCCTCATCCGCAACAGATGCAGCCACCACAGATGCCATTGCTCCACCATCAAGGGAGTTCTGGTGGAATTGGAGGACAGCAGCTTTATGGACCTGGAGCAGGACTGCAGGCAATCAATGCCGCTGCAGGATATGGGGCTCTCGGTATGGGTCAGAGAGGCATTTACCCCATGAGCGGACAAAACCAGTTTATGCAACCTAACCCGCAACATGGACAAGGATGGCCTGGCCCTCAGAGCCAAGGCCAGGGCAGTGGACAATGGAGCCAAGGGTTTCAGTAGGACTTTAACCCCAATGGATTTGAGGTTCAAAACACTTTGAGGGCGGAAAAGGAAAGTTGACAAAGAAAGCTTTGAGATTGATAATCGACGGGGTGGTTTTCGCCCTTCTACCACGCATCATCAGTTGGACGGGATCCGACTCTACTTCTGAGAGTTGTACACTCAGTTCTTCGGTCGCCACCTGGATCACAGGACAGCACAGGACAATGGCAGATACAGTCAGATATCTTGTTCTTGGGGGTTTGAGTCATGAGTTGCATCGGAGGGGTGTTGCATAGCGAGGCAGGCGTAAGAGAAATGTTCTTGGGGTCTGGACTGCTGAGCAATTCATGTTGGGAGGGTGCACAGTGAAGCGCATGGAACGGGGAGTGGGATGCATTTGAAAGGGTGGAATTGCGAGGTCCAGTGGACTTTTTTCTAAGGGGGTTTCATCATCTTTTTCTCTATTCTTCTCATGGGCGATGGCTTGGTTTTGGCCCTCCTTTGTTGAGGGATTGACAGAAGGAGGTGGAGGCATGGGGGTGTTGACGAGTCGGGATTCATCATGGCTTGGTTTGTTCCTGCTTTCCAAAGTACCTGGGTTCTCTTGGTTCTATGGTCCTTGTTTCCTCGTGTATTATCATACGGCATTTGACACCCCCTTTGCCCTTTCTGATTTGTTGGTCTGAGGGATTCTCACAGCATTGGAAACGAGGGACACGAACGGATGGGAAACATGTTGCGAGTTCTGTGTTTTTGGATTGAACCCTTACCTCTACATAGCAGTTTTAATTTGTGAATTGACAATCCCAGCTTAATGGTGGAAACACAAAAATAACTACCGCAGTTACCGCGATCTATGTATCGGCGTGATGATTTTGAATGCATCAAGGCATCAAGATGAGGTTCCATCTCTTCCCACACTCGGTCTTCGAGCAGCATTCACTCTCAACGGCCTGCGAATGAGTGACTCAACTTATGCATTCATTACGCATCTTATGAAGGGGACGATTAAATCGTCCGACTTCTTGACTTTCACTGTCAATCATGCCGAAGAGGCGCAGGGGACGCCGGGAAACGCCAAACATCGCCTCCGGCAGATGACCATTCAAAGCCCCATCATCAATTTTTGCAGGTACAAAGTCTCGAGGTTGGGTTATCCGGGCCTGCCTTGGTACGAATAACAGCCATTTCTGCAGCGATTCGGTCACTGAGCTTCCCATTTTTTCACTAATCATTAATGTGTCCTCTCTGCCCAAAGTCCGGGACGACGGCGTCAATGTCTAGAGGGGAAGCAATGCCGTGGGGTCGATTGAGACCTGCCAGCTCTGCCAGCTTGCCCAGCTCGCCCAGCTCTACAGGTAGGTACATATCTGCCGGGATAGTGGGCTCAACAGCCCCACGAGCGGGCGCGCCACGGCTGGCCACGGCCACTCCTGATCGTACAAAGCCTCGTCGACATCGAGCCGGCATTGTGAATACCTGCAGGTGCAATTTTTTGATTGAATAGGCTGCAGATCTTCGCCTGTCGCTTTGGTTTTATTCCAAATTGTTTTTCTTGGACGCAAGACTTTCTGAGGGCTCCCACCATTCACACCCAGAGTTCGTACCACAAAGTGACGGTCCTTGCTTCTTCTACCTAAGCGAACCATTTCTGGGGGACACACGCCATTGGACTCGGTGCAGTGTTGAGTTTGTGTACTCGGTACGCTGTGTATACCTCATCTGTGAGCTCCTGATCGACAAAGACACAATCAGAAGTCGACTATAGTACGGATGGGGGAAGCTTCGAGAGAAAAGCAGTATGCTCCGGCGAGCGTTCCGCTAAAGGTGATAATTATAGGGTAGGCTCCGCTCCAAACGGAAAAATCCTATTCATACGAGACAAGACACTGACCGGGTTGGACGCTTCCAGAGCGGGCATTGGTGGTCTGGCTGCAGCATTGGCTCTTGGGAAACGAGGCCACGATGTCCACATTATCGAGTTTGCTCCCGACATCCAAGAGGTTGGAGCCGGCATCCAGTGTGCACCGAATATGCTTCGCATCCTGGATCGGCTGGGGGCAGGTGCCAAAGTTCGACGAACCGGTGTTGCTCTGGGTGCCATCCATATCCTGCGTTGGCAAGGGGGATCTCTCCTAGGCAGTGTCCCCATCAACCAGTCCCACGGCGAGCAGTTTGTCGTTCATCGCGCGGACCTGCAGATGGCTTTGCTGGAGAAAGCCATGGCCTTACCCAATGTGAGGCTGCAGACCAACACAAAGGTCGAAAACGTCCAGTTCAGTCCGGCTGCGGTGGAACTCAACGACGGTTCCACGGTCTACGGCGACGTGGTGCTCGCGGCCGACGGCATCAAATCCATGGTCCGTGCGAAGATCCTGGGTGACGACAAGGATGTCGCTATACCGACCGGGGACGCCGTCTTCAGGGTCGTCCTCACCAAAGAGACCTTGAGCAACTACCCGGAACTGATGCCGTACATCGAAGAGAAGAAGGCAATCCGATGGATCGGACCAGGGAGACACATCATTGCCTATCCTGTACGGAATCATGAGATATAGTAAGTCTCTCTTGAGATGCCCAGGATTGGGTTGCTGAAAGAGCTTTCTTGAGATGGCCAGAATATATGCTAACGACTACCCAGCAATATGGCACTTGCTCACCCTGATCGGGGTCGGGTCGACGAAAGCTGGACAACCGTGACATCCAAGAAAAATCTACTGTCGGAATACGAAGGTTGGGATCCAAACCTGATCAAAATGTTGGACCTTGTCCCCGAAGGGGATGTTTTGGAGTGGAAACTGTGCATGCACATGCCTCTCCTGCGATGGGTGAGAGGATCGTGCGCGCTGTTGGGAGATGCATGCCATCCCATGTTGTAAGTCTCCTCTCTCTCTTTTTCGTCACCCCGAGGAAACGTACGCCTGATATCTTCAACAGACCATACGTAGCTCAAGGCGCCGCGCAAGCCGTGGAAGACGCTGCCTCACTGGGAGTGGTCCTATCCTCTATATCATCCAAGGACGAAATCCCCGCCGCGCTTCTAGCGTACGAGAAGGCGCAGAAAGCGCGGGCCGAGCACATCCAACAGTCTTGCTTGACGACACGGGCTGCTCTTCATCTGCCCGACGGCCCTGAGCAGCAAGCCCGTGATCAGAAATTCAAGGTGCTGTCCTCAGGGGGCTCCAACGACGACAAATGGGGTGATCCCGAGATGCAGAAGTTCCTGTGGAGCTGGGATGCGGAAGCCAAGGCAGAGGAAGCTTGGAAAGGTGAGGGCTTTTTCTATCTCGATTTGGCGCCCAACGCTGACTTGCCAACAGACATGAGTCATGAGTCGCGCACTCAGAGTCGGTTGTGATTTCAGGGACCAAATGGAGCTTTGGATAACCAGCGCTGCATACCTTTTTTGAACTGCATAGACCTCAGGGACAGCGGGGAGTTCTCCTTTACTGATCGACCCAAGCGATGGGATGCACATATAACCGGTGGACGTGTGTATAAGAGATATATCTCCTTTCAATAGACAGATCGCTCTGCTCGATCCTGGATCAATATTGACTTCTTAAAAATTGCGTGTCATTCGTCACCGATGCCCAACAAGGCACAGTTCTTCGTGTCTGTCTGAAGCCCATGCTGAGATGCCGGCTTGCCGGGAAGCAGGACAAAGGGAAGCTCTCATCGCTAATCAGCGTCAAAGGACTGCAACTATCGGTAGCATTTCCTGAACTGGCGTCAGCTTCCCATGCGCCTGCACCAATGGGATGGAGGTGCATGTTCATGCAGCATTAGCCTGAATCGCAGGACATTCTTCATGCACCCAAACGTGGGTGGCAGAAACATGTGGCAATCGGACGATCGGAGAGCCCAAAGACCCCAAGGAGCAAAGCCCGGTGAGCCCCAGCTGGTTGTTACCTATTGTGTAGCGAATTCGAGAGCGTGGAGAGGCAGGACACCTCGACGTTCTGTGTTGCTCGGCATCCGAGCAAATCGAACAACTCCCCTTTTGATCTTCTCGCTGAGCATCCATCAAATCGACGCTACCTTGACTGCACATGGAGCTCGCCCGATCGTCCGGAGCATCACAAAAACTCAAAACAAATGCGGTCTGGACACGGGCCTAAATCAACCCCCCGTTCGACCAGGTGGCAATTATGGGCAACAGACCGACAAAGGCAGCCTGCAGCGACGATCCAGGAAACCCACGTTGTTGGCAGATCCAGAATCCTTCCCACATTTGGTCCTCCTGGGTGCCCTGGGTGCCTCCCAGATCCTGGACTCGAGTTGTCATGGTGCCGTCACCCAACGAGTAGCGCCTGCTTTAGTATCTGCCGGGAGCCCGCTCCTCGACGGCCAAACCAGCCGGTATAGGTCAAGACGCCCAGCCCGGCCACCACTCACTGAAAGTCCAAGACTGGCGTATTTCCGGGGCGAGAATGAAACTTGAGATGAGAGCCCCATGCCATTGCTCTTTGCTGCTTGCGTTGGGGAGTGGAGACCCCGCCTCGTCGCCCCACCGATTGCTCCCTGAACAAGCTTAACAGGTACAGAGGAGGCGGAGGAGGAGGACGAGAACGACCCTAGCGAGTGGAAACTGGCACTTGTTCGAAGCACCATCTCTGTGGGAGAAGGAGGCAACGGTGTGACCGGCCCCAGAAAAAAAATATGGCCGGATGTCCAGGTGGGAAGATCTGTTGCTTCATTTATCAAGTCGATTGATTCCTGCCCCTGCCACATGGTCCTCGCTTCCTCTCCTTCAACCACGTTCTTCTCCCAGTTTCATCCTTGAAATTCCCGTGGTCAAGGCCGAATTACTCTCCATCATTCTACCAAGTGTCGGCGCTTCTACAGAGACTGCCCATCATGACGGGAGACCACGAACACGGCCACCATCCTGCCCATTTGAAGCACAGGTGAGTCACAAAATCGTCCCATGACGGTCTCGTGGCTTGATTGGCACACTTACTGACATTATTTGTGTCTTGCTCCAGCCATGCTCACGAAGAGGCAATTCCTGGAACCGTCAACTTGCAAGCTCAAGGTACGCCGCCTCAGCCACCTCCAGCTCTGGCTCTTAGCCATGTGGCTTGAAGGCTATTTTGCGGAAAAAGCTAATCTACACGATGCTGACGCTTTTCGTATTCAGAGGGCGATGATACCGGCTACGGACAAGCTCTGTTCCCCGTGCCAGCAGACGACCCCAACGACCCGCTACAATGGGGCAACTTCAAGAAGACAATGATTCTGTGCCTCTGCGCAGCGTATTCTTTCCTGGGGAACTCATCGTTGCTCGGTCCTTCGGTTTACATTGGCATCTATGCCGAATCATTCGGGATTGCCCCCGGCACGGCCTCAAACCTGATCTCATACCCTAATCTGGCCTATGGCTTTGGCTCATTACTTCTGGTTCCCGCCTATCTCAAATTTGGCCGACGACCTGTTATGCTGATCTCCATCATCTTTGTATGTCCACTCTCCCAGAACTCTTTGTCTAAAGCCTCCTCAGCTAACTAAGACTGACTAGTTCGCCGTGGGCCTGATCGGCTGTTCTCAATGCAATTCGTACGGCACTTTGATGGCTTGCCGCATCATCCATGCCTTTGGCTCTGGAGTGTGCGAGGCTCTGCCCGTGCAGCTTGTCAATGACATTTTCTTCCTGCACGAGCGTGGTCAAAGGCTGGGTTACTACACCGTTTGCCTCTGCTTGGGCGCCACGGGACCCCTCTATGCCGGCTACATGCTTGCGGGCGGCTACTCGTGGCGGCTGTTCTTTTACGTCGAGTTCGCCTTTGCCTGTGCTCTGTTCATCCTGGCCTTCTTCTTTGTCGAGGAGACCTGGTACAAGCGCGAGGAAATGAAGAGGATCCTTGGAGCCGCTGTTGAAGCTTCGCCGACCGAGAAAGGCGTCGAGGCCGATCTGCACGAGGTCGCAAGCCCTGCGCCGCTCAGGAAGTCGTTCGTGTCCACGCTCAAGCCGTGGGGCGTGTATGACCGCGACGTCTCGTTCTTCATGACCGCGGGCCGATCTTTCACCTACTACGCCGTGCCGTCTGTGTTCTGGGTGGTCTCGACCTATGGTATCTACATTGGATTGGGGGCTTTGGCATTCAATTACACCTTCCCTGCCAAGATTGTTGCTCCCCCTTACAACTGGAGTCAGGTAAGCTATACAAGCAAAACACGCGTGTCCGCGACCAGAAAGAAACAAGGCTGACCGACGGGGTTTTGAATAGACCAACTCCGGCTTGATCGCTGTTGGCAATGCCATCGGGTACATCCTCGCCATTCCGTTCACGACGACGTCGGACCGACTGGCGGCGTATCTGACCAAGAAGAACAACGGGATCCGCGAGGCCGAGATGCGCCTGGGCGTGCTCCTCCCGGCCATGCTGATCGGACCTGCGGGGTTGATTGTCTATGGCTACACCGCTCAGGAAAACCTGCACTGGATCGGGTACTTTGCGGGCGTGGCCATGTGCAATTGGTCAGCCTACTTCTACTTCACCTTCACGCTCGCGTACGCGGTCGACAGCTACACAGTCAACCTGTCCGAGATGCTCATCGCCATGAACCTGGGCAAGCAGGCCATCTCGTTCGGCTTCGGCTTCAAGATCCTTGACTGGATCCTCGAGAGCGGCTACGTCACTATCATCGCTGGCGTCTTCTGCGGCGTCCTCATGGCCAACAACCTCCTGCTCCTCGTCTTTATGTTTTTCGGCAAGCGCATCCGCATCGCCACGAGCAAGACCTGGCTGGCCCGGATGCATCGTGACACCCAAGTCGTGGGAGAATCACATTAAATTTAAAAGGAAAAGAGAAAAAGGGATGGTGGAGGGCAAGTGTCAACGAGGCCATTCGATCCATCTATCATTATCATCATTATCGAAGCTATAGCCACCATCATGGTGAGCGGCGCCAGGCTCTTGCGGTTGCCCGATCTCCAGCCAGCTCGCCAACCTGTATTGTCCTCCATATTGTGATAGTATGTCTTCCATACAGGGCATCTTTATCGGACATGGTTCCCGGCAATGCTTCCTATCCTGCTCATCCTGTTGTATATAGCAACGGACTCCAGGACGAAGCCAGTGAATTGATTTGGTCTTTACTTGGCTGTAATATGAGGCTCTGCCACTCATTTCTTGTCTGCACATCTCGTTCCCTGGTTCGACTTCTTGTTCCCTCGTTCCTTTTTTCATTCCTTGGTTCATTCATTCACTCACTCCGTTCATTCTTCGTTCACACTGCAACAATGAGCTTCAACGCCTTCGCCATGGCTGCGAAATTCGTCCTGGTCCTGTCCCTCTCCTTCCTCGTCCTGTCCGCTCACAAGGTGTTCTCGCCCGTGGCAGCCAATACTACCAATGCCAACGCCGCAGCGAATGTTTGCGACTGGCAGGGTGCGGTGCCCGCCGAAGTTTGTGCTCAAAGACAACAGCATTGACTGTCAGGACCAGTTGACGGGTCCATAGGAATGCGGCAGCTTCTGCGAAATGAGGAACACCTTCTTCTATGGGCAAGAGAAACTCTATGCCACTATGCCCTTGTGTACCGGAGCTATGGAGACTTCGCAAACGAGCGATCCCCCTGCGCAACCCACACAGAATACCCCTCGCTGGAAACCGCACAAAGCTGATGAGTCGTGTAATGTGAACAAATGGGAATTTCTTGCACGTTGACAGATTCCAGGCATGTCAACCAAAACTGGAAGTTCAAAGTGAACGGAAATTTTCAAATTGTCGGTCACAACGGTCGGGTCAGTCACGAGTTCAATCTACTAATGATGCTGCCGGCCACAATGCTAATTACTAGTATTTCTAGCATTACCGGTGGCTACAATTACAAGTGGGGCCAGAGCGAGAGCTTTCAAGTACAGCAAGGACCTCAAGCATGACGAATGCGGATATTTCACCTTCATCCCAATTGTGCGCGACACCTGTGGAACTTACTCGGAGAGGGAGTTTGGGACTATACCTGTGATTGTTGTGGACACATTCAGACAACAGTCAATGCTTGCGCCAAACCAGGCGGTGACGGCGGCGGATTCTGTTTGGTGGAATTCGCGTGTCATCCGTGGTGTCGCGGTCTTTGTCTACCTCAAACTGCACAACTCTTGAGCCGATGCCGGATGAGATGCAAGAAGCTCCCTTCAACCAGCATGGTGTTCGTCTGGATCGTGGCTTGGCACTGGCAAGAGCTTACAAGACCATGTGGAATGCTTCGTTGTATGGTCCTGTGGCAGCGCAGTCCGATATTGCCGTCTGTGACGACCACAAATCTGTCAACGCGTCCGACTGTGGCCAGATCGTGGCTGACTTGCGCGATCGTGGTGCCGACGAGGTTCCGGCGCTCAACGCAACCAGGGGGAATGGGTTCACAATCGCGGTAAGTCTTTCTGGACTCTCTGCCTCTGTCACCTAGATGCTAATCTCAATATATACAGACCTCAGCTACCTGTGCCCTGTACCTGACCTACGACGAGCACTGGGTGGACACTCATTGTGTGGTCACTTTTCTAGAAGTCGCGGCTGCGGCGCAGTCCATCTACGACACCTGTACCAAACACTACCGATGGCATGGTTGGAGGGAGTCATGTTGTGAGACACGTCGGCAATTGTGGAGCCACGGTGACGTTCCTGCCAAATCCTGTCAACTGAAAAGATTATTCAGACTGCTATCGAAGCGTGGGAGACGACATGATCCAAGTGATTTGCCGTGCCTTGAAGATGAAACAGACGGAGAGAGATCTTGTAACTACCACGGCAGACAAGTGTTATGAAACAAGCAGAGAAAGGAGCCGGCAAAATTACTGCTGCCACCATCGTCAGAGGCATGAAAACAGTTTGCTCTCAGAGGACGAAATACTCGGTACTCACTCAAATCAATGAATGATTTCGCAAGCCATCTCGTTTCGAAGTATTAGAGGTATTACTTCTTCTTCCCCTGTGCTCTTTAATTACTCGGCACAGATTTCCCTGGTCGAACAATCAAAAGTGCCTCCCCAGAAAAAGACCCGTTGTGCCTAAATTCTGGCCCCGGAAATGACCCATCTTTGGCCTTTGGCTGTGCCAAGTCCTTCATCTTTTTCAACTTGGGGCGTCATCACAGAGTTAAGCGCATAGGCGAGCCCCAAAGAGGGGAGAGCTTCGCCCTCTTCTGATCCGAGCCCCGGAGATTCTTCTGTGGCCGAAGAGATCCACTGAGTTACTGGGGTTGTGGAGGGAGAGTGGAGGGGGGCGGCGGACTAACCTTCAAAGTGGTGGCGGGAACGCCATCTGATTAGCAAACTTGACTGCTTGGACTGGGACTGGGGGAGCCCGGGGGGGGAGCAGGTGACCCTTTTTCAAGCTCTGTTGACCAAGTTCTCGTCGATGGGCGTGTCCTGTACTGTCTTGGATGGGTGAGGAGCTGAGCAGGTGTGAGTGAGCAACGAGTGAAAGAAAGACTCGATGAATGGACTGCGCCCTGCCTGAACGGAGGAAGTGAACTACCTACCTAGTAGGTAGGACTAGTACTAAGGGATCCAGCATCGGTATTTTAGATTCTCCGGCTCCCGGAAGCTGCGCTCGAAACCCCAGAAAAATCCCATGAATCCTGGGATTGACGGATCCTCCACTCACCATCGCCTTCTTCCTTTTCTTTATTCCCAATTCGCTGGGAATCAGATTCATTCTTGGAGCCTCTCTAGCCTCCCTCCACTTTTCCTTCTGTCAAGGCTTCCACACGCGAATCAGCAGTCACAGGCGCCCACTCGCGTTGCCCTCTCCGCACCCTCACCATCTCGCCCATCTCCTTTCCCCCTCCTCAACCGTTCTCCCTCTGACGCCTCTCATCCCCGGCTTCTAACAACAAGAGTGGCCAAAACAAGACCCTGAGCTTTTGAAAGGGCGAAATCATCCAGACCTCCAGGCTATTTCGACTACCTAGTCATTACACAATCTCGACCTCTATTACCTTTCCCTCCACCGCTCCCACATTCTTTTCCCAATTCAACACCTCTCCCACATCCTCGCACAGGTCCCCCTCCACATATGCTCAAGTCATGGTCTTGCGACAGTGCACCGTATGTGGCCGCCGTTTCACAAAGACCGAACATTTCAAGCGCCATGAGCGCTCTCGTACGTCAAATTTCACCCTACCCCGCGCTAGCCTTTTACTCATGCATTGCCAGACACGCGAGAACGACCCTATCCATGTACTATCTGTGACAAGGCTTTCTCTCGCAGGTTCGTGCTTCCTTCGAGCTTTCTATTTGTGTGGTTGTTAACTTCAAATCTAGCGATGTCTTGTTCCGGCATATGAAATGCCATGCCCAAAAGAACGACAAATCGACTCCTGCCAATGCTTCCTCAAGGAGGAACACCATCTCAGAGGGCGTTCCACCTCAGCCTTCCCAGGATGAGTTCAACATCAACTCTCCTGGCGCCCTTGCCAATGGGCCCCATACGGGGATCCCCTTGATGCAGATTCTCTCTCCCAGTAACTACCTCTCTCAGACTGGGAATGATCCTTCTCAATCTGCCAGACAATCTTCGATAGATGTGTCTAACCCTTTTCTCGATGCCTCGTCGAATCCCAGCAATGCTCTTACCATACAGCTGCCTGGGTCGGCGTGGACGATGCCTTCCCCCATTACCACCTTGAACAACAAGACCTCGACTTCCTCACATGCCCAGAAACAGTCTCCATCGCAGAATAGTGGTGAAGTATCAACCTTTGAAACTTCGGTCACCAGCCCCCATAACAACCATGGGCAGACTCCCAGATCTGAGATCGCGCCCAACCAATTTTCCGACAGCCATATTGAGTGGCTTCCTCAGACGGACAATTCCAGCACCAGTAATTTCCACGATCCTTTTCAGATGTGGTTGTTTCCCTCCTTGGGCGACTTGGATCAATCTCCGGACTTCCTGCAAACCTATGGCATCCCTGATCCTCAACAGCCATACCAAGATTCGAAAGATATGGTGAATGGCAGGGCCTACGACCCTGTGGACAGGACGAAAAATATCGCCAAGGTCCCTCGGGAACGCTTCTCTAGGGTGCAGCGATGCTGGAATCCACGTCCAGGTCGCGTCCATCGCATCATGCCAGTGCTTTGGAGAGAAGTTGCTTCATCGCCAATGGACAACCTTTTCTCCGAGTCGCCTGTTGCAGATGACTTTCGGACCGCGTCGAACTGGGGTCTCGATACTGATTGCAGAGTTCGATTGAGGGACACATTCCGTACCCCCGCTCCGTCGGCATACCACTCGCCTAAACTGCAAGCAGTCGTCGATCCAGCTCTCTCATCTCAACAGCCAGCGAACGAAGAGTTCCCTCCCGCCGAGATACTTGATATCGCACTAGGCCTTTTCTTCCGTCGATTTCACCCTACTGTCCCCTTTATTCATATTGCGACGTTCTCCGTTCGAAATACTCCTGCACCAATGCTGTTCGCCATATGTCTTATTGGTTTGAGCATTCTGGGGACCACCGGCGCCACCAGATTTGTGTCCAAGATGTTCCCCAGCTTTTTACAACGTGTTTGTAATGATTTATCGGCCTGTGCGGGATTTTCTGCCACGCCGACGCAACAGATGGTCCTGTTTGCAACGGGTCTGCTGACGCTGAACTTATCTGTTATCACTGGAGACAAAGATTGCTTTAATCAGAGTCAGATGCTGTATGTTAGTCTGTTGGCTATGGTCCAGCAGAACGGGCTGTTCGCGGCCGGTGATGGGCAGTCTCTCGACGTGCTTCTGTCCGAAATGTCCGAATCCGATGATCGTTGGAAGGCGTGGAGCAGGATAGAGTCGGCGAAGCGTCTGATCCTCGGACTGCTACTATGTGATTCATGGTACTCGAACTTGTTGTCAAAGGCACCGATCGTGCGATCGGAATCCGTCTGCGTCGTGGCGCCTTGTGATGAAGCCCTCTTCCAAGCGAAATCCGCGACCCAATGGCAATCGCTGCTTCGCAGTGGTAAGAGCCAGAGTGCTCCAACCTTCAGGATTGAAGACCTGCACAAACAAGATATGGCACCAATTGGGAACTTAGGATACCTGGGCCGGTCATCACTACTCGCATTGCTCCAGATCCAAGTTCTGGAAGCTTATCAACGGCTTATGCCTTCGGATCAATTGACTATTGGGTCATACATACCGTGGCACGTCTACGCCGGCGATGCACGTGCTAGCACGCTTGTACCAGCGCTTCTCGCCGCTACTCACACCGCAGGCCCGCTTTCGAAAGTCGACGACACGAATTGCATTGTCCTCTGGCACAGTCTATGCGTCATGCTCTTGTCAGATTTTCGCATGTTTGAGTTGGCAGCCGGTCGCCACGGCGCTGCTCCTGCGACTGGTGCGTTGGAGAATATTTCCCAATGGAGCCAAACGCAAGCGGCGCGCAGGGCGTGCGTACACGCAGCACAGACGTTCAAACTCATGTCTGAGCGCCGAGTCAGTGACAACGTGACGATTCATAGCGTAACAGCACTCTTCGCCTCGGCACTCGTGCTCGGCCTCTACCTCTTCATGGTGAACCCGAGCTCCGGTCGGCAGGGCACCGCGCCCGTCGAGCTCATGGACGCGGACCCGGACTGGGCCGAGTTGGGAGACATGGGTTTCAAAGACGAAAGCCTGGACCCAACATCCGCCGAACGAAATCTCACCACCAATCGCGAGGACGAGCACTTCAGTCTGGTGTATCAATTCGTCAAATATGGCGGCGCCCTGTCCCTGGGCGGGGTGGCACATAGTGGCGGATACGAAGGTGCCAGGCGGGTGCTGTTGGACTTTGCAAACCTGATGGACGGCATCAGTGGGAGGAGGCTGAGGACGTTTACGCAGGTGCTGCATATCATGAGCGACGATCTGATGAATGTGGATCCGGCATTGTAGCCTACTACTAGGCCATGCATACCATGCTATGAGGCCGAGATACGCAAAGAAAGGGAAAACCAGAGTATTCCGAACATCCTTACTCGTGGAGTGTTGCCATGTCAGAGTGTGGACACTAGGTCCCGACCTCTACACCATATGTGCCAGGAGCTCTCTCGGGGGTAAGGGTGTCACACGTTGACGTAGAAAAAAACCCTTGAATGATAAACCTCCTTGAGAGCAGAATGTGCGTGCGTGTGTGTATATATGTATGTGCATACCTAGGTACCTTCTTCATTCCTCCGTCCTTTACGACTTTTTTGTCACTTGTCACCCACCTCTCCTATCAAGGGCCCCGAGGTACGGTATACCGAGGAAGCACGTGCGCGTCACCCTGGCGCTTTACTCGCGTTGCTGTTGAATGCGTGGACCGCAATGACACAATTTGTTATTTGTTGGCAACCCAAGGAGAGAGATTGATGCGAAGCAGAAAAACTCCCCCGTTTTATTTTCTATTCTATTCTACTCTAGACCGTGTGTCGTCTAAGGTTCTATTCTATGCTGTATAGAATTCCGGGGTAGCGCAAAAGAGAAGACACACAAATGACTGGCACCACTGAATTCCCCAGCGGTGACATGTGTCTTTTTCGTCAAAAACTCCGTTCTAATGTATGTTGTTGCGATCCAATCCAATCGCCCAGAGCAAAAAGCCCCTCAAGCAAGAAAAACTCCGGTCTTCCCTGTTCGTTTTTGCGAAATCATTGTCCGTCTCCCCTCTGAGAGAATAATGTCTAGTCGCTCATGACTTCTGGCCGAGTTTCTTGAGCTGTTCATTGATGCCCTTCAGTTCGCCCAGTCGGACCTCCTCGCCCTGGTGCAGGATGTGGAGGTGCTCCTGCTTCAGGCGCCGGAATTCCTCGTCCAGCCGTTCGTGCCAGGGATAGAGGACGAAGACCTGGAAGCCCAGGGCCGAAGTGGCGATGACGAAATTCGTCAGGGAGACGCCGCGCGTGAATATCATGGTTCGTTGCTGAGGGGGGACCACACAGGCCCGATTTTTATCTCGCTTCTGGGGGAAGGGGGTTTGTTTGTTTGTTTGTTATACTGCTTCGTGGCGCTTTAGTTAGATTAGAAGGTTGCGGGGAAATCTTCCAGCGTGGGTTGGTGGGCCGGCGACAACGACTTACTTGTATCCGACAGTGCTTCGGGCTTTTTTATAAAAGTAAATCAAGCGTCAAAAGTCTTGCGAGCGAGACACAGGTGACGTACACTCAGACAGACAGACAGACAGGAAAAGCGACGGGCAATACCGTGGAGGCGGGTTGAGTGATTGACTTCCCCCTCGAGGCCTCCTGGAGCTCCAGGTATTGAGGATAAGGACAGTGGAAACGTGAGGGCTTTGAGGGAATAGAACAGAGGTGAAAAGAAAGGAAAAACGAAACTGGGGCGAGAAGAGAAGAAGAAGAAGTGGTCTCGTTCTTGCTTTCCTGCTTCGGGTAGTCACGACTCACGAGACAAGATGCCCAGTCTGACGCTAGATATTGATCGGAGGCGGATAAAAAAAAGAATGAAAAAAAAGGGCCAAGCATTTCAAAAGGCTACGAGTCGGGGGGCTCTGTTCTTTCCTGCCTCTTCTGCCCGGTGAGAAGGGTGACCATCTTTTGATTCGTTTCTGACGACCAGCGTTATCGGTGGTTTGTGAAAGGTGAGGAAACGTGAGATGGCGGTTCTTTCCACAGGCGGTTTAGTGCCATCGCGCCATGTGGATGTCATTGCCGACCGTGAGCGAATTCTGCAGCCTTGCTCCGATCTTCGGCCGTGATTCGGAGTCAAAGCCTGTAACTCGGTACCTACAGCACAACTGAACGTAGGGAGCAACGGAGTACTGCCGAGTAACCAAGAGGTACCTCGTCACGACCAAACACGCTCCGAGAGACAATGGAGATACCCACCAAGACGAATTCCACCTCCTACCTACGCAGGACAATCTTGCGGGAAATGAGGTCCTTCTGGGAGATCACGTCAACGAGAAAAAGCGCATGGGATAAAACAATATGGGAACCCTCCACTCTGTCGAACCCAAGACTGCCTTTCGCGCATTCACGCAGTACCGAGAACATGTCGTCTGGTGAAACATGAACGTCCCAAGTTGACTCTCCCACGGATGACGCCACTATCCGAGGTACTTCTGGGGCGTTCTAGCCCTGGCGTATTCGAAGACTAAGCCTTGGGCATCAAAACCCCCCCAAGGGCGAGTTCGTTCCAGCCCACAAAGAATATCCCGGTGGCGTCGCCATTCACCGCTGCGCCTTGTCGAGAGAGAGGAGCACCATACGTACCGAGTAGACTGGTGTATAATGAGGGCACAATCCCGATGGCTGAGGTGAACAGACCGAGTGAGTGGTGCTCGGCGGGGCACTATCTGACCTCGACTTCTCAGGCACCTGGGCACCCCACATGCTGTTTCGCATGAATCTTGTTTCAAACGTCCATTCTTCCCGAGGAGAACCGGCGGCAGCCCTCATGGCTATCCCACGTACTTTATGGCGGCTGAGGGACGCGTCTCTGTGCTCTACTCGTACCATTCCGCCTCAGCCTCGCGGAACCTCCGAGCTGTCCTCCCAAAGAACGGCAACTCTGAAAATGCCCATGGGTATGGTGGCGCTTCAAACAAACCGCATTGCTAGTTGGCATTCAGCGCCTTTGCGGAGAACGACGAGGAATTCAAACAACAGATCACTTTCGCCGATCCAGTCATTTTGGCTCATGGTATCGTCAATCCCCCGCTACTACGGAGGTTCTAACAGTCTATACAAAACGGCCGTCGGGTCATCATCACAGGTCAAAGTCATCATTCCAACCCAACTTGTCGTAAATATCATCTTCCTCGACATTCCCCATGGGAAAGTCCTTTGGCTCAACGGTCCCTCGTGCAGGCGTCTTCGTCACACCATCTGTAGTACTTTGCGACCACTGAAAGCTGTCATCCATCATCATCCCGCGGCCCCTGCCGCCCATGACTCGATCCATCATGCGTCCGGCCTGCTCAGGAATCTCCGGGGCGTCACGGAATACATGGTCCAGCGGCACATCGGACCTTTTCACGGGCGTAAACAGAACTGGCCGCCGGGAGCGAGTCATGTGCAAGTTTTGCACACTGTTGATCTCCTCGTAAGGACCGGCCTGCGCGGGGGATCCGGAGGGCGGATCGTGCTCTGACAAAGGCTCGCCTTCTCTACCCATGTTCACTTGTTTGGACGCCGGGGTCGCTGCGATCGTGAATTGGTCTACCTCCTTTGCCAGAGGGGGACAGACCGGAGGTAAGTCCAGAGGATTCGAAGTTTTCTTCACGACCCCGCGTGATGGCGTCTCATGGATAGCTGCAAGGACTGCTCGTTTGGTGGCTGACGATCTAGTCGTGCTGTTCGAACTCGGTATTCCAGAACGTAAAGGCCGAGCCTTGATCGTTGACGAAGGAATGACCATCCCTGCATCACGTTCCTGAATCTTCAATTTTGGCAATTGCGGCAGCTCGGGCTCCATCAGCGACTCCTTGACTCTCCTCGCCCTTGGCGTCGCAGATATCTGGACTGCTGATTTTCTCTCTTTCTCCTTACTCTTCCTGTCCTCGACTTCGTCCATGAAGAGCCCCGCCGCGGTCTTGCGATCAGGCTTCTTAAGCGCGTCAATCGCGGCCTCCAGCTCCCTCTTCTGTTGCGCCAGCCGATCGAGCTTACGCCGTTTCTGCTCATGCGCTTTTTGATCCGCGGCAAGGTCAATTTCGCGATTGCTGAAAGAGACTGATTTCGAGAGGTTGCCTCCCCGAGAGACTGGCCTCTCCGAGGGCTCGCGCTTTAGAGCGGGGATTATAGGGTTGTGGGTCACGGAGGCTGTTGCTGAGGGTCCGCGCGAGAAGGTGGTTGGTGGAGAGGTGTGCCGATGAAGTTGGTGGTCTTCACTGAGAACCCTTTCGAGAGTCCGTTTTGCAAGCGGCCTGGCTGATTTTGATCTCGTGAGCGATGATATTGACGACGATCGATGTAGGGTCATTGCAGGCGCTGGATGAAGTTGTTTGGATCGCTTGGGCGAAATTTCAGGTCCGCCGAGCTTACGACATATTGATTTGACTTGCTCGGGAAGTTTGGTCGAGTAGAATGGGAGGAGGACGTCTTTGCAAAAGTCCTTGAGGGGTTCATTGGGTTTCGAAGAGGTGCTGCTGCTGCCATCCTTCCGGCCTCCATCTTCTGTCGCAGGGAAGTCGTCCAGGCTGACGGTGTGCCAGATGCATAGACGATCGACTATAGTATCCATCTCACTCGACCAGTTGCGCCTCTTCTTCTCCTTTGGTGGCACTTGCGGAACTGTGGCCAGAATCTCATTGTTTTCGTCCTCGACCGACTGGAGTTTTACCTCTGGATCTGTTACTTGGGCTGGCTTCGCAGTCTCTGAGAGTCGTGACCCTGCAAGTCCGAGCAACATGACCTCTAGAATTAGAAGCATTTGCATCTCACTCTCCCGCATACGCAAGTCTGCGAACTCTTTCCGCATCTCCTCGGCCTGACCAGTTGCTGTAAGACTCGTCGCCTTTAAATCCCTACCACGCCACCACTTCGCAATGAACTCCTCCTCATCAGGCCATAGACAATCCTTGCCCAGCTTTACTTTCTTCTTCCGAGACTTTTTCTTCTTCTGAGATGTGTCTTGTCCGACGAAACCTTCTCCTTCCTGCTCGACGATCATTGGTGGCAGTTCTCTGATTACTTTTGACAGGGACTCCTTGTATTTCAGGTCGATTTTCTTTGTAGGCAATATACTCTGCTCATAGAACTCGGAGAGTTCGAGTATTGCTTTTGCAGGATCTCCACCTGACCGCACATGTGCTCGCGCCCGACTCAGTGGTCCTTTGACGTAGAATGCCAGTGAAGTTTTGGAAGTATAGAGATGCTCAAAATATTGTGTCCGGAGACGCTCAGGTCCCGTAGGGCCCGGGCCAGCCCAAAGGTTTTCTGATGCAGCGAGAGATGCGGGTGCTGGAAGAAGAGCCCCGTTCAGTGGAACAGTATTGTCGAATGGGTCTTGAAAGCCGATTCCTGAGGAGGTGGTGACTGTTGTGGGGGCTCCCAACAGACTTGAGGGTGGAATAGCTGGGGATTGCATAACGGGATCGGGAATCGGGATCTGAGCCATATCCTGGCCAGCCAGATCATCCAAATAAGCAGCAGTCGGCTGCTGAGAGAGGTGGGGAGAGTTCGGTGGAATCATGAACCCGTGAGAGGCACGATCCTTCGGCTTCAAGATTGACATCCTGGCCAATGCCCCGCGTCGATTTGTTGGTTTCTTGGGACTCTTCGGCGTGGACAATGCTGGCAGACTCGAGACTGATCCTGTACGTGTATGGGAATTGCGAAGGCCGTCATCTCCCTCTGCCCGCAATAAATCCTCAACTTTGACCTCAGCTACTTTTCCGATTGCAGCATCATAGCACCATGCTTCCGAAATCGAACTGTGCAATGGACATGCAATGTAGACATCTTGGCCAATCCGCTCAACGGCATGGAGACCGCCGTTAGGAACTTGACGGACGAGCAGAATACGTTGTTCCCATTCTTCCACTGAAAGAATGGTTGCTTCAAAGATCGTGCGGCTAGTACCGGCAGAGGTGTCGAGCCATGCCAATGGCAGACATGCCCGAGCCACAAGCGTTACCGGCGCGAAGTTGAGGACTGTTTGCTTTGGAGAGAGTAACTTCGCAGCGAAAACGTCTGACTGCAGGCCATGATTGCCAGGCTCAATCTCACTGCTTTTTCTCTTCCTGCTGTGGATGAGGTTGGAGGAGTCGAACGCGACGTTCAAACTGCTATCACCGGTTGGGACGAGTATTGGTCGTTGAAGATCCAAAAGGGATGGTGATTGCATATCGTGCCATTACGAAGGTAAGAATAGTCGTCAATGTCGAACCGATCGTGAAGAAAAGTGACTTCCTGGTTGGAAAAGGGTACGCGGTGAGAAATGGAGACTTTTGACGTCACGCGTCGAGGATGGGGCTGAAACACAGCCTTGTGAACGCAGCCTTGTCAGTACAGCATCGTGGCCCACGGGCCTGCTGGGTCCATAAATCATGATGCCGGGACTAACGATGGCAGATTACCATTGCACATGGCCCAGGCTGCATCCTAGTTTCGTCGCTCTCGCTTTTCTTCACTTGACAGAGCTTAGAAAACATATTGTATTCTATCCACTACCCACAACCGATTCGCAGCCGCCTATGAGCTTTATCAGTTGGTTGAAGCTTCTCAAGCTGAGAGCCAGAATACTCTACCCGATGACTATGCATTCCAGCGCCATGGCGCCATGGAATTTATGAACAACAATAGCGCCAAAACGCTGCAAACCCATTCTTCATCCGAGAACAACAGCCAGAACCACAATCAAGAGGACCACTGCTAAAATGACTAGCAAACAACAGGCCTTGTTTCTCGCCGATTTCTGGTACCGGCTGGCGCTTCGCAATTCTGTGTCCGCTCCCCTGGTGTCGGTCAATGTGTTCTCGACGTTGATATCAATGGCGTCAATCATGTCGCCTTGGTCTCGAACAAGATGGGCGACATCCCGGAACAGCTCGTTCAATTCGCCGACCGATTGCTCGATCTGCCGGATCTCTCCTTCTCGTTCAATAATCAGATTTTCCTGAAAGTCGACTTCGCTTTGTTCTGCGAGCCGAGGTTCTTCAAGCAACTGGCGCTGTTGGCCACCCTCTGCCAACGGCGACTGGCCTGACTGGGTTTCCTCAAGTGCAGCTTTTGACGCTCGTTCCCTCTCTATTGCCCTTCGCTGGACCACCTGGAATTCGGACAGGGCAGAGGCAAACTCTCGGGAGAGTTTCTGATTTGTGTACCGTTGTGCAGGCTAATCGCGGAGTTAGTGGCTTTGAGGCATTTGCGAAGTAGAGCTACTGACATTCAGATCTGACCAGGTTTGCGCCCTCTTGACGCCATCTCCAACCTCTTTGAACCCCTGTCTAGTCTCCTCCAGCAAATCATGTATCCTCTCTCGACCTCTCTCGGTATCCTTTTTAGAGAGTTGATTGGAAAGTCGGGAGATGTTCGAGGTCAATTCGAAGAGTCGGGTCGATAGCGACTCGGTTAACCTTTGAAACTCTGGATCATCTCTGTATTGCGGGTCATCCTGCCTCCGAGTGGTGGTGGGTTGCGACTCAAGTGACGATAGCCGATCGAACGACATGGCGTTTGTGGCGGGCGGATTGTACTTGTGTTATTGTCGCACTAGAGACAAAGCTCAGTCGAAGATATGTAGAGCACAACTGAGGGTGAATGAATCGATCACTGTGAAAGATGGTGGAAGCCTGCCGAGTGGGAAGGAATTGCAGTTGAAATGCGGCACTTGCGACTCCAGCCACTCAGCCTGCTCCCCATCACGTGGACTGGCGTCATTCCCCGACGACACGTTGCCCACTGCACAATTTTGTTTACATGTTCAATGTCCATTAGCAAGAACTGGGCTTTCACTCCATCTTCAACATCCTTGCCTCTCCTGAACCTACGACTTCGTCTCCGCAGCGCTCGCTGGTCGAAGACTGCTTTGCTATATCATGATCCCATTTTCCTAGTATCCTGCCTACCACAATGGCGAGTCCTGCTGCCGCCTCCCTGAATCCTCCCCCTCGACCCTACCGACGGTTTTTGACCTCCGCTCTCCACAAACGATTTGTGCATGCTGCATTGATCACCCTCCTCGTCGCCCTCCTGGATGCTGTTTGTCTCGGTCCGAAGAAAGACATATTCTGGTCATGGTTTCCTTTCGGACCTGCAGGACTCAGAGCGTTGCTCTTTTTCATGTCCAGCCTGTTTGTCTTCATCCTCCAGATAGCCACCCTGAACATCGGCAAACAGACGACAACTTCCCCTTTTGCGACCTTTAGAACCAACTTTCTCAGCACATCAGCTGTGCAGACATTGTTCTGGTACTTGGTCTCAGGATGGTGGTTCACTGAAGCTTACATTTGGTCCTCTCCAGACCTTGGCTGGATCACAAGGGGAAACCATAATACTCCTGACATTCTGAATGAGAGACCTATATACTTCCGGCTTTACGCATTACTTCTTGCGGTCGCATATGCAGGAGTCCATCTTTACCGCGGAAATTCAACACTCCTCATCCCCGTCTCAAAACTACCAAGCACGCCGAACCCCGACACCAAAGCACAAGACACCCACCCGGTCGAGCCTATTCAGACACGACTGCTACGCAAATTACTTTCAGTGCTCATAGAGAGCACTCTCATACCAGGGGCCATGATCGTTGTGGCGCCTTTCATTTACGGCCTCTTCCTACGAAACATCTTCTGGCAGCTTCATCTTGCGATGGCAAAACCGTTCTTCAACTTGTCAAGAGCAAACGCCCGACCGGTTGGATATCCTCTTCTAGGTCTCGGCTATCTTTTCCGATGCTTCGGTGCCGGGTTTCTTCTCATTCTGACATGGGAGTTAACTTCGCTCCTCTTCTTGATCTATCTCAATCAGCAACCCACAAAGTCGGGGTTGCCGCTTTCCGCTTCCAGCAAAGATCCCAATGGAACACTTCTTAACGGGCTAAAAGCCAAACGAGATGTTGTGCGAACCTTTGCCTTTTGGGAGCTAGCTATCATCGCCCACAAACACAAGGAACGAAGAAAGGCCATTTTCGAAGATATTGAACGACCCACTGGACCAATGTGGAGCCAAATGGTGCAGGCCGCGTTGAAAATCTTGCAAGAAGTGCAAATTCGCATTGTTGGGCCTCCAGCAGTGGTCCCACAGCCTAGCGCTGCGGACCAAATCAAATCTCTACCACGCATTGTTCCCGAAGTTCCAAGTCAGTCGATCTTTCAAGGAAGTCCGAAACCAAGCGTGGGCGAGAGGCTGCTGGCGAGTCCCTTGCGACAAATCGGCAGTAGTAAACAGCCCTGGCACCCACCTATCGAGCAGACGGCAAAATCAGTCGAAACAAAATTGCTCGAATACGCAAAGCCGCCTGGCAGTGCTGGAACGCCAGCAAAAAGTCTTGCAGATCAATGGATGACCGCTCTAAAGCAAAGTCGCATTGGTTGGTTCTTCGTCTCCACAAATGCCGCCAGAATCAACGCCATGGTACTCGGATCTCCCCATGGGAATGCAGCATTGATTGTCGATGTAATTGAGTCGATAACCAAAATGCAGGTTGCCAGTCTCACTGAAGATACTTACGGCAAAGCCACTCCGACTGTGCCAGACACTGTTAGAACATTTACCAAAACCTTGAACATAATCGAAGACTATGTATCCAAAAACAAGCAAGGTGTCACGGATGACATCGAAGAAGTCGAGATCATCATCGCAAGATTAAGGGCCGGGCTTAAGGAGTTGTTGTCAGCTTTTCAGGTATACCTGATCGATCAAGGTTTGGGTATTGCCGACCTCAATCAGGCCAAAAAGGCAGTACAGGTACCAGACCTAGAGGAAGTGCAAGAAAAGCCTAAACCCAGGGCCGTTGAACAGCAAACGCAGAGGCGACTTTTCCAGAAAGACGCGCAAAAAGATGGTGCAAAAGACAGGCAACGCATCTCAGATGATAAGATCCCGAGATTAGAGCCGTCGGGATGGTCTGGATCTAATCCTCAAAACGGCCGTTTGTTCCAGAGAAGAGAAATGGAACAAGTCAGGTAGCACCAGACAATCAAGTTAGATCAAGGTCTTTTCATCCACCGGAGCTTTTATCTCAGTGAGCCACGAGCTCACTGGAAGTCCAATTCTTCACTTCGGGCGCTTCCCTTTTCCTCTGACTTTCCTGCTGACTATCCCAGAACACACCTTCTGCTCCAGGGGGTCTTCCTTGTCCGTCTTTATCATACGTATTACTCTCATCAACCTGACCATCTATTTCATCCTTTTTTGCAGCAACATCCCAGACCTCCTCTCTAGCTCTCTCGCAGGCCTGGCAGATTTCCTTCATGTTTTCGTCGACCTGTTTAGCTTGCTCCCGCATCCCCCGTCTCGAGAGACCCGCAAGAAGACGACCGACTTCTTCATGGAGACCGTTCACGCGGTCGACCAATCTCCCCACACTGGCGACGAGGTAGTCCTCCTCGTACACGGAGCCCTTTTTGCCTCGGGCGCGCTTGCGTTCCTCGCGGCGTTTCGTCTTGGACGTCTTTCGGGAGATGTTTGAAGCGACTGTTCCGCCGAATTTACTGGCGTTGCTGCCGTAGCGGGTGAAGAGGCTCTGGCCGCCGAGAGTGCTGGCGTCCGTGGCTGCGAGGGAGACGTTGTCCGGGATATCTGCGCCATCCGCGGCAGCGGTGGTCGTGGGATCACCCCCAAAGAAAGCCAACGGATCTTCCTCCTTTTTCTTGCGGAGTTCGATGATGCGCGGGACCTGTGCGTTCAACTGTGCGCGACAGTCTGCCAAGAGTTCGAGGATTTCGCCGACTTTCTCGCCTAGTCCTGCGTCTATTATCTGGTGGATCTCGGAGATGGGGTGTTCGTCGTGGGCGAGAATACGCATCGCTTCGGCGAAATAAGAACCCCGGCACAGCAGTTTTGCCGCCTCTGGAATATTGGAGAGGTAGTCGATTTGAATCGTCGCTGCGGCGCGGTAGTCGCGGTTTTCGTCCGTCAACGTCGCTGCCAGACTCTGGGCGAGCGACCCGAGCGGTGCAGCTTCCAAAGGAACGAGGGTCGCACAGGCCAGGGCTTCTCGCCACTTGTGCGCCAGTGCGTACAGCTTGTACGCGGCATCGTAATCGCCCAGTGATTCGTAAAGCGTGGCCGCTTGCGCGTGATGCGATTTTTGGGTCGTGAGATATTCGGCGTACATCCGGGTGATCTGGGTCAGATGGACTTGATCGTACTTGTACAGCTCCATCGCCGTGGTGTACAGGGTATGTTTGACTGTGTAGGAAGCGACTTGCTCGTGGTCACCTATCGCATGTAAAGAGACCAACGCTTTGCTGTATTTCTTGAGATGGTCGTCAATCGTGTACTTGCGCCTCAGCTCCGACATCTCCTGTAGAGATTGCAGATACGGCATGTATTCCCTCGGATCTCTGGAGCTGTCATTCTGCGCGACGAGGAGTGTCAATTCGAGATCGTAGAGGGAGAGGGCAGCGTCGAACAAGAGGGACGGATTGGGCGTGAGAAAGAACAGGTGAGAGATTGCAATGTCGTCTTCTTCTTTGGAAGTCTGGACAAGGGTAGAGACGAGTGTCAAGGCAGAGAATAAATCCGGAGGCCGCTTGCAGACGTGGGCCGTTATGATGGTTTGCAGGTAAGACGAAGAGGGTTTTGAAGCCAGGCTGGAGAGGAACGTGTCGGCAATCTTGTTGATTTTGCTGCCTGCAACGACGACATTGGTCGATTTTGTATGGGAAGCAGAGAGTGGCTGTGGCACTGCTGGCTCGGATTGAGACTGCAATGTCGTGTCGCGGTAGAGTGTCTGGGTGACGTCCTCGTCCCTGAGCTTCGAGAGAAAGCCGTCCACGCGGCTGGGTTTTTTAAGTTGATCGATGAATTTGGGCACATTGGACAGGAAAGTGGCTGGGTCATAGTCGTGAAGGATATTCATATCGACCTGGTGAGTTTGACAGGCCAGAAAAGCAGCGAGGTAGTCCTGCTGCTTGAGGTGCCTGCGTATTCCAGAGAGGACCAGCAGACGAGGGTAGATGGTCTCAAGGTTTCCACGCGGCATTTGGAGAACCACGGCGTATATGGATGGAATGACTGTCACGATGTGTGCGCCTCTTTCGACGTTTCTGCATCGTTCGTCGATCTCGGGTGTGTCCTTGGGGACCTGCATTGCCGAGGGATGGGTGAGATGGACGAATTTCAGGAGGTGTGAGGACGTGGTGAAGATTAGATGTGTGGAGGTTAACATGTAGGAAGTAACTTCGCGGACGAGAAGCATGTCGTCGACGTACAGGTTTCCCTTGGGCGATAGAGAGACTTTGTGGTATTCCGGGCTGTGACCGTTCGTCTCACCATTCTCCTGAAGATGTCCGGTATGGCGGAGCGTAAAGACGGAGCTGTTGGCTTGACTACCGCTCAGTTCGACAGATTGAAGGCTCATCGACCCAGAATGGTCTGAGAGCTGGACTGTGGTATGCTCACTCGGATCGGTAGCGAATATAGACTCGGAAAACACGTCCGTTACCAGGCTTTCAGATCGTTCAGGCGCCGGAAATTGTTCCCAAGATAGGCTCGAACTCTCGTGCCACTTCATTTTCCAACAAGACGCTGGTCTCGTTGACTGCCCTGGCGCAATGACAAATATTTCGTCGTTCCTGAAGGCCACCTGGGTATAGTGGAGAGACTCTGGTCCTGTCAAGAGTGTCGGAATTGGATGGGAACGCCGCTCGGTTGTAGAGGTGAATATCAAATCTCCTTTCCCGTTGGGAGGACGGGTCTTCCATTGACACAGCTCCAACGTTTCTGTCGTTAGGACAGCAAAGCTCTTGCCATCCTGGCCGATGGCGCAGTCAACGATGTTGTGGTCAAAAACAGCCTCACAGAAAGCCATTGGTGGCGGCACACCGGCTTGCTTGAAGGGCGTGAGTTTCAGTATCTTGCCATCGATAACTGCGACGATGCCATAGTCTTGCGGTGGGACTGTGCTACCTGCTGACACCGCGGACAGAAACGTGAGGTCCAACAGCGTTTTGGAATCACCGAAGGACGCCCTCAGAGGTGTTTCGGGATGCCATCTTAGAGGGTAGCTGGAGGAGGAGGACGGTGATGATGAATGGAAGAGAACCTCTTGTTTCAGATAGTAGTGGTAATTGCCCATCGTCCAAAAATGAACCCTGTCCTTGAAGGCGACAGCCAGAACTGTGGAGTCTGTGTTCCATGAAAGGGAAATGCTAGAGGCCCACTCGTCCGTTTCTTCTTTGCTCGTTCTGAGATCGAACTGACCATGACGGAGACCATTTCTCTCGAAGAAGACGACCTCCAACTTGGTGTCAGACCGCCTGACACTGGCAATGAGATTGCCCGAGGGCTTCCAGCTTAGTGCAGACTCCATACCGTCAACCGGTTCACTAGCACTGTCCAGGACAGCCTCACGCGTGAAGACCCGGATAACTCGGCGTTGACCAGGCACCACGCTGCTGATGGCAAGGCATTGCCCATCTCCTCGCCAGCTGACTGTAACCTTGTTATCCTCAAAAGGGCTCAATCTGCCCTCTTCGACCTTTTCCGGCACTGTAGGATCTCGCATAGCTTTTGCGCGTCTCCCTTGGAACTGAGTCTCCTTGTGACCCCAGCCAACCGACACATGCTTGGAGACTTTGAGGTCTTCCGGCGATAGAGTACCTTCATTGAGCGGTTCGAAAGTCCTACTCATCAGCACGAGTGTGTCCGCGCGGGTGACAATGGCCAGTAATTCTTCATCTGGAGCCCAAGCAGCAGCACAGATTCCGATGTCGACGGTGCCGACAATTTCAATCTTTTCTTGTTCCGGACTCGGATCCTCGCGCACAACCACTACATCCCCGCCAGCCAGGACAAGGCAAGATGTTGCAATGTCTGGGAAATATTGAAGCAGCAATATCTCATCACATTCTAGATCTGGCAGCGGGCATGGCGAATCCCATGAAGTGATACTTACGAACCCGCCATGACCAGACGAGGTCGCAACACTTCTTTTCAGTTCGATTATAGGCTGTGTGGGAGTTGGGCCAAAGGCACAAATTATTGCATTAGTCGAGGTGTCCCATGCGGTGGCTTTTAGTGGCAATCCATCTGGTAGCTGGGTCTCATGATATGCTATTGTCCTCAGGTTTCGCATGATGATGGTCAGGGACTCAGCATTACAGCGCACTGCCTATGCGTGGACGGGAAAAGCTGGAGGTTTGTATGAAAATAGGTGTTTAAAGAAATAAAATTTACTGGGACATTACGCGCATTCTGATTGGACAGCCTTGTGCTTGTTCCCTGGGAGTGGTGGACGAGGCAAACCCACCGCAAATGACATGAAGACGACCTCGGAATGAAGAATAGGAGAGGGTAAAGATCAATAGACATCCATGATGGCTGATAAGATTTTATTTCTGGCTCTGTACAAATTCCAGTTGCGAGGGTGCCATTCCCGCACCGGTTCCTCACGCGATTTGATATTCCATGGCCAACTCCAGACTCTCCGGATCTCTCAAGCCTTGTACGTGTGCCAGACTATCCCATGTGTCAGCATGTCTTTTTAAAAAACGAATTTTGGCCAGCGCTTACCGGCCATGCCGAACGGAATGCCAAATCCAGTCACTGTACGCTTCATTTAGTCTCGTGTGCCTTCCAACTCGAAGTGTCCTTACCCATGAAACCCCAGTATCGCACCCAGAAGAATCTCGTCTTTGGGTTGAAAGGCAAGTTGGTGTAAGGTCCTTCGGGATAGTGATAAGGGCTGAAATTGTCTGCTCGACGGGCGGTGGAGGAGAAGCCGCGGCGGGCGACGAGTTGGGTTGCCATTCTGGCGCGGAGGATTGCTTGGGCGTTCATCTGGAGGCTGCATCAGTACATCGCCAGGACGACATGTGCTGTTCATACCTTTATCTAACTCTCGCTCCAGTAATGGTGGTGTTGGAAGAGATGAAACAAAGTGAGGTGATGTCGTTCATCGACTGATTGAAGCTGCTCGTTAGGAGCTCTCCGCTGGACTTGGCAAGGCTGTCGGCGCACTTTCCGTTTACAAAGGGCTTTCGGCGCACCTTCCACTTACAGCATTTCACATTAAATCTTTCGTCGCCATTCCGCCGTTGTTTTTCACTGTCGATTGTTGCGACACTCTCTCTGCGTCAAGAGCACAACCTTCTAGCCTCCGCGAAAATGGATGAGCTATTTGACGTTTTTGAGGAAAACGGCCAGGTGCCACCTGCCACAGCTCTCACCAAAGCACAAAGAAAGCGGTTGAAGAGACAGGCTAACGGCGAAGTGAAAGATCCCGATGCCGAAGAAGTAACTGCTCCCTCTAGTGACGGGAGCGCCTCGGTTTCGGAAGATGTTGACAAGGAAATGACGGATGGGGATGCGCCGGATACCAAACGAATGCGCATGGAAGAGGAACCAGAGCCTGTCGTCACCGATACTTTCGAGACCGAACAATCCAGAGAAGTTGCCGCATCTGCTGGCTTGCTCCCAGGCAAAGAAGAAGAGAAGGTTATCCTGTCACACCAAGTTCGTCACCAAGTTGCCTTGCCACCTGACTATGACTACGTACCCATCTCAGAGCACAAACCGCCGGCAGAACCCGCTCGGACGTGGAAATTCCAGCTTGATCCCTTTCAACAAGTCTCCATTGCCTCAATTGAACGAAATGAGAGCGTCCTCGTCTCCGCTCATACTAGCGCAGGCAAAACCGTTGTGGCCGAATATGCAATTGCTCAGTGTCTCAAGAACAACCAACGAGTCATTTACACTAGTCCAATCAAGGCGCTCAGCAACCAGAAATATCGAGAGTTTCAAGCCGACTTTGGTGACGTTGGTCTCATGACTGGCGATGTCACAATCAACCCTACAGCCACCTGCCTAGTTATGACTACCGAGATTCTGCGCTCAATGCTCTATCGCGGGTCCGAGATCATGCGAGAAGTGGGATGGGTGATTTTTGACGAGATTCATTACCTGCGTGACAAGGTCCGAGGCGTTGTGTGGGAAGAGACGATCATTCTACTACCGGACAAAGTTCGCTATGTGTTCTTGTCAGCCACCATTCCGAACGCAATGCAGTTTGCTGAATGGATCACAAAGACCCATAACCAACCATGTCACGTTGTCTACACAGATTTCAGACCAACCCCCTTGCAACACTACTTCTTTCCTGCTGGTGCCGACGGGATTCACTTGATAGTGGACGAAAAGGGTGTCTTCAGAGAAGAAAACTTCCAAAAAGCCATGAGTTCCATTGCCGACAAACAAGGTGACGATCCTTCAAATGCCTTGGCCCGTAGGAAGGGCAAAGGAAGGGACAAGAAGTTGAATAAAGGAGGCACTAGAGGTCCCTCTGATATCTACAAAATTGTCCGAATGATCATGACCAAGAACTACAACCCAGTCATTGTTTTCAGCTTCAGCAAAAGAGATTGCGAGGCCTATGCTATTCAAATGAGCAGCATGTCCTTCAATGAAGAATCGGAGAAGGCCATGGTCTCGAAAGTGTTTGATAGCGCTTTGGAAATGCTCTCACCCGAGGACAAGAATTTGCCACAAATCCAACACTTATTGCCACTTTTGAGACGAGGAATCGGCATCCATCACTCCGGCTTGTTGCCAATCCTCAAGGAGACCATCGAGATTCTGTTCCAAGAGGGCCTGATCAAGGTTCTGTTCGCAACTGAGACGTTCTCTATCGGACTCAACATGCCGGCTAAGACTGTCGTCTTTACCAGTGTTCGCAAATTTGATGGTATCTCGCAAAGATGGATTACGCCCTCTGAATTCATCCAAATGTCTGGCCGCGCTGGACGTCGTGGACTCGACGAACGAGGGATTGTTATAATGATGATCAACGAGCAGATGGAACCCGGCGTTGCCAAGGACATTGTCCGTGGCGAGCAGGATAAATTGAACTCTGCCTTTTATCTTGGTTACAACATGATTCTGAATCTGCTCCGAGTTGAAGGCATTTCTCCTGAGTTTATGCTTGAGAGGTGCTTTCATCAGTTCCAAAATACTGCCAGTGTGTCCGGCCTTGAGAAAGAATTGCAGCAACTGGAAGCAGATAAGTCAGCGATGGTCATCGAAGACGAAAGCGCAATTCGAGCCTACTACGAGCTTAGGAAACAGCTTGATGTCTATGCCGAGGACATGCGCATGGTGATTATCCACCCCAACTACTGTCTGCCTTTCATGCAGCCGGGTCGTCTGGTGGAGATCAAAGATGGAGAGCATGATTTTGGCTGGGGAGCCGTCTTGAACTTTACAAAGAGAAGCCAAAGCAAATCAGTGGAGAATTTGATACCTCAGGAGGAGTGGATCCTCGACATTGCGTTGGAGGTTGCTGAAGGACCTGCCCCTGCGACCAAGACTTTCCAGTCTCTTCCCCATGGAATTCGTCCTCCTCAACCTGGTGAGAAGTCCAAAGTCGAAGTCGTCCCGGTCTCGCTCAAGTGCGTTCAAAAGATCTCTCATATCCGCATATTCCCCCCTGCCGACATGACAATCTCCGAGGAGAAAAAGAAAGTGCAGCAAGCATTAGCCGAAGTGAAGAGACGGTTCCCTGACGGTTTGGCTGTGCTGGATCCGATTGAGAACATGAAGATAACAGATAACTCGTTCAAGGATCTACTTCGCAAGATCGAGATCATGGAGTCGAGGTTGGTGGCCAATCCACTGCACCACTCTCCTCGCCTGGAAGGCCTTTACAACCAGTACGCGGCCAAGGTGAATCTCACCAATAAGATCCGAAATCTGAAGAAGCAAATCCAAGATGCACATGCCATTATGCAGCTGGAAGAGTTGAAGTGCCGGAAGCGAGTTCTCCGCCGACTGCAGTTCATCAACGAGGATGAAGTGGTCCAACTCAAGGCCCGTGTCGCGTGTGAGATCAGCACTGGCGATGAATTGATGCTTAGTGAGCTCCTCTTCAACCGATTCTTCAACGACTTGAACCCAGAGCAATGTGCAGCAGTCATGAGCTGCTTTGTCTTTGAAGAAAAGGTCAATGAGACCCCTAATTTACCCGAGGATCTTGCGAAGCCTTTGCGTGAGATACAAAGACAAGCCAGACACATTGCCAAGGTGTCGGTGGAGTCGAAGTTGGCTATGAACGAGGAAGAGTACGTCCAAGGGTTCAAATGGCAGCTGATGCCGGTCATCTACGCGTGGGCAACTGGGAAATCATTCGGAGAGATTTGGTAGGTTGCGGAAAGCCTCTTGGAGTGGCAAATGCTGACTGTGAACATAGCAAAATGACCGATGTGTACGAAGGTAGCTTGATCCGTACTTTTCGCCGACTCGAAGAAGCATTGCGTCAGATGGCAGAGGCCTCGAAAGTCATGGGGAGCGAAGAGTTGGAGAAGAAGTTCGAGGAGGCGTTGAACAAGGTAAGGCGAGATATCGTGGCTGCTCAGTCACTTTATCTCTAGACTTGACCATACAGAGAGACAGCGGACGCGCCGATCCTTCGGACCAGCCAACGCCTGCAGCAGAAAGTGTTGTTGTGCTTGCATGATACCCACGGCGTTGTTTGAGAGTAGACGTGCACAGGTTTGTGGTACTTTGATATGGGGAACCAGGTGTGATGCTGTTGCCTGCGACCATGTCGACGCCAGAAGACAGTGTGTTTGAGTCGAATACCTTGCTTACGACACGAATCATGGCTACGGAAGAGCTCCACATAGCTTTCTCTCTCTCTTCTCTTGAGACAATTTATTTTCATTCGAATTTGCAAACCGTGACCTGTGACCGGCGACCTGGTGTCCCGCTGCGTGATTGTAGAAGGACTGCACTTGTCCGGAAGCCATTCCTTTGTGCTATTCGCTCCGTGGCCTCGTATTCTCTTTGTCTCCTACTACTTGTTCTGCAAGTCGATTGAAGAAAAGTTAGCCACCCGCATTGCAGGAGTCCAGTGCTCGGTTGACCAAAGTAGTGGGTATGGATTGGGCAGCGGCCAGCACTTCGTGAGTGGAGTGAAAGCCTAAAGGGTTTTCTAAGGGTCTGGTCCAGTGACTTAGCAGTGGACGGTAGCAAATCAACGGGCCCGAGGCTGCCCCGGCCTGCGTCTGGGATACGCCTAAGAGCCCTGAAAGGCCTTGGATCAACGGGCGATTCACTGGCACCTCGACCCGCAGCTGCCACGACGCCAACTGGGTGCCAACTGACAAACCGACCCTCCACTCAGACCTCAAACTTGGACTTCCCTCCCATCACATCCCATCCACATCACTACATCTCTTCCCGTCTTCCAGCACCACAGCTCTTCACCGCTGCCCTGCCTCCTGTGAGACTATCAGGGCAACGCCGTCACCACTGTCTTTCCTTAAATATCATCTATCTCATCTTCATCTCCCAATCTCCAGCAAACACTCGTCGACTCTGCCCGCCACATTGCAGTAAACACCCGCACCTGGATCTCATCGGGCGTCGAAGGCCAGAGTCAAAATGAATAGCCTGGCCACGCCCCCCGTCCCTCCTCACTTCCATGAACATTCTCGTCTCTCTCCTAATAGAGCAAGTGAGTAGCACCCATCAGATTTGATTTTCAGCAGCCTGCTAACCGCTACATCAGTGTCTGCCTCGGGTCCCTCCCGCAAACGAAAAGCCTCCCCTTCTCCCGACCGAGATGATGAAATGTCAACATCACCGTTCCTATCGAACGCCCGACTCCCTACTGTCTCTACACCAAGTTCACGAAAACGAGCTCGGCCAAATCTGGTTGGGAGGCCGTTATCAGTGGAAAGACTCCTTGAAACGCTGGACAAGGATTCTCTAACATCTGTGCTGAAGACTCTTTGCGAGAGACACCCAAGTCTTCGAGATGAAGTTGTTCAAATCAGCCCTCGACCCAGCATTCAGAGTACTCTACAAGTATTGCGTCAATACTATACACGACTGATGGACTCTTTCCCTCTTGGGCCCAATCCCCGTTCCGATTATTCCTACGATCGTGTCCGGCCCCAATGGCATGAACTGCTTGATGCCCTGACAGATTTCACCCCTCACTTCTTGCCGCCAAACGAAAACCAGTCATCGACGTCGCTAGAGTATCTGAACGATGTTACGCAAATCATCCATGATCTCCCGGAATGGGACAATCCCCAGCACAATCTTGCCAAACAAAACGCCTACGAGGAGATCTCAAAAGCATGGGCTAGTGTCGTCAAAGAGGCCAGCAAAAGAGGCGGAGGATACCAACTGCAGTTCAACGGCTGGGAAGAGAAACTGCGAGCGCACAATGAGAAGAGCGGCGGCCGGCTAAGGGAAGCCTATGATGAGTTGATGCAGGCGTTGGGCTGGCTCAGACAGGGTAACCAACCATCACAACAACAACAAAGCATCCGGCAACAACTGTTCTCCAACACTTATGGTATGGAGCAGCCAATGATTCGAACAGGCAATTGGTAAGGAAGACCTGGAACCAGCCCGGCAGGCGATATCAAAGAACGGAACCAGCATACAATTGCATCATGGGTATGGATACACGTTACACCATCACGAATTTCCTTTGTTCTGGGTGGACGGCGGCATGGGTACATATGCCTTGGGATTAACGACTTGAAACGACCAATATTCGACTTCCATTTCAACTTTCGCGTTACCGTTAGGTCATCTGTCCTCACGGGACTGGGCGCTCAATTCAGAACATACATGTCAGTCAAGGACAGTTTTTGCATTAACACAGGCATTCGATCATGGGTTGGAGGACCTTGCACAAGGCAGTGAGAGGAATATAGGATGTACAGGATTGACGTGGATATGGCAACAGAACTTGCGCCGTGAAGGGATCCGGTTGGATTCCTCTTCAAGCCACATTTCATCCATCCCTCCATCCACACGTTCAAGTGCGGTTCCCTTAACCTCCTCTTTCTTGCTACGATACCACCTCACAGGCAGGGAATGGGTTCACACACATGGTCAAGGAGGCATCATCATCAGTCAATTTCATCAGGTCGTGTAAGGGTTGAGAATCGGAGTTGTACTTAATCGGGAGATAGACTTGAATTGACTTGAGATTTGTACACAAGCATGGGCACCTCGTCGTTGTCGAATGACGGGCTGACCATGCTCTATTACTATACAACGACGAACACTACCATGCTTGATGGAGTGCGGATGCCGTCAGCCATTCCCTGGCCCTCCTAATATATTTTGCTGCTACGGCCACCAGTCTCCGATATCATCTCAATCCGAACAACTGTTCTGCTCTCATCCTCCACCCTTCCATAGTATTTAGCTTGGGCCGCACGTCCAGGTAGAAATTTAGAGCGCTGTTTCCTTGCTTTCCGTTCTTGCTTTCGGAAGCCTTGCCCTGGTAGAAATCAATGACATACTCGACTTTGCTCCCGTCGCAGCGCTGGACGACCCAGTCGTGACGATCAAAGGGTTCGGTATAACCCCATAGAGAGTTCCATCTGGCTTTTGGCGATTTGGCTCCGGCGCCCAGCCCTTGGAAGGAGAGCAATTTTGGGCCCCCGCAGGCGTCCGATGTCCCTTTCTCCCACCGTTTTATGAGTACCCAGGCCTGTTCGTTGACGGCGTTGTGGATGGGGATGATGGACGAAATTGACTGGGCCAGGTCGGAAGGGTTGGAGGACGAGAGCGTCTGTTTGCGCATCACGGCGTGGAAGAATTGGTGCTCAGACGGGTAGATCCAGTTGCCGCCTGCGGAGGCGCCCGTTTCGGATTCGGAGTTTGCTGGTGTGCTTGTACTTGTTGGTGTCTGATGAGAGGGTTCTTGTGCGGATTGTTGGGGGAATGCGCGTGGGATGGAGGAGACTACCCGGCCGTGCGAGAGGGGCTGTGCGGGTTGGTACGACGCCGGTGAGTGAGTCTCCAGGCTAGGCCCCTGGGAGATGCGGTCTGAGGAGCATTCTTGGGACGATATTGTTGCCGCCGGCCTGCTGGGTAGTGGAGGATGCGAGGCCGGGAGGGAAGGCTGTGATGTCTGTGCACGCGTCTGCGTTGCTTCTACTGGTGATTGTGGCCTTTTCATCTGTTGGGCCTGTTGGAGCCATATTTCTCGAGTCTTGGGGTCGACGGGGCAAGCTGAAGCTGAAGCGGAATCTATCGAGGGATGTTGTGGGTGGTTGAATTGAGCATGGGGAGGGATTGACGATACTGCGGGTGGTGGCGCTTGCAGCACTTCAGGCGCTGGGCCGGGATCTGCTTTCCACCAGCCCATTAGGATGTCTATGGTCTTAACGGTATCTTGATTTATAGGTGATCGTGGAAGCGCAGGGAATCTTGTTTCGTGGCAGGAGGAAAAAAGTTTCGATGTGAAAGAGAGAGCTCGTTGAACTTTGGAGAGATCATTGGAGGATGCGGGGAGCCGCAGCCTGATTAATATTATTGCAAAGGCATCGACACTAGGGAGGAGTTAGGCTTGGCCCAGCCTGATTCCCGGAGCCAGTCAACCTCGTTTGGCCTCCAATTCCTCTGAACGCCAACCCTCCCGGCCGTTCACATTTGCTAGAACTGATCTAGATCATCCTATCGTGTCTCTGAGTGACTTCATCAACCATTTCTTGCTCTTCTAATAGTGCTCCAACCTGGCATTGTTGAAGACAAAGTCTCTGTTTGGTGTGTGAAATACCGGCGAGACTAACTAGAGATAGGTAGACTGATGTGAAGCAACGGGCCGGATCTAAGGCTGTGGGCCATATACCGAGTAATAATTTTCGAGTGGACTCGAGTCTCCGTCCTTGGACTGCACACCGATCCAGTTGAAGCGTACAACAATCCTTTCTGCTTTGAAGCGTTACACGCACTGTCAACATGTCTAGCTCAAATACCGTGTTCCGGGCAAGTACCACTGCCCCAGTCAACATCGCTGTGATTAAGTAGGTACGCCAATGCCCCTCCAGCTTTTCCCTTTCCGAGTCCCGTCGCAGACGACTTGAACACCAAGGACAGAGCTAAAAAGCGCAACAGATACTGGGGAAAGCGTGACACGGTCTTGAATCTTCCGACCAACTCCTCTTTGTCCGTGACATTGTCTCAGAAATCGCTGCGAACTCATACCACTGCATCATGTTCCGAATCCTTTACGGGCCCAGACACTCTGGTATTGAATGGAGAAAAGGAGGATATTCAATCTTCAAAGAGAACACAAGCGTGCCTCAAAGTCCTCCGCTCGCTGCGTGAGGCGCTGGAAGCCAAGGACGCTTCGCTGCCGAAGCTCTCGAAATGGACCCTGCGGTTGGTGTCTACCAACAACTTCCCTACTGCGGCCGGTCTTGCTTCTTCAGCTGCAGGGTTCGCAGCTCTCGTCCGAGCAATCGCTGATCTCTACGAGCTGCCCCAATCAGCGAAAGAGCTGTCATTGATTGCTCGGCAGGGCTCTGGATCTGCCTGCAGGAGTTTGATGGGTGGCTACGTGGCCTGGCGAGCTGGTACGAAGGAGGACGGAAGTGACAGCTTGGCTGAAGAGGTGGCACCAGTTTCGCATTGGCCGGAAATGAGGGCATTGATCTTGGTCGTCAGCGCTGAGAAGAAAGGCGTCCCGTCAACTGCAGGTATGCAGACCACGGTCGAAACATCCACTCTGGCACCTGCAAGATTCAAGGAGATTGTTCCGAAGAGGATGCAAGAGATAGAGAGAGCGATTGAAGAGAGAGATTTCGAGACTTTTGCAAGGGTCACGATGCAGGATTCGAATTCGTTCCACGCCATCTGTCTGGACTCATGGCCGCCAATTCACTACTTGAACGACGTATCTCGCGCGGCCATGAACGCGGTGGAGACGGCCAATCGAAAAGCAGGAAAGATGATTTGCGCTTACACATTCGACGCAGGGCCAAATGCAGTCATCTACTACCTGCAAGAACACACACACCAAGTGGCAGGAGTGTTCCGAAACATCTTGCCTCAAGTGCCAGGTTGGGAAGGCGAGTTCGGAGAGTCTGTTCATCCGAACGAGTATGGAGGGTTGGAACAGAAGACGCTGATGACGCTGAAGGCCGGTGTGAGCCGGGTCATCTGCACGGCGGTGGGAGGAGCGCCTGAGAAGGTTGAAACACACCTGGTCGACAGCAGAGGAAATGCTCTGGTGGAATGATTCAATGTCTGATGTGAGGAAATCGTCCGCGTCCAAGGACGAATTTTCGACCGACAACGCGAGTCAAGAGTTCCTGCTCGTATTCCGTATTGGCATGTGAGAGCAACGGATGTCTACGAATACGAGGACTTGCAGTGTAGGACGAGCATATTTTCCACCGGGTGTAGACTGGACGAAGATACCTCGGTGTATTCACTTGAAGCATTTCAGTAGCATCTGTGGTGGGGTGGAAAAGGGTAGACATCGGCTAAGGATTGCAAAAGGGGGGGCGGTGGGACACGTAGTCGGAAACGAGGATGCATCCATGGGCCATGGCTGCCTTGGTCGGTAGTGGGACATACGATACGAGTAAGAAGGTAAGGCCACAAGGCCTAGATACGCCTACTACTGCCCCTCCCTGCTCAGTGGCGGGGTGGAAAAGCTCCCCTGCAAATGCCTACCTAGGTACTAGATAGCTAGTGGGTGCTAGGTACCGGTAGGTAAGCACCTGGGCACCCAACACGGAAGCGCGGTGCACGGGCTCTCTAGGCACACTTACCGCGCTGGGTACTCCGTAGGTGTCGTAGGGGAATGCTTAGCCGCGGTGTCCAAAACAGGTCCGCGTCCGAAGAGATTGCCCAGTGATATCCTGGCTGCCTAAATACGATCCTTAGAGAGAAGTCGCCTCCCAAGAATCATCGACTCAGGCTTGTCGACGGATTCGTCTTGCTTGCCGAGGTTTCTGTCCATGTTTCCAGTCATCCAGGCGAGTCTCCTCGTACTTTTCTTACACTATTACCCCGTCGGGCCGTATCAACTAATCCTGGCTTCTCCGTTGCTGCTTGAGGCGCATAGACAGACCCTGGTCCCACCCTAAGTATACGCGGTTCACCGACAGCCACATCCTTTGTTTCATATATTCCCACCTACACCTCCTTTTCTCCTCATGCTACCAACACCTAGATAATATTCGCCAGTTCACCATGATTGCGGCCAACAATAATTTCGACGTCATTATCATTGGTGCCGGCATCAGCGGCATCAATTCTGCGTACCGTCTTCAAGAAGGTCTTCCTGACTATTCATATGCTGTCCTCGAGGGGCGAGCAGAAATCGGTGGCACCTGGAGCTTGTTCAAGTACCCCGGGATCAGGTCTGATTCTGATCTTCACACCTTCGGGTTCCCCTGGGATCCATGGAAGGAAGACCGTTCCATCGCCGACGCAGCATCGATTCTGCGATATGTCAAGACCACCGCCGCTAGACATGGCATCGACAAACACATCAAGTTCCACCACAAAGTCGAGTCGATGAACTGGTCGACTGAGAATCAGCATTGGGAAATTGATGTCACGGTCGACGGGACCGAGAAGCGGAAGTTCTACTCTCGATTTATCCTCCTCGGCACCGGCTACTATGACTATACCCAGGGGCTCAATACCAAGATTCCCGGCATTGAGAATTTCAAGGGCACCGTCGTTCATCCTCAATTCTGGCCCGAGGAGCTCGACTACACAGACAAGAAAGTCGTTGTCATCGGCAGTGGTGCCACCGCCGTGACCATCGTGCCTGCTATGACAGAGAAGGCCAAATCCGTTACCATGCTTCAACGATCACCCAGCTATTTCCTGCCCATCCCTCTGACCGAACCCATCGATGGTATCATCAAACGGATATTCCCCGAGAAGCTGGCGTATCAACTCATCCGAATCAGATTCCTCCTTGTCGGTTTCTTATTCTTTCAATTCTGTCGATTGTTCCCCCAGAAGGGCCGATCTGTTCTACGCAAAGCCACCGAGAAGGAGTTACCTGCCAATATTCCTTTCGACCCTCATTTCGTCCCTCGGTATAATCCCTGGGAACAAAGAATGTGTATCACGCCAGGTGAGTTTTGGTAACACCCCGAACGATACGCTGGGCTACCTGCTGACTTTCTCAAGGTGGTGATTTCTTTGCCGCGTTGCGCACGGGCAAAGCTGACGTCGTGACCGACACAATCGAAGACATCAACGCCAACGAGATTAAGCTCAAGTCAGGAGCGACTCTCCCTGCGGACATAATCATCACCGCCACAGGTCTCAAGATCCAGTTTGGTGGCGGTGCTTCTGTTAGTGTCGACGGCGAGCCCTACCAAATGAACCAGAAATTCATTTGGCGTGGTGCTCTGCTACAGGACTTGCCAAACTTCACATTCATCTTTGGATACACAAATGCCAGCTGGACCCTTGGCGCCGATGCCACTGCCCAACTGTGGGTTCGTCTCCTCAAAGAAATGAAGGCCAAGAATATGACGAGTATGGTTCCGCGAATCAACGAAAAAGAACAAGTGACCGAGGTACCTCTTCTGAATCTAAACAGTAGCTACATCACGGCTGCTCAGGAGGCGAACACGCTGCCCAAGGGTGGTAACCGAGGGCCATGGATGCCCAGGAGCTCGTATCTTCGAGATATCTGGCATGCGAAGTTTGGCGACATTCGCACCGGGCTGCAATTCAATAGGATTTCGACCTAGACGGAGGATGGTTTCAAAGGGCTGCTAAGGGCGTTGACTGTTGCGGTTGCCGTATAGCAGGTATTGATAGTTGAACAAAGACTGTATTATTCCCCGATGGTTCGGAGTGGAAACACAGTTGAATCGCTGGTATGACCGGATCGTCGGTTATAAGATTTTCCGATGCCGAAGCCCGCCGTTGCCGCTGGCTTGGTGGCCTGTAATCTTCTCACGCCGTCTGCCCTTTTTTTTCGTCTCAAATTTATTTCTGACCGCCCATTTCTTCTTTGCCACGCTTTCAGCCTGACTCTTCTTTCCTCTTTGTTTAAATTGGTCTCTGAGAGTCTTTCTTCCGCTGTCCTCCAGCCTGCTACTTCCCACTCCGATCTTGTGAAAATCAAGAGACCCTTTGACTGCACCCACCACCACTACAAAACCTCAGACATCAACTCGCCCTTTCCCCTACCATTCAACTCGTACAAGATGGGTAACGGAGCCAAGGCCGCCCAAAAACGGGAGCGTAATACCAAGGATGCTAAGAAGGAACCGAACAGTCAGTTGAAGAAGGTACGTCTCGATTACCAGTTAATGATTAGTGTTCTTGCGTTTCGTGTCCACGGTCTACCGGTCTGAACGTCCCCATCTTGAAAACTTGACGTGGGATCATTTTGTCTGGCCGCCGCTCTGATTTTGGGATGATGTGACGAACGTCGGTATGGCCGGATTCGCCGCTGGTCGTAAGGAGGTCAGAAGACACTGCAGGAGTACGCCTCCTCTTGTTGATTCTGACCACCCCCTTTGCAGCATCGTGGTGCGCTTTACTGAGGCAAAAGGTCGTGGATTTAGATCCCGGAGGATTCTGACCTTGGCAGCGCTGCTGAATCACTGTCTCCTTGTCTCGGTTTTATGGATGAGAGAACAGGGCCAAGAGAACCAATGTGGATTGTGCCAATTCGACATTCCCTCTATGGTCACAGGGGAGCCTTTCTTTTCTTCCTGAACGCGGTCTCGACGCACCACAAATCATATCCACGAAATCTGTCTAGTTCCCATGCCCGTGTGCCAGTTGCCTTCTACACGCCTTGTACTAAGCTCTGTTTTTGCATTGCTGTCTTCAGTCCGGTATGCATCGCTAATGATACTGACAACAATGCAGAACGCAGCAGCCCAAACCATCAAATGCAAAATCTGCTTTTCCACATTCCAGAGCACCTCGGCACGCAAGGGCCTGGAAGACCACGCCTCAAACAAACACAACAAGAAATATGAGGAGTGTTTCGTCTAGGTAGCAGCATCAGACCAAAGTCAGCCTCATTGAGAGAGACGGGCGAGAGATGACATGTCAACAAAGGGGGCTGCTCCCAGAATTGTCAAAAGTGGCTAGTGAGCAGTGGACTCGTTGGAAACAGGGCCCAATCGAAACGGGACGAGCTGCTACATGGCTTCTCTGTGATAAGACCAGGAAGAAGATGAGGAGAAGATTAACGCTGCGTTTGTTAGCGAGGGAGTTAGGAGCGGGTTTTGCATTGACGTTTATTCGGCGTCACTGGTTTTGAACCGACCAGATGGACAAATACAAGATATCATTGTCGTGGCCTTATTTCCAATTCTTTGAATCTCTCCTATTTCGTCAAGGGCCAACCTTTTGTCCAAAGATTTTGCACTCTGCGTTGGCAGCCCACGCTTTTCTATAGTGTGCTTGTTGATGACGATTAATTCGACTGCCAGCACCCAACCGTCAGCCATCGACTAACTCGAACCGCCATTTCGAAAGGCCAGAAGGCCAGGGACGATGATGAATTTCTTCGACCGTTTCGGTCAGGAATCAACCGTCGATATCACCCTTCCTTTCTGGCTGCTACGAGCTCTATATAGACACCGCAAGGGAAAATGGAACGTGTACAAGAGACGCCAAGGACGAGACATTGCCTCTTCTACAGGTTCTCTCACACCAGCGGGGCGTTGTATTCCGAGCTTTCTGCCTGTTTTAGCTTCGGCGGAGTTGAGCGATGTTGACTGGTTCGGCCGACCCTTGTCTTATGCAGTAGTAGCATTCCAGCGCCTGATGCGCCCTATGACTCGAATCGTGTAAATAGATAGATATCCTTTCTTTGACATCTGCATCTTTTCTAAATAAGGAGTCATACGCGTTTAACCCGTCAGATCTTTGCATGTGGTCTGGATTGGTTTGGTGCATGTCGCATTGCGCTCTTTTGAATCTACATGCGTAGAAGAGACGGGGAATCATAAGAGGCTCAAGCGCGATTAGCATTCGGCACTCGAACCCTGTTATCGCCTTTCCAGCATTCTCTCGTGGCAGGTTAGGAGACATGAATGGAACTCACCTCGATGAGCCCAATGGCGCACTCGCATCAGGGGACCCACGGGAGAAGGGAGACTCGACACCAGCCGGGCCAGCCTTGCTCCATCGCTCGCTGCACTCACGACCATACCAAGTCACCGCGGCGAAGGGGCTATACCTGACCCTCTCCGACGGGCGGACAATCATGGATGCCTGCGCCGGCGCCGCGGTCGCATGCCTGGGCCACGGCAACGACGAAGTTGCCCAGGCGGTGGCGCGCCAGATGAGCACGGGGGTCAGCTACATCCACTCGCTGACCTACACGTGCGACGCCGCCGAGGAACTGGCGCACCACCTCATCGACGGTCCCCAGGGCGCCGGGCGGTTCGGGCTGGAGAGGGCTTACTTTGTCAACTCGGGCAGCGAGGCCATGGATGCGGCGCTCAAGTTGGCGAGGCAGTATTTTTTCGAACTGGGCCAGACGACGGGTGGTAAAGGGGGAAGATCCCACTTTGTGAGCAGGAAACAGAGTTACCACGGCACCACGATCGGGGCCATGAACGTGAGCAGCAACCTCCCTCGCAAGGTACCCTATGCGTGTTTTCAGCAGGACAACGTCAGCTGGGTCACGCCCGCGTACGCATACCAGTACTCGGACTGGCGAAAGGGGGAAACCGAGGAAGAATTCGCGCAGAGGCTGGTTGATGAGCTGGACAGGCATTTCCTCGAGATCGGACCTGAGAAGGTCGTCGCGTTCATCGCCGAGCCACTCGTCGGCGCTACCAGCGGATGCACGCCCGCACCGAGGGGTTACTTCAGGGGCGTCAGGCGGGTGTGCGACAAGTACGGCATTTTGTTGATCCTGGACGAGATCATGTGCGGCATGGGCCGGACGGGGACTCTATTCGCGTTTGAGCAGGAGGAGGACGTCGTGCCGGACTTGGTGACCGTCGGCAAGGGCCTGGGGGGAGGGTACGCGCCCGTCGCGGCCGTGCTGATCCATAAGAAGGTCGTGAACGTCCTCAGAGCCGGCGGCGGCAGTTTCAACCACGGCCACACATACCAGGCCCACCCGGTCGGCTGTGCGACCGCGCTGGCGGTGCAAAAGATCGTGCGCCGCGACGGGCTGGTCGACAACGTCAAGCGCCTGGAGAGGTTTCTGTACCCTTTACTCGTCGACACGCTCGGGCCGGCAAAATACGTGGGCGACATCCGCGGCCGCGGCCTGTTCTGGGGCTTCGAGTTCGTCCGCGACAAGACCACGCGCGAACCCTTCCCCTCCCAAGCCGGCTTCGGCGGCCGCTTTCAGGCCAGGTGCTTTGACCTGGGCGTCGCTGTCTACCCGGGCGCGGCCACGGTGGATGGCAAGAGAGGCGACCACGCCATCCTAAGCCCGCCGTATAATGTGACAGAGGACGAACTCAGAAAGATCGTCGCGCTCATGAAGACGGCGTATGATTCCTTGGAGAAGGAAGTGGATGGCGAGTCTTGGGGCGACAAGGCTGCAGCAAATGGACATGCGAAGCCATAGCGAAACTGAAAATACCTAGACAAAACCAGGCGGGCGACAAGATTAGAAGTGGTCTGAGTATTACTATTACCCTGCGCTGCTTCTGTTCTGTTCATCACAAAGTCCGCCCGCCCTTCCTTCTGAGCTCTCAGAACTCCCTCGATAATGTCTGGTCGTGTGGCTTGACCCGACTTGACTCGATTTCCCCAGATCCCAGGATCCGTTTCTTTCTTTAAGTGCGCATCTTTCTCCTGAAAATGCAATCAATCGTAAAGCTCATAGAACCAACCCTCTTGGGAATGCTGCCTGATAAAACTCCAAACCTTGGGGCCGTTGAGTCCCTAGAGACTTAATCCAATTCTTCATAATGCATGCCATAGAATGATAACCCATTCGAGCATCTCAAAACCAAGGGGATTTCTGCTGCACCCTCTATCGTACTGTTACTTCCGCATTGGCATTACCCCGACTCTGTGGCCGTGGAATGTCCCCCAGCTCATTACCAGTCCCGCTTTGACCCCGTTTCCGACCTGGAAGGAAATGGAAGTGGTGCTTGCCTTCTTCCTTACTGGCCGCATTCGCGGTAACATTTTCACCGTTTGAGTCGCCAAATCGGGACAGGAAACTCTTTTTCTTGGACTCTTGAGGCTTGCCTGCTTCTTCATTCAGCTTGACGTCTTCGAAAATCGGATCCTCTGCGGTGGTGGGTCTCTCGAATGTAGTGCTGCTTAGTGTTGAGCGCGTGGGGAAGCGGGTCGCTGGTCGCGAGTCTAGAGACGTGCGCGAGTTGAAGCTGTCGGTTTGGAGGATTGGGGAGCGGCCGGAAATATCCTGCGACAATGGTAAGGATGTTGTCAGGCGTTTTGCAAGGATTTATAACCTACAAAAGATCTTCTGTATGACTCGAAAGATTCGCGGGAGATTGTGAATGCCTCGTTGTCGTTGAAGCATTGGCGATGGTTGGTGTTTGCAGAGGACGGCGATTTGGCCGACCAGAAGGATTGCTTTTCAGTGGGTGAAGGCTATTATACAATCAGCTGCTGCGTTTGGAGGTCGTTGGCACCACATACTGGGAGATATTCACCACTGTCGTTAACGGCTGTTCAATGTTAGCCTCGGAACCACGTTTATTCTGGTGGGGGATTGCTTTGTCGCATACAACTCAATTTGAACTCATTGGGCTCGACCGTCTTTTCCTTGATTCCTAATGCTAACGAAGGCTTATCTTTGCTATAAGGACTCTTGATATTGCCGTCGAAGGAGTTGGGGCGAGCATTCTCGTCGTTGGTCTCAATGGGCGCGGTCGGGCGCTTCGACGTAAAGGGCATACGGAAGGGAGGCATGTTGAAGGACTAGGGCTATTTGTGTATGGTGCAACGGTTACTGCCAAAAGATTTTGGTATATGAGACGACCGGAAGGAATGCTGTATGTGTTCACAGAGAAAATATCGGGAGACAGGATGGTTGGGAAGAAGTCATTGTCACGAGTGCCGGTAATAGTATTGTAGTACGCAGTGCGAGGACCTGGAGCCAGCACGCCAGAGCCGGGTCCGAAGGCGGCGTGCCAGTGGGCGGGCAACAAACAGTACGAGTAAGGGTAACGCCACGGCGGCGTGTCCACCTGGACACACCTGGGCAGCACGGAAACGTGCCGGGAAGCCGGGAAGGTTTTCTTGTCTCTTACGGGTACTCGTAGGCACCTGGCACCCCTGGGTGGCAGTGGGTGGCACCTAGCAGGGTTCAATGGGCAAAACTTAGGCCAAGTCATTGGGCATCTTTTGGCGCCGATCATTAACCGGAGAAAAGGCCCCCCTCCTTGCGCATGGCCTAGTGGCCCTCAATCCAATGGGCACCCCCCGCACCCAATGGGCAGTGCTTTCGGCGGCTTTGTCAACTCCAGTCATCCACCCTGCATGGGCAAGTCGCATCGTATCCCCATAGATAGCATCTCGTCCTGTGTTTCGTCAACCACTCTCTTCAAGGAGCATTGGGTCTCACGCTTTGCATGCAGGTACAGGATACGGGAGGGAAAAAATTTCTCATTCATGACATGGATTTCTCTCACCGGGCAGAGCTGGGAAAAGGCGAGTACCAATTTGATGATTCATCTCAACCACTGTTTCCCATTCAAAATCTTCCTGCGCCCAGACGTAGATGTCTATTCTTGATGGGAGACCTTCCTCCACACTTTGCCATCCTGCAGTGGGCTGTATGACGTCGACCAACAACCCCTGCCCTGAAAACTTGGAGAATGCCAAATCGACCATGGTACCCATATCCGGGAGACGGCATGACGACGACGATCTGATCGCCCCTCGCAAGCCTAGCCGTCTCAGCCTCAGCCTCATTTCGATTCCCTGATACATCGCCACTGACCGTCTCCTGGTCGATGCTGTATCACAACAGGGTACCTGCATTGCGATATGTGCGCCATTGTGCAGACTGCCGTCTCCTGTACTCCTCTATATCTCGCGTTGCCGTGCGGCACCATTGCCTTCCTGTGAATTGTTTCCCGATGACTGTGGAAAAGGGGAAGTTGTGGCGGTCCTACAATTTGAGCGATCCGACCGCGTAATGTGGTGGTCACTTCACAGGACGGACTGCGCGAATGAGCTTGTCAAGATAACCAACCGCTGCATGACCAAGTCGGACGAATGCAGGATAACGCTGGTGGGCAGAGATACGTTCAGTTCCTGCTGAGAGGTGAGTTTGATCAATCCAATTCGTGTGGGCGGAAACAGTCCAGGTCTTCAGGCTTCACGTGTTCAAGGTTGGTCGACGATTTTCTGTTTCTGAATGATTTCACTCTGCTCTTTTTCTTCACCATCAATATCACCAACTGGAAGCTGCATATCGCAGATGGCAACTGCACGGTTTCATGCACTGCTGAAGCAGGTGCTGCTGCCTTCCTGCGTCACCACTCCCACCGCGACGGCAAAGTCGACGGCGCCTGGCACGTTATCAAGATTCCATCTCCCTCGAGTTTTCCTTTCAGTCCATCGTTGGCAGTTCAGCCAACCACATTGCAAACTGCTCTATCATTTCTTTGGTGCTGGCCTCCATTGCTCTTGGGAAATGGGGTTCTTCCTTTTCATCCTTCCTCGCCTCTAGCATTCCTACCTTACTGTTCTCCGGCAACATGCTCGCCCCCGTTCCGGAGGGCGCTGTTTTCTTCTTGGAATGGCCGATGTGGGCTCGTTTAGCTCTTGTGAGTTCGGAGACGCGAAGCATCGAGAGTCCTGACTGACCATGGTACCAGATCTTAGGTGGTTTGCTTGTTCGTGTCTTTGTCCTCGTTTTGTCTCCCTCTGACGACCCCTTAGACGCTTATCCTTACCACTGCCTTCGTTGTGAAGCTGAGAAACTGGGCACGGGACAGAAGGCTGGAAAGAAGAGCAGCAGAAGAACAGGCCGAACGAGGGGAGATGACTCTGGTCAACTGCTTGGACGAAGATATACCTTTCGGCATCCGCGCTCTAATTGAAGATCCCGAGGTTGAAGGGGTGTGGAACGCTCGAACGGCAACTGCTTTACACTTGGATGGGGCCCGGTCTCCTCCTCCCTCACACTTGACATTCAAGCCCGTTAAATACTCCTCAATTACTTCCTCCTCGACATGCGATCCCACGGACATAGGACTAGTGTCTCCAGATGGTGAGAGATATCAATACTGTCACTGCATCTGCTGACAGTCGACAGCCCCTACACCGTTCACGGATTCCACAACAGTTGTTGATCCACCAGCTGAGTCGTCGTCCTCGAAGAAAGGGAAGAGTATTGTCATAAGCTACAATGATCCGTATATTTGCGCGGAAGGTACCGAAATCTCGCCAGGTCTGGCAATTTCCCGTGTGCTACTCGTTGCGGATCTTACCACTGACAATGGTTACACAGGTGTTATTCCTGCAATGACAAAGGACTCTTTGATTCCCTCTCCCTCAAAATTGCAGCTTCGTCCCATCACCAACCTACGATCTTCAGGAGCTCGTAAATTTGTCATTGGCAACAGGGAGAGAAAATCCCAGGGACTCCAGAGGCCAGAAAGTCGCTCTGAACCCAACCCTCTTGAGGGCATGGAGGCCCATAGGCGCTTCCATGCCGCAGAAAGTGGTCAACTCCTTCCCAGAAATCGGCGGCACACTGAGATGGTCCTGACGCCACCATTCGCTCCGTCTCTTTCGGATAGCGAGGACAGTGACGACTCTGCATCCCGCGCTTTGTCATGGCCGGCTCGAAATGGCAGTATCAATCTCGGCAAACAGTTTTCTCGCAGCGTCAAAAGGATGGAAGGACCACGACCAGTACCCTTCCGCGCGTTCATCGAGTCCTTACCTACCACCAAAGCCCCTCCGTCGGCATGGACGGAGAAGACCCAAGCCAGAGTCGACGCGAAAATCCTCCCTTCTCCCAGAACAAGCGATACAGGATCCAATACTTCTCGGCACACTCCAAGCTCTTCGACGAGTTCAATGTCCGTGACAACTACAACGTCACCTTCGGATTCAATCTCTATTGTAAATACTCGATCGCGGAAAGTCAATGATGGATTTGAAGTACTGCCTGCTGGCACACTGGAAAAGGGACCCAAGGTCAAGGACTTTGGGGCTCGGCACGAAGACGTGGATATGAGGAAGAAGCCTAACAAGCTAAAAAAACGGTCGCGCTCAAGTTCTGGAAGTCGCCGAAGTTCAACAGAGAGTCGGAGGCTCAGTACCGACTCCTTTCGTTTGCCGGTTTTCTGAGTTTGTGGAGACTTTCACACCGTGTTGGAATAGAGTTCTTATAGCTTTGGATCTGCATTGTTCTACAAGCTATCCATTCGTTGTTCAGAGGCAATGCCGTCCGCCGTGGACGCTTGTTGGCATACCTCGTTTGTCTTGGGAAGTAATTGTCCGGCTCTGCTAAACACAGCGCACGAGGGTCCCGCACCGAAGGCACTGACCTATGGTTGTTGGGGCCACTGTAATGATGATAATGATAATGCTTTCAGAGAAGTCTACCCTGCTCCAAGAACTCATCTATTAATATTGACATTGACCAATATATATATTGTGCATCTATTTGCGCCAGTTTTTGCGCAAGGCCTCAAATCTCTTGATGTCCTCTACACCCACACTCCGTCTCACCTCGGTTTTTGCATGCATGAAGTCTTGTGTGGTTATAGTGTCGGGCCCTCCAGAGGATTTGATACGGCGCACGGCGGCCAGCCCGGCCCTCCTCAACAGAGATTCCAGATCCGCACCGCTGAAACCTTCACATTCTTCTCTGGCAATCGTGGCTATGGAGTGGTCAAACAGCAAGCCGTTGACCTTTTTGCAGAGCGTCCTCAGGATTTCGACTCGACCTTCGGCGTCCGGCAGCCCAACATAAAGAAACATGTCCAGCCGGCCTGGGCGGAGCATGGCCGGGTCGATGATGTCGGGCCGATTCGTGGCGGCGATGAAGTAGATGCCCTCGCGGGAGTGGCCGACGCCGTCGAGCTCAGCCAACAGAGTGTTGACGACTCGCGCAGAGGCTTCGGAACCGCCGCCGACGCCGCCGTCGCGGGTCGGGACCAAAGCGTCGAGTTCGTCGAAGAAGACGATCACGGGGACGCTGGAGCGCGCGCGCGTGAAGACCTGCCGGACCGCGCGCTCCGATTCGCCTAGGTACTTGTTCAGAAGCTCGGGGCCCTTGACAGAGATGAAGTTTGCGTGGCTGGCGTTGGCGCACGCTTTTGCGAGGAGTGTTTTCCCGCAGCCGGGGGGACCCCAGAGCAAGGTGCCCGACCAGGCTGGGAGGCCGAGGTTGGTGTACACGGCCGGATCGAGGATTGGTGAAATTACAGTCTCGTTCAGCTCGCGGATGTGGTCGTCTAGGGCGCCGATGGAGGCAAATGTCGTGGATGGGATCGTGGCGAACCCTTCTCTCAAGGCGGAGGGTTGGATCTTGGGAAGGGCGGTGAGGAAGTCCTCGAACGTGACGAGGAGGGATGATTCCTCGCCCTCGGAGGACGGAGATTGGCCTTTGATGTATTTGACGAGCCGGCGCAGGGATTTGATGCTTTCTGCGTCGGGGTGTTTGTCGAGGTGGTCATCGCCGTCGACGTCCATGATATATTTGTCGGAGTTTTCCTGGAGGACGTCCAGGTAGCGCTCCATAGCCGTTGCCGAAGCCGTTAATACGAGGTCGTTCAAGTCCGCGCCCACGAAACCCGGGGTGCGTTTGGCCAGGACGTCCAGGTCGACATTGCCGGCCATCTTCATGCCCTTGGTCAGCGCCTCCAGGATCCTTGCACGATCAGGCTCGGTGGGTACTCTCATGTTGATTTCCTTGTCGAACCGCCCACCTCTTCGCAGTGCTGCATCCAGAGTGTCGAGTCGATTCGTCGCGGCGAGGACGATGACCGGTTTGCCGTCCGTCTTGTCCAGCGTGAGATCGTCCATGCACACCGACAGCTGCGCGACGATTCGTTTCTCCATCTCCCGCTGCGCAGTCTCTCTCTTTTGGGCAATGGCGTCGATTTCGTCGATGAAGAGTAAAGACGGGGCACAACTTTTGGCTTCCTCGAAGAGGTCCCTCAGCGCTTTCTCGCTCTCGCCGGACATGCCAGAGACGATGCTGGTGGCGGACACGGAGATGAAATTGACGCCAAGCTCTGCGGCTAATGCGTTGGCTATCATGGTCTTGCCACAACCGGGAGGTCCGTGTAAGAGGATGCCGCGTGGTGGTTGGACCTTGTTGGAGGCGTAGATCTCGGGCTTGCTCATCGGGATGACGAGCAACCGTCTTAACTCTTGGATCACCGGCGTGACACCGCCTAGATTCTCCAACGAGATATGTGTTGGCGGAGATCTGTCAATTGCTGAGGCATTCCCGGCTCTGCGCTTCTTGGGCCGGGGTTCGCCATTCGTAAGGCGCTGTGTAGTAGCCACTTGAGGGGATTCCATGTTGGCGGGTGTTGACGCTGGTTTCGGCGTGGGTGCAGGTGGCTGCACAGCTGCAGTTGACCAGGCGCTGACGATGCTCTTGTTCAATTTATTCGACACAGGTTTGTGTATCTGCTGCCGCTGTTCCTCCTCCTCCTCTTGAATGGCCACAAAATCCTCGGAACCGGATTCTTGATCCTGCTGGATGGTTTCGAGAACCCGTTGGATACTGTCCTCCAGCAATTTTTTGGGTCTCCGGTTTAGGCTTGAATTGGACGCACGAATCTCATCATATACAACGGCAAAAGACAAAGAGGTGCTCGGAGCGTCTCCGTACTGCGCGCGGTCGTCGATGATTTTGCGGACCACTTGGTATACCTGCGAACATGTGGTGAGCACAGATTTGGGTGGGGAATGTAAAAAAAAGTTGCAGCATACCTCTCTATCCAAACCCTGACCCAAAGTTTGACGACGACGACCTCCTCGAGCCATGCCGCACAATTGGGCGGCTATTGTAGAGGTGCTCAGAGATTTGTGATGTTTCGTGGGCGCATTTTTCACGAGTTTTCGTCTTGGACGCCTCTCCGATCAGAGCCTCGTTCCGCACACAGAGCCTTGAAAAATTTCCGGCGGATCATTTATACCTGAGGTGTAGTGCCCGCCATACTAGGTACGAGGTACAGAATACTGCGAAGTGTGCGCCAAAGCATCTCGATAAGATCCTAAAATCAAAAAGTTGAGGAACATGTACCGCGAATGGAGGTCTATGGCATGCTTTGCTCGTGCCTTAGATGGCCTTGTCTGCCCACTAACTTGCCGTGACAAGGAAAATAGAAAATAGTCCATTTCTAGCTAATATGGTACACGACATTGTCATCCTTTGAAACATGCTGTTGTTTGTAGGCCATAAATCACTGCAACACACCTGGTGCCTTCGAGAATTTGGACGAGCTACTGAGATGCGCTAGTCTTGTCATCCGTCTTGCCAGAAAAGTCCAGGTCGCCCAAGTGTGTGTGGCCGAACCCTGTCCCGTACTTCAGACCATAGCCCAGCATACGGTCCATCCCGATGTGTGCGAGCCAACTCAAAGCCAAACCAGTGAGGGTCTTATTATCTCGTGCCAATCCAAAGCATAGCAACAATATGGGAGGCGTTTCCGTGTGAAAGGTGTTGTACAAGACAGCGCCGGCCCGAGTGTTGGCGAGATATCCAGCCATGCCCAGGTCTGGGGTCAGTAGGAGGGCGGCAAACGTCCACCACGACTGTCTGGAACGTGAATAGGCCCAGATGGTCGAGCCGAATATGCAGGCGCCTTCCAGCTGCAAAAGCCTTCGCGGCCAAGTCTTCACGAAGCCGTCCTTCATGGCGGAGTTTTTTGCTGGAATTCGATGCAGATCTCGCAGGGATTGTGTGCAGAACGAGAAGGCTGAGGAAGCAGAGGGTAGAAGGTAAATGAAGGTGTATTGCCGTCGTGTGCACTCAAAGCAGGAGCGTCAAAGCAGAGTTCTGGCCACTGAAGCCTACAGATACAGGAAGTAGGACATATAATAGTACATATGACTACCTAGGGACCTACCAGCACATACTAGGAAGGTACCTAGTATGTAACATCGCAGAGCGAGCTCGCCGAGCGGCAGCGGGTACCGAGTACCTCTTCGTACTCGTATACTACCCGGGTAACTAGCGAGCTGGTACTTAGGTAGAGATTCGTCCGCCACTCCGCGGCTCCTGGGAAGCTCAGAAATTAATAATAGGCGGACCTGGGCCGTGAAATTAGGCTGCAAGTGGGTTCAGTCTGGCCGACGTTTCATACGACTTCAGATCGAACTGAATCTTCAGAGCAGCCGGAGCAAGTTAGCAACACCCTCAATGTGTTGCGAGCTGGGTTTGAGAGGGTCCGCTCCCCTACTTGGAGGCATCCCAGTCCGAATCTCGACTTCCTGCTGTCTCAATATCCAGCGGTCAGACTCCGAGTCAATCTCGTCCTCCCTCGGGTCCCCTGACGTGTACCACCCAAGATCGCTCTGGTGATCTGTTGATTTCAGATGTCAAGCTGGAGTAAGTGACACCTTCGTTCCATTGCGGGAGCACAGAGTCAAAGACAACGACTCCTCCCACGGTCCTGGGTCACGACTCTCCAAGACTCTGAACTCCTGAGCCATGCGAACCACAACATAGGCAACTTCAATCAGTGCATATTGCTGGCCGAGGCAGATTCGTGGACCGCCATTGAACGGTAAATACTCCCAGCGTGGCTGCAACCGTCCAGTCTCCCAACGCTCCGGACGGAATGTGTCAGCGTCTGGTCCGTAGAAGTCGCTGCGTCGATGCATGGCATATATGTTATAGCACACTCGAGTGCCCTTTGGCACAAACACGGGCGAGAGGCCATCCTTGCCTCCTCCAACTGGAAGCACAGTATCTCGTACAGCCTCACGTTGGTTTCGCGGAACCACTGGATGGAGACGTAGCGCTATTGAAGTCAGTAAACGTCGACGGTTCCAAGGGTTAACATAGGGGAGAGCTGTTCCCACATTCATTGATGCAGCACTGGACATATTTCAGACTGCGAAGGTCCTCGTAAGTGGGTACCCGGCCTTGTAGTCCAGCTATATCTCTGCGCACTTTATCCCAAATTGCCGGATGCTTAGCCAACATGAAGAACAGATTGCTGAGCAGACTTGCAGTAGTATCACGACCAGCTAACAGAACATTCATAAGCTCGTCCAGAATACGACGCTTGTCGGAGGTGCGCCATGCCAATTGGTGTAAAAAGATATACTTCTGTCTCTCTGTCTCAGGTTGTCTTTTCTCCATGGCATCCTTGCCGGACTCGACTGCGTAGAGTGCCTGCTCAACAAACTGTTGGGCGAAGTCTCGGCAGATGCGTTCGCTCCTCTCGGCTCGCCGGTCGTGGTAAAACAGGTTCAAGGGACCCAAAGTAGCTCTCAATATGATTGCGTTCTGTGCATCATTGAATGCCTGAGCAAAATTGAGCTCCGATTCCATCTTCTTCAGACTGCCGACAGACTGTCCGAACAGGAACTCGGTCGCGGAATCAATGGTGTAGCGGAAAAAGAGATCCTGCAAGTCCACTACGGTCTGTCCGTCACGCGGAAGCAATGAGAAGAGGTCCTGGATCAGATTCTCAAACGAGGTCAGGTCTGCGACCTGGTCACGGGTAAAGTTGGGCCTCAGGAGGGCCCGTGAGGAGGCCCAGTGGTCGCCATCGGTATCAAAGATTCCAGCACCCAATAGAGGCTTGAATGCTTGAAGGCGGTAGCCGACGCCATAGTCCTTGAAACTGGTTGACAGGACAGTTTTGATATTTTGGGGCTCCGTGGTTAAGATCAAATGATGGAAGAGCTCCTTGACAGCGAATGTGCTTCCATAGGTACGAAAGCGCTCGCAGCTCGCTTCAAGAACCTTATGCTGTCGGAGATCACGGATGATCACAGGGATAACGTCGAGGCCCAAGAAAGGCTCCTTATTGAAGGATCTCGCCAGTGGTTTACAACCATAGCGGAGTGTGAGCTGACGGCGGATGAAGAAGCGCCGGACAAAGACAAATGCAATGATCACCAGCGCGCCAGCCAGCACGCACATAAGCTGGAAGCGGAAATCTGAGGACATTTTCTATGAACAATATATGAAATACTGAGCGAATGGTACTGGGTAGGATCAAACCACGAGAAGTCTGTTCAGATGGACGTGGAAGCGGCGCCTTTCCCGCCAAGGCTCCGAGCGGAGTGGCTGCAATGGGTAGGTACCCAGCTCGCCAGGTACCTAGTACCTACCTAGTACCCGGATTCTGGGGAAGAAGAATCGGGGCCACCACGGCACCGCAGCCACCAGACTTCGACAAGGGGTCCGCCCGGATGACAGACGAGGCATGTGGCATTTCAGTTGTCCCTACCTTCGTACCTATTCTCACTTCGCTGTCTTCGCTTCTTACAGATGACCCTCAGGCAGACATCAACGCTGTGCTTGATACAATTTCGACAAGCCCACTTTCCCATACCTATGTCAAGACCCGTCAGCTTCAGCTGACAACCGACAACCCGCCTCTACCTCGATGCGCACAACGGCTCCATGATTCGATGATTCGATGATTCGCATTGCTGTCGCTAGGCCCATCGTGCCTGAATGCCCGTCCTGAATCCTTTCCTGCGCGCGCTCTTTCAGAGTAGTGTGCTAGGTCATGCGCTCCCCGCCCAGAACTACGTCCTTCTCGTCCCTACCACCGAGTCCCTCCTTTATGGCCAAGACCGCGAAACCAACAAGAGATACGCCGACCATGTCGAAGACGAAGACTTCCTGGGAAGCCATATCCTCCGAATCATCCCTGCGACAGCGGAGAAGGATGGAAATGTCCGCGACAGTCGTGGCAAGGCGAAAAACTACTCGACCGTCAATGGGCGCACCGTGATTCTAAAGGAGAATACCGTCTATAGCAACAAGGGGTTCAAACATCTGAATCAAGCGACTCTTTTGAGTGATTTGCTATACTATTCGCCGGGAAATGACATGCAACAATGGCTCGTCTACTACATTTCGAAACCACTGACTGGTCTGTTCGAGGCATTGCCTATAAAACCGGCAATCATCGGGGAGACCAGAATCAACCATGCCGCACCCGGCACCTCGTCCTCGTCTTCCGAGCCTCCCACTCCGAAAAAGAAAGATATCAAGACATTTGGTCAATTATTGGAGAATTTTCCCATGATACAGCGACAGATGCAACCAGGACTAGAAAGATTGTTCAATGAGTTTAGCAAGGAATTGGGAAAGCCCCTCCCTCCACCCCCTTCGCGCAGTCCAACGCCGAGCACGTTGGACGGGACGACTCAAGCTTCGGAAACCGGATCTGTCAAGTCAAACGGGTCCGTTAAATTGCCGTTCAACTCTTCTGCGTATTTCGAAGATGAGGAGGATCTGATGCGGACAGCTCTGGAGACTGCCGTTACAGCTGCAATCGATCTCTTTCAAGGTGTCGACAAGCAGCAGCTTTCCTACTTGGGTGCAACAACCGATTTGACCGGTCCTGACGTCGAGAAATTGATAGAGCGATACGTGGCAGAATATGTTCATCCCACTCTACTATTTCCTCGATTGTGTTCGTTTCACAAGGCGCAAGATCAAGAACTTGATCGGCGAATACGACAGATGGAATGTTTAGATGTATCTCAGGTTGGAATAGTCCTCGAAGACGGTAGAAACAGCAAAAGAGATCTCATCAACCGGGTCAACCGGGGCGTCGCGGTGTTTCGAAGAATGGGCGTCGCCGGGAGTCCCCAAGAAATGCTCGACATCCTTCTCGAAACCCAAAAAGTCGTGTCGGAGCCACAAGGTATTTCAGACGAAGAAAAAAGGGCAGTGGCAGCAATGACGATTAACGCGGATATTCTGGTGTCCATGCTCCTCCTCGTGGTTATCCGTGCCTCAGTCAGACATCTTCAGGCACGGTTGTCCTATATGCAGCGCTTTATTTATATCGACGACGTCGAAAGTGGCGAGATTGGGTATTCGCTGAGTACACTAGAGGCCGTCCTGACATATCTCGCAAGAGACGCCGGTGGTCTACGAAAGGCATCAAAGCAAAACCAGTTGCTCTGGAAAGCTGTAAAAAGTGGAAAGATCGACGAAGTTAGATCAATATTTGAGGAGTCGGCTATCATGTCAGACGGCCTCGTCGAAGAACCTGCAGAGGTACCATTGTCCAGAGCGACAACAGTATCTACCAAATCCTCCGACTCATGTCCAAGAGCGGCCTTGTCGCGAACTGCGTCGAGCGAGGGTGGTCTGTCACACGTATTTCCTTTTCAGGCAGCAGAGAGAAAGAGTCTGCTACCCAAACAGAAGAAGAAGGTGCAGATGGCAGCAGCTAGGAGCATGTCAGTCTCATCGGCATTTTCACTTTCATCCAGGGCCGCCACAATTGAAACATCGCTAAGTGGAATCGAGGGCGACACTTCTGTGCAGAGCCTGGCTCAAACACAAGATGCTGTGGGAAATTCGGTCTTGATGATGGCAGTCGATAACCAGCGACCGGATTGCCTTCGATACTTGTTGAGCTGTACAGAACTTTACAGTCCAGAAGGAGTGCTGGCAGATGTAACCCAGGATGGGGCAACATTATTGAGCGCCGCAGTACAGATGGCGAATATTGATATGGTTGATATCATTCTGGGCTATGCTGAGCAATACACCGACGAGCAGGCGTTCCGCGAATACCTGTCTGTCAAGGACTCTCGAGGACGGAGCGTGGCACACTACCTATTCAATACTCCTCAGCTGATCAAGAGACTCGCAAATGTCCTTCCCTGGCGACAAAGAGACAAAATCGGACACACGCCTTTGTTTGCCATTTGCCGGACTTATGACCACCCTGATTATAGCAGCATGGTCTCGGAGGCCTTGACGGCTGCCAAGGAAGCTCAACATGATGGCGGCCCACTGCGCCTGGAAGACCACATAGACAACAAAGGTAACTCCTTGCTCCATATCGTTAATGATGCTACTATCATGCAACGAATCCTGCAAACTTGCGAAGTCGATTTGAATGCCATGAACGACAAGAAATTTACTCCGTTGATGCTGGCAAGCAAGTACGGGAGAGTGGATATGGTTCGCATTTTCCTGAGCGACCCACGAATAGACCTGCACCTACGGGAGTCTCGTGGATTGACTGCCGTGGAACTGGCAAAAGATGATGAGGTGCGGAATCGAATCGACGATTTGACATTGTTCTCGCCAGCGAATACAGCCGATGCCACGGGAAGAATAACAGCGATTGTCCGGTCCTTCTTTGTCGAGGATGGTTCAACAAGATTTATCCTCAAGTCGGGCGCTCCGAATCCCGCAGTCTCAAGCACGACCTATACCATCACCACAAGCCGACGGTCGTTGCAAGACTTCGAAAACCTGGCAAAATGGCTTTTGATGGATTTCCCAGCGTCATACATGCCTACTATCCTAGCCTCGAACTTCCGGAGTCCGTTTCAGCTACACTCACGACCATCGCGCGCGGCGTTGTATGATATACAGACTAGTCTTGACCGATTTCTGAAGATCCTGTTGAAACATCCTACTTTCTCCACGCACGAGATGTTATGGGAATTCTTCCTGGTCCCAGACATGCTACAAGAACAGATGATCGATCGAGCACGCCTGAAGGCGGAACTGATTCAGGAAAAGATCAACGATGAATACGATCCCCTCATATCCCGGGCAGATATGATTGCCGTGGATGGTCTGGTCTCTCATTCGAGAGATATTGTGCGGAAAATCAACATCTGTACTAGATCGTCCATACGCAAAGGTCACGCTTATGTTCAAGCACATGCGGATTTTGCAGAGGCGTTGAGCCTATGTTCGGTAGCCTTCGCGACAATGGGAGCTCCCGCGACGACTCTTTCAAAGATGCACGTTGACGCCTTTTTGAAATTTGCAGCCTTGATGCATTCCGAGCCGGCGAGTTCTCCTCTGCAGAACTATATTTGCAGCGTGAGCTCATTTCACTCAACGGTTGTCGCGGTTCAGTCGGCGCTGCTGAAGCCGAGCGCGTTGATCGACCGGATCACGGCAGCCCAAAGGGCGATGGAGAAGGACAGGTCGAATCTGGTGAACAATTCCATCCCGCGAAAGGGCGTGCTGAAGAATCTCAACCTCCCGTTTCCGGGCACCGAGGAATCACGTATCAAGGTGGTCAAAGATACCGAGAAGAAGATCTTGGAACGAGGGTTGGAAATCGAGAAATTGGGCAGGGAACTGAGGTATTCTCAGGAGGTGGTGGTCGGGGAGCTGGCGGGTTGGACTACTTGGAGGCAGGAATGGGGCAGGGCGGAGATGAAGAGGCTTGCTCGGGGGATTGTGGTTCGCGAGCAGGAACGGCTCAAAGGCATGCAGAGAGTCCTCCGGGCATTGAAGGGGAATTGACATGCATCTCCGAAGTGCGTATAGTCGGTCAAAGAGACAGGGAGGAGACGAGACGAGACGGAAAGGTTTCCTTGGACCTAATGTTTAGTGCAGTGGCAGATGAAGGGACTCGACGGATGTAAAAAAGCTGCAACACAGTGGATGATGGTCGCTTCGAGGTCATCAGTGATACCCGGCCGGAAATGGAATGGGACTATGGTATAGATCAATCAGTACATTATCTATTCGATTCGTCGTCAAGAAAGTTCATATCAGATTTATCCCTTTTTTGTACCATCTCATTTCTTCTTGAATCCGTAAAACTGCATATCATCATCTTACACGATGCCACGCCGTGCTTGACCCACTGGGACCTGGGGCGAGGTCTATACCGTCTCGATCTGACCTCTTTATTTCCCCATAAAGAGATTGATCTCTCATCCATGCGTCACCTTCTTGACGGTCCCGTCCTTGTCGACGTGGATGTTCAGCCTGGCAACAGCGTGCAAAAGTTAGCCTGGACAGGTTCATGCTCGGAACGTAACCTCTTGACCATCACGGGCGATGCATGGCGAGGAGATGTAGTTTTCCTGCTGGCGTCTCCCTGTCTTATGTTCCTCCCTATCCTCACTTTCCAACTGCCTTCGTAGTATTATACCACCCGGCCACCACCTCCACATGTACACATTGTATACTTTTGTATGGCACGCATTTTGTCCCCGCCCACGCCTCTCACACTGATCATGAAACGGCAAAGATTCAAAAACCACACGACCGAACGCACACAACCCATCAGGGAATTTTTTGTGTGTGAGAGAAAACACGTACCTGTCCGGATTATGGTCCATGGTCATCATGCCGCCCTCCTCAACCACACGATGGTTCTGCGGCAGATCCTTTTTCGCGAACGACGTCTCGTTGCTCGTCTCGCCGATGCGCTTGCCCATCAGCTTGTTCATCCACTCCGAGGTGTTTGAGCTGCCGCCCGAGGTGTTGTTTATGCCGGGGACGACGAGGGGCATTTTTGCTTTTTCTTTCCTTTTCTTTCCTAGAAAGAGGGGAGATAGAGGGGAATAAGTAATACGGTGGAGGAGGTTCGGGTCTGGCTGGGGTGGGTATCAAATGCTGTGATTGATTTTCTGGGGAATTGGAGGGAGATATCTCGGTACGACAGAGTTTCAGGAAGAAAAGAGAAAGAATTGATACCGAGTGGGAAATGGAAGGGTCTTTTGTAGGGGACTTGTTGCCGTTTGATTGATGCCTGGTCTTGTACTCGGTACCCTCACATGCATGCCTGATGATATACAAGTGAAAGACGCAGTTGAAGAACCAGGGCACTCAGCCATGACGTCGTTTAACCGGGACTAACCACAAACCATAAGCAGCCTTTGGCGCAATAACCCAATAACCCACCACGTATGGGCGAGCAGAGGTAGTATCCGGTACTTGCCCATGTGAGCATCTGCATGTACCTGCGTCATCTCGATGAACACGCGATCGCAACTTGCATTACCTAGGTAGGTCGGTATACACACTTTTCCCGAGCGAAGAATTATTCTGTATTTTCTTTTCCGAGGCCCATGGCCCCCTTTCCCTCTCAGCTCCAAGAGGCAAATGTGGCTGGACAAGTTAGCAGCCTAATGCATGGGTTATCCAGTTTTGCCCCCTTTCCGTCCTCTTTCGTCGGAAGGTCATCGATGATATGATAGGACCCATGCTCGTCAAAGGGTAAAAGTACATTTTGGCTTTGGAAGTCCCTCCCCAACAGCCCATCAGTTTGGAACAAGAAAATGTTGATCTAAAAAGCACACACATCAGGACCGAGCTGAGTTGATCCTGACAAGGGACAAACATGACGAGCGTAGAATCCACCTTTGATTTCCACAGAATGATCGCTAAATGCGACGACATCGACTGCAGCTGAGAGATCAGATGTAATCTCTGGCCGCCTTCTGCAATTCAATCATCCTCCACCCTCTCGTGTCGGGATTGTTGACTTCTTCCGGGATTCTCGTCACTCCAATGGCGTATGTGACCAACTGCACCTTGTCCTCCATTCCTGCTGCCAATTCGTTCGTCTTTGCGTTGCGGTAAACGTGGACTTCTTGCGTCCGACACGTGATGATGAAGACGGGGATATCGCCAGGTTCCAGCAATCGAGCGTTCAGGATGTCGACGTGTCTTATGTCAAGGATCCGTCCGTCCGATTTCAGGCCGGCCTTGGTGTACTGTTCCATCAGAGCCGAATAGACCTGAAATTGTGCCGCCGAGAGCCACATCTTCAAAGTTTCGACGTCGCCCTTAACGTATGCGTCGAGCACTTCGGGTAAAATGTATTCTCGCATGTCGCGCAGGAAAGGTTCCAATTGGAAAGACGGGTCCATTTCGCGGAATTTCTTGATGACCATGGCCGTCTCATTCTCCGCGAAAAACCCGGCTACTCGATCGGAGATAGATCGCGCGGTCGATATCAGGGGATTTTCCGACTCTTCATATGTAGTTTTCATGTTGAATAGACTCTGCATTAGCTTCGAGTTCTCCTTGAAATTGTTCCATGACTCTCGCCATGCCGAATCTTTGTGGACTGTAATGTTGGTTCCGGCGCTGCAACGAATGTTAGAGCCAAATGTCACAAAATTTGTGTTTGGTACACCTACTTTGGATCTTCAACCATGGGTTCGTCTTTTTTGTTGGGCGATTGTGCCTCTTTCAACCTTCGGGCTTCTTCCCTTTTCCTTCGCTCTTCTTTCTCTATCCAGCCACCATATCTGGAGCTGCTCCCATCATCGACTGCTTCCGAGACGTCCTTGAACGCCTTTGTTTCCCGAATTGGCCGAGTGGCTTTTTCGATTCCCCGGCCGGTCGCATTGACTCCCTTTCGCACACCCTGTACGACAGGCGTTTCCCAAGCCCACGCCGCGCCTTGGCCGATGGCGCTGGCCGTGCTCTTCAAGACTTGCGAAGTGCCCTTGGATGCGGCCTCAGAGGCCTCTCGCGCCCTTCTTACAGCATCGGATTCGGTAAACTGCTGGACGGAGCCCGAGAGTTGCTTTGTGGATTCATTCCATTCTTTGGACGCCTTGAATTCTGTTCGGAGGGTGTCGACAAAAACCTGCCATGGAGTTTTGTCGCCATGAGGTGGTGGAGGTGGAGGGGACTCTTTTCCGTCTTTTTCTTCCTTTTCTGATTTTTCCTCCTTCTGATCCTTTTCTTCTTTTCCCTCACTTGCTTCCTTTTCTGTTTTGTCGTCCCGCGGAGGATCTCGGACTTCTTGTTTCGGGTCTTCTTTGGGCTGGGTCTGTTGGAATCGAGCTCCGGAGGTGTGAAGGGATCGAAGGAGAGTCTGATTGGAAAGGGTGAGTCTAGGGGAGAACGGCGTCAGGTGTAAAGAGGAATTGAGAGGTGTCGATTGTTCTCGTGAGGGGAGTAATCTTCTGTAGGCTGCTGTCCTTCCGTACTGCGCCGACGCTCGCAGCGTGGCAAGTTGAGTGGTGGCTGTCACATAATGACGGACACCATGGAGAGGTGCGCGACGCAATACAGTCATGCTACGGAGCGTTAGTCTGCCAGCGAGAGTAAAGAAACGAGCAGAGCACTGAAAGAAAAGATTTCAGCAAGCTCATTCATGGTCAGTTGATGCGTCTTCAAGACGGCGCGGAGGAAATTGAATTTCGGCTCGGCTAAGCTTCCTGTTCCGTTGCAGATTCAATTGCAAGTTTCTTGCACCACGAATTGCACATTGTGCAGTCCGCTGTTCCTTTCGTCTCACTGACGACAACATCGTAGACGACGCAAGATGGCGCGTTCAAGAGTTCCTTTGCTGTCCTCTATGTGCAGATCATGTCGGAACTCCTACCTCACACAGCCGCGCCGGGCCATCTCAGATTCAAGCTCAAGCTCCTCCAGAGAACCAGAGCGCCAGCCCAGCAGACTCTCTGAACGGCTAGGGATCAAAGTCAATGAAGAAGTCTCGGCAAAGGAGACTGATGCTCTGAGCCATTTCCACGAGCTCCTACGCGGAAGTTCAAACAGCAGTGCAGCGTCGTCAACCACGAACAATTCGATGCGCTCCATCTTCCAAAGAGACCTGCGGAACGTCGCCCAATCTGCACAAGCAGAAGCCGCAACACGGCCTTCTCTCAGGAGCTCGTACACGGACGAGCCATACCACATCAACGTCTACGCCCACCGGCATAACACCCATATCACATTCACCGAACCCAACCGTAATCCAATCTTATCCTTCTCATGCGGCAACCTGGGGCTGCGCAATGCACAAAAAGCATCCTACGATGCAAGCTTCCAATTAGCAGCATACACCTTTCGGAAAATGGCAGAGAAACAGTGGAAACTTGGAGGCAGCAAAAGCAACAAACATAACAACAATCCATGGTGCACGCTATCGAACATTAAAAAGCCGGCGTACAGTGGTTCCCCCGGCGCAGGAATCGAGGTGATTTTCCGAGGATACGGGCCAGGAAGGGAGGCCTTTCAGAAGGCATTGCTGGGGACGGAGGGGAGGATGATTAAGCCTCTGATTGCGAAGGTGACGGACGGGACGAGGCTGAAGTTCGGCGGAACCAGGAGTCCGCAAGTCAGAAGATTGGGTTAAGCAGGGTGGGGATGTATATGTTGTACGACTATGGCGGGTGGATAGAAGCAAAGATTGATGGTCTCTGCTCCCCAACCCGGATTGGCAAGCAGAACATCTAGCAGACTCTTAAGGGAAAAGCACCATTGTGAAAACACCTAACTATCGATTCCGTTTTTGTTCTCAATATCCACCTGGTGAATTCGAGAAATAGTCACCACCAGTGACCTGGCTCACTCTGACCGGCGACGGACTCGAACTTCCCTCGGAGCTTTCCTCCATAGCTCTACTCCTGGACCGCGACGGTATCTGCAACGTTGCTGCTGCGCCAGACACGGTGCGATGGGGCTCCAAAAGCGTGGGCTTGTTCCCGAACCCGACGCCGGCGATGACCCTCCTCAGCACGTCTCCCCTCGGATCAATGCCCATCATGAACCGGGCGAGTTCCGCGCACAGCTCGAAATCGCCCTTTTGACGCGCGAGTTTCATCAGGCGGATGACGTAGCCTTCAAACTTGCGGGCGTCGTAGGCCACCTCGGACTCAGACTCGGACCCGTTACCTTCTTGTTCCTCCAGCCCCTGCAGGACGATGAGGTAGCCGCCGGCGGTCTTGAGGTCCTCGAGTTCAAGGGCTTGTTCGAACAAGGTGAGAGGCGGTGGGAGGTGTGCGAATAGCGTGCGCCAGGACGATAGCTCTGTTTTGCGGATGCATTGCACCACGGTCGACAAGTATGTTGTCGGTGGGAGGACGAGTTGGAGGAATGAGAGAACAGCCGGCAATGGGCCCTGTGCCTCATCTTCATCATCCTGGTTGGCCTTCATTTGAGGTTTCCGATCAACTTCATCGTCGAGGACATTGTGTAGCAGGATCTCCAGCGCGTGAGGAAAGTATGAGAGGTTCTGGTACTGGTTCGCTAGGCCGAATGCCGCGGCGGTATCGTTGGCTTCACAGAGTTGGTGGCGAAGAATATAGGGGAGGAAAAGCTGTGTGCGGATGCTGGAGCGGAACTGGGCAAAGTTGACGTCTCGCCGTTGCAGAAGCTCGGATTCAATACCGAGCACAACACCTTTGGTGAGAAGGATGGACAAAGGGTAGAAATCGACGGACATAGACAGGACTGGCGAGGTGTTGAGATCTCCTGCAGCGTGGTGGAACAGATCACGCACATCGGGCCAGAGACGAAGTTCATCACCGCTGAATGTCCAGAGAGAGTCTCGTAGAGAGTAGTTTTGCTGGCTTCGTAGGGTGAATGCCGATCCAGGCGACGGCGTGGGTGGCGCGGATTCATCCGGGCCAGTACTAAAGTTGAAGTATATCTGGTCACGCATTAGAATGTAGTACTCGACATGCTGAGCAATGACGCGCATGTCGTATTTGAGCTCGTCCTTTTCGTTCCGAGACGCTTGCAACAACACCAACTTGTCGTCAACGAGGAACAGGACGGATGCGAATTCCACGTCTCTAGAGGGATCCCCGTTTCGAAGCTGAGAATCTGGTACAACCCAGCTGACGGACCGAACTCGGCTTGGGGCACGCACGATGCCATGAAAAGCGATTTGGCCCACTTGCACAAGCTGTGCACCTCGTTCGGTTATGTTGAGGATATAGTGGTAGAGGATGTTCTCGTATGTATAGACCAGCAGAGAGTCTTCTCCTGAAGGGCCCACAAACACGATGGGCATGGAGAATGCTTCGTTATGCAACGGGAAACGACCCAGCTCGAGCTCCCGCGAGTACAATCGCAAGTCGTACCCACTGGTATTCTCAGTTGCAACGGCAAGCACATGGTTGAACCAGCACATCCCTCCGCGGACTGCGAACGAACTTTCTACCGATAAGTCAGAGAATGTCTTCCACCTTCCGCTCTGAAGACTGTAGTGAGCCAAGCCCCGGCGACCAGCAATTGCAACATATCTTCCGTCTTGTGAAACGACACACGACTTGATAGGCCATTGAGTGTGTAGATAAACATGTGGATATTCGGCGTGATGCCAAAGAGATGCCTCATTCGATATGGAAGTCAGGTCGGGGAGTTCATGGCCACGATAGACTGTCAGTTCTGTGGGAGTCTGGAGAAGAGCCCGAACGAGATTGGCGCAAGAGAAACACCCCATGGCGGCACTCCGCGACATTTCTAACTTCCAAATCCGATTTTCAGACGCGGTTGTGAGGAGAATCTCGCCACCAGCACCGATCCATGTCGCTCGTTGGACAGCGAGGAGCCATTTCTCAGAATTGGACTCTGCGTGCGTCAGGTTTTGGTGGAAGGTTGAAGCGCCCTCCTTTCCGAACACCGACCACGTACACCAACCCTGTTCGTATCCGACAAAGAGACAGTATCCATCAGGAGACCATACGAGACATGTAATAGCGCCTCTAGATGAGGGCGAAGTGGAAGCCCTGAAAGTATGTGACAATGGAATATTCCCGGCGTAGTCTTTTGCAGAATAGCAGATGATTTCTCCTCCCGAGGTAGCAATGGCGATGAGTGAGAACCGGGCATTGATACTCGCAAATGTTGCACTGGAGGTTGGTGGTTCAGGCTTGTGAAAGCAGTAGCCGTCAAACAACCTTGTCGCTGGGGTCGTGGATCCCCTTGAGGAGGGAATGGAGTCATCTGACGACGGTGCTCGTGACAGTTGGGGTTTGATCCGCTGCACCGCATACGCATGGCCGTCCTGTGACAACCAGACGGAAAGGTTCATGGCTCTGTCATGGATCATGGTTGATATGCTCGATTTCTGGGTGATCCAGTCCATCCTGTTCAGTAGCTGGGCGACCGCATTGGAGCCATCCTTCTGAAGGTCCCACCGAATGCACTGCACGGCAGCAGGTTTGGTCGTTGCCACAATTATTTCCGAGTCAAGGGCGTTGATCGAATTAATCCCAGCATCGATTTTGATGGCTCTTCGAAAGCGCAAGAGAACCTCTGGTACCCCAACGGTCTCGTCGGTTCCAAAACTTCGCATGATGTTTTGACGTTTTGCCTGGCTATACCCATACTGTTGTTGCAGGACCCTGGCGGTCTGATCGCTTTCTACAGAGTAGAGCATCAAATAGCCTCCCGCCGTGCGAATGACCAAGGTGCTCCCGTCTGGTTTGAACGCGACGCCCAGATTCTTGCCATAAGTTTCCAGCGACTTTGGAGAACGAGAGAGCGAGGCGAGGACGACCACAGGTCGCGTTGACCACAAATCCAATTGGAAGGGGCTAATTGTCGCAAAGAGGTGGTCATGCCGCGCAGCTTGAAGGTCGATGATAGCATTGGAGTCATCGTGAGTAGAACCATTCTTCTCTACCTCCTCATTTGAGCCGTCTTCGTGGCCGGCTTCTGCTTCTGCTCCTTCGGGGTGTTGGGCAGTCACCGCGCTGGGGCCATGGTATGCGAAGATCTGCGGCACGCTGCATGGCCAATACATTATTCAACGAATCAGTGCCCACCCGCATATCTGCTGAATATCATCTTCTTCCGCGTTGCCACCACAGTTGACCACAGGAGGTGCTGGGGCTTCAAGGTGTCCTGTGGATGAATTGCTTGAAGATGCGGGACGATCTGATGCCAAGAATACCATCCACTCCATACTAATCCCAGGTTGGGAGGATGGTGATGCCGCCCTGTTGCTCCAGCGAGGGCATGTTAATATATTTGGCTGGGCCGCCGCTTTTGCTCAGCAACCATAAGAACCTCGGTACCTCAGACAGTCCATTGCTCTGAATCTTCTCGCCACCCCTTCGTCAATTGCTCAAGCACCTCGATGTTCACCACCTTCACTAGCCACGAATCCCCTTCATCGCAAAGCGCTGCTACTACAACGGCCACAGGCAGAGCTTGTGACACATGTAGGAGGCTGAAAATCAGGTGTCGAAATGCGAAGTCGATACCAAGTTCTTCGTCACGGACAGCAGAGCCTTGCATGCAGTGTCTCAAGGCGGGCCTAAAATGCACTTACGACGAGAAGCCTGTCAAACGTGGCCGACGGCGGAAGGGACAAACCCGCGAGAGTACTCATCCGTACTCTGGAAGTCTGCTTGATTTGAATTCTCCATCCTCTCAAGAGCCAGGACTGTCGCCCACGGAAACGATTGGAACTCTCGCAGAGCCCAACGTGGGTAGTCATGCGCCTCATGGCATCCTGCCTGGCACAGACTGCGAAATTTTTGAAGCTGATGGCGACAACCTCCCATTTGGACTACAGACTTCTGACTCCGATGCGGTTCTAGTCGACGACGATCAATGCTTACTATCGGATGGGATGCTCCAAGGTGACGAGCTTTCTAGGGGCGATGAAATATGGAGCGCCTTGGACGAATTTTTTGACACAATGTATGTTGTGTTCCCTGTTCTGTCATACACCAGTCTCGCCTCACGTCTTATCATCGAACCAGCATGGCGTGCCATCCCTGAATTCCGCACACTGCTTTTGTCAGTTCAGACAGTGAACGCAGCAAGTCAATTCCGCATGGCTCCAGGAGATAAAGCGCGCCTTTCAACCCTCATATCTCAGGTTGAGAGGTCACGCTTGGATTACAATTTTGCCGATCCAGCGACGCTTGACAGCGTGGTTATCTCCTTATTTCTCTTCACCGCCTATAACGTCCTCGAAACACACAATCGTGCATTCCTGTATCTGGATGAAGCTCTCTCTCTTTTAGAGTTGGTGGAGCCTGTCGATGAAGAAGAGCGGCAGAGAAAGATACAGGTTGAGCAAGTTCTCTTCAATACTGAGGCAGCAACTCTGGCAATATACGCAGACAAGCGCAGGCGACGACGGGCTCGCAGGCCAGGGAAGATTGCGGACGTACCACCAATGGCGTCACATACCTTTGGCGCTATTGATGAACCCGACAGAGTTGCTAAGCACTTGTTGAGGCGACTCACTGAGATACATTTGGCTGAGAATGCAGAAGCGTTCGAGGAAATAGATCTCGAGTCTGAGGCCGACATGGCAACGCTGTTTGGCGCAGTGTTCAAACGCCATCGATACTCCCGCATACAAGCAGCTGACGTCGTTGTTACCCGACAGTGGCAGCTTTCAACAAAACTTGTTGCCAATCTCCGAAAGGGCCTGGGGATCACGCCGAGATTTCAGAAATCAGTCGAATTCCTAGGTCTTGCAGCCATGTCCTGGATTTGCTTGTTGGGAGAGGGCGAACTGCGAATTGTGGGCCTGGGAAAGCTGTCCAGCCTTGCACAGAATATCTACAATCTAGCAAGAAGAGGCCAGTGCCAGTACATTCTAGGTGGTCTCGCAGGCGCTGTCATCAAGGAGGATCATGAGAAAATCTTTGCACCTCAGCTCGCTGAGGTAGTCATGCCTTTGGTCTCGACAGTACCTCCACCAATAAGTGTACGGTCGCACTACGAGTACCAGAGCTTGACGCCTCAGGCACGGACAACGTTGCAACTTGGGTCTGTGAATGGTGGCGCCTTTGAGTCTGACACCGATCATTGGAAGTCTTCAACACAGGATCATGTCGAGGAGGCATATGATTGCAGCCCACCAGACCTCCTTGATCGATTCATTGATCTATCTTGAACAGACACCAAAAACACGAGAATTTCCACCTGCTCTACCGTGAGTCAGGATCCGCACAGCCAAATGCTGACATAAAGATGTCTCTCTGGTTCTCAAGCCACCTCTTTGTCACGGTGGCATTCATTGGAAAGGTGAAGCCATGGGGAACACCAGGTAGGATCTCTTCCGTAACCTCTGTACCAAATGAGCGAAGAAGCTGCGCGTACGCCAAACCTTGAGGCATCAAATAATCGCAGGCGGCAACTGTGACGTGGGTCTTGGGGTGTTGTGCGATGGCTTGGGCCATGAGAGGAGATACAAGAGGATCATATATGTCCGTCGATTTGCCGACATAGAGATCTTAAGGCGTCCCAGTCAGTTGGTCATTTCTCTCCGACAGAGCATACGATACGTGTACAACATACCGTATAATTTCTCGAATTCCTTAACCACCAGTTCCGGGGCCAATGGGACGTCTGCAACTGTTTCCTCGATGCTACTGGTTTGGCAAGGCCGTTGCTTATTGAATGCATCTTGTGCTTTTGGGTGTGCAGTCACAGGGACCACAAGGCTCACCATCCGCAGATTGGGAAACCCGGTCACTGGACGCTGCTGGGTGTGTCTAATGCTAACTGCAGCCGCAAGATTCCCGCCTGCCGAAGCACCCCACAATGCTATGCGCGAGGTATCGATTTGGTATTTTCCGGCGTTCCGGATCGCCTTGAGGAAATTTCATTAGCCGTCAAACAACCTTGGCTTACGGGGTGAGTCAAGCACATACCCATGCAATCGCCTCACTGCAGTCATCTAGGGGGGCTGGAAACGGGTGCTCGGGAGCAAGTCTATAATCGACGCCCAGAACGACGGCGCCCAGCTCAGACGCGAACAATGTCGATATGGCTGTTGTTGCAGTCAGCTTCTGGGGTAAATGTCACACGTTCCGAAAACTGTCATCACTGACTTTCGTCGCCACAAGGCTTGCCATGGATCCATCCACCACCGTGGAGCATGAGTATTGCTGGTCTCAGCTGCTTTGAAGTCTTCTCTTCAAGCTCGGGGTCATATACCCGTATGACAAATGTATCCTCGCTTCCATCCGAGCACAGCACGGATACTTCGCTGATGTCGACCTTGGCTTCAGGTCGTCGACGTTGAATGTCGCATCTGGCCCTGTGTTCGGCGAGAGGTCCTTTTAAGAAAACATTGTCTATCCAGCTGCGCATAGCCTGGACATCGGTACCTCCTGGAATTGCCGTAAGATCGATGGGCAGCTTTGCCAACTCCTAGACTTCAGTCACTATAGCTTTTCTTTTCTCCCCTCTTGTTGTCGGTCTTGGGACTCCCCACCTGTAAGAAGTTGAAGTCCGGGGCTTGGAGTTTGTTCACAGGGTCGAGAGTCATACCCTGCATCCTACAGAGCAGCTCCAGATCTGGCGACACTGCGCCATTCTGCTCGTGGAGGACAGAAGCCGGCTGGACATCAGCTGTCCCGGTGACTGAAACTGCAACCATGGTTCGATCGGCTCTTGCGAAGGGACCGGTCCAGCGGGAGACCGTCAGTTCTTTTCATTTCCATCATCACAACGGGCGGTCCAGACTGCTGATCCTCGGTAGGTCAAAGGGATGGACCTATTTGATACGTTTGGGGAATTCCGGTTCTGGACAAATTCTCCAAGCGGCTTAGTGAGTTGCATTTTTGTCAGCGATTGGATTCTTGCAAGGCTGCACACAGTTTTCCAGTCTCTTCAGTGCCCACCTTCCACTGGACATTGCTCCAGACTGTCTGCCCCATTAGGACTTTTCTCTCCTTTGGTTGCCTTGAAAATTCCCCATGGGGAGAGAGTGGGTTGTTGTGGTCTGCCTTCGAGACTGCGGGCAACCCTGACTCGGGGTAAGTGGGGATCACGATATATAACATACAGGGTTCCTCCTGAGCCCTCGCACAGTTCTTCCATATTCTGCAACAGGTATTACTCTCATCCTCGAAACAATGGCTTTGTTCACGACCAAAAACGACGTGTCGACGCACCAGGAGCATGTCTCCGAGGTCACCCAGGATGCGGCCGCAGTTGATCGCAATATTCATCATCCTAAGGGCTGGATGAATTGGAGAGTTGTCATGTATAGTGAGTCTTGCTCATGCGGCTTCAGCTCATCTGGCTGGGAAATATATCTAATGTGCCATCTCTAGTGATCATCGTTGGCCTTTCGATGGGTCTCTATGGTTATGACAACAACTTTGTTGCTCCCCTTTTGTCCTTACCTTTGTTCATTCAAAGATATCAAGGCTCTGGGTTAGCCTTCACGGTGAGTGGTGGCCTGTGCCCGCTCTAAAGATTTCACAAATAGACTAATGAAAATGCGTTGAATCTAGGCTCGGAATCTCGATGTCCTTGTCACGGTACCTCTCGTAGGCGCGGCTATGGGGACCTTCATTGCATCTCCTGCGATGAAGAAATTCGGACGCAAGAAGACTTTTATCGGGGCTTACTTCCTGTTTTGCACCCCGGGCTCGTTTTTACAGCTATTTGCTCCCAATATCGGTGGCATGACCGTGGGGAGATTCTGGAATTGTGAGTGCCCACGTAATTAGCTGCCACGCTGCTGAAAATGGTCTAATTGACGTTTCAGATCTTGGAATTAGTATTCTGACAACTACCGCGCCGCTTTACCTTGCGGAACTGGTCCCTGCCCACGTGCGTGGCCGAGCAGTTGGCTTCTGCATAGCTGGAGTAGGCGCAATAGCGATCATTGCCACGACTATCGTGTGGGCGAGTGAGAAGATCAACGATGAGCGGCAGTACAAAATCCCCTTGGCCGTCCAGGCAGCCTGTCCCGTTACTTTTGGCCTTCTGACGCTGCTCTGCCCCGAGTCACCTCTCTGGTACGTCCAGCACGGCAAGGTGGAGGACGCACGGCGTGTGCTCATGGTGATCCGCAACAAGAAGACGGAAATTGTCGACGCAGAAATATCCATCTACCAGGTCTCCATTGCCGAGGAGGCGGAAATGCGCAAGCAAACCCGGTTCTGGGACATTTTGAATCGAGCCAACCTCAAACGCACCCTCACCGCGGGGACTCTACTCAGCTCAAGCCAAGTGGGCGGGCAAATCTTGATCGGGACATACTCGACCGTCATCCTCGTGCAGAGCGGGGTGGGTAACCCGTTCCAGATGACCATCATCATCACCTGCCTGCAATTCCTGGGGACCATCATCGGACCTACCCTCGTGGACAAAGCCGGACGCAGGCCCGTGGCGCTCGTTGGCTTTTCGATCCTCTGCGCCCTCGACATTGCCGCCGGGAGTCTAGCAGCCGCGGGGCTGAAGACGAATAGCCAGAGGCTTGGCCTTGCCTCGGTCTTTATCCTCTTTGCCTTTGCCAACGCCGTATCTTTCCAATCCCTGTAAGTCCCAATCTTATTGTCCTGACACAGCTTCACCGTTTTCTCTCTTCCCCCCGGTGTCTATATCTATACTAACAACGTCCTTGCGTTTCAGGGCGTTCGTTCTCCCCACGGAAATCGCCACGCCAGCCCTCCGAGAGCCCACGGTGGCGTGGTCCATGTTCTGGTCGTACGTGACGGCCGTGATCACGACCTTCGCCGTGCCCCAGCTCACGTCGGCCGACGCCGCCAACCTCGGTGCCAAGACCGCCTTCATCTTCGCGGGCTGCGTCCTGATCACCACCATCTGGGCCTACTTTTACATCCCGGAGACCGCGGCCCGCACGGTGGTCGAGGTCGACGAGATGTACGCGATCAATCTGCCCATGCGGAAATGGAGACACTATCAGTGCCAGTCTGTCCGTGTTACCGCGGAGATTGTGGAGCAGAAAACCGCAAAGGTTGATGAAGAGGGAACTGTCTAGGAAGTGCGGTCGTGCTGAAGGTCCATCGAATCAAAAGGATCCTCAAGCCCCCAACTCTTCGGTTCTAAAGTTGGTTACTCAGTCCCCGAAAGTCAAACCTCTATTACGCCAAAGTATCCGGTCCAGATTTGTTACAAATTCATGAGTTACCGACCTCAAACGTGGCTACCCCGGGGTTATCAACCGTGTCATTGCTTGGGGGCACACACTCATCTGATCGTCGCGAAACGTGGCGTGTTCTCCGTATATAATCTCAAATCCCTACAAATTCATCAAGCCAAATAGTTGTCTGTATTCCGTTTCGTTCCACCGCCCACGACTAGAGTCACTTACTTGCTCATAGACAGGAGGATAGATATGTAACTGGGGAGGGAGAAAGGGAGGAGGCTGATAATTTATTGAGAAAAGCAGCGTCTTTGGATGGATTGTGGATATGCACCGTCTCGTCGCCAGCAAAGGCCCTCATCCAGATTCTCTGTAATCTTGCCTAACACCCCCGCACCCTGATTTTGCAGAACGATGTCAAGGAACCAATAGGACTGCAACCAAGAGTTGCCCTTGGATTGCAATTTGCTGAGTCAGTCTACCATATCCTTCTCTGGGCTGGATCTCTTCGTATTACCATCGCCAGGGTCGGGGAGGAGGGGGGGTGCACAAGACCAAGAACCAGCCTGCCCCTCAGAAGCCTGTTTCACAACCATATATACCTAGGTATATATTATATTCTTTGGCAACCTCCCCCCCTTCGTATGCAAAGGGCCATGAGATAGTGAGATTGGACCTTTTCTCAAGCACATCCCCAAAGTCAGGACATACACACTTCAGAATGCCCATCATCGACAAAGACGTGCCCAAGGCCATCTCGATCCCCTCGGCCACGCTGCGCAAGTTCACGGGATCGCGAGTAGACCCATACACCCGCTACGTGGCGTATCGGCTCTTCAGGGACCTGAACATCTCCGTCCAGGGCCAGAGGAACATCAACAATGCGCTCAGCAATCTCCCCGTCCACGTGTCCATCGCGCCGTTTGAAAAACTGTCCTTTGGCTGGGGATTGTCAAATGTCATCCGCGACCAGGCTGTCCACGAGGGGTCCTATGAGCATCTGGCCATGATGATTGCACTTGGGGAAAGCTTTCATGAGCCCTATGGAGCTAGAGTCCTCATGGCCATGGCCAATGCAGCAGCTGGTCCTGATGACATGACGCCGCATTTCAGTCAGTGGCAGGCCGCTCTTCACGGCTGCAACGGCATATTCGCTACGTCGGACTTTGGACTGCTGGTCGAGGACTATCTTCAAATCGACCCTTATCCCATCGTCTACCCGATAGCGGAGGGCAAGAGCATCGACAACGTCTTCCAACCGAGCATGATCGCCCAGGCGCTGCAGGCCCTGATGCGCGTCACAAAAGGGGAAGAAAAGCATGTCACGCTCATAGGCAGCGGTATCTTATCGTGGTTCGCAGCAATCGCCGAGTGGCTGTGCGACCTGCGCATCATCGTCTATCAGAAGGACGGGAAAGAACTCCGCGTTACGCACCCAGACCAGGAGCCCCAGCTTACGCTGGTCTTTGTGCCGGAAGCGGGCATCAAAGCATCATTTGAGGCATGGAAGCCCACGGGACCAGCCGTCGAAGAATTGTCGCTGATCGATCGGACATACTCTGCCACTCTCCATACCTCACGGTTTGGAGGTCGGGTCGCGTGGCAGTCACTGCTTCCCCGAGTATTTGGCAAGAGTTTCCACCACCTCGACCACGACCAATCCAAAGCCTTTGGGACAATGATCGGCAGCGCAGCGCGGATGTTTGAAGGTCTGGCGCACGGCAAGGGACACGAGGAGCACGGGCAATTGGTGTCGGTCCAAAACCAGAACAATACCGCGTCGTACGGCACCGGTCTCATTGAAACCATCACAAACTGGATGCCCGAACTGCGGAGGTTTCAGGGTCGCATGGAGCGCACGTTGAAGCTGTCTCACGAGGATGCCTCAGCCTCGTACGTGGAGAACCTGACCAAGATCAGGAAGGCCTGCCACTGCGGCATTTGCACGTCCAAGGACGAGGTAGAAAAGGACAAGGAAGGCCTTCCCCCGGACCACGGGTACTGCCTGGCAGTTTTGGTTGAGACGGTGATTTCGCTGGGTCTGACCCTTGCCCGAATGGCGGTGTCGGCCAACCTGTTTCCCACCAGGCACGGCATCTACAGCTTCTACCAAAGTCAGGTGGCCAGGCGAATGGAGGCTCGGGGCTTGCACTGGACGATGCATTTCAAACTCGTCTATGGCAACGTGTGGAACGCCCCTGATGTCGTGCGACTGCAGAATTCGGTGCAAATATTCGCCGGGTCGAGGCCCGAGAAGAACCTGCCCGAGAACCTGGTCGCACTGTCACATGAGGGATGTTGCGCATATTTCATGGATTTGGAAAAGAGAATGAAGTCGACGTCGGATTGCCCCCAGGTCAGGTTGATCCGGGTGGTGTCTGGGGGAATCAACGTGGGCGAGAAGGTGTTCGACAGGGCGTGTATGGGTCCTGTGGAGGACGCTGACCTAGACGATCCATGGGAGGACATCACATATGAGCATCTGCCCGAGCCTCTGTCCTTCAAATGAGGCCAAGATGTTCGTTTTGGGAAGGTCTCAACTTCCCGGAGCAGGTGCCAGAGTCTTGGGGTCACAGGGATCGGAGTGTCTGTTGGGCAGGCGACTCTTGCTCAACGACCGACCTTGACGGATCAATGGGATATTGGTCTTGTTTTTTCTTTTCGTTTTCCCGGCTTTCAAGTCTGTCGGAAAAGGGACGAAAGGGGCGCTGCCATGTTCGATCAGAGAGAATCTCGGGATCTATGAAGGACTCGTGTCGAGTGGTGGGGACGGGGGCAAGGCTAGTTTGACGCCCTGTAGATATTGGGCGAGACACGCGGAGATGCTTCGGGGGATGGGTTTCGAGTTGAGATCATGTGGTGCGATTACTATTAATCTGGGTGTTTCTGCGGTGGTATCTCTTCGTGGTCATGGTTGTAATGCGCCATCTTGTAACTTTGGATGGAGGGAATCTGCGGCGTCAACATCAGCAATGACTTTTGTAAGGATGATGAAACAGAAGTGAATGACGACCGTGTCTTTAGGCCTGGCAGTGCTAAGCGAGTTTCTCCCTAACTCGCTCCGTCCAAGGCTGGTTATTGAACAGGCCAAAGAGACGCAAGCAGCCGAACAGCCTCATATCCGGACGAGTCCGACGGCGGGGAGCCACTGCCCCCAAAGGACCCAATGACGAAACACCCTCTGGGCTGCTGGGCCACTGAGCTGCTGGGCCGCTGGGCTGCTGGGCTTCCTCCCGGGGCGGCGGCACCCAAAACACCCCCACCCAATGCGTCAAAGGGAAGCTACCGGTATGAAGCTCCAGGACTTCCCTTTGACCTCACGAGACGATTGCTGTCGTCGTTGTCGTCGTCGCCATTGATTAAAATCCCGCGAAGATAGACGAGCAGAAGCAGCCCCGACCTCCATTAATAGGCGGGCGAGATCTTGAAAGCTCGCCTTCTTATCCATTTTCTTTGAAGAATCTCCCCTCCGTCCACCACTGCATCTCTCTCAGCTTCCCCCGGGTTTCTCGTCTCCAGTCTCCAGTTTATTCCTTATATTCTCTTTTTGTGTTCCGATCTTATACACTTTTCTTGTTCTCCGTCTCTCTGTAAAGCCCCCCTTACTTGGGTTCTCCTTCTCATTCCACGATGGCCGCCTCAGCACTCTTGAAGAGTAGGTGCAGAAGGGCTAGCTACCTAAACGTGCGTCCACCACTATTACCGCCGCTCTGGGTCGGAGCTTCCAAGGTTGGCTTCTGTTGAAGCTCCTCTCAAAGCTCTAAGGCATCGCCCATCTAGCTCGATGGGTGGCTGCTTGATAAGGGAAGATGGCTAACGACAAGAGGGCAGAAATTGGCCAAGGCTGAAGATCTCATCGACTTGTTCCCCCACGGCGCATATGTCGGCTGGTCGGGCTTTACAGGCGTGGGATATCCCAAGTACGTTTGTCCTGGACACATTCATCCAAATCACCTTTTTGCCTAGTCGTCTGGTGTGCTTACGACCCTTTTTGGGGCTGTGAAATAGAAAAGTGCCAACCGCTCTCGCCGACCACGTCGAGAAAAATGGGCTCCAGGGCAAGCTCAAATACAACCTCTTTGTGGGTGCCTCGTCCGGAGCAGAGACCGAGAACCGATGGGCTCGACTCAACATGATCGAACGCCGGGCCCCGCATCAGGTCGGCAAGGAGATCGCCAAGGGCATCAACAACGGCAACATCAAGTTCTTCGACAAGCATCTCAGCATGTTCCCCGTCGACTTAATGTACGGATTCTACACCAAGCACAAGGCCAACAATCGCCTGGATGTGGCCATCATTGAAGCTTCTGCCATCACCGAGGACGGCGGCATTATCCCTGGGGCCAGTGTGGGAGCGTCTCCCGAGATCATTCAGATGGCAGACAAGGTAGGAGCACAGATACTTTATAGCATGGAGATTGGCTGACCACGTCCTCCCCCCCCAGATCATCATCGAACTCAATACCTCTGTCCCTAGCTTCGAAGGTCTGCACGACATCACAATGACAGACCTCCCGCCACGAAGAAAGGCATGCCATAACTCCCCCTTCATCTCAGATCTTTCATGACTGACTAGGGCTCATCACAGCCATACTTGATCATGGCACCAGAGGACCGCATTGGGACACCGCATATCCCTGTGGATCCAGAGCGCGTGGTGGCCCTCGTTGAGTCCGACTATCCCGACCAAACAACCGAAAATGCTCCCGAGGATGAAACCTCTCAGGCTATTGCTCGCAACCTGATCGAGTTTCTGGAACACGAGGTCAAACATGGCCGCTTGCCGGTGAACCTGCTGCCTCTGCAATCTGGCATTGGCAACATTGCAAACGCTGTCATCGGCGGTCTAGCTGTAAGCATATTATATCACCTCAATCGCATGTCGAGGGTTTCCAAGATCTGATCGGAACCGCTGACCTCTTGATTAGAAAGGAGGTGCCAACTTCAAGAATTTGAAAGTTTGGACTGAAGTGTTGCAGGACTCGTTCCTGGACCTCTTCGACAGTGGTAACCTGGACTTTGCCACCGCGACTTCCATTCGTTTCTCTCCTGGAGGATTTCAACGTTTCTATGATGGCGTAAGTGTCACACACATGTGGAGATCCACCTTCTGCGTGGCCAATTGCTAAGAGAATGTCTCAAAACAGTGGGAGAACTATCACTCCAAACTCATCCTGAGATCCCAGCAAGTATCGAACTCACCTGAAATAATCCGTCGCCTCGGTGTGATCGGCATGAATACCCCCGTCGAAGTCGACATCTACGCTCATGCCAACAGTACCTGCGTGATGGGCTCCCGCATGCTCAACGGCCTAGGAGGATCCGCGGACTTCCTCCGTTCATCCAAATACTCCATCATGCACACACCCAGCACACGACCTTCCAAGACAGATCCTACCGGTGTGAGCTGCATCGTGCCCATGTGCACGCACATTGACCAGACTGAGCACGACCTGGACGTTGTCGTGACTGAAATCGTGAGTATTCCCGAGCCTATCGTTCCGTCGGGACTTGTGAAAGCTAACACGACCCAAAAAACAGGGCCTTGCAGACGTGCGAGGAATGTGTCCTCGCGAACGAGCGCGCGAGATCATCAAGCACTGTGCCCATCCCGACTACCGGCCCATCCTTCAGGATTACTTCGACAGAGCCGAGTATGAGTGCTTGAAGAAGGGCATGGGTCACGAGCCGCACCTGCTCTTCCAAGCATTTGATATGCATAAGAATCTGGTGGAGAATGGTACCATGAAGATCAGTGGCTGGAAATAGATCGCTGTACCTCGTAGGAGAAAGGAGGTCGAACGCCCCGTGGCGTGAGAGGACACGAGCATTTTGAGTTTTTCAGAGGACAGACCCGTGAGATTTTGACCGAAGGCGTAAATTATCCGTGGCAGTTGATTGAGAAAGCGAGAGGTTCCGGATCTTTGTATCAAAGACTCAATATCCCAATGGAGTTACCATAATCGAGGACCCTTCCAAGGACCATGAGTTCCAAATGCGACAAGCGCGATTGCTGTTTGCAGCTCCTAATACCATGATCGGGAATTTTACACTTCAATCACTGCTTGTCAGCACCGTAGTCTAGATGACTCTGCAAAGGTGCCAGACTGGAGGTATCCATCTGACAACCATGCCCAAGATGATGCTGATTGGCTCTCACACCGACCAATCCAGCACAAGACGCTTACATGCTTCGCGTATAGTTCGTAACTCTTTGAATATGTAATCCTCATACGGGGAACGGAGTGGGGGTTGTTCTGAAGGGGCCATTGCCGTGGACATCAGGTCTTCCCTGAGACCACCTGCAATCATTGCACCATTGCTGACGATTCTTGCGCCATTCGTCGACGATGCCGTTGGAGGACGTGATTTTGGTGTATGCTTCGAACATATAAAAACCACATCGATGCCCGCCGCCCGCGCAAGAGCTGCGTGCTCGAACTTTGACTGTAGCAAGGCCCGTCATTGAACACACTCCATGGTGGGATAAATGCACACAGGTTTTCCACCTGCCAGATTATGAGAGTCGCCATCGCCTCACGCCCTTGTGGCGACGCATCCCTGGACAGGTAATGCTGACCTGCTTTGCCGCAAATTCCCCACTGGACGTTTTTCTCACATCAGGGTTTGTTTGCCGTAACGACAACAGGAAGCGAGATACTCTCGTTCAATGCAACACGAGTGCCAGAAGTTGTAAGCTCGGTGCAATTGGGAGATTGTTCGAACCAATTTCCTTGGTCGGATTTCCTCGAGGCGTAGCTGACCGGTGAGCGCTTAACGAGCTATATAAATCCCCAAGCTTTGCGGTCCTGAGAGACTCTCCCTTCTTTCGACATTGGCGAGAAACACATCGGAAAAATCGCAGCTTGAATTTTCGTTTCCTGAAAGCAACAATGGATCCCACATTCTATCGCACTGCAGCAGAGGCAATCTCTGCCCCTCCAGAAGAATTGGCCTATGTGGTGGCCTTTGACAGAAAAGGTCAGAAGCACGACGCGTTGACAGTCATTGATTTGAAACCCGGCAAGACGTACGGTCAGGTTGTTGGCTGGACCGATGTTCCAGGGCTAGGGGACGAATTGCACCATTTCGGGTGGAATGCGTGCTCCTCTGCCCTCAAACACGAGGGTCACAACATGGACGGCTTGCAACGACGCTACCTGCTTGTCCCCGGCTTGCGCTCCTCCAATATATACGTCTTCGACGTCGGGCCCGACCCGCGCCGGCCAAAACTCATCAAATCGATCGATGGGAAGACCTTGTCAGATAAAGCTGGGTATTCTCGTCCGCACACATTACATTGCGGCCCCGATGGCGTCTTCTTGACGTGCCTCGGGGGTCCGGAGGGTAATCCTGACGGACCCGGCGGCATTGCTCTCCTGGATCACCAGACCTTCGATGTTTTGCGTGCTTGGGAGACCAATCGCGGTCCGCAACACTTCCACTATGATGCCTGGTGGCACTTGAACAAGAATGTTCTCATTTCAAGTGAATGGGGAAGTCCGTCGATGATCGAGAACGGCATTGTTCCAGAACTTTTGTTGGGGAACAAGTACGGCCACGCCATCCACTTCTGGGACCTTGCCGCGGGAAAGCACCATAAACGTGTTGACCTAGGTGAAGAACACCAAATGGCACTCGAGGTTCGCCCGTCGCATGATCCAGAAGCAACATGGGGTTTCGTTGGAGTCGTGATTTCAACAAAGGACCTGTCGGGGGCCATCTTTCGATGGTTTCAGGATGGCGGCGAATGGAAAGCAGAAAAGGTCATCACCATTCCAGCAGAACCTGCCGATGAAGAATCTTTACCCCCGATACTCAAGCCGTTCAAAGCTGTTCCCCCACTGATTACGGACATCGACCTCTCAGTCGATGACAAATTCCTCTATGTTGCCTGCTGGGGGACCGGAGAAATGAAGCAATATGACGTCTCCGACCCAGCGCATCCAGTTCAAGTAGGCTCGGTGAGATTGGGAGGTATTGTGAAACGGGCTGCGCACCCAGCGAAGCCTGACATGCCCTTGGCAGGCGGACCTCAGATGGTCGAGGTGTCGAGATCCGGAAGAAGTCTTTACTTCACTAATTCCCTTTATGGATCTTGGGATGACCAGTTCTACCCTGATGGTGTCGGCGCTTGGATGGCCAAAGTGAACGTCAACCCGAGCGGCGGTCTCACGATAGGTGAGTAATGCCTCCGTTCTTCCAACGCAGACGACGTTGTGGTCTCAAGCTGTGCGCCATGCTGACTGCGCGCCTTAGACGACTCCTTCTTCCCCCAGGGATCCGACTTTAAAGGGTTGCGTGTGCATCAGATCCGCCTCCAGGGTGGGGACGCGTCTTGTAAGTACTTGTCGTCCTCGAAAGGCTCCCTGGTTCTTGGAGAGAGAATCGTACTAGGTATCTAGTGACCATGGCCTGCTAACACGTAATTTCAGCGGATTCGTATTGCTATCAGAGCACCACGAGCAGGCTGTGAGCAGCTGAAGGGCGACGGTGGTGATGACGATGGGGCTCTGGGGATCGGAACCTTGGGGTAGGAGATTGCAAGCAACATCTTGAAGAGGACAGTAGTAATTGAAGAGGCTGCGGCTCCGGACTGTGGACACTGTGTGGACTGTGTGGACTCAAGACTGTACTAGGTATCGAGTAGCTCGCGTTATTGTGGCTGCAGCTGAGGACGAACCCGCCGAGCAAACGCCGTGTGGCGTCTCGGAATTTCTATCCTTACATCTGACTTCACGCTCTAATGAACAAGTCGAGGACTGCTCGCATTTTGATGAGACGAATTCTGCCTAAATTGCTCACCTCTTGGCTGCACCACTACTACGCCCCTTCGTCCTTCTCATATGTGGCCTCCCTTACCTCCCTCGGTCTTGCTTCCGCCCTTCACGGTGCCACTGACCGATCATGCCCGACATCATGCGTCATGTTTACACTTCCGCTTTCTGACTTTTCTATTCGAGTTTGCAGACCGCAAGGCTATTCCGTTCGAGGGCCTTGTCTGAAGATCACTCCTTCATGTCCCAAGGGCACCTTGGCGTGGTTCCCACCAATGTAACCAACGTCGTCTCTGTCCAATCCTCGGTGTCGAGCGTCACGTTAGGTTCCCTTCGTGTCAGGATGCCGTCAGAAAGAAGGCAGAGGGCTCCTACCGCCCTTGCCCTGGTATCTCTCCCCAATATCGAGATTGGGACACGTCTAACCGCCTTTTCTTAACGTGGCACTAGCCCAAGCCCACTGTGTCTTCACGAAGGCACAACGGATATGCTATTAAGGCATCCCTCCCGTTGAAACCTGATCAAAACTCAGTCACGGCGGTACAGAGGTGGGATGTGGGACTTGAAAGAGACCGCCTTCTTCACGGCCCAGTGTCCAGGGCAACATTGCACCATATGGAGTACAGGCGATCCCACTCCAACGCCTTGACTTGGAGACGACCCATCCCCGCGGGGAGGTCGATCATCTCGTTGATCCAATCATGACAGTTCGGTCTTTGATATTACTGTTAACGGTATCCCGATGTGGAGCTGAACATGGATTCCTTCACTATTTGATCCATTGGGATCATAGGCTATTGGAAAATTTGCCCTCAACAGATACGCTTCTCGCCGTTCTCTCTACCGATGATTGAAGCGCAACGGCACCTTTCGGTTGATCAACGGGCGATCAGCGATACAGATGGCACCTGACAGGACCATATAAAACAGTGGGTTCCTGACTCAGGGAAAATCCAGCCGTTGGCCGCTCTTTTGCGTAGCATCTTTCTTTGTCAAGGGGCCTGCTCAATCGTCCAATATCAAAGACGACAACATTGTCGAGAGTCAGGTCATAATGGGTCGCAAATACCTGGGAGGCTCGGGTAGCGCCCTAACAGTTTGGATCTCGCTAGCCGCCTCAACTGTTCTCATATTCTATGGATATGATCAGGTATGCTCCTGACTATTCTGTCTTGTCACTGTGACTAATGGAGTCGTTCTATTGTTCAGGGCGTATTCGGCAACGTGTAAGCGATAGAGTCGCATTGGCAATGGCGTCCGCCACATAGCTAACGCATTGGTAGTCTCGTTGGGAAGGATTTCCTCCAGACTATGGGTAATCCAGATGCAACTGTGCAGGGCACCCTGACTAGCGTATACAATCTCGGCTGTTTCGGAGGCGCGCTGTCGACATTGTACACCGGAGACCGACTTGGCCGTCCACGCACCATTATGCTTGGGAGCTCCGTCATTGCCATTGGCGCAATCGTTCAGGCAGCCTGCTATTCAAGGGGTCAAATGTTTGCGGGCAGGGTCATCGCGGGCCTTGGGACAGGCATGAACACTGCCACCGCTGGAGTTTGGCAGTCGGAGACCAGCAAGATGCAAAGCCGTGGCAAGCTTGTCATTATTCAGATGGCAAACTGCATAACTGGCTTTTGCCTGTCGAATTGGCTCACTCTTGGATTTTCGTTCCTCAAGAGTTCAGTTGCCTGGCGATTCCCACTCGCTTTTCAATGCTGTAAGTTCCCGGCTCTTTCCTCTGGCAACGCTAGGTGCCACTTCCTGCTGAAAACTGACCTTTGAATAGTCTTCACGCTATTGATATGGTTGATGTGCCCTTTCCTCCCGGATTCGCCCCGCCTTCTTATCCGTAAGGGCAAGCACCAAGAGGCATTAGAAGTGCTCGCTGCTCTCGAAGGACATGGCGCGACTGCCGATTCGCCTTCGGTGCGCACACAATACAACATCATCAAAAGTGTCTTGGACAAAGAGCACGCACAGACCTATACTTGGTGGCAGCTCCTCACCGGCCGAGGTCCTTCAGGAGTCGTCCGGCGAATGATACTAGGCGCCTGGATGCAGGCCAGTAATCAGGTGAGTGGCATTAATGCGACGAGTTGAAATATGAGCGGCGATAACGATTTGAGTTGAAGATCTCAGGTATCAACGTGACAAGTTATTTCCAAACGTCAGTCTCTGTGCCTTTCAAAAGACGAATTTTGAGACTGACTATCGACAGGTATATCTTCATCCATGCTATCAATCTCAACGAGCTTTTGTAAGTCAATCTGGCGCATAAATCCGGCAGCAAACGCCACGATACTAACCATGCGAGTAGAGCTCGAATCCTCGCAGCTGCCGGGTCGGTCGACTACCTTATCTTCAGCTTTTTGGCATGGTTCGTCATTGAACGGTATGGGCGTCGTCGGGTCATGATGTGTTCAGCGTTTGCCTGTTCCATGTGCTGGACTATTATCAGCATTGCCCTGGGGCTGTCCCAGAACGGTAAAGGAGATACGTACAAGCTAGGTGCCCTTGCTACCACCTTCTTCTTCGTGTTCTTCGCCTCGTTTGGAATGGGCGTGCTCGGTGTCCCGGTGAGTACTTCTTACTCCACGATGCTTATGGCTCATTACTCTCACCATTTGCCGATGATCTCGCTCTCTTGTTCCTCTACATGAAGATCCAGTAGTCAGAGGACTAACGCTTGTCAATAATCAAAGTGGCTCTACCCCACCGAAATCAACCATATCTCTTTCCGGGCCAAGGGTGCTTCTCTAGCAATGTCGACGAACTGGATCATGAACTACGTAAGTCGTCCCCAGCACACTTCCGTCCATGAGAGTGGTTCTAACATCTCTCCAGATGGTCGCTCAAGTAACGCCACCGGGGATTGCCAACCTAGGTTACAAGTTCTGGATTATCTGGGCTGTAATCTGCTTCTCCTTCATCCCTATCACCTATTTCTTCTATCCCGAGACGGCCAACCGGACACTGGAGGACATTGACCGATACTTTGCGGAACACCGCAATATCTTCGTCTTCCGGGACAAAGTTGCCACGCAGTTGAAGAGGCCGGAGATGTGGGAGAGGATGGATGAGGAAGTCGAACGGAGGGCGGAAGAGGAGAAGATTAGGAACGGCGAGCAGATGGAGCGGGACAGCGAGGACGTGGAGAAGGGTGAGCAGAAGGTGGTGTACATTGAGAAGTGAGCAGGAGGTTTGCATTCCGGAAAGAATGAGGCAGACGAATAGACAGACAGGCAGGCAGAACGAGGCTGGGCATAGCGGACGAGAAAAGGAGTCAACAGGTCGACATACCACATTGTGGATGGAGGGCACGAGGGGTCACACAAGAGGGGTTAAAGATAGGGAGACTGTATCGACAAAGTGTCCTTCAGATCTATCCTACAACAAATCTTGAACCTGCCGCGTCCCTCCAAGACAGCCTCGCGGGAAGCCTTCACGATAACGAATACCATATCATCATTCGCGGCGCCATCACTGACATATTTACCTATCCAGTCGTGAAGGGACATGGAGTCGCCCTCTGCCACATCCGACATGGTACTCACGGTCAATGAGGGCCGGGGGTGGCCATCCAACTCAACTCTCACTCACTAAACAAGACCACCTGTAGGATCACTAAAGCAATTGCCACCAGCTTCTGCATCGCTTCGATGTTGATCCTAGCGTCGTTCCCGGCGTTGTGCCACGCCTTCCACCCCTCTACCTTCCACGCCGTATTTGACTGGTAGAGCCTCGAGTTTCCGTATCTCGTGTCAGCCGGTGATGCGCCTGCTCTGCCCATTGCAATACCGCCGTGCCGCTTCCACAACATCACATCTTTCTCGAATACGGCGACAAGGGATAGTCCCGTCCGACGACTCCGAGAGTGGCCATTTTGTCCGGCAGAAAGCCCAAATTGATTCGCTCGTCTGATGGCCCCGACCCTCAACTTTCTGCAAAGTAGCTCTCCCAGAAGGAAATGGAGACTTTTTCTCAATTCCGGTGCATATCGGCCCAGCGTCGTTCACCATAACTACCTACCTAGGTACCTAGGTATGATGACTTGGGACACATTCCAACCATCATCGTTCTCGACCCTGACGCTCGTGTCGCCGAAGGATCCTCCGGCTTGTCCGTCGGACGGCGCGTTATGGGTGAAGCTGATGCCAGCGAGGGAGAATCCCCCCAACACCGCAACCAGAACTCTGGCGTCAGCGTCGAGGGTGATTAATGCCAGCTCTAGGGAACCACTTCTGGTCCGACTGTTGCTGTGTGGTCGACCACTACGGTCTTGATGGTGTCTGGGGTATGCCCTCGGGACGGCGTAACAACTGCAGTGGCACTGAGACAAGGCGACAGAACTCTCCTTTCCCCTTTCCTGGCTCATCAGCAATGTTGCAGCTCTCCCTCACATCACCACTACTCAAGACAATGAAATTTTTGCTGGCGTTGCTGACGTCCTTGGCTGGCATCTCCTCGAGTACCCAAAGACTGGAGAAATTCCTCCCCGTGGCTTTGGGCAGGGTGTTCTCACTCAGAAGGGTTTCCGAGGTGCCTCCATGCTCAAACTGTCGTAGCAAGTGAGGCTGATCAGTCATGTGATTCAATCTCAGAGTGCAATGGCGCAGTTCCCAAACGGCGTCTTCCGCAATATACAATAGGCATAAGTCTAGCACACGCCGCGTGCTGTTCGAGCAGCCTCCATGGCCACCTGCTACATTTTGGAGAGCTGGTGACTGATTGATCCCAGGCGGAGGACGAATAGAACAATTAAAGAGCACCCATGAAAATAGCGCGATGGCCTTGCCCCATCAAATGGCACAGAATGTTTCTCTTCCGGGAGAATGTCTCTTTCTGTCAGGAATCTATCATACAAAATACCTTGTAATACGGCTCTCGACATCTTGCCGTTATTTCCAAGACGATCAATTGGCGCGGTTCTAGGATATCCCACCAGTTTTCGATCATTCCGACCTACCTGGACGCCCGAAAAGAGAGATGCCAATTGGGCCTTCGACGACACCCCAAATTGTTACCGTTCGAAATGTTTCCTCCTCTTGACAAATTGTATTCGCAAACTCGAGATCGAGGGACTCGAGTCCCGGAGAGCGAGCCATCGAAGCGATACCCATTCATGAGTCTTGACATAGTTTTTAGGATAAGACAGAAGAATGCAGACCTCGCTCGAGGATGCTCTTTGTAACACGGTATGATCCAACGATGCATCTTTTCCGCCCTTCATCACAGCGCCAAAGAAACCTTTCAACGTAACGTTCGACATTCAAGTATGCATGAGAATTGCAGAGCTAGTGGCTCTGGTTGAACAGAAGAGGTTGGCGGATGGTATTGGAAGACACATCCAGATAAAGGTCTGGTAGGCACGACGAGTCAGGAAGAGACTCACTGTCTGGCGCTTTTCAACAAGGAGGATACTCTGGGCACTTCGTGCAGACATCGCGCGAGATATTGAAAAAGCCAGATTTGTTGTCGTTTCTATGCAGGACCAAAGGGTGGGAATCAAGAACGGCGGGGCATTGTAGTTAGAGTGGGACACACAGGGATGGATACCGAAGGAGGTAATACGAGGATCGATGCGAACAGGCGGTAGAGAGAGGACTAGTTTCGTACGATCGAGCAAGATAGAATCAGGCTGGAAAAGGTCAGCGAAGAGACAAACGGTGGGAAGAAAACGAGGGCGTGGTGGACGGGTTGAGGGTGAGAGGGTGAGAGGGTGAGTGAGGGTAATAGTCCGGATGCATGGCGGAACCAGCAGGATGCAGGAAGCAAGCATAAAGGAGCAGAGAGAGGTTGAAAAGGTCAAGAAGGAGTGCCGGCAATGATATCCTTGCAGAACCATGTCATCATGGGGCGAATGCAACATGAGCAACCCAAAATGCAGGCGACAAAAGGAGGATGGGCGAGTGGACTGAAGCACTGGCTGACCAGCGAATTGTTGCTTTACAAGGAGGTACTTTCCGCTGCGCAGCTGCGACTCGCACCCGAACCCCGCCCGTGGACTGAGGACTGCAGTTCACCTTAATTTCGTGCGGTTGTGTTCATCGGATTCCGAAATGCACGGTGGTTCTGGCTGGGTTGGAAATCGCCCGTGGTTTTCATATAGGGTCGTTCAATAGGCTGCCATAGTGTTCAGGGAAGAGGTGTGAGAAGAGGAAACTTAGGAAGAAAGCACAACAGCAGAAGAGTTGGGGGATGGAGGAAGAGAAGAGCTGGGCAGAAAAACAGAGCGAGAGGAGAAGAGTGAGAAAAGTGAGAAAATGGAGCAGCTCAAAGGAAATGGGTCCCGCTTCAGGGTCGCCAGTGGCTTGTGTACCAGGCATAAACACTAACAAAATCATGGCAGCCATTGATTCGTGGCTGGCCATCCTCGTGACGCGTTTTCCGTTACGAGGGGATGAGAAATGAAGTTTGAGCAAGCGCAGTGGGTGGCAGTGAGAGAGGCTGCTGGCAGTGGCTGCATGCGAAGAGATAGGCAACAAGACAACAAACTTGGCTTTAACTGTACGGACAGCGGACTAGGCCTACTGGGTGCTACTGGGCCTAAGTAAAGCGCTGGACTGGCTGATCCGCGGGCTAGCAGGCGTCATTCCTTACAAGGGCCTTTCGGGGCAGTCCAGACGCTTTACCACGGGGAGGCTCACCAGGATGAACGAAAAGACCGCCCAGTGAAAAGCTGCAGAGGGCGTGCTCCCTAGTGCCACTCCGCCCAATGTCCCAGTTGGTTGCTCGCAACGGGAGTGGTCCATGCCCCCTGTGGACCTCAGCGTTTTGCACCTATGCTTTTCCCAGCCTAGCCCGAGCCCATTATTATTCGCCCTGCCAGTGGCCTGAGTTCCAAGCTGCGAAGGGGGGTCGCTGCTTGTGGCCTTGCGTCTGGGACTGGCTCGCTGGGAGTTTGGCTTTGGGGGGTCCAGGGTTGGGTGGGTGCCATTTTTTGCGTGAGAAAGCAGTCCGAGCAGAAGTCGGTCGGTCTCTAATTCACGCTGCTGCTGGCTGCGCATTTGCGTCTCGCAGTCCCTCCATGTACCCATCCATCCATCTTTCTCTCGCCATCTCTTGTCTCCCTCTTTTGTCATTCAGCAATTTCTTCCTCCCCGAACGCATCTTCGAAAGTCCAATTCCCTCGATTCGCCGTTCTTATCTCCCGGAGCCTTTTTCCTTTCCTTGCCCTTTGTCTTGTGCCACCATCGATAAATCCGTCGACTGTGGCCACCCAGTCACCCCGATCTTGTCACAACCACATCTTCCGCCTCGACCTTTCTCCAGTCGGCCGCGCCTCGACAGACTCGAATCGCTCTTTAGAACTTGCCAGATATCATCGACACTCAATTTTGATCAGTTCCGACTCCTTGCGATACCCCTTTCTCTCCTGCGCTTGTGTGGCCTCTTTGGTGACCAAGTGGTCTACCTTGACTACCGACTCTCCTTGGACGGAAAAGACCTCAAAACGCTTCAGAATTGCAATAGGCGCCAGAGTCGTCATCCTCCCGCTTGCGCGATACCTCCAGGTCAACTTTGGGCTTCCCCTCCTTGCGTGGGAATCACCCCGTTCTAGCGATGCGCAACATGCGACAGCCCTTTTCACAATTGAAGTAGGAAGATAACAAGAACCAAAATCCGACCGATGAGGAGGTGCTCTGTCAGATTATGACAGAGTCCTCCCTTCTCACCACGCATCCCACACCCACCCACTACCCGGTCACCGCCGCTCCCTCTCTGGCCTCTCCTTTACCCAACGGCTCTCCCTCAGACACCAACTTTCAAGATGAGGAGGAATACACCATCAAATGCATTTGCATTTACGCAGATGATGATGGCAATACCGTATACTGCCCCAAATGCGACACCTGGCAGCACATCGAGTGCTACTACCACGGCAAAAAGGTGCCCGAAGAGCATTTTTGCGCGGACTGTTTCCCTCGAGATCTTGACGCAAAGAAGGCCACTGAGCGACAACGTAGGCATCGAGAGGCACTCGACGGCGGTGACCGGAAGGTCAAGCGACCAACCTCCAAAAGTCAAAAAAAGAAACACAAGGACGCGAGTGCGACGACCGAACAGGTAAATGGCTGGCATCACGATCGCCATGAATCTGTCGCCAGCGCAAGGGATGGGCCTCCTGCGAAGAAACCGAAGACAAGTCACCGCACGTCGGGTTCTGTCATTTCAACAAACGGCGAAACTCGAAAACGCGCCACTTCCACAGTTCAGTCATACCCCAGTCCTTCCAAATCGCCCCAAGACCTCTTCCGTTTTCCTGCCATTCCCACGTATACCACAGATTTCCTTGAACTCTACGAACGCGATGAAGGAAACACAAACGCCCGAGATAACGAGCAGACAATTCAGGCTACCAATACGCTCTTCGCGTGGCGGACTGACCCGTCTTTGGTGGTCAGCAGCCCTGGGCAACAACCCACTGCGAAATCTCCCTTTGTGCGTGCAAACCACGGCCTGGACCAGAGCACTTGGCCAGAAGTCGCGGTAGAAACCATCCACAAGAAAGATGTTGAATACGAAGGCAGAAGTCCCACATGGCGCTTTTTGCGTGTGCAATCTTCCGTGAAGAAGGACGAAATTGTTGGCGAAGTTCGTGGCCAGGTCGGCACGCTGGAAGAGTATTGCCAGCAGAAGTCTTCGTCGAACAGATGGCAAGAGTTGAGGCACCCAGACCCCTTTGTCTTCTTCCACCCACACATGGACATCTACATTGACAGCCGAAAATCCGGAACTCGCTTCCGGTATCTGCGACGGTCTTGTCGACCGAATGTTACCTTGAAGACATTTGTTTCCGACAACGAGACTCGGCATTGCTTTGTCGCTAGCAAGGATATTCCGGCGGGTGCCGAACTCACCACTATGTGGTTTCTCGACTCGGCAATGTTCATTACTGACGATTCTGAACAAGGCCAAACCCGACGCCTCGACTGGGTCAGCCGTGTCCTTGCGAATTTTGGAGACTGTGCCTGCGACGCTGGTCAAGCATGTTTACTCGCGCCATTTGATCGAAGATATCCGGCCAAACCGGTGGAAAGTGCGCCGAAGGAAAAGGGAGGCAGAAAAAAGAAAAGTAAGATGAACCATACTATCTCGCCCTTCAGTACTGGACATGCCACCAACAGTCGCGCAGGAAGCGAACCCAAGGTGCTCGACGACGAAGACCAGTTCGATCGCCGATCCACTTCTGAGTCCTCTCGCAGCGGTATGCTGAGCAGAGACATCACTCCAGTCAACGTCGCGGCTCTTGACGCGGACCCAGTCCTTGGAAACGGCCTGACTGCTCGGGAACTGCGCAAAATACAAATGGCGGAGAAAGCGTTTGCGCAAAGGGAACAAGAAAAGAAGGATCAAAGCGGACAAGGCCAGCAGCGGAAGAAGAAACGCACAAGCGGCGGTTCGACCTTGAACACCCCGAATGTGAATGCCTCGAAGCCACTCGGGCATCAGTTGACTTCGCACCCTCACACCCCCAACAATCAGCCTCTGAAGTACAATGACGCCTCTTTAGGCTCGCCACCACCGGCTCGAGGCTCTGCAGGTCGAGGTAAATCTATGGATGCACCCGGCCGGATGGAGACGAGAATACAGCGACCCGTATATGTCAGTGTTGCTGTGCAGACGGATCCGGAGGAGCTTGAAATGCCCATGCCCCGGCCCGCCAAAAGGAGGAGATTCTGTACGCCCACGCAGCGGTTGCTTAGAAGACTCCTGGAGGATCGGGCCGAACATGGACAACAATGTCCTCCACAAGGGATGCCTGCCTCAGCGTCGAGCCATCACACACTTGAACGTCCCTCAAAGACGGAAGATGTAGAAATGAAAGACGCCAGCGAAAGTGTGGATGCCCGAAGTGTCGTGAGTGCCGAGCCGGACGGACAGTCTCCTCCAGGAAGCAGCAGTCCCGTCAACGTGGGAGCTACCACATATCCTCTCCCATCGCAAGCGGCACACACGTTCAAAGCCTTCAGCAGATCTTCGCCTGCTCCGAAGCTGCACTTATCAACTCTGCCACCAGTCCCGGCGTTTCCGACTTCGGCAACTTCTGCTTCGTCGTCTTCTACCACGGTGACAACTCCCGGACTGACGACGTCAGCGACAGCGCATTCGCCTATCCCATCGAACTCGGCGTCCTCCAGCTCATACCCCGCGATGATCAATGCTGCTGTCACCCCTAGCCCCGCACGGAAGAAACTCAGCTTAGGAGACTACATGAGTCGTCGTCTGGCATCCACGCCCTCAGCCGAGAAGTCCCAAGTGCAGGCGATCCTGGGCACAGGCGAGGCTGAACCCTCAAAAGCGCTGGCAGAAGCGAGACAACAATCTCCCGGAACCGTCGAGTCAGCACCCGGGAATGCGCGACCAGCCGAAGCATCTGCTCAACAGACACCTCCTGAGGCAGGCATTTCAAGTGGTGCAGTCAAGGACACACCAATGACGGAAGCCGAAGAACCAGCATACAGCCCTCCTGATGTGTTGGCGGTGGCGCCCAAACCTTCTTCATCTCCGCCCAAAATGGCTAGTGCTGCACCATCGGCGAACGAAACGATCAACATACCGAGGGAAATGTCGAACGTCCTCGCCCAGCTGGCGCAATTTACCAACGACTCAAGGGGTGTGCGATAAGTGTATGATCACAGGTCGGAACTGGCGTTGATTGAGCAGCCTCTTCTTTGTCACGAAACGAATAGAAGAACTATTGGACCTTTCGCGAGGCTTGGACATGCAGTGATGACGACACAGCTTATACCAGAAAAAACGGGGCGAATGGGATCGATGGGCACGCGGAGCAATAGGGTAAGGAAAATTCGGGAAATCAGAAGGGGGGAATATGTGGGCGTTTATCAATCACAATGTGGGCTGGTCATGTCTGTTCACCATGGATGGGAAATGGCGATAGTGAGGGATATGCGATGGTCGAACGAGGTCCAGGCAGTCCTGGAGAACCTCTGCTTGTTTTTCATTCTCTCCTTTTATCCTGTATATATTAGTGAGCTGGCTGAGCCATGATTGCCTCGCCGGATGTGCCATTGTGGCGATAAAGCTGTGCGGCACTTGTGCTGTCGCAGTGTTTGAGAGGAATGGTTGATACCAACAGTGCTACATTGAAAGCAAGGACAGAAGACCTTGGGTTTGATTGATTGATTCACCCAGGGCTCATGAGGTTACTACAAGTACGAGGTACTCGGTAGAGTTAGCTGTGAGTATTACCAGCCACACACTGGGCAATTCTAGATGACGAGGTATCTAGGTACCTACCTACCTAGGTAGGTATCTAGGTACTTAGATAATAACCAGCCCGGAGACACATATAAGGGGCCACGTCGCCCCTCCTCGCCCCCCCCCCCATGGATTGGATTCGATTTCCCATCCCACCAGTTTTCACCCCTCCAAGGCTCCAATAATGGGGACTTCCACCGTGGCCCCTGACTCCCTGAGCCTCTCTCCCATGGCTCCGTTTACCGGGTTGCCATACCCAGACTAGGAAGGGTTCCGGTCGCCCTCCCCGCCACAGCTAGGGCCACACGTACTAGGGGCCTTTCGACCCTGCAGCCTCAACAAACGTGCCAGCACCGCCAGATCTACAGAAATGACTTCATTGCCGTCCATCTAGGTACGAGGGGCAATTAACATTCTCGTTTGATCGGCTTTGCTGAATATGGTAAACTCCCCTCACCACCGGGGTCATCGGTCTTCAATTGATTTTTTATCTTTTTCAGAGAAGTTAGGTATTGCTGCTTGCTCTTTTCCTTTAGGTCTTTTGGCTACAGGCACTTCTTTTCAATTTCCCTTGCTTGCTTCTCTTCTCTCTTTTCTTTTTACTCTCTCCTTCCCCCGGTCCAGTTTCTCGCTCGTAGGTCCAACCCGTCAGCCATGGCTTCTTCAGGCCCGTTCCCTTTCCGTCCAGGTCCCAATAGCGGGATCCGGACGCCCACGCGACAAGGCTCGGTGGACTCGCGGAACGAGGTCCATGTCCAGATGAACCATTACATTGGCATCGACGTCGGCACGGGCAGTGCCAGGGCCTGTATCATCAACGAGGCCGGGGACATTGTTGGCCTGTCCTCGGAGAACATTGGCCTCTGGCAACCTCAGACGGGATACTATGTAAGGAGTCGCTCGATCGGACTAGAAACCTCTATCTCCCCCCAATCTCTCCATGTCATGGTTCTCTGACCAAGTTCGATCCCGTGGGAATAGGAACAATCCACCACCGACATCTGGCGCTGCATCTGCCTGTCCGTCCACCGGGCCATGACCCAAGGGAACATCGACCCGCACTCGATCCGAGGCATCGGATTCGACGCGACCTGCTCGCTGGCCGTCTTCACGCACGACACGGATGAGCCCGTCTCGGTGACGGGGCCCAGCTTCGACTCGACACAAAACGACCACAACGTCGTCCTGTGGCTGGACCACCGCCCCGTCGACGAGACCAAAAAGATCAACGCCACAAAGCACAACCTGCTCCGCTACGTCGGCGGCACCATGTCCATCGAGATGGAGATCCCAAAGGTCCTGTGGCTCAAGAACAACATGCCCAAGGAGCTGTTTGACCGGTGCAAGTTCTACGACCTGACCGACGCCCTCGAGCACATCGCCACGGGCAACGAAAAACGAAGCTTCTGCTCCGTCGTCTGCAAGCAGGGCTACGTGCCCGTGGGCGTCGACGGCAGCGTCAAGGGCTGGCAGGAGGACTTTTTGAAGGAGATTGGCCTCGAGGATCTGGCCGAGGACAATTTCAAGAGAATGGGCGGCGTCAACGGGGTGGTGAGCCTGTTTCTTTAACAATCCCTTTTCTTCACAAGGCCCAATTTTTGCTTTCTCTTCTCTGCGCAGCAGGATGGGGAGGGGGACTCCACTCGCTTTACATATGGCCCCTTTTCCTTCTACTTGTCTTCCGCTACAACGGGCTAACATCTTTCCCTTATCTCTGAACAGAACGGCGAATACCTCTCCGCAGGCGAACTGGCCGGCCATCTCTGTCCGCGCGCCGCTGCAGATCTCGGCCTGCCCGCCGGCATCGCGGTAGGCAGCGGCGTCATCGACGCCTACGCAGGCTGGATCGGCACCGTCGGCGCCAAAGTCCAACTCTCGCCGGACCACCTTTCCCAAGAAGCCCCTGCGAACGACCAGTCGCAGGCTTTTACTCGTCTGGCAGCCGTCGCAGGGACGTCCACCTGCCATCTTGTGATGAGCAAAGACCCCGTGTTCGTGCCGGGCGTGTGGGGGCCGTACAGGGACGCGGTGATTCCGAACTATTGGATGGCCGAGGGCGGGCAATCAGCTACGGGCGAGTTGCTCAAGCACGTGCTGGAGACGCACCCGGCGTACAACCAGGCGTTATCGCGGGCCGAGTCGACCAACAGCAACGTCTACGACTTTCTGAACCAGCACCTGCTGGACATGAAGGAGAAGGCGGACGCCCCGAGCGTGAGCTATCTGGGCCGCCACTTCTTCTTCTACGGCGACCTGTTCGGCAACCGCTCGCCCATCGCCGATCCCACCATGTCCGGCTCCGTCGTCGGCCTGTCCAGCGACAAATCCCTCGACGGCCTGGCCTTGTATTACTACGGCACCATGGAGTTCATTGCCCTGCAGACCCTGCAGATCATCTCGACCATGAACAAGGCCGGCCACAAGATCAACTCCATCTTCATGTCCGGAAGCCAGTGCCAGAACGACATCCTCATGTCGCTCATCGCCACCGCCTGCGACATGCCTGTCTTGATCCCTCGCTACGTCCACGCCGCCGTGTGCCACGGCGCGGCCATGTTGGGGGCCAAGGCCGCGAGTGCCGACGCAAATGGCAAGACCGAGGATCTGTGGAGTATCATGGACAGAATGAGTAAGCCCGGCAAGGTGGTGCGGCCCATCGAGGACAACAGCATCAAACGGCTGCTGGACGTAAAGTATAAGGTCTTCCTGGAGCAGTGCGAGAGACAGAGGGAATTTAGAAGGATGGTGGATGAAGTTACGAATGCTTCTTGAAAAGTTCTCGCGCAAGGTTCCTCGTGCCGGATCATCTGGTCTTCCTCGACCTCTTGGAATGGAGGTCAGATATGATGTACGGCCACCTCCAGCGGCAACATTGTAAATATAACCCCACAAATTAGCTGAAGATCTGCTGCAGGTCTAATCGATCCTGGCTGATGCTTGGGAAAAGCACCTATCTCGTCGACTCTTCCTCGGGACTTTCTCTCCTTACAAGCGGAAGGCCGTGCCATCCGAACGACAGGCGCATAGGAGATTCTTGCTCCGTTGCGTCAAAAGTCCGTCGTTTTTGCGGGATACCCGTGGGCCAGCTCCACTTCATTCGATCGGTGCTGGCCAGGCATTTCTGAAAGCCTAGTGACGATCGATTCAAGGTTGGTCCAGTCCGAACTGGCGTCTCTGAGATGAAAGGTCCTCCGAGGCAGGACGGCTGCTGGGGCGTCGGCTGGCCCTAGTACTACAAAATGTAGTATTGTCCTCGATCTCGGTTGCTGAGCGGGATTTGATGTATAAATTTCTGCAGGGTAATCGTGGTATCTCGGCCAGCGTAGCTTGCTGTTTCGAGAATAATCTGGAGAGTTGTCACCCCGCTTTATGGCCAGACGGAAAGTCCGAGTTGTGTGTGCCACGTTCTCACGTTTCAGATGTCGAATCATTCGTCGCGGTTCCGTAGACAGCGCCATGATCGCTATGAATCTGTGCTCGTCAGTCATCATCGAAAACGACTCGGCATGGGGAAGAAGAAACGCACTTCCTCGGAGGGTTGGCCAACTTCTTGATTGGGGGCAGTCATTGCAGCATCGTTGTCGTCGGGATGGGGTTTCAAAAAGCTTTTCATCAATCCCAGCATATCGTACTTGCACAAGGGGCAGTCATGATGGCCCCGTTCAACCCAAAGGCTCAGACAATTGGCGTGGTAGACATGGCCGCATCGGAGTTCGCGAATCATATCGGTCTCTTCGAGAGACTCCAAGCAAATGGCAGTGCTGTGGATGTCAGTCATACACTGGTCAGCAAGGGGGCCAATGGACGTATCAACAGAGGGTCGTGGAAAGCGTTGCAAAGGTCTGAACGTGTTCCACTGATTTCTCGGCTCTCCAGTGTAGCAGCGATTGGGCCGGAGCGACTTGTTCGAGCTTCTTTAACCTCTTCCGATGTTGTGAGGCTACCGATGTAGCGGGCAGGCTGGAGTCCTCGATCCGCCAGCCTGCTTCTGTGATGTCTGATTCGGTATCCGATTGTTCGTCTCCGGAGCCGCCGAATCTGTCGTAGAGAGCGCGACTTGTCTCTGAGTTAAATCAGGTTTTTACAATGTTGGATCTGGATGCCGCTCACCACATCATCAACAGTATCAGCAAAAACCATAGCATCCATGTTATTTGTATAAACACCGCAATACTGTGGACATCCGGATTGTTTCTGTAGGGAGGTTGGAGATCTGTGGGCATTCCAGGGTACGCAGCGACCGAGGCATTGGACTGGAGGACGTTCTCGGTACTTTGAGGCCAGATGTCGGCCTCGGTGAGGAATTGCTGTCTGGGGATGTACATGATTTGTAACTCGTTATAGGATGTGGATTCAAAGAAAGGTCAAAGGACAAAATATGTCTAGCCAGTCAAGCTCTGGGGGCTGAACGAGCTGAACAGAATACAATCGCGTTGTACAAATACACCAAAGAAATAGAAGGAGACTGTCATCCGAGGGAGAAGCATGGTCGCAGAAAGAAACTGTGCGATGGAGCGAGAAATGTGAGAATCCGAAATTGAGGTTTGGCAGACTGGAGCCTCAAAGTCACACAACAGTCTTGCCATGGAGAGCGCCATGTGATGTGCCTTAGTGACTCGCCCACGCGCGAGACTTTCGGATGGTACGATGCGTCGGTCTGATTCTAGGCGCCTTCTTTAGCAGATCGATGACGACAACAGGCATACAAGGAGGTACAACGGGTGTGCATTAGGCTCGGTTCCTAGGTAGACGGTGGGATGGAGGTGGTGATGGCGGTGGTGTGATCTGACCGATACACTATGAAAGGCGCTGGAAGAGTCTTCACCCAGATTCTTGGCACTTCGGTGCCCACCACTCCGGTGACCTTCAGGGTCGTCATGACTAAAAGAGCCCCTAGCAGGATGCCCCTAGGGCCCCTAGCGGGATCTTCCGGGGGTGCCACCCATCTCCGGGGTATCCGAACAATATACCTAATTAAGTACCTAGTACTCAATACCTGGCCCAGCTTGAAGACGAAATCTGCTCGGGTCATCGGGGCAATATTGATCCTTGCCGGACCCCTGAGATCTGCTTCTACTCATTTTGTTCCTTCGGTACTCTCGTCTTCTTTGAATTGCGTTCCGCTGGATAGAGCTAATTATGGTTCTGGTTCTCTAGATGTTTGGAGGTCATGAATTATTTGGATCCTGATTTCTGTACAGCGTTGTCACTTTCCATATTGTTTCCTGCCTGTCGACATTGGCTTTGGTAATCCTACAATGTCCCTCTTAATTGAACGAGCGAATTCTCATCGCTGCCTCTGCCAGCCTAACCGATTCCATCTCCTGGCCCTTCAAAACACTGATTAACAGATTCTCGCCGTTGCCGCCAACCGCATGCACCACCACATTCTCGCCGTATCCGCAATCCTTCTCTGTTGGGCCTGCTTCATCGTACTCTGCATATGACTCCTTTGTCACGCCGTCTTCAGGTGCTAGGAGAACCGTGCTGGCGAATTTCCTGGCATCCTCGTACTTTCTAAACGAGCCTTCCACAATTGACTCCCGGGCTTCGCCACTATCGTCTTCGTCATACAAGACTGTGGTTTGTACCACATGATACAGATCGCCATGCACTTTGTGATCTTCTGGGTTGCTCTCGAAGTGTTCGGTGTTGGGTGTGGTTGCTACGCTCACACGGAAGGTAGTGCCGTCGCCCGCTTTTGCAAAGACATTAAGACCGGTTTTTCTCTTTATATGATGGGTTTCAAAGTCTTTCTCATTGGTATCGTATTCGGTGAACCATTCTCGTTCGTAGCCTGCCTCGAAGAGAGTCTTGTGTGCCTCCGCTTTGGCTGTCGGCAGGTCTGTGTAGGTACCGCAGACCCGCAGTTTCTCGACTGCAAGGTTCGGGTCTTTGGGGATGTTAGAGATGCTGAAGATGATGTGGTAGAGGTTTTCGTCTTCGACGCCGTTGCCGTTGCCGTTCACTTTGCTGGCCATTGTTCTTTGTGTTGTGGGTATGGTGTGGTGAAGCTTTCCACCGTCTAACCTGATGATACCTATGTTATGAATCTTTGGTTTCTGTTGGACCACGAGAGTCACAGAGGTCCGGCGTCAAATATGATATATTCATCCACTGCGTCCTCAACCGACAGGCACGCCATTGATTCAACCTCCCAACAGATCGTGGCGTGATGGTCGTCGAAAACGGTTGCTTTCGGCTCATGGGATTACCTAATTGAACCCTGGAGAATTGAGTGTTTTGAGCATCAATACGGGCGAGTCTCATCTCAGTCTTCAGCTGCAAGGTTCTAGCCTTCGACAGGACGAGTGGATTGCAACGCAGATCCAGCCACACGAGCGGCCTCGGGGGCAGGGAATGCCTAAACTTTCTGTCGAATGACCAGTTGACCACCAGGAAGAAAGAACACACAACAAATCACCCTTGGGAGAATTGGCGCAGCTTCCTTGGAACCGAATTATGCTCTGACAGCGATGGTGTGACTCTCGGAATCGGGTCACAGACCACGTTCTGCCCGCTATTGCTCGCTCTACCCTCTCCACAACTCTCATCCTCATGCAACCACCTTGCAGTACGACCTCTCTACCATGCATCGACGCTCCGAGCGTGCCAGTAGCTTACCTTGAACATCTCACGTTCCCAGCTATGGTGACTCAAAGGAGCAAGTACTTTTTTCTTTTCCAAGATCCGATACTGGATACAAATATTATATTCATTGGTCAAATATGTACGATTACAGACGCTATGCCAAATCTCGTAGCGTCGAGAACTCCAAGGTCTGATTCGACCAGACTTGTGGTGACCGTTCCGCTTTTTGGAAACAAAACTCCTTCAACGCCGAGTTCTGCGGGTTGCCCTCGCCCATTACAGCCTTTGCTCTGCTGCCGCACCCACTTTTGCTTGTGCTTCTTTGAGTGCGGCTGCCTCCATTTCGTTGAGATGAATCTCCACTTCGTCTAGATGTTTCCGCTGGGCAGCGAGCTTTTCTCTCAATTTCCGAATACTGTACACGGCGGTTGTAAGACATTGATCTGAAGAACCAGGGAAAGATGGAGGACGCCCACTCACTTTTCTATTTCGTGTTGCTTGAAATACATGTTCTCCAAGACTTGTTCCCGGCGATTGAATGGGTCACTAGCAAATCTCCGAGTCAGTGAAGGGCCTTTTTGGCTTCAATCGCCTGTAGTGGCAGAGGCTTACCTCACAGCAACCCCGCCTGGCCGTATTGCTCCAGTGTCGCCTTCACTCCAGTTTGGCCGTGCCGTGACAAACGATTGGCAAAACTGAGGAGTTCGGATTCTGGTCATACAGCTTCTTGGGATCGATGTTCGAAGCATTTTGCTCGGATGGGAGGAACAAAATATCAATCTCTAGCTTTCCGTTTGGGTCTTTGTGTTGTAAATGTCTTTCGAGGTCTGATGGGTGAAAACAGCACGCATGGACAGGCGCAGGCTGGCGGCACTATATAAATATGGATTGAAAGTTACATTGTTGATTGCTGTGCTCGACCTTGCTCGGGTTGGATTTTGCTGAGGCTTGAGGCATAAAACAAGTGGTATGACCGCGCAGATCTCAATTGAGACCAAGCTAGGACAGCACGGCCAGCTGGGAGCTTCAATGCAGGTTTACCTTGGTAAGTGCATGCACCTCTGCCTGCCTAAGCACCTATGGTTAAGGCCATAAGCCCTCAAGTGGGACGGTACAAGCGGTCGAGATCTTCGCGAGGATCCAGGGCGGAGCTCTCCTACGCGTAGCTCGCCTCTCTGGATGGAAGAAGCCTTACCGTCCAGGTGTCTAGAGGATCCAGGTCCACGTGTTCGGGGGTGATATGCACACCCATTATTGAGGGAACGTGCTGACTTTACTGCCGAGACATGGCTATGCAACATCACACCACAATACCTCGAAACGTGATCACGCGACCGAGCGATGTTTTGCCGATGAATTGCAGCGTTGGTCCCTTTGGTCTCTAGATCGCATGACAGTGCATCTACAGCGCTGCCCTGATCACAGGGTGAGGCTTCTCGATGCTTCAGGCGATGACCAGGAAAAATTGGCACAAAGCATGGGATTGTGCAGTGATGGGCACATGACTGGACTGCGCTTTTGGGGGGAGAGGGAAGCATGCAACTTTGGAAGACATATACATCAGTCTGCCTCTCGATGATGGAGTCAAGAAGTACACCCAGGTCAAATTAAAATCTGAAAACTCATTCCTACAGAAACATCAACTTGAAGTCGAAGCCACACAACCGTGATTGTATAACAAAAATGGCTGGCTGGTTTTACATCACATCCGACATTGATCCTTACCCAACAACACACATCTCCCACACCTACCCAGAACCTGGGCATCACCTGCACCACATCCCAGTTCCATACGTGGCACACAAGGTGTACACCAAGTTCCATGACAGAGACGACGACATCCATCAACCAAAGACCGATGTGCGCGAGACCCTGAGCAACTTCTACTTGGAGGTCGAATTGCCAGGCATCAAGGACCACACGGAACTGCGTCTGCGCTGGACATCGAACCGCACGCTGCTGCTGACAAGCAAGACTCATCGGCCCGACATTCCGGAAGGGGAGTTGGTTGAGGAGCCTGGTCCTCCACCAGAAGTCACAGCTCCAACTCCCACGCCCGCTGCGCCTACGAATGGCGAGACAACAGTCGCTGCTGAAGCTACTCCTGCTGCAGCACCGCCGCCGCCGCCAGAGGGCGAGGAGGCGCCAAAGGCCAAAGCGGCTGAGGAACATGCCTCCAAGAAGCACGAACCTCACCTGACGGTGCACGAGCGGCAGGTCGGCGAGATGATCCGGGCCTTCAACTTCCCCGTCGACGTCGATCGCGACAAGACGCACGCCAAGCTCGACGCCGGCCTGCTGAGGATCGTGGTGCCCAAGATCATGGAGCACGGCGAGGCCAAGCACATCCATGTGCCCATCCACTTCACTTCGCTTCCCACCGCCGTCAGCAGCTGAATCAAAGGCCGGAGCCGCAGCCAGAGCCTCCCGGCGCGGCGTCGTCATCACCCAAGTGACATTGTCGAGGCGCTTCCTGAGATGGACTGGAGGATTGCATCCGTCTTGTGCGGCGAGTTTGGAGAGTATGATGACGTTTGACGACGACGATGCTGGGCTGGGCGCTCATTAGGAGTGTCTCGGAAGAACAGATTACATTCCACTTCCTAAAGGTGTGTATGAGGGGCCAGGAAAGAATGAGAGGGAACCGAGCTCCAGAGATGTAAGGGACAATCTGTGTACTATTATTTGTTACTATTGGAACCAACAGTCGAACCTGGCACTCGGGGGCGCTTTTTCCTTTTTCGGCCCCCGGGAGGGGAAAAGGAGAGATAATGTGTACTAAGTATATCGTTTTCTCGTTTAGTTGAACAATCTTCTTCTTCTGCTCTCTGATCTCCCACCTTGACATCGCGATGTGGGGGTACAAAGGTCCAGGTTTCGTGTCAGCACATAGATGTAGCGAGCCTCTAATTCTAAATCGCTGGGCAAGTTTATAAGGCTCTGACGAGATAGGGGTAGGGGTCCAGGGAAGACGATAGTGGAACACCAAATTCCTCTTCTCCTACTTCCTTCTCCCTGTGGATTCTTTTAGGTCCTTTTGCACAGTGGCAGTGTAAGGCAGAAGGGGATTGTGAATAGCTTTGTTGCATTTTCGTCAATACGTGAGCAGACGTCAAAACCCGAAAACCCTGGTGGTATGTATATACAGTTGTTACATGAAAAGATTTCCCTGCCCTCACCACCCTTGAACCTCTCGCTCTTTTCTCAAGTCCGCTTCAATCCTGCTCTTTGGCCTAGATCAAGCAAATCCGGTGCCAATCTTTTTGGACCGAAGAGAAAAATTCAACGACGTCGAATAAGCCTCTGAAACACCGATCTGGCGGCAGGGTGGGAAGGGGAGGAGGAGGACGATAAAAGGAACTCGGGGGCATTTTTACTCGTAGAATGCATCACTCCAGACGTCCTCCTCGATGACATCCTCTTCCTCGTTCTGCTCCACCCACTCGTGCTGCGCCTTGGCGTCGTCCTCGGGCCACCAGCCCATGGGCCCCGACTCGTGCGAGGACCGCCTTCTCTGGGCGTGGTGGCCGTGTGCGTCATTGTGCTTTTCGTGCTCGTGCTGGACCTTGACGGGCGTGACTTCGACGAAGCTGGGTCTGCGCTCTCGTCGCTCGGCGGCCTTGGCAGCCATCTCGTCGGCCGGAAGGACCGGCGGGAAGGTCGCCTCTGCGTAGGGCTTCTCCTTGGCCGGGGTGGTCGGGGGAGGTGTGGTGCCCGTGTTGAAGGTCTCTGACGGCCGGACTTTGGACTTTTTCACCATGGGCCGCACAGCAGCCTTGTCGGTGGTGGTGGGTTGAAGGGGCAGGAACTCGGTCGACAGCGGTGGCGCTAGGTACAGGAAATCGCTGTAATCGGTCTCATTGTCGATGGGCACATAGTCTGGGTTGTTGGCTTCCATCGACGCCGACACATTCTCGACATGTTCTACCGCGGTGCTCTGTTAGGCGCCATGGGTCAGCCACAACATGTATACAGTATTTCATTGGATTTCGATGGGAAAGGAGTTTCCTCGGATTAGACGGGGGAGGCTGCTGACATACCGGTGCTGTGTGGGACATCATCTTGGTTTAGATTTGGTGGTGGTGGTGGTGTTGTTGTTGGTATTGCTCAAGGGATGCAGTCGACAAATGAGTTTGTTGATTGTGATGTATTTCTGTGAGAAGAGACGAGTTCCTTTGTCCATTTTTATGTTCGGAGTCTCCCTCAACAACTCGCTATCTCTCTGTAGCATCCAAATGGTGAGTAATTCGCGATACCGATACTGCTCAGGCCCGCAACCAAACTGACGAGAGTGATTCGGGATCGTCTTTGCTCAGGCTACCGGGACCCGCCGCATTACAGAGGCATTGGCAGTGGTGGTGTGATGGACTCACTCCAGGCCCCTTTTTGGCTTTTCCTTTTCCACTCACGCGCATTTCAAGCAAATGCGCGCAGCTTGTTTGCCTGTGTCATGTTTTGACTTGCCTTTCGTTATCGAATACGACCAGAAGTTGTCTTGTCTCATCGCCGAATTCCCCGTCGCTCATGGTATCACCACCAGTCACCCGACTTTTCGTCTCGTCCATCACCACCACCTGCCACTCGCTCCCACTTGTATAATGTCTGTGCAACATGATGAAATGGCCGCATTTCGAAACTTTACTATGTACCTCCCGTCCCTGACTCATGTTTTCGTGACGATCCTCTTTCAGCTTCTTCTATCAACGACTTTGCGCCAATTTCATCTGGAACCCCGAATACCCCGGATTTGCACCTCTCTCCCGCGCTGTTTCCACTCCAGCATCTGAACCCGAGGGTTCGGTATCATCTCCACGGTTTGTTGCAGTCATCTGATGTTTAGACTTCGAGGGTTTCCCTCGGAGCCTGCATAGTGGCCTATCGGGAACCTGCTGATGGTGTGAGTGTTTGCCCCCGCCCTCAAACCGGCCAACGTCTGCTTTACCACAGGCGTTGTCTTACTGTACATGTCGTGGCCTCATTCATCAAGAATGCTCATCGGGGCCTCGACCCCCCGACGACGCGGCATTCGGCAATCAAGTGATCCAGTCTTTTGGGAGGCTGTGCTTCCCTCTTCGTCCAATGTTTATACGCAGCCCGTGTGGTTCGGGAGTTTCACCGCGCATTTGTCTCGTGAAATGGATGTGTATCCGTTCTCTTTCCCATCCATTGCCGTCCAGCTACTTCTCTAGCGGCATACGCAGCCGGGCAAAAATGTCTCTCTCCAATCATGCTTGCTCATCCCCTGAGGTATAAAAACATTAAGCCTGCCGCTGGCGTCGACCATCGGAGGACGCGATAAAGATAAAATGCAACAACCCCAGATATACCACAAATGGTTGAGATTCCCGTCATAGTTACTCCTCCAGACTGCCACCCTCTCACAAACATACCAGACAACAGAGAACAGCCTGGCATCTTACCGGGAGAGCCTCAATTTTCTCCCGTCATCCACGCGGTGAAACCAACTACTACCTCTACAGTCACCACAGCCTCTGTCGCCACCATGGTTTCAGAAGGCACTCAAACCGAATCACCAAATCCAACACCAGGACAAGAAGCTCCGTTCCCAAAGACATTCAGTCCACACTATCCCTTGAGCCCAGTCCGCTCTCACTCCGAGTCCTCGGGCTCCAAACCTCACTTTCCCCCATTCCCACCGTGGAGGGAACTCCGCCACCGCATCTACGGCCCTCATCAGACTCACCCTGGATCTGCTATGAATGAGGCAAAAGTCGAGGACTACCTTTCGCCTCCCGAAGAGCCTCCAAAGTGCCCAATGACGCCACAGGCAGATCTATACCACGGCCAGTCACCATCTACATTTGGGATGCAGTTTGGCCGTCCCAACAAGACATATATGAGAGCCGACACAAAGCCAGCAAACTCCCATCAGAACTACGAGGACCACAAGCACCGGATGCTAATGGAATGGCTCGAAAGGAGGAACTCTGTGTGAGAGCCTCAGCAGCGTCAACCTCCTCTCACCTGGTAGGTAAGGGTTCACACTACATTGGAAGAATGTTGGATACTGCCATGCAGGGTTCGACGGCAGTACACTGAGCTGTTTGGAACATGCTTGGGCACCAATGGCAGGAAGCCCCCGACCAGCGGCCTGTTAACGTCCCCCTCCCCCATTGCTTGCCTCTTTTCACTTTTGGGACTGGAAACATGTGAGGAAATTTTGGAATTAATTGCATGGCGGGCCTTTTGTGTCGACTTTAGTTCATGACATGTCGAGAATGAAACAACAGCAGCATCAGCAGCGGAACGGGGGCAGAACATCTCCCAGGTCGAGGATTAATGGGTGGACGACTTTCTGCTTGGACGGCCTTTTCTTTTCTTGTTGCTGACTGCAGTCTTGTTGGGTTGGTCTAGTCGGCTGCGTGTAACATTACTTATCAGTACTCTGTAATTGTACTCATGATCAATTTTGTCCAGATCGTCCAGAATGTCCTTGTCGATATAGATCTGGTGAGCTACTGACCTACACGCTACCATCCTTACATCACACCCTTGCAGTCCAGGATGGACGAGTTCTGCAACCGCCTGTTACAGCTCGACTCCTTCGCTTTCTGGTCGTCTCTCTCGAGGCCCCTTCCCCCTATGCTTGCTCTGCCCGTGGTGCCATGTCTTACATGTATTCCTTTTGCGTACACACTAACCCCTTGACGTGATTCGATCTGCACTCCTTTCCCTCCCCCAAACACCCATTTCCTTCAACACCATCGCCAACCAAGCCCTCTCCTCCTTTCCATTCCTCACCGCCCACACCCCCCCCCCCAACATCCTGCACAGTCGTCGTTTCAAAAAATAGCCACGCCGTTGACCGGACTGGCAACGCCGCCGGGGACGTAGCAGGGAACACTGGCTACAAAGAAGCTCCAGCGGCCCTGGCGGGCGCACTCCTTGCTGAGGGCCTCGAGGTCGAGCAGCTCGCCGATATTGCAGCCCCAGCCGGCGAGGAGGACCTCGTGCATGCTCCAGTCGAAGGGGGAGGGCCAACGCTCGAAGCTGGGGTGGTCGCTCGCGACGGCCGAGAAGTGATCCCAGATCCAGTTGAGGACCTCGTCCGACTGCTCGACGCCGCCCAGCCCGGGCGGGGACATGGAGGTCAGGCGCTGGATCTCGGCCTCGCCCTCGGGCGTGGCGACCATGTCGTAGTACGACTTGAAGAAGCCCGAGCGCACGATCAGGATGTCTCCAAAGCGCGGCGCCGTGTTGTTCTGCCACTTGAGCGTCTCGAGGATCCACTCGAACTTGATGGCCGACGTGTGGAACTGCTTGAACTCCCCGCCCACAACGTCCCTGCCGGGCCCTTCGTCCAGCCACCGCCGGAAATCCACCAGAATGCCCCGGCCCATCACCCCGCCCCGTTCCACGGCCTTGTGAATGCCCAGGATGTTTGGGTTTTGGGCCCCCTTGGCCGACACGCCCGCGATGTCCTCGACCGTGGTGTCGTTGTAAAACAGCCCGGCCTTTTGGTACCCAAAGTGGCGCAGCCCGTCCCACTGCGTCGAACTCTGCGTGTTGAACGCCCACGTGTCGTCGTGCACGATCCGCGGTTTCTTCTGGTACACGTCCTTGACAAACACCTGCCGCCCGAACAGCGGCTTCTGGCCCTGGAAGTCCAGCGGCGCGTCCAGCCCGACTCGCACCCCGGTCTTGATCTCCGACGCCGCCGCCGCCACCACCGTCTCGGGCGTCTGTCGGTTCAAAAACCCCAGCTCGTCCGTCTCGCCGTGCGCGCCCCACGCATTGAGCCGCGTCGCCGCATTGGACTTGTTGAGTGGGAGCGATGAGAACGGCACGGGTGGACCTCCGGACATGATGATATCTTTTTCGTGGTTGAGTCTCTCTTAGTATACCCTCTTTTACCCTATATAAATATGAAAAGGTATATGGCAAAAAAAGACGTCTTTCAGAGAGGGGACTTTTGCTTGAGATAATGATGCTGTTTGTTCTCACTATTACCCTAGAACTATATACCCCAGAACCGAACAGCCACGGGAAACCCAGAAGAAAATTTGGAGAAAAAGCGCCAAAAACCGTTGCAATACGGCCCACTGCCCGAGAAAGCCGCTCCCATTATTGTTCTCTGAAGCTCGGCATATCAAGGGTAATGGAAGAGAAAGGAGGGGAGGAAGGTGAGGGGCATGGGATGTCGATATCGCGATGAGATGGAGATGAGGGGCGCCGCTGTCGGGCTTTGGTCGGTTGAGATTGCCGAGGGATACAACACCTAACGCTGGAAAGGGGCCAGCCAGGGGGCATGGCAGCACAGCAGGAGACGTCTGACTAGGTAGGGGAGTAGAAGAGGTAGCAAAGGCGAGACGGAGAGGCCAGCGTAAGAAGCGAAGGAGAAAAGAAAAGGTTACCTGGATTGAATTCCAATCTTTTGTACTCCACGTCTCTATCCTGTTGTTGGCTGTCCCATCCCATCCATCCCGATGCGCGCAACGACAAAGCCCGGAAGAAAATGCTGCTTGTGTGACCCCGAGCACTCGTCGCGCCCGTAAAACTAAAATACAATTGTCCATCAAAGAACCTGTGGCGCTTCGTCCCTGTACACCTGCAAGCAAGACCTGAGATCAGCCCCTCCAACCACCGTACCAACTCATCCACCGGCAGTCTCTGCGGCGAAAAACGATTCCATGCGTCTCGCGTTTGCCGAGCAAGATAAGACCACCTTCAACCTTCTCCCACCCTCCTCCCAATTCACTAGGCCTGAATGATTACTGTTGGTACACAGAATGTAATGCCTTGATGCCGCCATACGAAAGAATCCCCAAGAAACTTGAACTTTGTCTGAGAAATTTGTGTCTCTGTGTGTTTTTGCCGCTCGAAGAAATTTGTGTTTATCGCAATAACCCTTTTTCTGGCCCAAGACGCCGTGTGGTAGAACAGAACTTTAGCGAAAATGGTTCCCAGCTTCGCCGCCTGGGATGTCTCTCCTGAGACCGATGTCTCCTGCCCATCACGCAGCATGTCCATTGATACCATTGACTAAAGGTGCCGCCGCCGGAAGACCCGCAATCACGCTGAATTGACCGCCCGCACCGGCCCAAATCAGTTTCTTGTCTCTGACGGCCGTGTTGTCGATCATGGTCGCAAGTTCCACGTCGTCCGAAGTGCCCTGTCCCGTCTGGTAGGTCGTACTGAACCCCCACGAGTACGCCTTGCCGTTCTTGTCAATCGCGACGCAATGGTCAGACCCGGCAGCAGCCATGAGAGCCTCAATGTGGGGGATTTGGGTCGGCACGATCAAAATCCTCGGGTGGCCGGCTGAATCGCGCACGACATCGTCTTCCGGAAGATCCTTGACTTTCAGACCCGACTGGTTTCCATCGACTCGTCCCCAGACCAGCAGTTCGTGTTTGTCGGTGACGGCCACGGTGTGATGAGACCCTCCTTGAATACATGTGACTTTGCCAAACTTGTCGCGAAGCGAATCAACAACGATAGGCATGTGCACGTCGTTGCCTTTTGTATTGCCAGCCTCGTCGAATTCCTTGGGAATGCCCGTCTGGCCGAAATTATTCAGGCCCCAGGAATAGACATCACCATTCGACTTCACGGCAAAAGAATTGTAGGCTCCTGCCCCAACATACTCGATCTTCTTGAGTGTGCCAATGGCCGTCGGTATCAAACTGTTCGTCGCTCTTCGCTCCAGAATCCTTCGACCCAATTGATTCTGCTGTCCTGAACCCCAGCAGTAGACGGCTCCATTGTTCTGCAAGGCGAGGACATGGTTGGCACCAGTTGCAAGTTGGGTGATTTTGCTGAGGCCCTTGATCAGCTTCGGTCGGAGCTGTATCAGCGTGGTGGGGTCAAAGCCAAAAATGCCTTCATTCGAGCGGAATGTGCCCCATCCGTACACGTCGCCCTGGTTCGTGAGAGCAAAAGTGGCACTGTCAGTGCAGGCGACTTGGGTGAAGATGACATCTTCAGGAACACCCGAAAGGTCAACTTCGCCCGGTGTGGATTCTCTGGGGTTGACAGCTGTCTCCGAACCGCTATCCGAGTCAGAGTCACTAGCATCTTCATCGATATCACGGAGACCACCTTCCCAAGCAGTGTCTCGACCTAGAGCTCCCTGGTCATTGACGCCCCAGGTCAGGATCTTGTTGTCATAGGTCAGAGCCGCAGTGTGCATCCCACCAACTGACAAGGCCACCACTCCGACAGTATCCGGGCTGAGGTTGGGATTGTATCGCGGTCTCTTCACCTCCGTCTGGCCTTTGGCGCTTCCGAGGCCGAGTTCCCCAGAAGAGCCTTCCCCAAACACGTAGACATTTAATTTCTCACTCGGAGGCTGGTTGATCTCTGCCTTTGTTGTCTTGGGCTTTTTCGCTGCGGTTGGTTTTTTGGCAGGGGCAGTGATTCGTTTGGCGAGTTCAGGCTTGTCAGCGTCAGGGGCCGGCCTGGTGACTCGCGCTCTTTTGATGCCGTTGGCTTGAGGTTCATGCTCATCTTCCGTTTCCGCCTTCCGCTTGCTCGTCTTCTTTACAGTCGCTTCTGGGTCTTTGGCGGAAGCTTTGGGTGCTCTCTTCGCATCGGCAACGCGGGCACCGCTCATCCCGGCAGTGGTAGACTTTCGTGATGGTTCCACCTTCTTGACAGACTTGGCTTTCTCTGGTGTATTTTTGGTTGCTTTTGCCGCTGCGGGCTTGCGGGTACGAGTGCTGGACATGGTCGATTCGTCGGAGACGCGACGAGGAGACTCGATTTGTCAAACGACGGAATGGGAGACAGGGTTTGACTCGGGGCAAACAGGTTGAATGTCGAGTGTGGTTCGTAGGAGAATAGGATTCAAGCAAAGAGAAGAGCTCTTTGTGAAAAGGGTATAGACAAGGTCAAGGTAGTTGAATGTGAGGGTGTGAGGGTGTAAGGCAGTGAGGCGAGGAGTTGTGCTGGTCCCAAAAAAAGTTGTTAGCGCATCAATTCCAAGGTTGTTGTGGTTCATTGGACGTGACACGAGCGCAAGCCGCACTGCCCGAAATTCCGCGTGACTAAGCAACGCAGCGCCCCGAGTCCGCGATCTCCCCTGACTCTGCATAAAATTCACTATCCCACAGCGACTCCTCAATAGCTGAATGGTGATGTGCCATTTCGCAGCTGAGTAAATAAGGACATAGACTATGCGTGGAAAAGTTGTGGACTTTGTGTCAATGACGGTATCATTTGTACATACGACAGGTCTCTAGTCGCAAAACACTTCTGCGCTCCTGTTTTCATTTCTCACCTTCGACAGCCTCGTCTGCCGCCCTCCAGCAAGATAATATGATACAAATTGAAGGCAGGTTTGGCCGTCTTGGACGGTGAGAAGGAGTATGACCCGCCACCTGTTCAGCCACCTTTTCGCGTCCAGCAGACCCATCGCTTCAGCAGATAATGTGGCCCGCTCTCCCCGTCATTCAGACGACTTGCTTCAACTCTCGATTGCCTTTGGCCCGCGGATTCGGCGCATTCTCGTTTTCCTGGATGTAGAACCGACGAAGCAACATGATGGCTTCCTTTCTGAATATTCCTCCATAGCTTGGATAGCCCTCCTCAAGACCCTTGTCAGAATGAACCGGCAGCACGCTCCCATTTCCACCAAATCGATCATTGCCACAGCCAAAGAAGACGCGGCGTATACCATACTGCCTCAAGGCTGAAGCGCACATAATGCATGGTTCAACCGTGACGTAGAGATCCGTCTCCTTGAGTTTACTGGCTGGCATCTTGGAGAGAAACTGTGCAATGGCGAGAAACTCGGCGTGCCGCGTGCCGTTGAGAGATCGGTTGGTGTCATTCATGCCTCGCGCCACGACTTCGCCTTCATGGACCAGAACACATGCGACCGGAGTTTCGCCTCCACGAAGAGCTTCTTCGGCAACCTCGATTGCTTGACGCATGAAGCCCTGGTGGAGTTCGAGATTTTTGAGAACCTCGGGATGAAGTTTGTCTTTGTCGCTGGTGGTCTCGGGCTTGTTGTTGCTGGTCGCCATCTCGTCAGAATCTGAGAGATCTATAAAGTCCATGTCAGTGAAGGAGCAGAAGTCAGAGCCTCCAGGCCCAGGGAGGCCCTGGAGGAAGTCCATGGTGACTACATCTTTCACTCACTGAAGAGGAAACAGGAGAAGAAATCGTGGATTTCGTGGGGGGATTTGTACAGCCTCGTGTCGCCTCGTATTCGCTTTAGTTTCCCTTTGCAACAAATGGGGTCGGATGGGTGCGAGTTGATGATGGTCAGGACTGAACGGAGAGGAAAATGAAAGTGAGCGAAGAGAAATTGCTATCACCGTCACCGAAGTGCTTGTTGTATCGTAACTGCCAAAGATGGTCTTTCGCAGCTTCCTGCTGGTGCTGCTTGCCGTTTGTGCCTGCACTGTCTGCGCTGCGAGCGATGCTGCGGCCTCCAAACTGCCCAAGTCGGTCACTCTGTCCTACGAATTGATCGGATCTCCTTCAGTCAAACCGCTGGTCACCATCTTCTACGATCCGAAAACTTCTAAGCACGCTTTGTCTTCATGGACGCCTCCTTCTCTCGAGCCGCTTCAGTCTACCACTCCCGAACCTACCTCGTCGAAGCTGCTTCGGATCCTTTTACCTAACGGCAGTTCTACCGTAACCACCCTCGACACGTTCAGCGACGATGTCCACCAGAAAATCGACCTCTGGATATCTCCAGACGATGGATCCGTCTTGTCTGCTTCGGTCTCAGCCCTTTCACCACCCCCTTTGTCCGCAGAAGAAGAGCGCTACAGGAAAAAAGTCGCTAGAGCCAAGGCAAAGGGAAGGCCGATACCACCCCCGCCTCCAGTCCCAAATACAAAGAAAGCGAGAGAAGAAGCAGCTAAAGCAGCAGCTCTTCACGAACCCATCAAAGTCAACCTTATCGCCTCAGGCGCAGGCGCCTCCCCTGTTCTGGCAACTCGGAAAGCACCTCAGGTCGATGCCGAAGGCAGAGAGGTTCCGCAGGAAGAACAACAAGAGAAGAGCTTCTTCCAGAAGTACTGGTGGGTGTTTTTGATCGGTACCATGCTCCTGATGACTGGCGGTGGTGGAGCAGAGAAATGAACATCTATGGCCGACATCCTCCACTTTGGCAACACTGGGTCTGTCATTCGAGACTGCTGAAAGGAAACACATTTGGCTATGGGATATCCGGACAGCTAGACAGCAAGCTCTCTTTTTTCACTGCCAGGGATATTACTAGACCAATCCACCCCGCCTCGAAACGGCCTCGTAGCAATGGACAAGTGCTGAGAGCAACCGGGTCAACTGCCCTTTCTCCGCTGACGCTGTACGCGAGAGATATGTGCCTATGTCAATGTTCCGAGCTCACCAGCTGCTCATACAACCTTTGGCATGAAACAAACCCTTTACACTCAATGGACTCCAGAATCTGCTGTCGCAGCTAATACAGAATATCGTCGCATGGAAGCTCGCACCGGATCCGCCTGCCTCTTCCCCAGACACTCAGATCCCAGACTTGTAACCCTCTGTCCGTCAGTACGGTTAACTCATTCTCAGCAACCCTCGTCCGTGGATTTCCTTTGCGCTTGTACCACGGCTCCGACTCTCCTGATTCGGACGGCTCCGCAACCGGAGACGCTCCATGCTCATGATCTGTTGTCGTATCATGGGTCTCGTCTCTTCTTCCTTCAGCTGAAGCCTCCATCATCTCAATTTCTTTGCCTTTGACTGGGTCAAGCACTGCTGGACGTGAAGGTGTCGATTCAGGAGACTCGAGGGCGACTTTGTTTGTGGAACTGTGGTGGTCAGTAGGACGCGCAATATATTTGATCTGTCCGATCAATTTGGTATCCGAAAAGGGTGCTGGTGGTATTTCATGGAAGATAGTACTCATCTCCACCTCTGGGACTGCGGTGCATGTATTCTTTGAAAACGCATCAGTCTGCAAATCCGATTTCGGTAGTGGTTGGCTGTGGCACTGCAGTGATTCGGGGGGCTGCTGTCGGTCGCATGGATGGAAATTCTCCACATCTGCTGATGCTCTACTGTTGTCAGAACGCCCACCTTCAGCATTTGGTCGTTGCGAATTCAGCCGTGCTGTGTCGTCGGTGCTCGCTACATTCCCAGCGTCATGCTCGTTTTCAGTTTCCTTGACCATCATGATGCCTTCCATTTCATCCGCTGCTCCTTCCGCCGCTTCCCATTTCCCAGAGATTTCTCCCGCATCATTGGCCTCCTCGTCGTCCATCCGGACTGGCTTCCCTAACGCCCAGCTCATCTTTCGTACCACCGCACCACCATCCATCTTCAACACGATCGGACGGAGCTCGACGATCCGTTCAAGAGGCCAGCCGTCGTTAGTGTGCGGATAGAAGTACAATAAGTCTGCGAATGAGAGCAAGGTAGATGTGCTTGAGGTGAAAGACGCTGCTTTCGGTGGTGCTGAGGCTGAAGGGATCGGGGCAGGATTTGAAACGGGCGGTGAATGCTCGGGGATTGGGGGGGCATGCTGAACTACATGGTCGTCGTGATCGTCATTCTCACTTTCGCTGCTGCTCTCCGGGCTGCTTTCCCCTTCGCTGATGGCGATGTCACTATCGCTGTCCTCGTCCCACGCCTCGTCGCAAAGCGCCCGCGGGTCCAACGCATAAACAAGCACTCGATCCCATTGTGCGACGGCGATGCGCTCCCCTCTGGGCGATATGCTTATGGTATCGAGTCCTGTCAGCGTGGTGCGTTGAGGCGCCCATCCCCACAATCTCGCTGCGACGCGCAGATCTGTTCCATGCAAATTCTCGGCCTCTGGGTCGGAGGCGACCCAAGCGTTCCCTTCAGGGTCAAAGTCGAGATCCACATTGCCGACGTCGTCGTCGCCGTCATCATCGTCTTCGTACTCCGGCGGGCCCACGGTGATGTCGGAATGGGGTTCGGCATCGGGATAGAGGTGATGATTCAAATGTCGACTCTCCCGGTACCTTCGTGGTGGTCGGGGCAAACGAGGCAAATGATCTGTGGATCTCGTATGTGGACAGAGATTGTAGTTGACACGCCTGCGGATCTGCACAATCGTGAGCACCTGCGGGCCGATCTCCCTGACGACGACACCATTTTGAGTGAACCTCGAGAACGTCGGGAGATTCGCCGTGCCCAGGCACAGCATGTGATTCACACATTCCCCGTCGCGCATCAAGAGGTCCTGTGGCTCCGCGTTGCATGGGTAGGCGGTAGTTTCGTGCGCACTGAAGAACGGCAAGCCGAGCGCGAAGTGTGTGCCGAAGATGGACGTGGTGCTTGTGTGACGAACGCTTCTACACAGCCTGTTGAATGCGTGTATGGTCGACGGATAGATGGGGTGAGACGACATGGGGTTGAAAATGCGGCGGCGGGTGCGGTCGTTGGCTAATAGGGTCGTGAATGGCACGACCGACCCAGGGGCATAAAGAGACAGGCGCCGGCCGTCGTGGAAGAATGCGAGGGCGCGCGGTCGCTGGGGCAAGTTCACGAGACGCAAATCCTGCCCGAGGTCGTATTCGAAGCCGTAGCGGTTCTGCATTTGGTGCACGGAGGTGACAGTGTAGGCGATTCCACTCCCATCAACGTCGTTGTCGTCTGAGTTCCCCCTCGCAGAGTCGACTATTCGATCGCCCGACCGCGACGACCGATAGATCGCCGTTGGACGGTCATAAGGATACAGAACCCAGACGTTGTATTCGCCCGCCTCGCCCCGCGGAAGGTGGTCGGCTGTGTAGAGACAGACTGTAACATCCTCCGAAGGAGTCATGGTGTCTGGGAGATCCCACAGAATGGCACAAGTCAGACGGTTATGGACCGCGAGATGGACGGGGACCAGGGTGTTGTCATCTATGGACTTGTGTGTCGGGATAGGGAAGAAGAGCGGACGGTCGTTCCTGAACATGTCATAGTGGAGGAGGTGGTAGTGGACACGAGCAAGAGAGGAGGAAGCTTTGGATTGTTTATGTTTGGACGACGAAGGCCGGCCATACTTGGAAGACCGATGTGTGGCCGTGCGGTCTTCGAGCACCTCTTTCACAGAGGCCTTGAACGTCGTCGTCGGCTCGGGATGGGACGTGTCATTAGCGGGATCCTCATCAGGTGGAGTCCAAGCATACAAGACGGTGATGTAGTGGCTCTTCTGTACGACCTGGATGATTTTCGCCCGGCCATCTGCGTAAGGCGACTCGATCATCTCCCCCGGCAAGTCGTGGTGCCAGTTCATCCGGACTCGATGGCTGTTCTTCAGGACTAAACACACGTTGTTCCCCCACTCGCTCTCGACGCCGAGGCATGACGCCCGGGGATCGATGGTGTCCCTCGCGCCGCTATGGCTGGAGGGCGGCGGCACCCAGCTCCGACAATCCGCGGTGAAGTTGACGCCATAGAGGTGTGAGGCGGCGCGTTGCCGGAAGATGAGGAACAGGTGATCTGTGGGGACGGAATGGTGCTCCAAGCCCAACTTGAGGCCAGGAACTTCGCGGAGGTGGTGGAGGATGATTTCTCGACTTTGCGATGCCAGTTGAAAGAATCGGCGGTTGATTTGGAGGAGCTGGAAGAAGGTCGGCGTTGTGCTGGCGTAGAAGATCTGCTGTAGGATCTCTGAAGGGAGTGTACCAAGGGTCGCAGCAGTGGCATTAGACCTCAAGGCTGGTGATTGGTCTGACATCCTTGCTGAGCTGGCGCGCTCGCCTCACATTGCATTCGAGCTGAAAAGATAGATCTATCGACAGAGTGCCTTTCTCTGAAATGATTGAGGTCAGAAGGGTGGCAGTACATTCCTTCTGCTGTATCACATGGAGCGCACTGTAACCACAGCCTTGCAGAATTTCCGAAGCTGGAACGGAGACTGTCTTGGAGCTGACCCAGCACTCGAGAATCAAGACCCGTCGTGCGAGAGTAAGGCCAGACAGGGAGATCATGACATTGCGGACTCGAAGGGTAAATAACAGCAAAGAAGTGAAGAGGAAACCAGGCCTCGCGCAGGCATTTCCGCAGCCAGTGGTAGAATAGGCTTTGAGGGTGGTTGATGCCTAAAATTGTATGGCAGGAGACTATTGGCCAGCCGCGGCTTAAGCCTGATGAGTACCGGTAGCCTTTAGCCTCACGCTAGTCCTCTTGATGTTGTGAGTCTGACTCGTACTGTATTGTTGTAATGCTGTGGTATAGGCGCCATGGTAGATGGTAAAGGTGTACCGAGTAAGTGTCAGCGAGTGCTTACCAGGTAAGGAGCCCAGCGGTGGGTCGTGATTGCCATGGCCCAACAATGTGTCCACGAACAAGGCTGCAAGGCTGACTGCCATCCGCTGGGTCTGATGTTTAGAGCAGCCTTGAGCAGCAGAGCTCGTGGCATGACAAGTACCTATCCAGACTCGGTCGATTTTCATACTGTCCGTGAAACTCCAGGCACGACCAGCACAATCATCTCCACCGTCCTTTCGCTCTACCCATTACCTAACACTAGCCTTGATAACAGATTGACCTACCACGCCACCTCAAGATACAGCCCGGTGAATGGCATCTGTCTCTGATATCAAGTTCATAGCCAATTTCCCCGTCATCCATTTGTGCTGGAAAGCGCGATTGTGGTAGCTACAAAGGTGGCAGATGTAGCCCCTATTTCTATCCAGCCTCGCCAAGACAGCCCAGTTCCCAGGGGCTCAACATAGCAGCCTCTTCAATCTCCTACACTTGTTTCGACAATGAAGTGCAGAGGATGGACAGCTGACAAAGCTTTCGAACAGCAACATCGCCCGGTTTCCCTCCATCTAGGATGGCTAGGAGGCGTTTCCCAAGCATGTTTATTTGCCAGTTGACCCCCGCAAGGCGCGTGGCTGAGATTCAACCTGTTACTGACATCGCCGTCTGCTGGTCTCCCGTTTTTTCTTTGGCAATGTTCACAAATACAGCAAAATCATGAAGAGATCGACACAAGTCTATGCAATGCTCGCCTTTGGTTGGTGCGCGTTCTGCAGCAATCAATGAACACCTCGAGCTTCTCTCATCAGCGGAGCCATGCTGCCGGCAGTGCGGTCTGGGCAAAGTTCTAACCACGTCGGACCTCAAGACTGATTTCGCCAAATAAGCTTACTCAACTTCTCATCATAGAAAGAAATATGTCTTTGCCCGGCCGCGGACCTTGAAATCGATGTCGACATGACCCCCGGGTCCCAGAGCAGAGGTGGGGCTGTCCCGCCGACCGGGGAGTCACCGGGTATTTCGGCTGCTCGACTTGAACACCACATTGCTCGCTCACGAGTCCACGAATACATCCATTCCAATGGGTAGAGAGGAAGGATGTAAGTAGTCAGAGAAAGAAGGGATCAGGCTCTGTACTCGCACGTCCTAGAAGCATTACTGTTTCTGGTCATAACACCAATCTTCAAGATCGTGGTATCAAAGTACGCCCGTTTCTACCAACATCCACGTCACGTGTGAATAGACCCCTTTTAACGGCTACAGCAGCTGCTGCTTGTGCTTCTACAGACCTAAAATCTATATCAGGATCTGTAAAGAAAACAGTCGTCTTACTTCAGGACAGCCCACTGCATCAGGATGGGCTCGATGGGCGGCGATCTCCCCAAAACTGCACCAGCAGCAGTTCTGGCCGGCGCATACGGCGAGCCGTACAGGATCAAAGACGTCCCCATCCCTGTGCCGTCTGCCCAGGACGCCCTCGTGGAGTTGGAGTACAGTGGCGTATGCCATGGCGACGTCTACGCGAGGGATGGAGGTGGCCCTGCGCCCAAAGACCCCGTCCGACCCTTGACGGGCGGCCACGAAGGGGTCGGGAGGATAGTCGCCATGGGCACAGACGGGCTGGACGGGTTCAAGGTCGGCGATGTCGTTGGCATCGCGTGGAGGAGCTATGTCTGCGGGACGTGTCAGGCTTGCCAGGCAGGGTCGGAGAATCATTGCTTCAACCAAAAGATTACCGGGGCGCATCGGGACGGGACTTTCCAACGTATGTCGTCTTCATTTCAACGCGAAGACCCCCTAACCCGTCAACAGACCTTGCAGGCTGAGCGCTTATTGACCTCTGGTGCAGGATACATCGCCTTTCCAACCTCACAGCTGGTTCCTGTCCCGTCGGGCGTCTCACTCCCGAGCGTCTGCCCAATCCTATGCGCAGGAGTCACGGCGTATGCGGCGCTACAACGCATGAGCCCTCAAGCAGGGAAATGGTGCGTGATAGTCGGCGGTGCCGGCGGTCTGGGACATCTAGCCATCCAGTACGCCAAGGCGATTGGGCTGAAAGTCGTTGCCATCGATGGAGGATCGCCGGAGAAGGAGCAGTTCTGCGCAAAGATGGGAGCCGACGTCTTTGTGGACTTTACACGCCCGGGTCTCGTGGAGACGATTGTCGACAAGACTGGAGGCGGCGCGAATTACGTCCTTGTTCTGAGTCCGCATCAGTCGTCCTACGAGTACGTTTCCTCCCCTCCATTTTCACATACAGGCAAATCTTGGGAGATCTCGCTGACCCGACTATGCCAGTGCCGCGGGAGAATATGCCAGCTTTGGCGCGCAGATAATGGCCATTGGAATTGGAAATTTACAGTAAGAAGAATTCCCCAAAACAAAACCCCAGAACCCTCCCTGCACGCCCTCACTTCTACTCTTACTTTCCCATATCCAACCCAATGCACATTTTCCCATACATCTTCTTTGCTAATCTCACCAAACCCCGGCCTCAATTCAGCATGTCCCTGCGCCCACTCCTGCGGAAAGACCTGCTCGTGCGCTCCAACCAGACCGGCACGAAACGCGACATGAAGGAGGCCCTGCAGATCTTCGCGGCGGGCAAGGTCGTCCCAGAGCTGGAAGTCGTGGGCCTGCGGGACACCAATGACGCGCTGGACCGGATCAAGCAGGGCAAAGTCATGGGCAAGTTGGTGGCGGATTTGAGGGGCGGGACTGGGAAGGAGAGGTAGAGATTGGGAAGGAGAGGTAGAGATTGGGAAGGAGAGG